GTGGGCCGGGTCCTATACCACCACTATTACGGCTCCTCCAATGTCTTCAGGAGGAATACAAACAGTAATAGTGGAAGTGCCTTCTTCATCTGCATCCTTGGTACCACCATACAGAAACAGTTCGATTGCGTTATCGTCTTCGCTGACTTCGCTTAGTGCTAGCGTCACGAGCATTGCAGCTGTTGTAACTGATTCGAGTAGCTTTAGAGGAGGCAGCTCAAGTGCTTATATTTCATCAGCTGGAACCACTTCTTCTGGAACCATTTCTTCTGGAACCATTTCGCAGGCAGGACACACCAGTTATGAGTACTCGGGCAGCACAAAACCATCGGAAACATACAGTGGTTCGGACACCAGTTCACCAGATATTACTGTCAGTGCAACCAGCTCTGATACAGCTGATACGATCAGCACTGTGAATCTATCAGATGCTGCTACCTCAGATAGTTCTGTTTCTGGTTCTCCAGCACATTCAACACCCGCCGCTTTATCGACATCTCCTGCTGTTACTGGTCCACCTACCACGTCAGTTTCACCAGCATCTGCCTCGGGTTCTTCTGCCGGTTCCGGTTCCTGGGCTTCTGCAGGTGGTTCAGCAAGTGGCTTAGTCTCAAACAGCGGTAAGACTCAACCAACCAATCCCGACATTAACCCAACAGCCAGCACTAGAACACCAACTGTTTCAGGACAAACTAGCAGTGCTTCAGGATCCGGTTCTCCGGAACCAACTTCCACCAGAAGCTTTTCGCTTGCAGCAGAAAATACCCTGGGTTTCAATACTGTTACGACCAATATTCCCACGACCAATACCCCTACCAAGGGCAATAATGACCAGACTGGGAGCTCCAACACTTCGGAAAGAACCACTGCTGTGCCCTCTGCTTCTTCGAGTTCCAGTCAGATCCCTGCAATCAACACTTATGAAGGCGATGCTGCCAAACCAAGTGTTTCTTTATACGTTTTAGCCTCGATGGTTTTGCTCAAGGTTTTCATCTAAGCAACGTACAAAGTTAAAAGCCTTACAATTTCTCCCGTGCCATTTTTCAATCAATTTTCATAGCGTTTACTTTCAATTAATCTTCTTCTTTTTGTGGTTATAGAATACATATTTCGGATTTATAATTTACTACGCGTGGCGCGCCGGATGGCTGCAAAAAAGTTTAGAAAACCGATAAATTACCAATATACAAACAGACCAACAATTCCTATATTACAAGCCACCCAACATATTGTCATCATAACTCAATTCCAGCATCTTGATCAGCTCCGACGGCAAAGAGAAGTCATTGTCCAAAAGAATCGATTTGGCACTTGCATCACCCGTATAGCTATTGGTCCTAGAGTGAGTAAGACTGGCATTTCCCGGTGAGGCCATATTATGTGAAGAATGATGGGTAGAAGAATAGATGGGCTTGTGCACATGACCCATGCTCTTGAGCTTCTGGTGCGAAGGGGACCGGGACCGCGTGACAATCGACGACGACCGCCGTACCATCTCAGGCCGTGAGGTGGGAAGGCCATCCACCGTATTGGAGGGCGAAAGGTTAGCAGGTGTGTGAAGCTGATTGCTTGTCAACGAAGAAGAGGAGCCGTTTGGGTGGTGGAAAAGTCCCGAGTCGTTAGTGCCAAACAACGACGGGGTCTTTACGCTAGGACTCATGGGTTGCAGCACCGTGTCGCTGGGACCAATGGATGATGATTCAGGGGGATGGGCCAGGGAGTACACTGAGTTGGAGTCGCTTTCAAAGTCGCTGAAGTCGTTCGACATGCCGTCGTTCAACGTGGCTGAGTTGGCCAAAACAAACCCACCACCCGAGTACCCTTTGAGCAAATGGTCAAACTTGAGATTGTTGTGATTGAGGTCGTCAAACTCGTCCTTAAAGTCATCAAGATTATTATCCACATCAACATCTACATCAACCTGAACATCAAGATTTCCATCAAAGTTATCATCAAGCTCTTCCTTTATGGGACTGCGTTGGGTATCTTCCAGGTGGACGTTCATTTTGTGGTTGGCAAATTTCCTGGAAGCAGACTCAATATCGTTGGGGTTGAAATTTGCAGCTATCAACGCACCATTTTCCCATTCCAACGGTAAGTTCTTCAAAAGACCCTGCTCAGTGATCAAATAATGAATCACCTTGTTGATTGGTACTACCAGGTCACCGTCAGCACCGGCTGACTCCACCAATTCGTTTAAAAAGCCCACCTGAGGGGCCGCTAGCCGAATGACTTTATCAAATGCCTGGGTCAAGAGATCCAAGCGAGTCTCCAACAAGTCGACGTAGCCACTTGGATGTGACTTATCACGAACCTTTTTTTTCTCGGTGAACACACAGATCTTGTTGTCTTGTGTGCACTTGTTACAGGGTTTCTTCCCATCACATTTGGTCTTTTTGATACGACATGAGTCACAGGCCTTACCGACCCGCTTTTTCTTTTGCAAATGATGATGCAGTGACAGCAGTGAGTGGTGCAGCTGGTCGTCCGGGGAGGAGGGTATGTTAGAATACATGAAGAATATTGAATATATGGAAACCCCAAACTGTCAAATGGTTAAATTATTACAAATTAGTTGGCGCGGGAAACTTCAGTTGGCCGTGCTTCTAGAACAATACCTAAGAAACAAAAGCCGTTTGCGAAGCTGAAGGAACTGGTCGGAGATATACTACAAGACGAATTAGAAGGTATATGTACCACGGCGGAGTATCCGTGCCGAGCCGTTTTGAAAGGCTGGTATATGAGCCCGACATATTCCGGCTGGTCATCAGAAGCCGACTTCCCGGCATCAGCGCGCGTGATAGCCGGCCACGATCTTACGCAAGAGAACACAAGCGGCAACAGTTACTATGGCCGTGGGGGTACAGCCAGGACAAAGGTGAAAGAACCAAGGGATATTAGAGACCAAGGTATATGATACACCTAGGGCATCACCGAGTTACACGCTCACCTTCGCAACCCAAATGGTTATGACTAAATAAGGTTTGTCCTCCGCTGTCCGCAGTTAGTTCCCCTGATTCGCACCAATTGCTTCTTAAATTAACTGATAGCCGTGCTTGGGGCAATTGTGGAGCGTACACTTGATTACTGCTAGAGATAATAAGATCAGCGTCTTATTATACTGATATTGAATTTTGAGTTCCGTCTGTTCCATTTAGGACTGGTCATTTTTTTTCAATTACCGATAGTGTGGAGTCTTAACTAACCGAGACCGAAATCAGTCAATTGAATCTCCGACACCGAATAAATCAGTCAATTGAATCTCGACACCAAAGAACTTCATTAAATCAATCGTATACGGTTAAGTCCATTTCACGTATCGTCCGCCTATAGTACTATCCACCTCCATTTCAAATTACTCCATGGTTCCTCTAAGGACCCTCCAAAATGGAAGCTCCATCCCCACCATTGCCCTAGGATGCTATAACCTCCCAGCAGCTACCACTGGAGAGCTCGTCTTTCAGGCTTGCCACGCCGGTTACCGCCACTTCGATACCGCCGTGTTGTACCACAACGAATCAGAAGTGGGCCAAGGTATCTCCAGGTGGCTCGCAGAGGGAAACCACCGTAAAGACATATTCTACACCTCCAAGTTGTGGAACAGCCAGTGCGGGTATAAACAGGCCACAGCCGCCATCGACGACTGCTTGGCCAAAGTTGCCACCTTGGAGTACATTGATCTTCTCTTAATCCACTCACCGCTCTGTGGTCCCACCAAACGATTGGAAACCTGGAAAGCCATGGAAGATGCAGTGATTGCCGGGAAGGTCAAAAGCATCGGTGTGTCGAACTATGGCATTGGACATCTCGAACAGTTGGTGAACTGGAACCAGTTGCGGATATATCCTCAGGTCAACCAGATAGAAATTAGTCCATGGCTCATGCGGACTGAAATCGCCGATTGGTGCCAGGCCCATGACATCGTGGTGGAGGCATACGCTCCGTTGACACATGGGTACAAGTTGACGAGTCCTCCCCAGGAGGTTAAATCGGTGATGGACAAATATGGCGTTGGTGCAGCACAGGTGTTGATTCGGTGGTCGCTCCAAAAAGGGCATCTTCCATTGCCTAAAACGGGTCGCATAGAGAGGTTAGCTGGTAATTTGGATGTTTTTGGATTTGAGTTGACGGCAGCGGAGATGAAGCAGTTGGACCACCCGGAAGCGTATGAACCCACTGACTGGGAGTGTACCGACGCCCCGTGAGTGTGGGGGGTGTCTGAGATGTTGATTGTTTCTAAGGGTTTGTTTCCGACTCTTATTTGTTTGCGTTTAGTGTACTGGTAGAATTATACGAGTAGACTTATCTGAGTAGCTGGACAAGTAGACTTATCTGAGTAGCTGGACGAGTAGACTTATCTGAGTAGATGGACAAGATCGACCTATCGACTTGACGGATATCCAGCAGAGGTCAAGTGACTAATTCTTTGGTATACTAGTAAACGACCGAGAAATGCACATCAGATCCACACTTGTTCACAGGCAGTGAAAAGGCACATCAACCTAAATGACTCATTTCACTGCTTACAGAAATTATTCGAAGAGCACACCAACCCAACTACCGTGAGTCATGACCCATAGTGTAGTACTATAAAGCCAATGAGTCATGGCCCATTGTGGAGTACTATAAATCCAGTGGAATAGCTGTACAATATAAACACTATAAAAATGTTGAACAGATTGAAAAAAACCTGGTCGAAAGACTCGACTCTTACTACCACTCAATCTGTGAGCACCACAGCTGCGTTGAAGCCAGATATACCGCGTGTCCCAGCCAAAATTAAATCCACAAACCCAAGGTCCAAGTCAAAACTGGAGCCCAAATCCAAACCAATATATGTGTCAGCGGCCGCATACTTGTCCTTAAAGTGATTAAAAATAGTTCTTTGTTACACGGTGAATTATTTTTGGTTAGAAATAATAAGATTTGCCAAATTTACTCATGCTCGTTGCAATTGTAATGTAAACCAGATCTGGCAAAGAAGAATATTTGGACATTTCGTGTCTGAACAGTTCACACTTACACAGTGACTTGAAAATCAAGAGGTTATTACGCCACATCAAATAGTTACAAATCAACAATGTCAAGTGATTTACAAGGCTTATCTACCACAATGACCTAGAGGCTACATCCAAAGATTCAAGGACAACTGAAGAAGTTGTCTCAGAAATACTCAAATAATTTGCTTCGAATCTGCTCCCAATAGAGACATCGATAAACCTTTTGCAACTAGTATAGGTTTTCATTATAGATAAATTGAGACACAGAAGAATTAGTCATTGGCCCTGTTAATATTAATGCTGTCAGTGAACATAGATTGCCTGTATAAAGTCTTGAAGATCGATAAATACAGATCGCACAGTAACAATATAAATCCCGCTAGTCATCCATCGTACAGCGTCAGCAAAGTTGTGAAGGATGATCTCAATTCTGTCTGTCCACGCCGTTGCCAGATATAATTCAATGTTTTCTGCGTCTGACAATTTAGCCATTTTCAGGGTTGCACTCGCACCACCGCGTGGCTAGCGCGGTGCTACACTCACGGCCATACCCCGGGTCCCGGACACCCGGCATCTCCAGGATTCTACCACCGAGGCCGGGTCCTTCGTCACCCCGGCTCGCCCCCACACTTGTCGCTAACCTGCACGCTCCACTGCCATCCCACCAATTGTCCCTAAAACCCGCAATTTCGACATCCGCCATTTGGTCACTAGTTACTCACAAGGTTGTGTGCAAACGGCTTGCGGCACTCATCACGTGCAGGGTCCACATTTTCCCGTGAATGCTGACAAATCGCGGTGCAGGCTAGTGTCTGATGATGACATAAGAGTCATATCTTCAGGACGCTGACACCATCAACTCGGTCACCACCCTTTTACCGTGTAGGCTACAACCACAGTAGTTCCTCGGAGTTTCGGAGTTGACCTGTAATATGGTGCCAAAAGCGAGCGCGCGGCGTGCGCGGTCCAAAACCCCCAATTCATGGATACCTTTCATCCGTTGGACAAAATTTATATAAACCTGTGAAATTGCCCTTGGCGATTTTTTTTCCCTTTTCTCTTTTCTTCACAATTGAATTGAAATATCTTTTGATTTAACTTTAAACATATACAAATAAAATGGCTATTACTGTTGGTATTAACGGATTCGGTAGAATCGGTAGATTGGTTTTGAGAGTTGCTTTGTCCAGAAAGGATATCACCGTGGTTGCTGTCAATGATCCATTCATTGCCCCTGAATACGCCGCTTACATGTTCAAGTACGATTCTACCCACGGTAGATTCGACGGAGAAGTCACCAGCGAAGGCTCTGACTTGGTCATTGACGGCCACAAAATCGCCGTGTTCCAAGAAAGAGACCCGGCTGCCATTCCTTGGGGAAAGGCCGGTGTCGACTACGTGATTGAATCCACCGGTGTCTTCACCGCCATCGATGGGGCCCAAAAGCACATTGATGGTGGTGCCAAGAAGGTGATCATCACCGCTCCTTCTTCAGATGCCCCCATGTTTGTTGTCGGTGTCAATGAAGATAAGTACACCCCAGACTTGAAGATTGTTTCCAATGCTTCTTGTACCACCAACTGTTTGGCTCCTTTGGCCAAGGTGATCAACGACAAGTTTGGAATCGAAGAAGGTTTGATGACAACCGTCCACTCCATCACCGCCACTCAGAAGACTGTTGATGGTCCATCCCACAAGGACTGGAGAGGTGGTAGAACTGCTTCCGGTAACATCATTCCATCTTCCACTGGTGCTGCCAAGGCCGTCGGTAAGGTTATCCCTGAATTGAACGGTAAGTTGACCGGTATGTCTTTGAGAGTCCCAACAACCGATGTGTCTGTGGTTGATTTGACTGTTAGATTGAAGACTCCAGCCACTTACGAGGAAATTGCCAAGGCTGTTAAGGATTCTTCCGAAGGTGAATTGAAGGGTATTTTGGGTTACACCGAAGATGCCGTTGTGTCCACCGACTTTTTGGGTTCCACTTACTCTTCGATCTTTGATGAAAAGGCTGGTATCTTGTTGTCTCCAACTTTTGTCAAGTTGATCTCTTGGTACGATAACGAATTCGGTTACTCTACCAGAGTCGTTGACTTGTTGGAACACGTCGCTAAGGCTTCGTCTTAACTATCCGTGGACCACTCAAAATTGTGAGTGAAGATACGATAAGTATATATGGTGTTTAGCCAAGATGGTGTAACCAATATGGGTTTAGCCAAACGCAAATTGCGTACCAATGAATGATTCATCTATTTAATTCAATGCCTCATCTAAATAACTCAATGCTTCGAATAGTGATTTGTAATATTACAAACATCTTTGATGTGAGGTCAATTTCTCTTTACCACCAAGTAGGCTTGCTCTTCACTCATTTTCTATCGGCCCCATCCATTTCGCTCACCTCTTCTTCAGCGCGCGCACCGCGCGACTCAAAATCAATAATGATCGCAAATACCATTTACAAAGTATACAGAGCGAGCGGCACATGTGCGCTCTCGGATGACCACAAACAGAGCCTTATCGACGCTGTCGCAACGTACGCGTCCCTCACGCACAATAATGAGCTCGAACGGTCTACTATCGCCGAAAACACATCGATCGCTTTTTCCACCGCCAACAGCCTCCAAACAATCAGTATCGACTCGCTTCGAGCCGTCACGTCCACTATCGTCATTTCCCACCACGACACCCCGATCGTGCTCATCAGCTCGCCCGTGGTGCCGGTGCTCATCCAGTATTTGGAACATGCCAGTGGCTGTGTTTTAGTACCTACTAAAATACACGTCACATCACTAGTGCAAGATGTGATGGATCAAATGTGTCGCACCGCGGGCCCACGATCCACCGCCGCGCGACTAGGAAATATCGAACTCGTGTACAAGGCTCCTTCTAAAAGTCTCACTGATATTTCCATCAACATTCCTGTTGAAGACGTGCAACGATTTGTAACCGAGTTCCCAGCGTCACTTTACAAATTTATACAACGATGTACCACTTTGCAGTTGACCAACCTTGAATTAAGTAAATTCCTTAGTCGCAGTTTCATGGTTGCTAGAGACGGAAAAGTGAGAGTCTCCGTTTTCCAGACGGAAACGGAGACGGATGATACTTTGAGAATGGTAATAGAGTGCATCCACCGCAATCTCTGAGTTACGCAGACGGTCCCTGAGTTACACCGGAGACTTCGCCTTTTTCGGGGCTTTGGTCCTCTCCCGCATTTTGGTTTATCGGTTCGGGTGGGGTTTGAGCTTTCCGCCAGCCGTTTCTATTTAAGAGCAGCCAGGCCCGCTGAGAAGCACATTTTGTTTATTTTGTCAACATGGATTCCGATCAGCTTGAGAAAGCCGACACTGGCTCTCTAAGTAGTGTACTGAAAACAGAACTCTACAATGGATTCTCTACTGAAGTTCAGTCAAATATCCAGCACCTTGCTCGTCGTTTCAGCCGTACAAGTGGCAATGACAAGGATCTTGGTCTCACCAGAACTTTAACTTCCATGCTGGATGCTCCAGGAATTAGTACATTTGGTATATCAGAGGGGGAAATAGACCCTCGTTTAGACCCTAACAGTGACTCATTTGACTCCAAGTTGTGGGTAAAAAACATGAGAAAGTTGATTGAAACTGATGAAGATTATTACAAGCCTTCGCTGTTGGGAGTGGCTTTTAAGGATTTAAGATGTTATGGGTCGGCAACAGACATGGATTATCAAAGTAACTTTCTTAATGGGTTGATGAAAATATGCACTCAAACCATAAGGAAGATTAATTCTGATGACCTGAAGAACATGTTTGATATTTTGAAGCCCATGGAAGGTTTGATTCGTCCTGGTGAATTGACGGTTGTGTTGGGACGTCCGGGTGCTGGATGTTCCACATTCTTAAAGACGGTGGCGGTACAAACTTATGGGTTTAAGATTGCCAAAGAATCCCTCATTAGTTATGATGGGATTCTGCCAAAGGAAATGGATAAACATTATGCGGGAGAAATTGTTTACTGTTCTGAGACCGAAAACCATTTCCCGCTCTTGACAGTTGGTGAAACCTTGAAGTTCGCTTCTACTATGAGAACACCTCAAAACAGACCTTTGGGTGTAACCCGTGAACAGTACGCTGAACATATGGCTGATATGGTCATGGCCACCTATGGGTTGTTACATACCAAAAACTCTCATGTTGGTAATGATTTTATTCGGGGAGTCTCTGGTGGTGAAAGAAAGCGTGTTTCCATTGCAGAAGCTGCTTTGTCCCAGAGTAAAGTTCAATGTTGGGATAATTCCACCAGAGGATTAGATTCCGCTACTGCCTTGGAATTTGTTAGAGCTCTTCAGACTTCAGCCAAAATTCAAAAGATTACTCCTTTAATTGCTATCTATCAGTGTTCTCAAGATGCTTACGATTGTTTTGATAAGGTGCTTTTGTTGTATGAAGGTTATGAAATCTACTTTGGAAGTGCTCGTACTGCCAAACAGTATTTCCTTGATATGGGATTCGAATGTCCTGCTCGTCAGACTACTGCTGATTATTTGACGTCCATCACTAGTCCTGCGGAAAGAGTCACCATGTCAGGCTTTGAAGGAAAGGTTCCTGTGACGCCAAAGGAATTTTATGATTACTGGCGTGCCTCTCCCCAAAGAGCCGATTTGCTTACTGAGATCGATCAGTACTTAATAGAAAAGAAAGACCACAAAAGTGAATTCCAAGCAATGCATCGTGCCAGACAGGCCAAGTCAGCCAGACCTGGTTCTCCATACACAGTCTCGTATGGTATGCAAGTGAAATACATTTTCCATAGAAATTACTTGCGGTTTGTTGGTAATCCTTCCATTAGTATTTTCCAAGTTGTAGGTAATGTTATCATGTCCTTGATTATTTCATCGGTTTTTTACAATTTACCAGCTGTAACTTCGTCATTTTACTACAGAACTGCAATTCTTTTTTTTGCCACGTTGGTTAATGCCTTTTCTTCCATTTTGGAAGTCTTCAGTTTGTACGAGGCTAGACCTATTGTGGAGAAACATAAGACATACGCTTTGTATCACCCCTCAGCTGATGCATTTGCGTCTATTCTTTTTGAACTTCCTGCCAAGCTTATCTCGAGTGTTGCCTTCAACTTGGTGATCTACTTTATGTGTAATTTGAAGAGACAACCCGGAGCTTTCTTCTTTTTCATCTTGATGGGGTTCAGTGCAACCTTAACCATGTCTCATATTTTCAGAACTTTGGGTGCTGCCACTAAGACCTTATCTCAAGCTATGACTCCTGCAGGTGTCATGTTGTTGATTCTTGTTATTTATACTGGGTTTGTTATTCCCTATCCTAATATGCTTGGATGGTCAAAGTGGATAAAGTATTTGGATCCTATTTCTTATACTTTTGAATCTTTGATTGCTAATGAGTTTCATGGAAGAGAGTATAAGTGTGATGGTTATACTCCAAGTGGCCCTGGATACCCTACCAATGGAACTTCCATCGCTTGTAGTGTCGTTGGTGCTGAACTTGGTGCTAAATATGTTAACGGTGATAGGTATATTTACGAATCTTACCAATATGAGTGGGGTCATGCCTGGAGAAATTTCGGTATCAACATCATTTTCCTTCTTTTCTTCTTAGGTTCTTACCTTGTTCTTTGTGAGTACAATAAAGGTGCTAGACAAAAGGGTGAAATATTATTGTTCCAAAGAAGTAAGTTGAGAAAATTGAAGGCTGTTAACGATATTGAATCTGGTGGCAGTGAAAAAAATACTGCTTTTGAGGCTTCAAACAGCGATGAAAGCTTGGATGAAAAGTTCATCGCCAAGAATGAAAACATTTTCCACTGGAGACATTTGACTTACGAAATCGATATCAAGAAAGAAACTAGAACCATCTTGAATGGAGTTGATGGATGGGTCAAACCTGGACAAGTAACTGCATTGATGGGTGCTTCAGGTGCTGGTAAGACTACATTGTTAAATGCTTTGAGTGAGAGATTGACCGTAGGAAAGATCACAAATGGAACCAGAATGGTGAATGGTCACGAATTAGATTCTTCTTTCCAAAGATCTATCGGGTATGTTCAACAACAAGATTTACATTTGGAAACTGCCACTGTCAAAGAATCCTTGAGATTTTCAGCTTACTTGAGACAACCTGATTCTGTTTCAAAAGCAGAGAAGGATAATTATGTGGAATACATCATTAAGTTGTTGGAAATGGAGAGTTACGCTGATGCAGTTGTTGGTGTTGCTGGTGAAGGTTTGAATGTTGAGCAAAGAAAGAGATTAACTATTGCTGTGGAGTTAGTTGCCAAGCCAAAGCTTTTGGTGTTCTTGGATGAACCTACTTCTGGTTTAGATTCTCAAACAGCTTGGTCCATTTGTAAGTTGATTAGAAAGTTGGCTGATCACGGACAAGCTATCTTATGTACTATTCACCAGCCTTCTGCTATTTTATTGAAAGAGTTTGATAGGTTGTTGTTTTTACAGAAAGGTGGTCAAACTGTTTACTTCGGAGATTTGGGTGAAGAGTGTAAAACCTTGATTGACTACTTTGAAAAATATGGTGCTCACAAGTGTCCTCCTGATGCAAACCCTGCAGAATGGATGTTAGAAATTGTTGGAGCTGCTCCTGGATCTCATGCTAATCAAGACTATCACCAGGTATGGAAAAACTCTACAGAATACCTGGATGTACAAAATGAATTGAACCATATGGAAACCGAATTGTCTAAGTTGCCCAGAGACCAATCGAAAGATGATCTCAACTCGTATGCCACGGCAATCTACAAACAGTATTTTATTGTTACTAAAAGGGTGTTCCAGCAATACTGGAGAACCAACAATTATTTGTACTCCAAATTCATTATGGTTATTGCCACCTCACTCATGAATGGATTCTCTTTTTTCAAAGCTGACAAGTCGTTGCAAGGATTACAGAATCAAATGTTCTCCATTTTTATGATGTTGACAATTTTCCAAACCTTGGTTACCCAATATCTTCCAATTTTTGTGAAACAAAGAGACCTATACGAAGTGAGAGAGAGACCTGCTAAAACATTCAGTTGGATTGCATTCTTTCTTGCCCAAATCACTGCTGAAATCCCATGGGCATTTGCTGCTGGAACTGTCACTTTTTTCTGCTGGTACTATCCTATCGGTTACTACAACAATGCTGTTCCAACTGACAGTGTAAACCTGAGAGGAGCATTGGCATGGTGGCTTCTTTGCTTGTTCTACGTCTACTCTTCCAGTATGGCCCAGCTTGTGATTTCTTTCAATGAAATCGAAGATAATGCTGGTAACTTGGCTAACTTGATGTTCTCCTTCTGTCTTATGTTCTGTGGGGTTTTGGCTTCACTGAGCGCTATGCCTGGATTCTGGATTTTCATGTACAGGTGCAACCCATTCACCTATTTTGTGAGTGCCTTATTATCTACCGCTTTGGCGGAATCTGATGTCACATGCTCAGACAAGGAGTTGACTACGTTCCTCCCACCAGAAGGATCTACCTGTGCCGAGTATATGAAGGATTACATTGCTAGTATTGGAGGAGGATACTTAACTGAACCCTCTTCGACCACAGAGTGCAACTTTTGTAAAATGTCCTCCACTGACCAGTTTTTAGCCGCAATTGGTTCCAACTTTGATAAAAGATACAGAGATATGGGAATTTTCATTGCCTTTATCATTATTGATTACATTTTGGCTCTTTTCTTATACTGGCTTACTCGTGTGCCAAAAAAGTCCAGGCAAAGAAAAACATAGACTGATCGTCTGTATATAATTATATCCCCATTTAGGCCTTGCTATGTTAATTAATATCACAAAGAATTTCACTGTTAGTGTGTGAGTCAAACTGACTTTATGCGAGGATAGGTTTAGAGATTGTACGAGTATGAGAGCAGAATTGATGAAGAAGGTGAAGTGGCACTTTCCGACCGCCGCAAATGAGTTTCGCAGCCAATTATGTGGCTGCGAACAGGTGAATATCTATACAAGGAACAAAATATAATGAACTTAGAAACAATTCAAAGAATATGGCCCATCTTCGGAGCCTCATTATCATGTTTTCGTTGGATCCCTTTAAGGTTACTGGAAAAAATAGGATTATTCGTTTCTTGAGTGTAGTCCTCTGTAAAGTCCACGGCAGACCAACTCTGATTATTTAGCTCTTTTGGTTTTTTGGAGATTACGAGACTTGCGTACTGGACTCATCATTTTCACGATCGTAGAGTTCATCATTACCATAGTTAACCCATTCTTACATGATAGAGAAGACCAACCCGTGAAAGGCACAGCAGGAAATAGATTCACGAAGAAATAACTACGTACAGAATCTGTTGTCTTTACCTCTTACCTTCGATAAAATAGCCGTGCACCAAGGGAAGCAGTTTGCTTTATTCACAGGATTAGTATTAGTGCCACGATTGGTTCCCAGAAAAATTAGCTTGGAACTAAACAAACCGCGCGTTTTGAGTGAACTGAAAAATTTAAACACGTATAACCTTATGTCTTCCAGTGTCGACGTTAACAGCACTGAGGGGTTGAGTCGTCGGACCAGATCGAAGGTCAGGGAGGCTAATGAAAGTACCCCCATCCCTGATGGCGAAGAAATCGATGCCGGAGACGCAAAATTGGAGCAGGAAAATGAAGCTCAAGAGTTCAACAGCGCATTAGCTTCATTTGAAAGTTGGTTTGCACCAATCTTCTTCACAGCTCTTTCGTTTGTCGTTAGATTGTACAGAATCCTGATTAACGACAGTGTTGTGTGGGACGAAGCCCACTTTGGAAAGTTTGGTTCTTACTACTTGAGACACGAGTTTTACCATGATGTCCACCCTCCTTTAGGGAAGATGTTGGTGGGATTGTCTGGTTACATTGCCGGCTACAACGGTTCATGGGACTTCCCAAGTGGTGAAAAATTTCCCGACTACATCGACTACACCAAGATGAGAGTTTTCAACGCCGTGTTTTCTAGTTTGTGTGTGCCTTTGGCGTACTACACCTTCAAGGAAATCGGATTTCAGACCATTACTACTTGGTTATTCACCACCATGGTATGTTTGGAATTGAGTTACGTGACTTTGGGACGGTTCATTTTGTTGGACTCCATGTTGTTATTTTTCACTGTTGCAACCGTGTTCTGTTTCCTGAGATTTCACAACTTAAACGAGAAGCCTGATAAATGGTTCTCGAGAAAATGGTGGAAATGGTTGTTGTTGACAGGTTTCTCCATCGGATGTACTTGCTCGGTTAAGATGGTGGGATTATTTGTTACTACTTTAGTGGGAATTTACACAATCGTTGACTTGTGGAACAAGTTCGGGGATAAATCTATTTCTTGGACCAAATACTTCTATCATTGGTCGGCCAGGATTATCGGATTGATTGTGGTTCCTTTATTAATTTTCTTGACTTGTTTCAAGGTGCATTTCGATTTGTTGTATAAGTCTGGAACTGGAGATGCCAACATGTCTTCGTTGTTTCAAGCCAACTTGGTTGGTTCTGATGTGGGCGGTGGTCCAAGAGATGTCACTGTCGGCCATTCGGTTATTACCTTGAAGAATCAGGGTTTGACTGGTGGCTTATTACACTCTCACGTCCAAGCTTTTCCTGAAGGTTCCAAGCAACAGCAAGTGACCACATATTCCCACAAGGACTCGAATAATAATTGGGTTTTCCAGAGAGCTAGAGGATTAGATCACTTTGATCCCCAAGAAAACAAGGACCTCGAATACGTTGTTGAAGGAATGGTGGTCAGATTACTTCACCCAATGACTGGTAGAAACTTGCACTCTCACAATGTTCAAGCTCCAGTCACCAAGAATCATTATGAAGTTGCCGGGTATGGGAACCAGACTATCGGTGATAATAAGGACAATTGGGTCATTGAGATTGTTGAACAAAGTGGAGATGAAGACAAGGATAAACTTCACCCATTAACCAGTTCTGTCAGATTCAAGAACACGGTAATGAACTGTTACTTGGGAGTTACCGGCGCGTCGTTGCCAGCCTGGGGGTTCAGACAAGGTGAAGTGGCCTGTTTCAAAGACCCTTTTAAAAAGGACAAGAGAACCTGGTGGAACATTGAGAGTCACGTCAACACGTTATTGCCTCCACCTCCAGAAGACTTTAAGTTACCCAAAACTCGTTTTATTAGAGACTTTATTCAATTAAACTTGGCCATGATGGCCACTAACAATGCCTTGGTACCCGACTATGAAAAACAAGATGACTTGGCCTCTTCCGCTTGGGAATGGCCTACTTTACACGTTGGAATCAGATTATGTTCTTGGGCCAACGATAAAGTAAAGTACTTTTTGATCGGATCCCCTGCTACCACCTGGCCCTCCACCGCGGGAGTGGTGTTTTTTGCCGGCTTGGTGTTGTGGTACTTGCTCAGATGGCAAAGACAATTCAACGACTTTGATGGTCAACTGCACAAGTTGAAGTTGTTCATCATGGGAGGTATCTATCCAATGTTCGGTTGGGGGTTGCACTTTGTACCATTTGTCATCATGGGAAGAGTTACCTACGTGCATCACTACTTGCCTGCATTATACTTTGCCATGATGATTCTTTGTTTCTTGATTGAACATTTGACCACTCCTTTGAGAAAGTCTAGTAGTAGGGCCCTCAACTTGATCTATGTTGGCGTATATTCGCTGTTTTTTGGTGTTGTGGTAGGATGTTTCTGGCACTGGAGATACGTTGCCTGGGGTATGGAAGGACCCAAATCTAACTGGGCCTACCTTGACCTATTGAGCACCTGGAGAATTGCCAACGACAGCACCCAATAGTTTGTTTTATAGTGTTTGTAGCTGTAAGCTTATAAATCTGTCTTTACCCTGAGTGCGATCTTTTTCGCACTAGACTAGCCTAACAAATGTCATCTAAAGTAATCATAAAAATTACTAATGTACGCTGCTACCATCAGAAGAAGTATACATCTTTTAAGGCCCGTGAGGCCCATTCGGGTACCCATTTATCCTACTAGGAGGCTATACTCAGTCGAACCCAGAACATTAAAAGCGGCCACCCTCAAGCCGGCGGTTAACGATTTTGCAAAGACCAGATTGGTGAGTGGTCAAACAAACATGAAGATTGCCATTACAGAAAGAGCCGGACAGAAACTAAGCCTGATAGCAGAAAAAGACAACAATCCAAACTCTGTGTTACTCATAAAAGTGGAAAGTGGCGGGTGCCACGGATTCCAGTATGATATTAAATTGACAGACTTAAAAGAAGAATTGACGAACAATCCCGATTTGCTAGTATTCAAGAGATCATCACCGCTGAACGCCCAGATAGTCATTGATGAGAGCTCTCTCCAGATCTTGCAAGACTCCAAACTTGACTATACGACCGAACTTATAGGGAGTCAATTTAAAGTAGTTGAATCTCCTTATACCACATCTGCGTGTGGATGTGGTAGTTCGTTTGATTTTGATTTTGACAAGTTGGCACAGAAACAAGGAGAAAGCATTTGAACAGGAGTATATGATATTTAATGTATACAGAAAATAAGAATAAGCATTTAGACAGCTAATAACTCTTTAATCGAGTCAATGGATTTCGAAGCAAAATATCTAACATCGGAGTCGTTATCGTTAACCAAAATATCCAAGTTCTTCAACACATTTTGTTCAATAACAGGGCTATCACCTTGCTTCCCAGCCAATGTTTCGGAAATGCGCAAATAGCTTGTGGCCAAATTGAATCTGATGTTTGGTACTTTGTCATCAATCAAGTCGTTCAAGAAAGGTAACACCTTTTCGGTTATAATTTGGTGGTCTAATACAGGAATCAACTCATTCAAAGCAAACACACAAGTTATTCTTATAATAAAGCTTGCAAAATCAATATTAATTTCATCATTATCATTATCGTCATGAATTGTATCATCATTGTTGTCATTATTGTTTAATGTTGAACTGTGAGTGTTGTTCTTGATCGAAACCAACTTATCTATGATGTACTTGTCAGCCCAAGCCGAACCAAAAATCTCTGTGATCTTTCTCAAATTCTTCACTGACGCTTCTCTTATAGCATACACAGAATCCCATAACCATGACAAGCACAAGGTTAACAATTCCTTGTTAAAGAATTCTTCTCCTAGCTGGTCAGCCAACTTTGGAATGTATTCGATGATGGCCAATCTGACTCTCCATTTAGAATCCTGGGCCAATTCAGTGATGGCAGGTAACAAACTGGTGGTTAACAAGTTTATGCCGATGGTTTCGTTTACTATCGATAAATTCGAAATGATGTTCAATCTCACATCGGGAAATTCATCCTTCAACATGTTGAGGAAAATAGGTAATAATTTATCAATGGTGGATTGTTTGGACAAAATGGATGACAACTCAGTAATGTTTAATGCCAATGAACTTCTAACATTTTCTTGAGGGTCTTGACTTAACTCGTTAACCACGGGCAAAATCTTGTTTAAGATGGTTGGTTTCAAGGCTTCGTATTTGTTCAACAGTTTGCAGAATGCTGGTAATTGCTTAGCAATGGCCTTTCTGACTTCTCCTTCATTATCCTTCATCAAAGAAATAAAAGGCTCAATCAATTTGGTCAATTTGGCCTCTTCATTACCAAAGTTCTCGGCAATTCTGTTGAATCTGTCTGCCGCAGTGTATCTAACTCTCCAGCTTTCATCAGACATCAATTTCAACGAGTTGACCAAAAAATCTGAGTTATGACTTTGGTCCTGGATCTTTTGAAAGTACTCCAAAATCGAAATCAACACATCAATGCTCAAGAACTTGACCGAGTCTTGATCATCATTGATCAAGCTTTGGAACATTTGGCTGATGATTTCCCAGTCTTTGTTGGTGACTTTGTTGGGATCATTAGCATCGATTCCAGTAAAATCAGTCAACTTGTTTATGATGGCAGGCAAGTTGGTGGCAGCACTTCTTCTAACCATGGGGCCGTCATCAGTGACCAACTTCAAAAACAACGCCAATAACTCTTGTCTGACAGGAGCTTCCACTCTTACAACCACAGATTTATACAATCCACAACTGGCAATTCTCTTGGAGAACCAATTACCCTGACTTAAATCTCGGATGATGGGCAAGAAGATTTCAAACACCTCCTCGTTGGTCAATTCGGTGCTGATGTTGTTCAAGGAAGCGATGGCCTTGTCCCTAACAATGGGTTCTTCAATGGGAGCCAAATGCAACAAGATTTGAATCAAGGGTTCACAATTCTGGTGGCCTCCAATCAACGGGATGAAGTCGCCCAACTTGGTGGCCAATACGGCGAACACTTCTTCCTCGTCGTCCTGGGCCACATCGTTTAAAAATGGTAGTAATTCATTGATGGTGCGTTCGGGGCCAAGCGCCATGGCAATGGTGTCCACTTTTTGCATGGCCTGGACTCGATTGCTGACATCGTCGTGTTTCAACTCATCCATCAAGAGCGCCAAAGGATACAAGTCGTCGTTAAAGTTCTCCATTGTGGAATGAGATATATGCTATATTTGGTCTTTGTCAATTCGTGCTTTTGTTTTAAGGATTGTTGGTGAACGTCGAGTTTGTCAGTGAGCATGATTTTTGGCGGGACACGATTTTGCTTTGAGTGGTGTGGGCGATGGAAATGGATAGGAAGAGGCAGTACGACCGGGTGAGAAGTAGACCATGAGTGGTTGGATAGTAGCGATAACAAAGAGGCGGTGGGCTTTGTTTGGGGGAAAGAGGGCTAATGTAGGCCTAATACAGCGGAGAAAACGGTTGTTTGGTGCTGGAGGCCGATGTATTTAACCGCCCGAGCCTGCCCCTCCACCAGACCATCTGTAACCCCATATATGTATTTTAAGCACATGTATTTGTGTCTATTTACAGGTGTCGGAGTTAGCATTCGTGGACGCTGCACGAACGCGGTGTCTTACAAACGTTTTCAAACCTCAGGAAAAATTGCACCGTTACTAATCATTGTACAATATGAGTATCCCAGACGAGTTTGACGCAGTTGCCTGTTCGTTGGAGGCCGACACCAAGCAAAAATACACAGCGTTGCTTACAGACTTTGAAAAGTCGCTAGAAAGCTACTGGAAGTTTGAGACGGTTGATGGCATGTTTAAGCAGTCCGATGATTCCACCGACGAATACAAGTTTGATTATTTAAAAGAGGATTTCGGACGTCTTTTGAGCTGGGAAGAGACGTTTGCCAAGCTTGACGAGCTTAATTCCAATGCTCCTGCCAACGAATGCTACAAGGTGTTTTTTTTGGCCAGACATGGGCAAGGATACCATAACTTGGCCAACAGTACGTATGGAAACAAGGAATGGTACCGCAAGTGGTCGGAGCTCAACGGGGATGGGAAGATCGTGTGGGGTCCAGACCCCGAGTTGACGGAGCTAGGCGTGAGCCAGGCCCGGGACAATGCCCACGTGTGGGCCGAGCAGGTCAAAAAGGGTGTGAAGTTACCCACGGTGTGGTTCAGCTCTCCCTTTAGAAGAAGTGCTGATACTCTCATTAACACATGGGAGTCGTTTGTGGACATTTCAACCATAAAGCCACTCATAATGGAGGATTTCCGGGAAACTATAGGTGTGCACACTTGTGACAAAAGATCGCCTCGATCGGTGATTGCAGCCAAATACGAACATTTGGGATTTGTAATTGAAGACGGATTCGAAGAAGAAGACGTTTACTGGAAACCAGATTATCGGGAGACGATCGAGGAGCATGGGATTCGGACCAACCGGGCATTCCAACATATTTTCAATAATTGTGAGGATGAGGTGGTGAGCATAACCTCTCATTCGGGAGCCATTAGGGCCCAGTTGTTGGTGTTGAACCATAGGCCATTTCTGATTGGAACTGGGGGGATGATTCCGGTGGTGGTTAAGGGAACCAAGTACGAGAAGGGAGAATAGACAGAATACTAGGCAAGACTAGACATAGAAAACCTATAGATATATTTGAATAGAGATTAGAATACATAAGAGACAAACTAGATTCATCACCACTGATGCTTTTGACTGTAGGCAGCGGGCCCGAAACCCAACAGCAGGGAACACTCAATCGCAGTAATATAGCCACCTTTTGTCAGAATTGGGCAACGGCGCCAAAAAAAATCTCGCGTACACACTCCTGCATTGTTATGGCAGATTTGCAAAATGCTTATAGTAAACCCTCACACGAGGACTTATCGTTTAAAGACTGGAAGAAAGTGCCCCGGCACAGAGGAAAAAAAACTCTCCTCCCAGCATCCCATCTTACATTTGGGTTTCAACATCTCAGATCCACAACCCTTTTATTTTTACCGGTTAAAGGTATTAATCCTTCTCGTTTCAGGTTCAATCTTATCATCTAAAGCGCCTTTTCGATAAGCCGCCAGGAAATTTTCTCTGCTCAATTTCTCCTGTTCCCTTGCAAATTAGGATTTTTACCCCTGCTTCAAAGCCATCGTCGTGATGAAGTTTGGTAAGAGCCTTATCGAGTTGACGATTCCCGAATGGAAGTCATATAACCTCGATTACAACGACTTGAAGAGTCAGATCCGTTTGGTGTCTGAATCCCAGGTGAGTCTCGCGTCCCTCAACCGCAAGTTTCTCCTGAACTTTGAGGTTATCAACATGTTTGTAAAGACCAAACACGCAGACATCTCCCGCAAGCTCGAGCACTACGACAACAGTTTCGATGCCCTTTTGGAAAATGATGATGGCGCCAATGTTAAGTTAATAAAGATGGATATGTTGGTTCTGAGTCTCATCGACTTGTCAATCACCCTCAAGAAACTCTCCAAGTTCATTTTAATCCAGAAAATAGCCGTGAAGAAGATCTTCAAGAAGCTTCTGAAGAAGCACCCGGACCCGTACGTGAGCTCCAAGATCATCTTCAACTTGAAGTTGGTACTCAACCGCGATCGTCAATCGTTTGTGAACATCAGCTTGGTGGACCTCACGCTCAGACTCACCAATATGATCAACTTGATCAAATTCGAGATGAATAAGCTCCGCCACAAAGACCAGGAACTCGAGCAGGACCCGATGTTCTCGGAGGGCGACGGGAAGTTGACCAACTTGAAATTTGACTTCAACGTACTTTTGAAGAAGAACTTTCTGTTGACCTTCATTCTCCCCGACGATTCCAGCAACTTCAATGAGGTTTTGTTGAACATGAACATCTACTTGAGTTTCCAGCGGCTTTCGGAAAAGGAGTCGACCAACTCGATTATTTTTTTACAAAACGACGAGAACTTGTCCAGTCAACCGTCATATGTGCTCTCGGAGTTGGGAGAGACCTACTCGTTGATAATCAGTCATATTGGCGGGTTGCGCAAATTCAGCTATTGCTACCTTCCCAACAACATCATTGATCTGATGTTCAAGTATCTCCACAACTCTAATAACGAGGAATGTGAAGAGGAACTTAAAGAGTACTTCCGCACCCACACCGTCAACTCGTTGACCAAGTTGACAATCGATTCGTTACTCAACAAGAACTTGAAACCCAAGGTGAAGGTATACACAAAGACCTTGCGGTACTACATCGACAAATATTCGCTGGTGCAGCCTGATAATCTGGGATTATTGAGTGAGCCGCTTCAGGACGACTACTTGTTGAACTTACGGTATGACATCTGTACCACCAATGCCGTGGGGCAGATCAACACCACGGACTTCAACGTAGACGATCCAGACCTCGACAAATTCCCCTTCAACTTACTCGAGCTTAACTCCAACGACTCCAACTTGTTGCGGTTTGAAAAGACCCTATTGACAGAAATAAAGGATGACAACCAGTTGGTGAACAAGTTCTCCATAGGCCATTTGGGTAAACTTCCTGACCCCATCCAGAAGTTGATCAAGAACAACAATTCCATCAACCTTTTCCGCAACTTCAACCTCTACCAGTATACGCTTTCGTCGTACTACAACGTGGTGCCTCAGGATATCAACAACCACTTCTCCAAGTTGCTCAACATGAATTTGTTCAAAAGCTTTGAGAACATTGAGAACTTCAACAACGACTTGAGCTTTGACTCATACATTTTAAAGGATAACACCGACAAAATGTTGAAGAACCAATTGTCGTTGAACGACCTCGAGCACCAAGCTAAGTTGCTGAAGCAGAAACAGTCAAAGGCATCAAAGGCTTCGTCCCAGTATAGCCTGCGCCCCAACCTCAAGAAGAACAGTTCCCTCCAGTCGATGTCTTCTTCCTTCAACTTGTCTGTGTTCACCAATGATAAAAGCAGGCCCAACGAGTTCGATGACTTGATAGAGGATGAAGACAATGATAGCCTCCGGATTTTCTGGAACGAAGAACCAGAAGCACGGTTCAAAAGATCCAATTCCAATTCCAACCTCAGTAATTTTGTGTTGAACCTAATTCACTTGAAGTCTCGAATGAACCGGGTCGGTGAAACCACCTCACTTCGAGGCTCTAATGACTACATAAACGACTACCAGTCGGTATCGGTCAACTCCAACTCAAACCAGAGCGTCGACTATTATACCACTTTGAACCATTATTACTATGAGCACGACAAGATCTTGTCATTTTTCTACTTGACATTGAGCTTTTCGTCCATTTTCATTGCCAGTGTCGAGTTCGGGTTGACCTTCAGCATCTTGAAACTCCAACAAACCAATCAGTTCCAGGTGAACGATAACATGTGGTTTTTCGGCATCCTTTCCATTGGCATCATCATCTCGTTCATCTGCTCCATGCTTGCATTCAACCTTATTTTCAAACGATTCTCTGCCCCGTCCTGTTTACACTACGGGGTCATTGTGATCAGTTTTGCATTGATCCTTTTGTGTATTATACTATGTGCATTGCTCTTCTTTTTATAACTGGTTATAGACATTAAATTTACATTAGATTCTAAAGCTCACTCTTTCACCAGGAGATTTGTGGTTAGTAGAGTTATGCTTGAAGCCTGCTTCACTTCCACACCCGAACGAGTCAAATACTTGTTCTTCACCGTCATCCACCGTGTAATCGGTTTCGGGTACACTGCACTCAAACTCAAATCCACCAAAATCTTGCATCTGTAGAGGTCTTGTTTTATCTTCTGGAGTCAACATGAAAAACTCAACCTGGTCCTTTTTGGCTACCTTGGCATCAGGAGAAATGACTATAGTGTCAGCTTTGGGGCCCCATCCTCCTCCACCAGCTATGACTTGAAATCGGTTTTCCATCGGTTCACCGTTAGTCGTTTGGGTTAATTTCACATACACTTCTGTTTCTTTGGATTTCAAACTCATCAACTTCAGATTGGTTTCCAAAAACTTGGCAGCAGACTTGTTATTGATGCTCTTGATCAAGTTACCGATACAGTTTGTCACGTACATGGGCTCATCAAATAGTGGTGTCCATCTGTCCTGGATGTCGATAAGCGATGGCCGTATCACCTCATCGGGAAGATTTATTGATATCAGCTTGAGAAGCTTATCATGAAAAGGAGACCCACGGGGGTCTAAGTGGAACAAGGTTATCAAATTGCCGGTGCTGAACAACGAGTTGGCCAAGGGAAGGTGTATGGAGTTTTTGGAGAAGTTCAATTGCAAGTTGGAATCGGTTTTCTTCCAGTTTTTTGTCATGGCTTCCTGGTAAAGCACTCCTGATATGTCCAAATGGGAATCCAACCAGAGGGCACTTACACCATTTCTTGAGCCTTTAATGGTGTCAATTCCAGCAACTATCACTTGAACTTTCGAATCATAGAGCTCGATGGCCTGCTGAGTAACAGCCGGTAAATTGGACGGGGTGGATAGAAGAATCACCGACTTGGGGGCAAACTGTGGATGGGGTATGAGACTCGTGGTGGGGTGTACCACTGTTTTCCAGAAGGAATCACAAAGCCGGGACGATGATCTGAAGTGTCTTATATGTGTATACATTAACAGTCGACTGAAAAATTCAATGCTCAGAAACGAGCACTAAATACCTACTTATCTATTCCACCTCTGTTATGGGCCTTTTACGCTGCGATTCCTCGGTATCTGGATCGAGGGCAATGGATTCTGCTGCGACAGCTGCGTCCATCAACTCACTGACGTTGACCTTGTCGCCTTCTTCAAGAACTCTCTTTAACACCGGTGCCCACACTGACTCCGGTTGGTGGAAATCTTCGAATTTGAAGGTATTCTTGCCGAGTTTCCACTCACTTTGTTCGACCCTGATCAACTCCACCATGTAAGCAGAGCTTTCCATGGCCCTACCAATGTCGCTGATGAGACTTCTTATATAGGTGCCAGAACTGACATCGCACGTCAAGTGTACCATGGGAAGTCGGTCTTGGGGTTCCTTGGTGAGACGTGGTGGACCCACTGTCTTGGGGAGGCCTTCATCTTCACACTTCTGGAGATACTGAGATGAAAAGTACAAGGGAGAATCGTTCAAAGTTGGGTTGTTGAACAAGGCATTTTCTTTGGGTTCACCATTATCATCCAACTGGCTTTTGATGGGTTCAAATCCATGTTCACGCAGGAGAAGGTGGTCTGGGTGGATGAAGATGTTGGGGACTTTGACGTCTCTGGTTTTTATGGGGAACGGAAGTGGTTTCCCTTCTCTGGCGTAGTCATAGAGTGGTTTTCCATTCATTTTCAAAGCAGAAAAAATAGGGGGAGTCTGCTTAATATCTCCAATGAATCTTTGCACCGACTGTTTAACGGTATCAGCAGTGATGTGGTCAACCTGATTTCGGGTCAAGATCTCGCCCTCTGAGTCGCCAGTGGTGGTGGAAATCCCCAAGAGGGCTTTGGTCTCATATACCTTGTTACATTCACCCAAGTAGTGCTGCAAGCGCTTGGTACCGCTACCAAGGCCAACCACAAGCACCCCACTGGCGAGCGGGTCCAAGGTTCCACCGTGACCGATTTTGATTTTGATTTTGCTGACTTTCTTGTTGATTCTCTCTTTGGACCAGCTCTTATCGGTGCTGAGGTTTTTGATGGCGTTATCCTTCATTTCATTCAAATCGTCCTGAAAAATCGCCGAATTGGTGAAGATGTGCTGGAGATCCAGAATACACCTGGAACTCAGAATTCCCGATGGCTTGTCTATCGCAAATATTCCATGCATTCTGATGGGCTTTATCTTCATCAACTTTTCAGATGAGATGCGCACCGAAATTCTACCCAAGTGGATTGGCAACTCTGATGTCAAGTGACAGATATCCATTAAGACGCGGTTGGATCACATGGAACGTGTCGTGGGTTTCGTTTACGTGGTCGATATAGGCATGTAGTTTCTGGAGGTGCCGTTTGGTGTGGAGCCGTCCATTGAATACTTTGGAGTAGAGGGTGGCCGTGAGAATGTCAACCACCGATTCAATGGCATTGGCGTACCCGTACGGGTCGAAGGCGGCGTAGAGGTGTGTGTTGATGGTGGAGACTATGTCAACGAGCTCGGCCGGTGCCACAAGGTTCGAGAGCACTGTGAGGGAAGTTGCGCCAAATGCTGATCCGTTTGCGGAGCCTGCGACTTCAAAGTGTGTTTCTTCGTGTTTGATGATGGCAGCGGGCTCCTTGCCGAGTTCCAAAGTGGAAAACTGGGGCACAAGATCCGGGTTGTCGACAGTGTCGAAGGTCCTGGGGATTCGAACGATTCGTGTGTGTTTGTACATGGTGGAGCCAAGGGCCGCGTAGATATTTGGGAAATTGGTCACGACGATGGCCTGGTGTTTGGGGTTGACGGATTGCAGGACGGGCACATAGTCGTTGACGAGATACTCGTGGTAGTTGAAGAACTGGAGCGGCTGGGGCTCTGACTGGAGGTGTGGTTGAATTTCTGGTGGCTGGTGTGGGACCGACATGGATGTTTTGGAGCGCAGTCGTGCGCGCACGGGGGTATAAAAGAGTGCATTGGCGGTGAGAAGAGATTTTTCACACTCGTGGATGAAGTAGAAGATGCTTTATACACCAGTTTTTGGTACCGGATACTTGTCTAAAGAGCTTACTATGATGATAATGAGTCCTAGAGACTCTATTTCTATAACCCAGCTCAGTTGATTATCTGTTTCATGAGAAGAAAAGCTATCTGACTAAGTTCTTTGGGTAAGTAGCCGGTTCCAGAAAGTGGATAAACAAGCCCTCGTGCCAGTACACGAGCGCCCTGCGAACCCTATGGATTTATACTCCCTTTATGTTTTTGTACCCATTAATTTGTGCTCCCTGGGTGTTTTGTACCCGTGAATGTTCTATTTGTACCATCATTCGCTACATCAACCTCTACCTTCCTCTCCATCTCTAAATTCGCACTAAAAATTTTTCAGTAACTCATGTTGCCAGGATCACGAGTAGGAGCTAATATCCTCAGAGCCTCGTCCCTTATGGCCTCACGCCACCCGTGGATGGCAGTGGCCACCCGGCTTCAGAGCACAGTGAACGCCGGTGCCGCTGGGAACCCGGCCCCTACACCCATTTCTCCAGACCCATCGGCAAACCTGCCACAAACTGGCAGAAAGAGACCTCCAACCCACCGTAAGCTCTTTGAGATCCGAAACCAGGTCCAGAGAACCCTTGACGGAAACAGCAGCCAGCAGGAGTCCGTGGAGATATTCGAGGAGGCCATCTCGTACTTGAGAGAGGTTCAGGTGGCAGATGTGATTCCATCATTTGACATCTATATCAGTTTCCAGAAATTGGGAGTCACATTGCTCCGGAACTTGATTGAAGGCAAGGCCTCGAGTGAAGAGGTTGACAACGTGTTACAGGTCTTGATCGAGCACCGGGTGGTGCATGCGATTCACTTTTGCCAGGTGATGAAGTACAATTTGGAGCTTGCGGACTACACCCGCAACTTGAGATGCTGGGTGCTGTACCTTGAAACCAAGAACTCGTTCGGCAGTGACCTGGCGCTCATCGACAAGCCGTTCCAGAACGTGCGGTACGATTTCCCCAGCTTCAGCTACTCGTTGGTTCGGGATTTAACGTACTATTCCTATTTCTTGGGGTCGAAAACAGATTACAAATTCAGCTTTGAAGATGTTAAAAATGTGTTACAGGCTGATAACTTGGCGCCCGCATGGAGGGTCCATGATAACCTTGAGAAGTTCCTTGGCCCCAGTAGCCAATTGGATGACTTCAAGACCCTGGTGGGCCGGTTGTACTACCAGTCGGTATCGAGTGATCCTAACAGCAGCGAGTCGTTGAAGAGAATGGATGCCTACGCTGCCAAGCGTGATGGAAGAGGCTTGGTACAGTTTTATGACCTGTTGAAGGGGCAGAACTTGGACTACAAGACGGTGCACAAGTTGATGATTAGTTTCTATGAGGTGGGCCGGTTTGATATGGTGTACGAAATGTTCAATGGGCTCATCAAGAAAGACTTGAAGTTGACCAAGCCCGTGTGGGATGTGATGATCAAGTCGATGGGCCATGCCGACAACACACGGGGGTTGACCCAGGAGCTGAAGGATGAGTTGGCTGTGAATGTTGAGAAGCTCATCAACACCATGGTGGAACAAGGGTTTGACGTCGATGCAAGGGTGTTGGCAAGCATTGTTGCATCGTTTTCCAACTTGAACCGGTTTGACAAGGTGGACGAGTACTTGGAGACCTATAGCTCGGTTCCGGTGATCCACGTCACCAAGAGCAGCTACTTGATGGGGCTTATTTTGAACGATCGAGTAGAAGAAGCCGAGAAAAAGTTGAAGCAGTTCATGGGAGAAGACTCTACATACGCACCTTCAGCCAGCTCCATGAATGCCTTGTTGGATCATTATTCGAAACAGAACAACTTGGATGCCGTAAATGGAATCATCAAGTTCATGGGAGATCATGACATTGCCGAAAATGTTGTTTCGTTGACGATTGTGGCCGACTTGTACTTTAGGGTTACTCGTAAACGGGGGCTTGTACCCAACGTGGAAGAGATGTTTTCGCTTTTTAAGAAGACCAACACCAACATAAACATGCATACATATGCGGTTATTATGGACGGGTTGATCAAGAATTACAACCTCCAAGCAGCGAGGGACATTTTCGAGTGGCTCAAGAAGGGAAACCATCTCAAGAAGCAGAATTCTGTCAACATCATGACTATTATGATCAAGGGAGAGTTGGACTTTGGTGATGTGGACAGAGCCGAATCGTTGTTCGACGAGTACTTGAAGGGATTCGCTAACGATACCCAAGCGTGGAACATGATGATTGTGTCAATCTTGGACAAGAACGAGAAAGCTGGCTGGAACTACTACCTCAGACTCCAGAAACAGAAGGTGAACAATGTTAGGCCCAACTTCTATACATTCTACTTTTTATTCAGACACTTTGTGAGGAAGAATAACCGGGCAATCATCGAGCAGTTGATTGCAGACCTCGATAGGGCTGAGTTGACAAGCTTGGGAAAAGATCTTCCACGGATATTGCGGGAGCTTTCTACGGACTATGTGATCCCCACGGGCTTGAAACAGAGGCTCTGATATCTTGTAAATAATAGCAGAGGACAGAGAGAGTCCAAAGTATAAAAGTAGAGTATACAAAAATAGAGTATACAAAAGTACAATACACAAAAGTAAAATACACAAAAGTAAAATAGGTTAAAGTAGAGTATAAACCCAATTTAGAATCCGCTTCACACTTTACTACTCAGTCTCTAGTCTCCATAAATAACATATATACACATTTCTAACTACTTGCTAAAGTCTCCCATGGCCTGCTTCCACAAAGGCAGAGCCAACCTCACAAATCGATCGTACGCATCCACAGGCGAGTCCAACGCTGGACGTGTATCCAACACAAACGAGGGCATCCCCGTTTCCTCATCGTCAGGAGCCGAATAATAGTCAATCACGTATCTGACCTTCCGCCAGTCATTTGGAGGAGACTCTCCCGTGGCCCGTAGCACTGTCCAGTCATGCCGGTCGAACGGTGGGTTCGAGTTGAACGTGTTGGGAAAAAACTTACTCAACCACAAGTATGTGGAAGCTCTGGGTGACAAATCATGAGGTCTACCTGTAAACTTGAGAAGTCGAGGTTCAATTTTAGTCTGCTTGGTGTGGATATCCTCCCACTCCAAGATTTGCTGCCATGCACCTTCGTTCAAGAAGTTGTGGATTTCCACCATCGACTCCACTGCCGTTTCGTCGATTCCCTGTCCTTTACCTTTTCTTAACATTGCGTTAAGCATTTGCTGAGGAGAAGGATACTCCCATAAACCTTCGGAAGCAGTTTCTCCCCTGGGAATAGAGGAAATTGTTCTCTCTGTAGAGAGATGTATTTTCTGACCAGGGGCCATGTCTGTGGAGATGTCTATTGGCATATTGTTCATAGGATTCAAAATGGAGGACGATAATTCGTCAGCAGAGGAAGTTGAATCTTTGGGCCTCACAGGGCATGTTTGACCGGCGGAAAAGGCGGAGTGGTCAATAGGACATTTCGCGAGGCCTGAGGAGGTATTACCAGCAGGAGAAGTGGCGGGAGATGGGTATTTATCAGCCCAAAACAAACCCATGATGTGTAATTGCGATGAGATTTTTGTGTCGTGCGGACGATTGAATGTCGGAGAGGTGATGTCGCAAGTGCTTGGAAATTCGTAAGACGGTGGAATATGCGTGTCCAAGACGAAACATTTAAAGCACATGGATGTCTCGTGATCACCTATCTGCTCTGTCCTAGTACCGCGCAAGAATAATGCCGTACCGAACATGCAGGCGCTAAATTGCGTCCAAAAAGCCCGACAACGCCAATAACTGTGTACCATCCGGCATCATCACGTCATTCCGTATGTAGCAGCATCTGGGCAACTAATTGATCACTAGAGGGGGTGCCTGCCTCACTGGTAGATATTCATGAGTCCTTTCGCAGGAGGCGGAATTCAAGTGTTTTCCAACCAAAACCGGTTCGGCTTTGAGAGGTGCTATTTTACTTTTTCTTACACCGCCGACGCAGTCCACCCACAAAAGGGGCTGCGCTACTACCAGGGAGGTAACCACCCTCCACCAAGTGATCCTGGACCGGGACTTGCAAATAACTCTAGGGTCAACACACTAAGCCATTATCTCTGACCCTTGTTGATTTCCTTAAAGGCCCACCCCTGGAACTGGGGTGATTGAAGTAGCCCGGCTAAATACAATAGGTGAAATGAAGAGAACATGTGAGTAAAACCAGGATGCAATATCAGGTTACAAATCGGGAAATAATAGGGGCCATGCAAATTACGTATTTTTGGATAATATTTTACTACTTGAGGAAAAATATCAAGTTCCTACCCAAACCTCCCATACTTGAAGCCCTTCGGCCACAAACGCAATATTGGGGCAGATGAATGTCGATATCAAATCTTAAGTTGACAATGAAATGAAAGCGTCTTATCCCTCCAGGCAGCAACCTTCATGAATTTCGTCCACTTCGCACGCACCAACCGCTGTGCAGATGTGCCGATGAGTGGAGCCACCACTGCGGAAGGGCGAGCATTTACACCCAGAGTAAATATGATGTAGATACAGGTTTAAAGGTAGAGGCGTAAGATCACTCCTTCTTCGATGGGGACCTCAGGCGAGCCCGTAACGAAGGCTGGCGAAAAAATATTGGAAGGAGTCCGCCTAAACATGTAATTTGAACATGCTCATAACGACTCTTTATCTCTCCTAAACCATGCATAAAAAATCCGATTTCCCCCTTCACCCTCTATTATCGGGCCCGCCTACGAACAAGGAATTACCTGCCTAGCAGCAAACATTGTATTTACGCACACCACCGCGTTGTGGTGGCATGTATCTATGTAATTGTTAATCCTGGTGGAGTGAATTGTAGTGTTCACCCAATCCATAGTTATGCTTGTAGAATGCCAAATAGAGGCGAGGTTGGTCTGAAAACTGTTCCCCAAACACCAAATTATCACCTTCAGCCACAAACACCTCAATGGTACATTCATATATTTCGGAAAACGCCATGATCTCTATATCTGATCCCCACATCGTGGTACTTTCGAGTTGTGTACAATAGTCGCTTAACGACATAATTTCGTCCTTATTGAACAAAAAAGGTTCAAACAGGACTGGATGTAGCCGGATGTAGGACGCAGCCTCTTGCCTTAGCTCTTCGATTGTTTTGTGTAGCTTGAGACATACAGTTAATTGGTGTTGAATGGACCTGAACAAACAGTTACCATCGGGGAGCACCTCATTGACGCTAAGGTTTCTTTGCAGTAACTTGAAATTCATTTTTTCCATTTCGGCATGTCTAAAATCTGTAGAGTGTTGCGACTCCTGGAGAGCCTGGTTTCTTATCTCCTCGATTTGGGCATCCCGCTTTGCCAACCTCTCCTTTTGCCTATTCCTGCGTTTAGGTTTGGTAGCCTCTGATACCACAGGTGTATATTCCAGTTCCAGTTCTATTGTAACCAAACTCAATTGATGTGCTAGGGTATCCGACGACATCGGACTTTCATCTGTATGGTCCGGATGAAGGGCGTTCCATTGGTGGAGTTGTTGCTGGTGAGATGAGTTTAGTTGGCTGTTGAGAGAGTTGATCTGCAGCTGGAGTTCTTTTTTATTTTTCTTGGTCATCTGCTTTTTGATCCCCGTGATCTGTGCAGTGAGCTGTTTCTTCTGTGTCTTGTGCTGCCGAACAAGCTCATCGTAGGAGATTTCGGCCAAGTCATAGTCTATTGTTGTCATTTCAAGGGTAGTAGATAATGAAGACGAAGGCCATCCCAAAAAATAATAAAAAAACGCCGACGCGCACAAGATAGCGTCGTGGCGGTACTAATGAGTTTACCAGTAATTAGTAGCCGGTGCGACTTTTTCCCCCGATTACAGAGGGGGGTGCGACAGCGACAGGAGTGAAGGAGGCTTTCCCGAAAGGACAACGAGTAATGTATTTGCTCATTTCGTCCACTGAGGCACCAATTTTTTCGACGCTTGCCGCTCTGATAGGGGAGGACAACACTGCAACCGCTGGCTTAACCAATTAAAGAAATATGTAATTAATCATACCAGATATTAGTTTTCAATTCAGTCATCACTCAGTGATTTTAACTGATTATGGATGAGCAAGCATAAGTTTGTCATAGTTGAATGGCCAAAACTTTTATAACAATCCTACCTTTTAAGAGAATATCTCCAGTTGGAGTAAATCCTGGTTCCCATTATATTAAGTTCATTCGGATTTTGTGTCATCAAAACCCGGAAATTGTCCAAAACTGTGTAAAATACACTAGCTGTCCCGTGGCTTGCATGGAACAATACTTCACCGGTCTCTCGTAACCAATATTTTTTTTTCCTGACAATCAAAAAACCTTTGCAATTGGGAAGATACCAACTGCATGGCAATTAATGGGGTTTTTTTCTCCCATTTCTATATATAAACCGATCCAATCCCCTTCCCAGATTTTTTGTTCGACTGGGTGACTTTGTCTTGTCTATTAAATTTTGGAAGCTTTCCACTGACGACGTATATTGTCATAATATATCATTGTATATCTCCATTCACTTAACCACATAATCCATTTTGTATTTGTCTTTTTTGAAAGTTCTTGATGTTAAACTAACTCCCACACTATATTTCACTACATTACACTCAAATAACAGTCCCGTTGGTTTACGAAGTATATTCATTACTCCTTTAAGATCCCCCAAACGATCTATCATTGACACTTTTTTGCATCCCCTCCATATCCAGACGCTCAAGACGAGAACTTGTTCCGTATCACCCTAAAAAAGTTTTTTCTGAATCCATTTGAACCCACTTATTCACTCATACTTCATTTCTTTCATTAAATTATCCGACTGATTGATTCATTCATTCGTTAATACCTTTCATACCATCATTTTACATTCATTAGCATTTACCACATCATGAACAACTCACCCGATTTTTTTCACCAGATTCGGTTGAGCAACAGCTCTTTCAAAGCTGCCAACTTCAACTTACAGTTGTTGGAGTTCAAAAGCCACAGCAACGTCATCAAGGAATATCGTATCGACATGTTCAATCACTTGCTTCTGTTGGAGTCGCTGACGTTACCTAACTTATCATTGATCCAACAGCAACCCGAAATAAACCTCAAGATGAGGCCCTTATTATTGGACTTTTTATTGGACGTCATCAACAAGTTGGGATTGTCCAAGTCGACGTTTCCTTGTACGGTCAACTTGATTGACCGGTACTGCTCCACTCGGATTGTCAAGAAACAACATTATCAATTGTTGGGTTTGACGTGTCTTTGGATCAGTTGCAAAAACTTGGACAGCAAGTACAAGATCCCCAACTTATCAGATTTAAGCAAAATGTGCTGCAATTGCTACGACAAAAAGTTGTTTTTGGAAATGGAAAACCATTTGTTAAAGTCGTTGGGATGGGTGGTGCTGGTGCCCACCTTTGACTCCTTTATCGATCTTTACTTAAACTTGGTGACCACCTTCAACAACGTTTCCAACCAAGTGTTGAACGACTTGAAGGTGTTATCGCTCTACATCTGTGAGTTAATCCAGTTTTATCCCAACATCTATTTTAACTACAACACGTCGCTCATGAGCTTGACGAGTTTGGTGATTTCCATCAAGATCTTGAACTTGAACTTCAACTTGAACGAGTTTTTGAAGCTCTTGAACTCGCTCATCGACGTGGACGACCTCAATGATTCCGATAGCGACACCAAGACTACCGATCCCGTCGAACACTTCACGTACTCCAAGTTCTCCAACTTGCTGAAATTGTTGGTGAAGATCTTAAAGTGTCCCCCACCGTCGTTGAAATTGAAATATTTCAATGAGAACTCCAAATTCATAAAGTTGATGGAGAAGTTGATCAACTTCACCAATGTCAGCTTGGAGCCAATGACGCCCAAGTCGACGTCCAAGTTGCCACCTACCCCCAACTCGTCGAACATATCTCCCATTAACGAAGTGTTGGACAACATTAACTTGAAGAACTTCAAGCTGTCCAACCAAATCAACTGCTTGCCCCTGCCAAATAGTCCTCAGTTTGTGAACAACATTCATCCACCGATGGTGCATCCCAACGACCGAAAGCGGGCACTTGGTACCGAAGGAGGCGACTTGAAGAGAAGCAAGAGTGTACCTTTACTTTTTATTGAATAGCATATATGCAATTTACGTCTAGAGAAGAAAAGAGTAGGAGCGATGCGCGGAGAGTGGTCTCCGCGCGCTGAAAACCATCCGAGTGAAAATCACACCGGAAAACGAAATCACACCAGAAAACGAAATCACACCCACACAAGAATGGTAGCTGTTAAACCACCTCAAATACCAGGATGGTAGACGTTACAGTACTGTTGAAATTGGGTATAGTTGAACCTTGGTGGTGCCCAGCCCATTGCATTGAAGCTTCAGTGTTGCACTGAAAGCTTAATTGCCAACACACTTTATCACCAGTTTCACATCCGTAAACCCAATTCCGTAGGACATGTGTTGGCTAACTCAAACCCTAACTGACTCTGCCCAGCCAGTTGGCCCCTCTCTTACCTGCAACTGATTAGTTGCATTTCTTCGATTAATGGAGTTCCATCAGCCGCGTAGGCCTCTGGCCCCTTCCTGGTTACTTTTACGTTTCATATTCAAAGTCTAGATTACCCCCCGGGCCAATTAGACTTTTGAGTGGGATGGGTTGTTCACTGGTCTCGGCAAAGGTACATACACAGATGCCACATCTCGGAACCGCTGTTCCAGTCCAGATAATTGGGGTTTGATCTCGACTTCTAGAGGGTGAAAAAATTCGCTGATTTTCATACCTCATCTCTGAAAATAATTGGAGAAAATATCGCCATGCCACCGATCAAGAGGCAGAAAACCGCAGTTGACACAATTAAAGCGGACTCGCTTTCTCCACACCAGGTGTTCGACCAATATGTGGCGGCCCGGCGGCCGGTGTTGTTCAAAGATTTCCAGGGGTCCAACAAGGCGATATTTGACTATGAGATTTTGGGGGGAGATTTGGTGGAGAAATTGGACTATCGTCACCAATTGTTGGTGGAGCGAAAATACCACGATGGGTTTGGCAACGGGAACCAGCGGGTGAAGATGACGTTGGAAGAGTTGGTTGAGCGGTTTCGGCGAGGGGACGACGACTATTATTTGACTACTCAGTATGAGGAGGACGAGCCCGATGGAGATGAGGAAAATAAGGCGGCTGATGCCGAAGACGACGAAGAAGAGGAGGAAGAAGAGGAGGAAGAGGAAGAGGAAGACGACAACGACCAGTACGACTTGGACCAACAGCTTGACGCTCATGCCCAAGCACACCTCCATCACCTCCAACCTTCAACACCTCAAACACCTCCACTGCCTACTGACTCCGACTCAGAATTCGACTTTGACAACCTTCACGACGACTACCAGGGGTCAGAGTCTGAAGACGAAGCCGAAGCCGAAGCCGAAGCCGGGGACGAGCTTGAGGACCCGTCGGATGCCTCTCGCCTAAAAGACCTCTTCCAACCACCTCTTACAAACCTCTGCAAACAACTTCCACCCTTCCTACTGCTTTTTTCCTCTTTGGTCCCCCAACAAATCAATCTTTGGATGGGCTGCATCAGCCACAAATGCAGCCCACTTACACAGGTGCTTGACCCGGGTAATCTTACACTCGAATCTCTCGGTAAGCTAATCCCCGGTGCAGGCACCCTGTCAGGATTACACCACGACCACTCCGATAACCTCTATGTTCTCGTATCTGGCCGCAAGAGGTTCACTCTCTTCTCGCCGTTCGATGCTCCCCATTTGCATACGGTTGGCAATATATCCAACATCTATGAGAACGGAGTTATTAACTACCATAGAGACGTATATGCCCCCACCTGGACCCACATCTACGATGACGGAAGGATCGACGATGCATACGAGTCAGAAGATTCCCGAAGTCAAAAAGAACTTAAAATTAAGAATGAGGCGCTTGGTGTCGATCCTCCCAACTTCAGCACCATCCCCCCTATACTACTCCACTTGGATGAAGTGCATGATGAGTCAGTTTTAGCCGCTCTTCTGAAACTCATAGATAAGCATTACGAACAACTCCCCCGATTACGCAGATACGAGGTATGGCTTGATCCAGGAGATATGTTATACTTGCCTGCTGGATGGTTTCACGAGGTAAGTTCATTTAGCGCAGGTGTCGATAACCCCCAATCAGAACCCTCCCTGGCAGATGCAAATATCCATCTTGCTTTGAACTATTGGTTTGCGCCACCCAACACCAAAGATTTTGAAAAAGCTTATAAATCCGATTACTGGCAGTCCGAGTTGAAAAAGACAATGGACTGCATTGAGGCCTCCTAATTGGACCGCCCCTTTATCTACGAGACCTGAGACATATACCCTGCAGACTGCGTGTCGCAAATAGGGGTAACGGAATGTCGCACTTCCCTCCGTCCGTTGGCTGGGTCTTAGGCGGTGGCTGCGAAAGAAGTTTTGCAGCCGTCGTGCGGGGCTCACCACTTGTCGTGTCGTGTCCGTGTCCCAGTTACATGGTTTTCTGACCCCGTTTGTATAAAGTCTTTATATACTGGCGTCACCGTTTTGCTTCTAGTTTTCTTGGTGAATCTAGGCTAGCCCCGCACCCTCGTTAACATAATTATTGTCAAGTGTGGGGTGGGATTGTCGATCACCGTCCGCATCAGCATTTGCATTTGACAGTACGGGCTTAGGGTTCGAAGCCTGGCGCCCCACGACCTCCCACGCAGTCACAATAAATCCGGGTTGCTCGATCCGCTGCCAGATCGCACTCACCTAGGAGTGCCGGCGTGCATCCACCGACGCACCCGCTTGCCATTTTCGCCTGCTGCAGAGATAGGGGCTGCCACAAACAAACGTAAACAATGTCCTAACCCACTTGGAAATTTTATTTACAATCCACAAACTCAAAAATCAGGTGTCCGGTAGAGACCGTACTGTCGTCGCACAATGCTGCAGCTGTCCCCCCATCCGCCGTGGTGTTATTCTTATCGCTGCGATAGATCAGTGCGGCAGCCCAACCTTCTATCGCATTAATTTAGTTTATTCCGTATCTTATCGTAAGCCATCGCCAGGATCTGGTCATGTGGAACACAAGTAGACAAGCACAGTTAGGCGTAGCTATTGGTTGCCCAGGGAATAGTGGCACCATCTACTACCATTCCTCCACAAAGCCTACCACCACTTTAGCCCACCTTCTCCAGAGCAAGCATGTTAGGGCTAAGTCCCTTTATAGATTTGCCCTGGGGGGTTTTGTGTAATTTGGGATCTGGGTGAGAAAATTTTTCATCCTGCGAAAACTGATAATTTCAAAAAGTCTCTTCTTCCTCCCCAGAGAAAAGTAACTCCAGTGCCTGTAAGAAAGATCAAGCTTTAAGTGTATGGTTCCTTCCCCAACCGGAGATGCCGTTGCTGGCCCCGGTTCTATTATTTTGTGGTGAGATTCCACAGGCCAAACTCCACTGTTTGTTTTTCAGTGAGAATTAAAGGGTTGTGGAGGTGTGCTTGCTCCATCTGGTTGCAAACACAATTCATACCTGCCTGTGGCCCCCAATACCCACATCTACACCAACCTCATACTAATACCTGTTTCTAGTTTGTTTCGTTCTTTTTTCAAGACTTGACCCCGATTTTTTTATATCTCCCCGTCAGCCGTTTATAAGATTTAATTATCATTATAAACAACAACCCCTGACTTTATTTCATCCATTGGTATTGAATCTCCTATTCTCCCGTACTTTTATGCTGATCAGATCCATCTGCTTCCCCTCCGATTTTGGCTTTGTTTGAATTTATCTGAATTGATTTACCTATCCCCTTTCCCTGAATTATGGCATTAGCTGATAGAAGACCTCTCGATTTCCCGGTTCCTTCCACCCTTGTGTCCCCGGCCTTCAACCCCAACTCGTTGACCTCCAACGACATGGCCATGGACGTTGATGATGACGGGTCGTTGGATTCGGACGATAAGGAACTTAGTCCTGAAGCCCTCAGTCCGGAGGAATTCAGTCCTACTTCCAGAAGTATTTCTCCCGATTCCTTGATGAACCTCGACTCCAAGTCGCAGTCCAATGTGTTGACAGACTCCACCACCAACACTTCGAGAGGCCTGACTCCTCCTCATCATTATGGCAAAGGCTCTGCCGTTGGTACGGGTACCAACGTCACTTCTGGCCTCAAAAAGCCCAAAACCACTCCCAGAGTCCCAATTGCTACCGGAATTTCTACCACAATCCCGGTGACTGGTGACAAGCCCAAGCCCAGCCAAAAGGATGATCCCTCTTTGGAGGATGATGTTTTGTACGCCATTTTCTTGATCCTCTACGAAAAGGATCCCGAGGGTGCTGGTATGACCGTCAAGCAGATCTGCGACATCTTGGTGGAACGGCATCCCGAAATGGCCAACTTGTCCACCAAAACCTCCAACTTGGTGAGTGCCAAATTAAATGCCTACGTCAAGAGAGTGGAAAAGGGAGACTCGAGCTTAAAATATGCCTTATCGAGGGATTGGGCTGATGCTTCTCCCAAGAGAATGGTGTATGTGTACCGAGGTCTTTTGGCTCCTGACTTCCACCTCCACGTTAAAAACATGATGGAGGTGCAAAAACAAGATGCCAAGTCCGGATTGGTCAACAATTCAAATAATTCAACATCCAGTGTGTCCAACACTCCTTTATCAAACAACAACACCTCCAGTGGATTCAACTTCGACTTGAGTGACCAGGAGTTGAGCTCCTTTGAAGCAGGTAAGCAGGCTACCTTAAAGGCTAGAAGGTCAACTATGTTTGATTTGGGAATCAGCAGAAACAGCTTCTTATCAAACTCAATTGATAAGTCCAACTTGTTTGTTCCATACTCTTCTGCCCCTGTTACTGCTTCGTTAAAGGACAAGGTTGCTGGTTCTGAAAAGTTGAACGAAGCTTCGGAAGTTCCTCAACCCCAATCGGGTGATTTCGATGCCACTGAGACTGAGTCTAAGAACGAGTTTGAAGATTTCGAGGTATTCCAAGACGGTCAAGAAGACTTGATGGAAACTCTCAAGAAGAATGGTAAACGGTCAAAGTCGATGTCTTATTTGAACAATAAGAAGCACAAGATTTTGACGGCTGCTGCTGCTGCTCCCAGAGCTCCCAAGACTCCATGTAGCCACAGTCCAAATGCTGCAGCCGCAGCCGCAGCTTTGCACGCGGCTGCAATCAAGGCCATTAACCATGACAGTTCATTAAATTCAAGTGATTTCATCAAGTCTCATTGTAACAAGAAATGGTTGGATGTAATTAGATCCGGCTTCTTGTCACAAGACATCGGCACCCCAGAAGACATCAGCTTGTCAGATTTAGACAAGTATTTTTGAGTAGATAAGGATCGTGATTCTAGTAACTGCAAGTTATTACTGTGTGTTATATTACTGTATATTAAAAAAAAATTTTAACGGCTTATGAGTACCATAATATATAATGGTCATAGTGGTTCGTCACTGGACACTTCTTGGTGTATAGGGATGAGGAACGATTTTTCGGCAAATGGCCTGGAAATAAATATCCAGGGTGGTAGGTACAAAAATTATTGTGTCTATTATATTTACAGTCTATGTCATGTAGTATTTGGGCCCATCTCCTCCTTCAGGTACCAGCCAGGTTATATCTTGTGTAGGCACTTTGATATCACAAGTCTTACAGTGGATGCAATTTTGAGAGTTGATTTTGAATTGAACTCCAAGATCTTTGTCAGTCTCGTCTTCAACATATTCATAGACTCCAGCAGGGCAGAATCTCTGCTCAATTCCTTTGAACCTGGGATAAGATATTTGGGCATGCTTTTTGTAATCCTGTTGAGGGATTCTTAAATGGCACATCTCGTCATCATCATGAGAGGTTCCAGTCCTGGAAACACTGGTCAAAATATCAAAGGTTATTTTATTATCTGGCTTTGGATACTCAATTGGAGTGAAGTATTTAGCATCTTTGGTAGCCTCAGCATCCGTATGCTTGTGGTGTAAAGTCCATGGTTCTAATCCCATCGTGAACATGGTGGATATCCCTGAATGAACAATTCCTCCAACCATACCAAGGGGTGTGTTGAAAGAGGGTCTGACATTTCTAACCTCAAAGAGTTCTTTATAGGCCCAAGAATTCTCAAAGTTCTCGTGGTAGGAGTTCAAGTTTATGGCCTCTTGTTCCTCTTCAAAGGTAGACTCATCGACAACTTCTAACTCTTTAATCTCCTCAAAGATGGACTCAGCTGCAACAATTCCAGATTTAATGGCAGTATGCGTTCCCTTGATCTTGGGCACATTCACAAACCCAGCTGAACATCCTACCAAAATACCTCCGGGGAAATTCAACTTGGGAATAGATTGGTATCCTCCCTCGTTTAAAGCTCTAGCTCCATAACTCAAACATTGTCCACCTTCCAAAACATTGGAGTAAAAGGGATGCAACTTCATCTTTTGGAATTCCTGGTACGGGGACACGTAGGGGTTTGCATAGTCCAATCCAAGAACAATTCCAATTGCAACCTTATCTTCATCAAAATGGTACATAAATCCTCCTCCATATTCGCTTGTCAGTAATGGGAATCCCAAACTGTGACCCACGTAGCCCTTTTTGAAGTTTTCGGGCTTCACCTGCCACACTTCTTTGATCCCAATTCCATAAGTCTGAGGATCACTGTTGGCTCTTAGGTCATACTTCGCAACCACCTGTTTAGTTAAAGAACCATGACATCCTTCGCCCAATACGGTGATTCTTGCGTGAAACTCCATTCCTCTTTCAAAGCTTGTTTTCGGCACTCCATCTTTTCCCACCCCCATGTCTTTTGTAGCAACACCTTTTACTTCTCCATTGGAGTTGTAGACAATTTCGTCAACAGAGATTCCAGGATATAATTCTACTCCCAACTCCTCTGCTTGCTCAGAAAGATAGTTGACGACGCTGCTCAAAGGAACAATGTAGTTCTTGCCCTTATTTGTCATCTGTGGAGGTTCTGGCAACAGGAAAGCGTAATTTTCAGTTAAGAACTTCATGTGGTCTTCTGTTACAAGAGTAACCATTTCCGCTGGTAAAGGGATTCCAGTTCCATCTTCTAGGTGTTCACTGTCAGGAAACAATTCCCGCAAAGCCTGGGGCTCTATTACGGCCCCACTGACAATATGGGACCCGAAATCACCGGCTTTTTCCAATACCACCACTCTCAATTCTCCAGATCCGTGCTCATTATCGAGCTGTTTAAGTTTTATGGCTGTAGCCAATCCAGCTGGACCTCCTCCCACAATACAGACGTCCACAGAGTCAGCTGCACGTTCTTCTGTGAGACTAGCCTTTTCTTCTTCCAGAAGCCTGTCAAACGGAACTTCTTGTTGCCATTTTATGGGGGAGATGCTGAAGTGCCTAGAGGCCGACAAACATAGGTCAAAACGAATGTTATGCAAACCCTGAAGGCCCAAATTTCGAGGATCTCGGAGGTGGAGGCTTCTATGTGTTATTTTTGTGTGTAGAGATCGTACAGCAGACCACCAGCGGGCGTTGCAGCAGAGTCTACTTTGGTTGAGCATCGAAGTGTTTGAGTCACAAAGGAATTAAATTTTTCAGTGCGACAGCGAATCAAATGTTCAAGAATGTCAGCATCGATGTGCACTAAACCAGCCTGATGGATACTCAACCAATGAGTTGAAAGTGAAACATAAGTCGATTGATATGAATATGAGTTGCTACCATTACAGCTGACTTGCGAAATATATGCACGTGGTCAGCAGTCCGTCAAGTTGAATCTTACTTGGCTGCGAAATTTCCTTACTGGCACATTTGAATGCAACTGCACTAATATTTCATTTGTATACAATTACAAAAACAACTACACACCTAGGCAAGGTCGTCATCGTACGTGTGCCAGCCTGGGTCACAAGTTCTAACCACTCCGTCCTTCTCGGATAACTTGCTCAACTGCTCAAACTCCTCGTCCGGCAACACCAACGTCTTCAAGTTGGAAATCACCCGCGATGCAGTCACAGACTTGGGCAAAACTACAGTACCTCTTTGGACAGCCCATGAGATCAACACCTGTGCTGGTTCGATGTCAAACTTCTTTGCAATTGAAACCACAGTACCGTTCTTGAACAATGGCGAATCGTTGGAACCTAAAGGCGAGTACGCTTCAGCGTAAATACCCTTTTCATTCAAGTACTTCAACAACCGGTCCTGAGGCAACAAGGGGTGCAACTCGACCTGGTTGGCAGCAGGCACCACCGTCACATCTTTATCGGCCAAAAGCCTTTCGATCTTGGCAATCGTGAAGTTGGACACTCCGATGGCCTTGATTTTGTTGCTGGCTTTGTAAACTTTTTGCAACTCCTTGTAAGTGTCCACATAGTCCCAATCGGTGTAATCCTTTCCGGTGACTGGGTCGGTGGAGTGTGGCCAGTGAATCAAGTACAAGTCGACGTAGTCCAAGCCCAATTTGGATAACGACTCGTTCAAAGCACCTTCGACATCCTTGTGGTTTTTGTTCCATAATTTAGTGGTGACAAAAATCTCACTTCTGGGGACACCCGAATCCTTGATCCCTCTTCCTACTTCTTCTTCATTTCCGTATATAGCAGCGGTATCAATGTGTCTGTAGCCATTTTGCAAAGCGGTTTTGACAGACTTATAAGCAGCATCTGCTTCGGTGGCTCTCCAGGTTCCCAATCCCACGGCAGGAATTGAAGCACCGGTGTTCAATTTGAATGTTTTGGATGTCACGGACAAAGACATTTTGAATACTGACAAATTCTGGAATCCCTTGATTTAAATACCTTGGGAGAAGCGGATACGAGCGCGCAACCACAGCAACAATTCCTATTGTTTTTGTGCACACGCGAGCAGTCGGTGCGACTTGTAATGGCGCCACCAGTGCCACTGTGGCCTTAAAACGGTTGCTGCGAAAACCGTGCGCCACTTAAAAAAAAACTTAAATTGCACAAAATGTCTATTAATAAATCTATTTGGAGAGGGTGGTGACCAGGTTGGTAGTACTCTGGTGCTCGACGCTTGGATCCTCGGCGTCCTTCACCACAGAACTCGCGGGCTCCTGTTCCACCATGGTCTCGACGTCCGGTTTGGGGTCCTCTGCGTGTACCCATTTGCGCATAAAGTTCACCAAGATCCCAGCCGTGAACACCTGTTCTGCCTGGTACAAAACCAATGGCACCAACAAAATCCCAAGATGGGAATTGTCGGACCCGTACTGTGAGGTCACTAACGACACCCCCAACGCAGCCGTCTTAGCCGGTCCACATAACATCACTGCCACCGTATCTTTGCGCGAGTAGAAGAACGGCTTGAATATCTTGTAGCACCATTTGTAGGTGGCTGTGCTTGACGCATCGGGCTCTTTCGACAAGAAGTACTTGACGGGAAATGGCCTTGAGTAGACGTAGCTCATGGCCGTGAAAAAAAGATAGATTCCCACGTTGAAGAAACAAAGGAAGATGATAGAAGCATGGCTCACCGACTCAAATGCATTCTGGGCAAATGCCGTTGAAAACGACTGCCACATGATCAAAATCAACATAAATGACCCCACCTTGTTGAGCTTGAATGTGGTTAGCGTCCATTTTGTCTGTTTGGGGAAAATGTTTTGGATCACTTGGCCTACAAATAACGGCACAAACACCGATAACCCCAACTGCTTCATCACCTGGGCGTACAACTGCGACACCGAGAGGTCAGGCCCACCCAGTTGCTTGGAAGGATTGCCGAATGCCCATTCTCCTTGTAAATAGAGCTGGACAAGAGCTGGAGTGATAAAGGCACCGAGGATGTTACCAATGAACACCTCACAAAGCGTGAGAATGTCGTTGCCATGGGCCGCCTTGGTCATCACCACGTTCGATGATACAGTGGTGGGACACGTATGGGTGACGATGAGTCCCACCAACAAGTACGGGTCGATGGCTCCATCGTGAGCATGTTTAATGCCGGTAGCAATCCCAAAAATAATGGCAGAAGTGATCAAAAACGACATCGACAACACCGTGAAGTGCGCTCTCCAGTTAAGCATGTTCTTTACGAGGTCTTTAGTCAGCATCGATAACCCGCTGACAAGAAAGATGACTGCCACTGCCCCATAACTGATAACGTACTCAGCTTTGAGAGTACCGTGCAGTTTGGCGAAGTTGGGGAAAAAGTATGCTAGCATAATGAAGATACCAAGAAATACAAAGAACCATTGTGATATGATGTAGTTGATCACGACCTTTAATGTTTTGACCCATTTCTTGGGAGGAGGTTTAACCGTATCTGTGGGGTTTGGACTGCTCATGGTAGTATCATAGAATATTTGCTGGGGAGATGGGGATAAAAATACTACTGGCGTTGAATGTAGTGGAGATATACCCTGGAATGATACGATCCCAATGAAAATGAAGGTATCTGGAGATTAAAAGATGATATGCTTGCGAGCTCAGGATTTTATTGAGAATCAAAATGTGCGCGCGGGCAGGTTCCGAGTTTTGGCAGCTTTGTAGTCAGATGCTATCGGAACTCAGAACAAAAGTGCTTTTTTTTTTACAGCCAAAAGTGTGGAGCTTGAGGACTGCTCAAGGCCTTTTAGTAGTAGTAAGATGCCTTCCGATGAGTTTGGGACTTGGCCCAACTAATATTTCCAAACATACATCCTCTAATTTCTGTTTGTGTCCTGAACTTTGTGGATTTTGTTTTCACTAGCAAAATGTTACCTGCCCCTCCCCCAACTTCATCCAAGTTATCTTTGTAATCTTCTTCAAAGCTGTAGATTTCGCAAAAATCAAAACCACCAAAACTTCTAGTAAAATCTACTACCACCACCTCCACAACCATCACACGCTACCCGCCAGGTCTCTGTACACATCACCACAACGGAGGACCAAAATCGGCGCTAGGGGCTCGGCAGACGAAAATACAGATCGCAATCAGCTTTCCTGATTAGGAAAGACATAAACACCTTTCGCACTTGCCAGTTATAAACTTAACAGATGCACACATTTGCATCAAAATTATTTTAACATGGGTGCTCCTTCAATGACAAGTAGATATAACGAAGTCCACAAAGAGGAAACAGCATTTGTAAACAATTTCTGGGATGACGCCGATGTCGGGTACTCCCATGTCGTCAACCGGGTCAAAAATTCCGTCTCCACCATGCAAGAGTTGCTAGACTACTATTTAGAACGGATCAACATCGAAAAAGACTATTCCCGCAAACTCGAGCGGCTCAACCTGTTGCCACTCGGCAGAAACGAGACCGGGGTGTTGAAGAAGAGTTTGGATAAGCTCAACTATGAAAACAACCAGATGGTGAAGTTCAACACCAAGTTTGTCAAATCCGTCAATCAAATCAACTACGAGAAACTTAACCATTTTTACGTGATGTATACCAAGAAGACCAAGCGTATCATGTCCCACATACACAAGATTGTCACCAAGAAAACCGACATATTGAAGGATCTTACAGTGACCAAGGAGGCTTATAAGCAGAATTGTTCGCAAGTCAAGTCGCTCGGATTGACAGTGCAGACTACTTGGGGAAAAGAGTTGGAAAAGAATGAAAAGAAGTTGGAGAAGTTGCAGCAGAGCTCACAAGTCACCGAACGTAACTACCGGATCTCCATCGACAACTTCAACAAGATCAATGAGATTTTCAAAAGGGACTGGATGTTGGCCCTCAGTGAAATCTACCAGTTGGAGATCGAGCGGATCCAATTGATCAAAATCAACTGTTTCAATTTCTGCAACAATGTAGCCACCTTATGTGTGGACAACGATCAGTCGGCCGACTTGGCACGGAGTTTCTTTGCTAAGATATCGCCTCCTCAAGACATTCAGGATTTCAGCAACAACTACGGAACCGGTAATAAGATACTTGTGGAGCCCAAGTTCATCGACTTTATGAAAGGCTTGGACGACGAGAACGACAAGAACTACGAGACAGCTGAATTCGAGATTCCCGAGTTCAACCATCTTTTGTCGAGATCATACTCCACATACTCACTGGCCACTCAGCAGAGCCGGCAACTGCAAACGACTCAACCACTTAAACAACGGAGTTTCGACCCACAAGCACTGCCTGAGTACAGACGTCGTAGTTTCGATCCACAATCACTGCCTGAACGCAAACACCGCAGTTTGGAGCCACAGACACCTTCGCCCATAAAGACGTCTGCTCCCGAGATCCCACCCCCAAAAACTTCTACCGTTGAACCTCTAACTACCCTCAGCTTGCCCAAACCTGAAGATACCAAATCAAATTACAGCACCAACAACCTTTCTCCCGATGAAAGAACCGATATTTTCTCCATAAAATCCCACAAGTTCAACGACAGCAACGGTTCATCCAACTACTCCAACCCCACCAACTATTCATCCAATTCTGCTGGTGAGCGGACCTGGGCATCTCCCAGAAAACGGGAAAAGCAGCTTTCCCAATTCCAGGAAAAAATCAACTTGAAGTCCAAGGACTTGCCTTCTCTCGATAGAAGCACCACATCTTGCAACGCATCACCCACAAAGACCCCTATCACCAAAGACTTCTCCATTGACTTTATTGCCAAAGCGCTCGAGGACCTCAATTCTGGCGGAAATGGCGACGTCAGCCAGTATCGTCGGTCGATGAGGATATCTCGCCACCAGGACGAGCTTACACAGTCCCAAACCGCCCCGACCACCCCATTCGCTATGAAAATACGGCCTGAAAGAGACGACCATGGCGAAGTGCCCACCCGGGTCGACACTATCAGCTTCAAATCTCCGCAGCCCAAACGGACCATGGATCCATTGTCCGTCAAACAGAAAGTACGCCCCAAGTCCATGTATGAGTCTGTGGCATTCGATGCTGCCAAGTCGGTGAACCCTCAAATGCGCACCCTCTCCAGGCCCAGGTCGTTCACAAATCTCCACTCAATGATCAGCCAGGTTACACCTGTTAACAAAAAGCCGTTTTTGGCCAAGGCCCGAGCCCGCTACTCCTACAAGCCCCAGCACCAGGGAGAGCTTTTCTTCCGCAAAGGATGGAATATGTATGTGATCCACAAACAGCCTGATAATTGGTACTTGTGTGAATTGGGAGATAACTGCGACGAAAAAGTGGGGCTCATGGGGCTTGTTCCTGGGAACTACGTTGTAGAGGGAGATGATGTGTTCTAAGAAACCCGTGACTTTAGTTCGGAATACAACGTTTGTTGTTATGTATCATAAATGTAATGAATGAGCTTACGCGAAGATCGGCACCTCGGCAAATTTCGCAGCCAATTGCATACTCGAGGGCCACCAAGAAACAAAACGAAGAATCAAGCACAAACGCCACAAGAAAGCAATGCCAGAACAAACTCTGGTTGGAATACTCTTTCAATATGCTGCGTAGTAATAGTGGGTCAGTATATCGTTCTCAGAACCAGCAAGGTTTCCGCCACAATCTGTATGGCTGGAATCGCTAATGTCACATGATCTGCGCGCATCTTCATGGCTTAGGTCGTAGTATTTTTTGCTCATCTTCAACTTACTTCTTCTTGCTTTGGACTCTTTTTGACAAGCACTGCTATGTTGATTACAGAAAAACCGGTGGGACCTACACTGCCACCACGGCCATATTCAATCACTGACTTGCCTCCGTTAATTGTGGGAGGTGCCACCTTCAACTATCAGTATACTGACAACCCCGAGGCTGCGCCTATCTATGAAATACTTGACACAGCTTTCAACAGCGGTCTTATTGCCGTCGACACATCACCATACTACGGGCCATCCGAGATTTTGGTGGGGAAAGCGTTGACGGAGCTTTCGACGAAGTGGCCACGTGAAACGTACTTTATTTGCACTAAGGCTGGCAGAATTGCACTCAATGAATTTGACTATTCGGCAAGTGCCATCCGGAAATCGGTGAAAAGGTCGCTTGAGCGATTGAACACCGAGTACTTGGATTTGGTATACCTCCACGACATCGAGTTTGGTGAAATTGACGATATCATGGACGGACTCAAAGAGTTGAAGAGACTCAAAGCTGAAGGCATTGTCAAGAACATTGGTATCACCGGCTACCCGGTGGATTTTTTGTATCGGGTGGCCTTGGCAGCCCATAATAACGAGGAAATTGGCAGCCTAGACGCGATTTTGTCCTACTGCCATGGGTGTATCCAAAACACCACTTTGTTTGAGTATTATTCCAAATTTTTTGACGAGTGTCACGTTAAAAAAATCATGAACGGGTCGATCTTGTCCATGTCGTTGTTGCGATCCGGCAAGACTCACACCTTCCATCCCGGTTCCACCGAGTTGAAGGAAGCTGTGGCGGCGGTGGCTAAGGATTTACTGGAGCAGGGGGTAGAATTGGCAGAACTTTCCACTAGGTTTGCGTTGAAGTCGTGGCTTTTCGACACCAGCAAGGCTACACAAAGCGATAAGACCAACTTATCGTGGAACAAAAAGACGTCGGTGGTATTAGGGCTCGGGAATGTCGATGAGTTGATGTCGGCCATCACCAACTTTTGGAAGGTCAAGTTGAATGTCCTGAACAGCAGTGAAGACGACGCCAAGTATGTTGCTCAGGTACAGCAGCAGTTGGGCCTGCATTTTAACGAGTCATGGGAGAGTGGAATTGAACATGACATATGAGAGTGGAATTGAACATGACATATGATGAGGGAGAGCCAGACATTATAGAGTATGGTTTGAGAATGCGAGGGCAGAAAAGAGCAGAGGAAAAGGGACGAAAGACAATAATTGACGGAGCATATGGCACAAATATATGAATATTAAGTATGATCGAGTAGGAAAAGAGTAGGAAAAGAGTAGGATGACAATGGGTATAGAAAGCAGGCATAATTTGAAATGGGCTCTACAATGGGCTTTGCAATGGGCTCTCCAACGGACTCCACAACGGCTTTCTAACGCATGCTTCTAGCCTTATGTTGAAATCTCATCTTCTTGTAGCCATTGTTTCATCTACGTTGGTAGCATCCCAAACATAATTCTCCATTACTCATCCTCACTAATATTCGCAGCCAATTCGCGTTCAATCATCAACAATGTCGACGAAAAGAAAAGATGAAACCAGCGAGCCATCAGAAACAGTGATCCCCCTCGACAATTACAAGCAGGTAACCGTGCGCCGATTCAAGACTATGAATTTGGTGGACATTCGTGAGTTTTACGTCGATAAGGTCACCAAGGAGAAAAAACCCGGTAAAAAAGGCATTTCATTAACAGAAGAAATGTGGAAGAAGCTCATGGCATCACAGCACCAGATCCAGGAGGCGTTGGACCAACTCAATAGCGAGCCGCCCGCCAAAAAGGTCAAGCAGGAATCTATACTGAAGAAAACTGTCAATGACAGTGAAGAGGATTAGGAATATACATTATATGATAAGGGCGTAGAGCAATCTGCCATGCCGGGGCGAGGGCCTATTTTTTGCGCGGCGTAGCGGTGGCAACGCGGTACTCGTACGCCGCCCTCCAGAACCCTTTTCTCGCGCACAAGATCACAATATCTTGTGCGCCGTTCGCAGCAAACACTAATCACAACTCAAACTATGGGATCTCACAAACAACGAAACCCATATGGGGATGAGTATGACAAGAACGACGACGCATCCACCACATCGTCCACAAACAAGGACACTGACTACTCAGGGGCATTTATTGATCACCGTCTTCACAATGACTTGGCCCATCTCCATTCGTCGCCGTCTCGCGCCAGACGGAGAAACTCTCTGATAATCGGTCAGAAAGCTCCCTTCAGCTCGTATACTGAAGCGGCAACACCGCTCACCGACAGGAATCTTAGGACTTGGACCCATGGCAACCAACCTGTCGCTGTAGCTGGAACCAGCCCCAAGACTTTCAGATCCATTGCTATTGATATGGATAAATACACCAGAGACCAGTCTAACTACCTCCAGACCCCAGCCCAGCCCATGTACCACGCATACCACGACGACCCCAATACCTACGACAATGGTAGCATCAACTCGATGGAGTTTGGTGAGAGTAACCCGCCTAGTGAACATCTGGGTGACTCCACCTCGCTTGACGATGTGTGTTTTCCAGATTACTATGACGACATCAACGAGACGGCTGCCGCAACGTGGCCCGACTTAAAGGTCTTGAAGGACTTCATCTCCGAGGAGAAGCTGCTGCTTGAAGACCACCATCGTGAACCCGACCAGGAAGTATCACCCACCGATACCCACAGTGAGCATGTAAATTTCCGCTTAAAGCTGTCCCCTGGCCGCGTAGAGGATGACGAGCTTGGCGAGAGCCGTCGGCCATTCCAGGTGACTCCAACGCCGATACGTCCGGACGAGGTGGCCCAACTTCCCGGCACTCGACGTCCTGGAGTGTGTCGGTTCACATATTTTAGAGATGATTTACCCAACACCATCCATGCTCCGACCCTCAGCGAGTTGTTGGTGAACGAGAAGAGCATGAAGGTGACAGAACAGCCCAATTTGTCGCAGAAGTGGCGGGATGAAGACCTGAGAGAAGAGGTCACTAATGGTAATTTGGACCTTAAAGACCTTTTCCTGCCACTACATTACAGTGGACTTGATATTCCACGCACCGGCAGCCAAACTCCGGTGGTACAGAACCACACGCCCACCGTGCTGGGGGTTCTGTCACCCGCCCCGGCACCAGTACCGACAGTGGCCTTATCGACTTCGGCTCCTGGAATGGCCCAAGCTCGCATCGCAGCTGCGAATGGTCATGGCAATGGTGAAACGGTGAGCCAGACACCTGGCACCGGCACTGTGTCGGAGTCAGTGTCGGGTGACAGTGTCACTCCGTTCTGGCTAGATGTGCTTGACCCCACCGAAGAGGAAATGAAGGTGCTTTCCAAAACGTTTGGCATCCACCCATTGACTACCGAAGATATATTTCTCGGCGAGGCTCGCGAGAAGGTCGAGTTGTTCAAGTCATACTACTTTGTGAGTTTCATGTCGTTCGATATCGTGTACGAACGGCGTAAGCAACGGTCCAAGGAGAAGGAAAAGAAGTTAAGCAAGCTTCAAGAGCTTCACGAACGCGACAACAACGGGATCATGAAACGGATTTTGCGCCAGATCCATGGCAGTAGCGGAAATATCGGCTTGGCCACCAGACTGTCAAGCTCGAACAAATCGACTGGCAAGAAGATTCGTGAAGGAGAACTCTCGCCGTTGTCTATGTACATCATTGTGTTCAGACATGCAGTAATAACGTTTCACTTTTCTCCAACGCCTCACCCCATAAATGTCAGGCGTAGAGCACGGTTGTTAAAAGACTTCTTGACAGTTTCGTCTGATTGGATCTCGTATGCGTTGATTGACGATATCACCGACTCGTTTGCTCCTATGATAGAGAGCATTGAAGACGAAGTCAATGCCATTGAAGAAGCCATTTTGCGGATGCATGCGGGAGACAGCGATTCGGACTCGGACCTGGACCTGGATGATGATGAAGAATCCCGGCCGCCCAATGTGTTTGTGAAGCGTACTCGTACCAAAAGCACGGTTGACAAAAGTGGGATGGGGTTGGAACGATCCAGGACCAAGTCCCGTACTACCACGTCTGGCTCGCGGACCAAGTCTTCTGGCTCACGGGTCGTTGCGTGGAAGCGTAAAGGTGACATGTTACGGCGTATTGGAGAGTGTCGAAAGCGAGTAATGTCGTTGTTGCGATTACTTGGATCCAAAGCCGACGTTATCAAAGGGTTCACCAAGCGGTTGAATGAAGTAGACTCGTCCCGTCGTCCCGGAGCCCAGGAGTCCAAGCTGGAGATTCTGATGTACTCAGGAGACATCCAGGATCATATCATCACGATGGTTCAGTCACTTAACCACTATGAGAAGCTCTTGGCCCGGTTCCATTCCAACTATCTTGCTCAAATCAATATAGACATGACAAAGGTTAATAATGATACCAATAACGTGTTGGGAAAGATCACGATTTTGGGTACGATTGTGTTGCCAATAAATGTGGTGACGGGATTATGGGGGATGAATTGTTTGGTTCCAGGACAGGGGTATGATGGATTGACGTGGTTTTGGTCGATCATTGGGGGAATGTTCATGTTTTCGGTGTTTGCGTACAACTATGCCAAGAGGGCATTTGAGTTGTAGGGTTAGGGTTAGGGTCAAGAGGCAAGACTCCAACGTTTATATTCAGTGCCGTCCGCTCATTTAATAGAAATAGATATCGACACAAAGCTTGCGTTCCGATTTGGGATACACCGTCTAAAATCCCGAACGTTTCATTTAGTAGGCTTCTACTTTTAGTTTGCAGCAACCGAGTGCGACTGAAATCAAATCGCGAACAAAAAACTTGTCATCACTGCTCCTCTTGTTACATCCCTCAATTCACACTATGAGCATCCAAATGACCCTAGTTTTCACGTCTTTGTGCGTACAGATGGCCATACTCTTTGTAATGGTATTACCCCTCCCCCATGTGTTCCGCCGCCGGATCGTTTCATTGATTGATGTTTTGCGCAGCCTGAGCAACTTCAAGATTGGTGTCGGGTTCTATTCATTGATTTTGGCCATGCAGTTCGCCGACTGCTTACAGCGTCTACAGAAACTCGACTACATGAAAACCCCGTATTTTACGATGTCTAACATACCCGGTGGCCCTGTTGGTTTGACCAATGAACAATTGGCTTCTAAATTTTACTCCCAGAGAAACCTTTATATCAGCGGTGCGGTGTTATACTTGGAATTGGCCATTTACACGGTGGGCACTATTCTCAAGAAGTTGGTGCTCAAGGAAGACAGGTTACGGGCCACCAACCTTACGCAGAAATTTGGATCCGAGCAGGAAGAAGAAGCCAAATACAAGCAACTTCTCACCGTGAAAGATCAAGAGATTGCCAAAGTTAAAGCAGAACTTGAAACGTCGACGTAAGGGGAACATTCTCCAGTGCGACCTAGTGCATAATAAGGTTAAGGTTTTTCGGCACTGAAACAAAGTGTACTATTTGTGTTCATGGAAGATTCTGGCCTATATCCTAAATTAAGGTTAGGTAGTGTATTGAAATCGTAACCTGCTTGGGCACATATATAAGGTTCTCGTATATATACATTCGTGGAAACCGTTTGAAGCCATGCCAAGGCACGTTCTCCGTAGCAGCACCTCCGAACAAATTTCATGTACAAAACAATGCAGTAGCCAAAAATTGTACCGCTAATCTTGATGGGTTTGGCTTGGTTGATCCTAGGGGGGGATGTCAAAGCACATGACGCCGATCTGACTAAGGGGCCGGTACCGGTGGTAGCTGGTAGCTGCTACCGTAGGCGCAGGTTCCAAGTAGACTGCAGCCCAGTCGCGATGATCGCCAACAACTGCTCGAGGCGCACATCTGGCGATTCGGCTAAACCTTCCATCTCTGTAGCCCTGACGCCCTTAGCAAACCTAAGCAATGTCAGGTGGATAATCAGGTGAAATTCAGTTTGTCAAACGATGATGTATTAGATTAGGAGTTACGACCTTACCGCATTTACAATTAAAAACCCTTCACATGTTACGGACATCGAACGCATGGCGGTGCCTACCTAAGCAAAGAATCGGGGCTCGGGCTCGGGGCTCAAGGCTTGTTGCTGGGGCGTCAAGTGGTTCCATCTCGAGCGGTTCCATATCGGGAAGAAGAAGCTGCCGATGAATGTAATTTATATTATATTCCGACGCCTTTTCGTGATGTTGATCTTTGGGCCGGGCCCGAAGGGCAAGCATGGCTCTAAAATTACCCAACTAATTTGCTCTGCAAACCCGATTGAGAATTTTCGTCACTTACGAGTTAGCGCGTTAATGCGTGCATCTTGCATTTGCATATTCTATTGCAGGGTCGAAAATTATAATACATATTTTAATCTGTAGAAATACATATAGGGAATTGAATGGATGCTTTTGCCTACCGGCAATGGCAACGGCAACGGGAAACAGCACAAACATAGACCTTAAGAGCCCCATGAGCGATGATGTGCCGTCAGCTCTTTGTGCACTGGGGAAGTAACTCCCGCTTCGGCCATCTTGGAAATAGACCTAGATACGCCTGAGATCAATGCTTAGGGTTTGGCATTCTTGTTGGGGTTGCTTACACCATCATGACGGAAATGTAGCGAGCTGTCGATAGGTGGGCGTATGGGTTAGAACTTCGTCAGGATCACCGGTGTTTTGGCTTGACGAGTTAAGCGGATTAGGCTAAAATCGTGTGTCCAGCTGATTCTTTGTTCGATGATGTTGACAAGATACCCACCACCATCTACTCCTTCTTCTCATCTTTCTCATCCTTGGGTTTCACCTGGTACTGATACGGAGGGTACTGATTATTATAGGAGTAGCCATTGTAGGGATAATATTGACCAGAGGTGGGATAGTATTGTTGATACCCATACACCGAGCCAGGCTGCTGAGGAGCCTGTGGGTCGTACAGACCCGATTGCTGCTGTGATTGCTGTGGTTGCTGGGGCTGGGTCTGTGGTTGTTGTGGTTGTTGGAGTTGGGTTTGTGGAGGTGGTTGTTGAGGTGGTTGTTGAGGTGGTTGTTGAGATAGTTGAGGTGGAGGTTGCTGGGGCTGGGGCTGGGGTTGTGGTTGCTGCTGCTGGGGAGACAGAGCCGATTGTGCCGAAAGACCGTCGTAGTAGCCAGGGTTTTTGGCAGGACTAATTCCAGTTTGGATCACTCTCTTGATATCCCGCACAAACAACGGATACAACAAATCGACAATTCCTTCCCTCTGGGCCATGGCAAGCGCCCGTTCAAACGGGATCCACACACCTTTCAAGTGCATGGAGCCGATTTTCACCACATGTCGGACTTTTTCCAGCTTTAAGATCCCATCTCTGCGGCCTCTAGTCATCTGAGCAACATTCAACAATTTAGTACCATTAATCATGTTGTTATCAGCCCGGCGCACAACCGACACGTTGTTTGCGTCGACCTGGTAGCATAAAGTTTTTTCATCTTCCCACATGGTGGTGGTTACTCGAGGACGGATTCCAGGAGGTTGGTATTGGCCCACCGACGAGGACGACAGCTCGGTGGCCTGTGGGAGCACCTGGGGCTGGCCATTTGACAGCTGGGCAGGTACGGGGGCGGTCGCTGGCGGTGGCTGCTGGCCCTGGGGGTTTTGGTAGTAATTATAAGGATAATTCTGTTGCTGGTTGTACATAAAGTACGGGTAGTTTTGCTGCTGGTTATAGTATTGATATTGGTCGTTATAGTAGCGATACTGCTGGGGCAATTGGTGGCCGTACGGAGGGTTGGGAGGCATGTTTAGTGAAGGTATGGAATTACCTGGCAGTTGATGAAGTCCCAGGGCCGTGGTGTTGGCGGTAGACAGACCATTGGCAATTGCAGATGATAAAGACGACGAAGGAATGGGTGGGCGGACGCCATTGGTCGCCCGGTCATCGTGGGGATCAAGACTCGACATTGGCAGACTGTAGCGGGAAATAGGAATTCGAAGCGATTATTATGTTGTTAAAAGATGTTAATCGGTGATGTATCTTAACGGCGGCGGAGGAAACCGAGGAAACCTAACAAATTTAAAAGACGTCACTGGGAAGAACCACAACACACGACAATTGAGCACGTCGTTTGAAGTAAAATTGCACTAGTTGGAAAACAAGTAGAAATACTGGAAGGAAGAAGAAGAAGAGGAAAAAAATAGAATTCTGTTGTTTATAATCCTTTTGTTCCAGCGTGAGTAAAAATTTTCGTTGCGAGAATCAAAAATAAAATAAAAATAATAAAAAAAAAAGGAAAATTGGCCTTATAAAACAATAAAAATTGGCAAAGTTTTCAAATTAATGAGAAATTCATGCATAAAGCGCCTAATACTTCATGCAATTCCCGCATAAAAATTATTTAGAAGACTTGGGTACACATGCAGGTTCGGGCATATATATGGTTGTCCTTATTGTTAAGTTGAAATTCCTTTTGCAGGAAGGATCCTAATTTCAAACTCACTACTATCACCTATAAGCCAAAGATTGCGGCAAGGTATAAAGGCTCGCAGACGAACTTTGTCTACCTTGCAGCATATTCATATATCTATGAAGATCTAAAGGATCTTTTATTAAATCTATATTCTGTAGAACTCAGCAGCAATATTTATTTTATTTTTGAGCCTGCATTAGGTGTATGATCCAGATCCGGGGCAGGACATATTGACGCGTAGATGTTTCCTGGAGCGGCTCTCAGGCAGATGCTCAAAGTCCCCGCCGACAGTAAAGCGGGCCCAGTCTTTTTAATTTCCCGGCTAAACAGGCCCCCGGTAAAGATCGCGAATAACATGACCCATGCCATACGCCTCAACTACTCCCTGGACATGTTCTGGAACTATACGGCCATACCAGATACCTTCCGGGTAGATAATCATGTTACCTGCGTATGCGTGTCCACCTACATGGGTGATATAGCCGAAAATGTCGGTTTCTTTGCCGACCTTTTGCAACTCCTCCACTATAGGAGGTGCTAGAATACCACACCGTTCATCTCGGGTGTTGTGGCCACACACAAGAAATACCGACGAATCGATCGGTGACTCGGAGAATACTGATTGGGTGTCATGAGAGTTAAGTGACAGTTTAGGAGTGTCAATGTCCACAGGTTCCAGATCCAGATCCACTTTTGCAGAGTGAGGAACCGTCGGCACCGGCTTCTGAAACGGATTGTAAACTGGTTGTGCAGGTTGATGGTTTGCCGGCAATAAATATTTGTCGTTGAACTGTTGTAAATGACGTCTATCAAATTCTATCCTCAAATTGTCTGGGTATAAGTAAACCACCTCATTTTCGGGCTTTGAAGGCACCTCGCGGTAGTTGGAGAAGAATACGTGACTTATAAGTACAGGGAAGTCGGGTGACCTAGAGCTGCCCAATTGGCGGAGTTTCTGAGCAGTACCAGGGACGTTATAAATGTTGGAAGGTACATCAAAAATAGTGCGGTAGCCGTGACTGAGAATTAGAACGTGTTTCCAAGGCAGCGCCGCCGTGTTGTGAAGAGGTCCCTGCTTTATGGGTAATGGGAGAGCAGGTCGGCAGAATGTGCAGCCGGTGTCAACGGTAGGCTTGGGGCACCTATCGACGAACTTGAACCTCAGAAGCATCGATGAGAATGCGGAGTGCGCGCTACGTTGGCCAGATAGGGGAATTCCTAGGCCCACCGGACCACCTGACCACCGGACCAGCAGACAATCCATTTATCAATCCACGGCCCCGCGAAATCCCTCTGACAACCTTTTCTCCCGGTTAGGATACCGGCGATGCAATAGGCTGGAGGTTTTTGCAGCGGTTATGCCATGTAAAGCGTGGGCGATCAAGTTTACTACGCAGATCGGCTTTATATGGAGGAGTTAACCTACGGAAAAAAATAAAAATATCCTATTGCGGTAGATGACAATCACAACAAAAACCTTATCTGGATTATACGGAACACCGATCACTAGATTTTTGTTGGAATATAAGCCCGCGGGGCTGGGGCACTGTTGCAGCCGCCTATTTGTTCTGTGTTTGTCTCGATTTTGGTAGAGGTGCGCTGTTCAGCGCTATAACCAATTGTATTTTTTCTTTTAGGGGCCAGATACAGAAACCCTGGGTACATAACAATAATATTGTAAACAACTAGTGTGAGGGCTTTTACATTATATCTCCGATATTATGGGATATTTAGAACACGCCAACTCCGATGAGCCCAAAATCCCGAGATATTTGCGGCTTTCGCAGGACGGCACGTTTAACTGCAGTATGGATTTTTGCGTTGCCAGGGTGAGCCCGACTAGTCAACATTCTAATCAAAATCAGCACCTAAAACGCATGGATGACGTGATGTTTTGGCGTGTTACCCGGCACCCCTATTCAATACTGCGCAGGGTTCGGTGAGCACTCTTTCTTATAATTACATCTGATTTGTCTATTTCTCCTATTTATCCGGGCATTGGTAGGCTTTTGCATCAAGTGGTTTCAAGCTACGAGAGTTCGAATTCGTAATACAACTGTTGAAATTCATTAGTTTCCTGCCGTACGCAGGCGTACATGTTAGCCATCGTAGATGCAAAGCATGTGATAAGGATTGTGCCCGATGACATGTAGTTGGCCCTTCCTGACGAGGTTTGCACTTATGAGGCTGTCTCCCACCTCCCACCTGCTTATCAGGTACACCTTCTTCCGTTTTCGTCAAACGCAGCTGTTGTTTAGATGCACACTGTGTACCGCCACCTGTGGTACGCATATCCGAATGCTGCATACTCCAAAAGTACCCCACGTAAGGTCCTAGACTCTCAGATTCCCATACTCTCACTATTGCTTACTGACATACTCATCCATAAGTTCCCACACCTTGTCTACCGCATTCCAATGGCAGATTTTTCGAAGCATCGACTTGACTAGTAAGATGTCTCGCGTATTCTTGACATCAACCCTATTCTTCAAAGCTATAAGAATCTTGTTCAGGCTCATACGACCATTGCGCTCCAACACTTCCACCAATTCAGCAAGCAAGTCTGGCCGCTCCAGGACCATATCCGGCTTTTTCTTTTTTTTGATGTTTTCCAAAATGGTGCTGGAAGATAATGCCTTTGGAGCCCTTGGGGATTCTGGGCCTCTCTTGGACTTGCCAGCTGTACCAAATTTGCCAGTCCAGGTTGGTACCCCTACTCGGTTTCTTCGTGTAGCTTTACGAGATTCGTTGAGCATCTTGACGCTTTGGTCCACTATCTTGTTGACTTCTTTTTCCACCCCGTCGTTGTTTTTGTCATCAAGAACATCATCATGCTGCACTCGGCTGTGAACATTGGGATTTTGGAAGATTCCTTCCATGATCTGCTCCTCGTCGTCTTTGTGTTCACCCTCTTCAAACGAGTCCAACCGGCTCACGCCCATAATTTTGGCCACCTTGACGAAATCGTCGTCAGTTTTCGCCTGTTTCTTAATCACCAGCCGACTCGAATTGGACGTTTGCTCGCTGTCATCTTGGTCCCCGAGAGAAAACAAGTCATGAAGATCATTCATTTTGAAAAACCGTCGCTGCTTTGGATCCTTCAAGATCTTGTTGGTCAAAAACGTCTTGAAGATCTGCCGATGGTAGATTTTTTCTTCGATAGACCCCGTGATCATAAGCCGGTAAATCACAATGTCTCTCTTCTGGCCTAACCTCCACGCCCTCTCTCGTGCTTGCATGTCGGTGGAAGGATTCCAATCCGGATCGTAGATGATTATTCGGTCTGCCCCCGTCAAGTTAATTCCTAGACCACCGACCTTGGTTGTCAAGAGAAACACCGATATCTTCGGATCGGTGTTGAATCTGTCGACAAGGTACTGTCTTTTTCCGATGGGCGTGGTGCCATCCATTCGCAAATACTCAAACGGCTCGCCCGTCTCCATGTTGTTTCCATCAATTTTGGTGATGCGGTGCAAGAACCGTTCGAGAATGTCCAACATCTGCCGGGTCTGACAGAAGATCAACATCTTGTGGTTGTGAAGTGCCCAAAGCTGTATCAACTTACGGGTAACCTCCATCTTCCCACTCCTCTTGCTGTTACCATAGTCTTCACTCAGCTTGTTGCCATTGACCAAGTCTGGGTGGTTACAAATCTTCCGGAGCACGTCGACCCCCATAAGCATATTGCGCTTACCCTTCATGATGGCACGAAGGTCTTCACTTTCCAAAAAGCTTTCATACATCTGCTGCTGGTAATGGGTCAACTTGACAAACAACACCATTTCCTCCTTTTTGGGCAAGTCCCGAGCCACATCGTGTTTGAGTCGCCGAAGAAGATACGGTGAGATCAAGTCCCGGAGAATCGTGGCACACTTGTAGCTAGTCTGAACCTGGAGATTCGAGGCGTTGGCGTAGCCTCCCATGTTGATGGGGAGGGAAAACTGCTGTTCAAACACCGGGAGGGTTCCCAAGCGGCCGGGAAACACAAAGTCAAACAACGACCACAACTCAATGAGGTTATTCTGGATGGGGGTTCCACTCAAAATGATTCTGTTGGCGGTCTTGACCCGTTTACAGAGCAAGGAGATCTCCAGGTTTGGGTTCCGGATCTTGTGGCCTTCGTCCAACACGCAGTAGCCCCAGCTTTTGGTCAAAAGGTGTTTGGAATATATGCGCAAACCCACGTAGGTGGTGATAAGTACATGTCCCGACTCCATCACCGAGTTGACCACTTGCTGGGCGTTGATCTGGGTCCTGACCCCCTTGAATACCTTGCCGGTGGCGCCTTCTTCCTGCTGGAGAAACTGCTCCAACTTGTTTTCATCGATTTTCTGGCCCATACCAGACCCAATGCTATGAAGAATCACACACCGTAGAGCGGGCCACCACTTGTGAAACTCGTTGACCCACTGGTTCAATACGGTTGCTGGCACCACTATTAACACCGGTTTTTCAAGAAGCCCTGAGTAGTGGAGTCCGGCAATAAAACTAATTACCTGAATGGTCTTTCCAAGACCCATCTCGTCTCCAATGATTCCCCCAGTCTTCTGGTTGTAAAGCTCCCATAGCCACTGTACACATGTTTTCTGATAGTCAAAAAGCGACGGGTGAATGTCACCGGGGAGCTTGAACCGGTCGTCTAGTTTGGAGTCTGGGATGGTGGGGTGCGGTTTGGTCCATTCGGGTGAGTCCAGCTCGGACTCTACACCCGCCGCCGCCCTCATCGCCAGCCGTCGGGCGACCCACGCGGCGTACCGACGCTTGTAGATTCTCTCGTCTCCGTCGTCAATGTTTTTTTCCTCCATTTCAGCCGTGGGGTGGATTTCGTCTTCTTCGATGGCTTCTATTTCCTCGTCTTTGTAAGTGAAGTCCGTGTCGTCGATGAGATCCTCAAGATCGTCCGTACGGGCCACCGCTTCCAATGATTCGCTGGTGTCGACGTCCCGTGGCTCCACTGGGCCCACTGCTGGACCAACTCCCGGCTGCCGCAAATGAACATGACTTCTCTCCCCACCATCTTCCTCAAACGCCGTCTGGTTCCCGAACGCCGTGATCTTCCCAATCCTCACCAAGTAGTCCCGCTCCGTTTCGTCCGGTAGCCGGTCATTATCCAATGGTTTGGTGATGTTGGTCTCCATTTCTTCAAGCTGCTTGGAGCTTTCGGCCAACCGTCCTTCGATCTCCTTCAAGTCTTCCTGTAATGGTACTAGTTCATTCAAGGTGAACCAGTCAATTTCCTGGCGGATCTGCTTGCGGTGGGAGATTTTTGTACGGGGGTCCGCAAGTCTTCGTTCGAGTATACCGATCTTTTTGTGGACTTTTTCGGCATCTGCCATGGTTTTTTCCAACCGTTTTTGCTCCAACTGCTTGTCTTTGGCAAGAAGTACCTCGTTGGCCTTCTTGGTGATGGACGTCTCAAGGTCATCCTGGTCCACGATCTGTACTCCTAGGGATTCGAGTTCACTCATGGTGATGACTTTTTTATGCGCGTTTGCAGCAATCTAGACACAATCTACCAGGCCATAATATGCTTTGTAATGCTTAACTATGCTTATCTATTAACTATCCACAATCTAGCAGCAGTCTCACCTGTAGGATTTTCTTACTGTCATCTCTCAACAATGTTTTGCAACTCTCCCAAACACTTCCTATACACCTCCTCATCACCCTCATCCAAAAACATCTCCTCAACCATTTCAACCTCTCGGCTTCGACTCACATCTCTCAACAATCGGCTCATCCACCTCATCTCTCCCTTTCCAAAAACAAAATTATAAGCTCTTCCATCATTGTTGGCTCTCGCAGTTCTTCCTACCCGATGTACATACTCTCTTGAAGAATTGGGCATATCGTAGTTTACCACATCAGTGATACTCAAAACATCGATCCCTCTTGCAATCAAGTCCGTAACCACCAACACATTCACTTGACCCAGATCAAAGGCCATTAAGAGCTTCTTTCTGGCCATGGTGGAATTATTGGTGGAATTGAGATACTCCACCACCATCGAAACCCCAAACCCATCAAACACGAGTGAGAGCAATTTGGACAACCGGATAGACGCCTCATTGGACTTTGTGAACACCAAAACGTTTGACAATTTGTTGCTTTTCATCAAGAATTTTGCCAATATTAATGGTTTCAAGGAACTCTTATTACTGCTAAACTGGAGCGTGAACTCGCTCAACGTCCGGGGCGTCGAAAACATCTCGTTCACAAGCTTTTCTTCGTCATTGACTATCACCAACCGGGGTTTGTAGAAATGAAGCATTGCCAATTTACCTGCATCGGTTGTTAACGTCGCTGAAAACACTAGTTTTTGCACCCTTAACTTCCACAGCTCCACCATCGACAGTTGTTTGGCTTCAAGACGCTCCACCAATACACGGCTCCAGTTTTGGAACGATTGACCTAATAACCTGTCGGCTTCGTCAATAACCAAGTATCGCAAGCTATTTAAATCAATGGAGTTTCCCGTCACATGCTCCACTAACCGGCCCGGAGTCGACACAATGATATCGGGAGGGTTCCCCGTGAGCTTCTCTGCCTCCTCTCGTATCGAAATGTCGTTCCGGAGGTTCATCACGTACAAACTTGTTCCTTTCAGAAGTTGCAAAAGTGTTTGTTTGACTTGGCTCACCAAAGGCTTGGTGGGAACAAGAATAATGGCCCGTACCCGCGGCACCACCCGTGTACACAAACTCTCGATGATGGGGATCAGGTATGCCAACGTTTTTCCGGACCCAGTGCTGGCATTGACAAGAATATCACCATTTGAGTCTGGCTTGAGTTTGTTTTCCTTGGTGTCTTTTAACATCATTTCTAGCACAGTCACTTGAACCGAGAAAGCGTCAATAAACCCACCGGTAGCGAGGTTGGACTTCATGGTGTCGGATAAGTCAAATGTCTCGAACGGCCACGTGTGTTCTGGTTTTGAGTATATGGGTTTGGAGAGCCAATCGAGATGATTGGACTGGGTGATTTTGAGTCTGTAGTCCCGAGGCAACGTAGGTTGGGGAAGGGGACCAATGTCCTGAACATCCTCATCACTAGCCTCGGGGGCCTCTTCTGCCGGTTGTTCTATGGCTGATCTCTTGAATTTGCTGAATACGTTCTGGTGCTTGGTGAGATAGTCTTCATCCACAGCCATATTATCAGGGGACTCAGGCTCCTTGGGCGGTACACTTTCAACAGGTGCGTGTTCTTCATCGTGCTCAGACTCGCTTTCTGACGACAAACTGCTCTCATCGTCCAGCAGTTCACTGGAATCGTCTTCATTGTCGGAGCTGCTGCTGCTCATCAGGGCATCGCTATGGTCACTCTCCACCAGCGCAGCGACCAGACCAGTTCCCGAGCCATAAGCTGCACTCCCATCATCACTGCTATCTTCAGAGTCACTGCCACTCAACCGCCGCTTCACAGACGGTCCTGCTAATGCACTGGGATCAAACCTCTGTGCAAACATGGTATCTACTTTTGCACCTACAGCGCGCGCACCTCCATGAAAATTTTCAACATCCACATCACCACCACCAAACCATGAGAGTATCGTTGTCATTACTAGGCCGGTCCGCGTGGAAGGGGCCTCACGTGGTTCCTTTGCCCATCAGCGAGGCAATTAAGACCGGTGCCCCCATCCGTACCAACGCCCGTAGCTGTACCATAATACCCCAGTTCGTGGGCTTGAAGTTCCAGGTACACAACGGAAAGGAGTACGTGCAGTTGGAAATCAGTGACGACATGGTGGGCAACAAGTTGGGTGAGTTTGTGGCCACCAGAAAGAAGTTTACCTACAAGTACTCGAAGAATTAGACAAGTTCAGCAGTTCCACTCTGTACCATATCCCTGTAAATACACCAATACATGTCCAGCACACATTATAGACCCATTTCCACCTAAGGGTGAAAGAGGAGTTCGCTCTACACTCTGTTTGTAACACCCATACTCTTGCTGAACAATAAGGATGCATAGAAGACCTGTAGCCAATAATACCTCGTTATCCCCAGGAGAGGGAATATCATAGAAACCAAGTGCAACTTCAAGTATCCTGGCACAGGCACCCTGAATTCCAATCATGATTGGTTCAGGAATATCTGTATACCGACTGTTTCTAGGGAAAAGCCACAGAGGTTCATGTTCACTAGATACGAACCGGTTATGTTCACAGTAGGCTGCAGTGATAGTCAAATCCAGCACCTGCTGACTGATGAAGATGATTGTATTTCTGATTTCAGACAAGAGCATGTCGATTCCAAGCAGACGGTTTGGATAGGAATCCATGCCGTAGTGCTTTAAGCATCTGTTAAGATCCTTACCAGATAATTCTCTGACGACCTGGAGGGTTTTCAATTGTACAGGTGGAAGCCGTCCATCTCTTTTCCAGATTGGTTTCAATTCTTCTTCTTCAGTGACACCTGAGATGTGCGACTTATCACGATGAATTCTATCGTCTATAACTTTGGAAACATTAACACCCATGCCATGTGACAAATTTCTGTGAGGTTCAAATGTTTCACCTGAGTAAAACTGTAACCAGCCAGTCAACACTTCTGGTGGTAGCTCAACAAACTCTCTAATTGTATTGAAACCTGGTGAAGATGGTGGTAGGGATCCATCTATGGAAAATTTTGCTCAAAGTTGATAGCTTTTTATTTGTGGCAATAGCTCTCCAGTTTACCACAAAATCGGTCATTTTATGTTGATGAAAGGCAACAGTTTCAATTTCTCTTTCAATCTGACAAACTTTATAGTTTTCATGTGCATCTATTTCAAATGCAGCTTTCCTCTTGTTTGTTTTCACCTAGTAGAATTCATCACGGGTACGTCGATTATAACCTATCGAGTCGAATTGGGCCACAGTTAAGGTCTCTATTGGAGGAGGCGTCGCACCACGAGCGAGTTTATAAATGGTAATTCGTGGGTCAAACAGTGGCTCGATATTGCTGGGCTGTTCAAAACTCATTGAATGGATAACCGAAAGTACTTCGAGGTGTATAGCTGCAAAAAGTTGATCAAAATTAACTGCGCGCTTTCAGGTGACTGCAAAAAGACTTGACAGAGGAGATTCTACTGGTACACATTAATGCTCTAGTATATTCGGTTGTACCATAACACGCTACTAACACAGTCTACCACTTGGCTGTAAGTATGACTCGTACACCCACACTCTCATCGTCTACCACTTGGCTGTAAGTTTGACCCGTACCCACACCTACCGATCATCGCCACGGCGGAACGAGTCCTCCATCCGCTGCTGCCGAAGCTCCCCCGTCCGGTCCTTCACCGCCCACTTCCCCCACCCGTTCAACCGCACCACTAAGCAAGTTGCATTATCGTCTCCTCCAATATACTCAATAAACTTCACCACCTCCTCTGCACAACCCTGCGGCGTGGCAGTACTATGCCCTCGCATGTTGAATGTATTCATGATAATGTCGGCCGTCTCCTGGTCGGTGATCTCGTTGCTTACCCCGTCACTGCACAACACGAGAAAACTCTCATCTCCCCCAATTCCGCCCACCGTATATTCTTCGATTTCTTGCTTGGTGAGCCGAGAATGCACCGTGTCATAGTCACCGATCACCACATTGATCACGTCCGGCTCGGCTGTCACGCCCATCTGCTTAAAATCGATATCGCCAAACGCCCGCGTGTTGGCAAGCGCAATGAACCGCTCTTCGCCAAACGAGTCGGTCATGAAAAAATTGGCAGCATACTTGCGGAGCCGCAGCGCCTCATTGGGGTTGGATGGATGGTGCTCCTGCGTCAACGCGTGGGCCTCCCCGTGCTTATCGACCAAAATGGCCTTGGTATCGCCCACATGAGCAATTGTCAACTTGGAAATGGTTCTGCGATTGAAGTAGTAATCTTCAAACACTGGTTTGAACGGGCGCTCGTCCGCCCAGAGAGTACGGAGGTACACCGACGTACACGTCAGACCCAGCTTCAGGTCCGTCTCAAAGAACTTGTAGTCGCAGCTCAAAAACCCCAACGGGAGTCGGGCCCCCAAGTCATCACCAGCATCTATCTTTTGGAGAGCCACCTCGCCCCGGCCGTTGGACATCCGCACAAAGTTGTCCGCCCGGTGCCGGTACCACCGTTTCCAGTACCCGCCGATGTTTTTCCAGTACTTTTGAATGAGTTGATCTCGCTCACTTTGGTTCTCCACAAGTGTATTGACATCTTCAATCTCTTGTGCAAGGTGATCCTGAAGAAACGTCGAGCACTCATCACCGCCATGGCCATCGAATATGTTGAAGTTGAATACAGGCACTCCGTTGAGTTCAAGGACTCCGGCACTGTATTTGTCTTCATTGTAGGGTCGGTTGACTCGCGATGTGTAGTGGCCGAAATGGGTGGGGCTTTTGAGGAGCGACACTCGTAGGCGGCCGCTGGCTGCCGTGTGGGTCACGGGGTCCATGGGAGTGAACGTGACGGATGACGAGAGCCTTCGGCGTCCAATTGTGCTAATAGTGGTGGAGGGCCTCATGTGCTATTGATGGGGTTGTAGAGCGCGCGCTGAAATTAACGTCTATTTGATAAATTAAGTATGGGTGTGCGGGGCAGACCCCCCGGCACCGTCCTAGATCACCATGGGTGAGTCGGCGTCGTCGTCGTAGTCGAACTGGTCGAGCGGCTCGTCTTCGTAGGCGGCGCTGCTGCCACGTCTGCGGCCAAGGCCCCGGTCCAGCCATCGTGGAAGCTGTTGGGTTAAGTTACTCCACTGCGACCCGAGCCGACCCCAAATCAGCTCCAGCCCCAGCGACTCCTCGTCGTGGTACGGCTCATCGATCCGGTTGGATAATGCCGCCGTGAACTGGGTCCGGTTCACGTTGTAGTTGAGGTCTGCTGCTTGTTGGAGGTTGAAGTGCCGTACATTCCCGGCCATTCTCTTGGTATACTCACGAGAAATGATACGCTTGGCCTCCACTATGATTAAATCTTTGCGCTTCTGAGGCTGGTTTTCCACGTCCTCTACGTCGTCAAACCCGAACGAGTCATAAAGATCTGACGCGAGTCCGAGCCGCCGCTTCAACTTGTCGTACACGTTAAACACCGTTAACACCACCGGTAAAACAATGAGCCGTGGGATCCAATTGTTCATCAAGTTGAATAATCCCGTGAGGTGGATTGATTTCCCGAACCAGTCCTCGAATATCGACTTCCGCAGCACAAAGAGCGTTATGAAGTTGTACGACAAGGGAATCGTCAATCTAGCGATGTATGTGGCATAGAAACATGCCGACACCGGATCCAGCTGATGCGGAACCAAGTGATACACCAGAAATACCTTCAACTTGGTCAACGAGTTCATAGCACATATAAGCATTAGCGAAAACACCGACCAACAAACAACCAATTGCACCCAATTGTGGTGGATACGGGTAAAGATCATGTTGATGAGCAGGAGTTTGGTCGAATGAAACAACTCCGACTCGATCACCACAAATGCAGCGCCAAAGAGCATAATCGACCACGCCCGGTTAAGCACGGGGTAGACGTAGCAATGGAGGAGGTATTTTGTTCTTGGTGATACGAGGTCCGACGCAGTGTCTAATCGAAACTGGGGACTTCCACTGGTCGTGGTCAACAAGTCTTCATAAAGAATCACATGACGATAAAGGGTGTTGAAAGCTGACTCGTATGCCACCAACTTGTGGAGGTTGGAATTGAATCTGGCAGTAAGTTTCGTCATAAACCCGCTCGTCAACTGGTTGCGAGAAATAGCAGGAGCTTCACTTACGTACTGGAGCTCCATGACCTCCTTCAAGTCTTCAGGAATGTTTTGGTACATTTCCAAGATCCAGTCACGGAACACAAAGAGGTCTTCTGAGTCGTGGGTGAAGTTCTTCTGCAACACAAGCACTTGGAGAATGTCTTCTTTAAAGGCGATTTTCACATCCTCCAAGTCGTCGATGAGCTTCGGCACCTTGAGATAGTGAAAGTTCAAGTTACCCACCACGCTGCCAAACGTCCATTGGTCTCGCGGTATATTGACGAGTCCATGTGCCATTAACCATAGGGCCAATACCAAAGGATAAATATGTGATAAAGCAATAATCATGGATTTCATGTGCCCAAACGAAAGGCCCACCTCCAACGACAAGTAGATCACACCCACCACCGACACCGCCAAAATGGTCAATTGGAAACGTAAGTTTTTCTGAAGCGCTTCTCTGAGTCGGCTATAGCCCTTGTGCTGACCTGATTTATAAAATTCCTGAAGCAACGGTAACACCAACCATGTCAACAAAAACGTTGTCCAGTATTTGACCTTCCACAAGTACAAGATGACGACATCTGGCAAGTCAAGCCACGCAACAGCATCTTTGGCGTTATGTTGAACATAATCTAGTGGCATAAGGAAAATGATGGAGATGGGGATAAATACCGCCAACACCACCGGCACCAGGAAGTATATTGGGCGCTTCAACACGTTGATGTAGAACTGGATGCCCCACACACTTAGTAGGAGCGAGAATGTATAGCCAATGGCTGTGGGAATCCACATTTATGAATATGTAGTGGTGCTTGTTTTGCGCGGAAACAAATGTTTGTGGAGCAGTTGAGGTTTTGATCTGAGGGTTGTTTTTCGCGCACTGAACATATTCTGATTGCAAATATGGATCACTCGGAACCAGAACAAGACAAGTCCTCGCTGACGGAAGCCCCTCAGTCACCTCTGCCCCCTACGCCCCCGGAAAAACCCAAGCGGAAGTCGGTGGGATTTGCCCCGTTGCCGGAAGAGGACTTGAAAGAGCACCACGAAAACCTCAAGAAAATAGAGGAGCTGAAGAAGAACTCAATTCCATTCCACCAAATTCCCCCTGAGTTGCTGTATTTGCAAAAGTTCGACAAGCCTGCACCCAAACCATTGCCAACAGGACCGCCATTACCACCGAAACCGGTCAAGCCCCATAAAGTTTTGGGTGATTTGAAGAAGGTTCATGTTAAGGACATCTCAGTAATCAACAAAGATACAGAGCTAAACTTCAATTATCCAACGATCGAGCTCCCAATTCCCAGCCACAATGTGCTTGTCAGCATCAAGTATGCTGGCTTGAACTCTTTTGATATCAGCAAGTTGAACAAGTACTACTTTAATCTTAGTGATGTGAAAGTTGGTTTAGGCTACGAGTTTGTGGGACAAGTGGTTGACATTGGTGCCACTGCCAAACAGGAGTTATCCAAGGGAGACTACGTGATGGGAATTTTGAGTCCTACGGGCCGAAAAGGTGCTTTTTCCAGTACCGTGCTTTTGAATCCTACTAAGGACTTTCTTGTTCAACTTGATGATTTGACTTTGGATAAACTTGCCAAGGTCGATCCATACTTGGAGTTCAGCCAATTGAAGGGCTTCTCAGATGATTCGAGCGAATCTAGCGAGTCTGATGACCAACCTCGGCCGTCACAAACGCCGGCCACGGCTCCCAAACGAAAAACGGCGTTGAGTGTGGAAGACGAATTGCCTGCGTTGGCCAAGGCCGCTACTATCCCGGTGCTTTACTGTAAAGCTAAACAGGCACTTCAGCACTTGAAGCCGACAGAGTACCCGAACCTCATGATCAATGGTGCCGATACCAATCTTGGGTATACTCTTATTCAAATGCTCTCGTCGTCTTTATACGAGTTTGAACGTCTTAACCTTGTTCTCGTAGTCAAGGAAAGTAGACTAAAGCAAATGAGAAAATGGGTCAGACACCTCAAGGGTAGCACAGCTCTGGATGGTGAAATGAACTTTGAAGTGGTTTCTTACGACCTTGAAAACGAGGATATTGTTCTACCAGGTGAAAAGATACCGATAAATTACAAGAAACCAGACCTTATGGCGGTGGACGTTCTTGAGGCCATGTTCAAGAACAGCAAGGAGAAGATCACGGCTGCCAATATCGACAACTACAAGTTTGACTTGATTGTCGATATCACTGGCTCACATTACCTCCAGAAAACTTCTATTCGCTACAAGAAACTCGACTATCTTAATTTCCCAGTGGTGGACAACCTTGACGACGATACTAAGCTCCTGACCCTCCTAAAGGCCAACGTCAAAGACCAGTTCTTCATCAAGCTCATGAAACCCAAGTCCCAATCCTCTGGATTAGTATCATTCTGTAAGTTTACCTTGAAAGAACCAAGCTATAGTATCGACACCCTCATCGATTATTCGACCCAGGCATCAGAGCAATCGATTTTGAACCCTTGGCTGCTGAAGTGGCTGTCAGGCATTGCCAATAGCCTTCTTAGATACAATTACTACGATGAAATCAACCTCACCACCACGCGGCCATGGATCATCGAAGGTCTCAACTTATTTTTGAAGAACGAGATCAAGTTCCAGGTAGACCACTACATTGACTGGCGCAACAACTTCAAGCAGTATATCAAAGATCTTCGGAAGCATGACGGAAAGGTGGTGATGAAGGTGGAGGATTTTTGACCAATTTTAGGTTTTGGACCTGTTTTCCCGCCATCCTTCGTCGCACTAGCGAGGTTCCGCACCATTGTTGGCACCACTCAATACGCAGTATTTGATCATTGGCACCTGCTACCGCCACATTACACCGCATTATCCACTCTTGGTCTTGTAATAGCCAATTATTTTTTTGTACCTTTTATTTTATGTCGTACGTGTCACAAGCAAAATCTCGTTTCATACCAATAATATCAAATATCCCGCCGCAGCCACCCGACTCGGTAGACCAACACGTAATTCTCTGAAGCCAGCTGTCATGTTATTTTCCCTGCTCTCCCTCCCATGTCTTACGTCGCACCTCCTGTTACTTGTACATAAACTTAAACACCTCCAAAGTAGGAGCTAAATAAATTGCACATATTCCATCCACAAATATAAGTGCACAAACATAAGGCGCGTAACCACCTGGCCACTTCTCTCGCACCACCCGTACCGCCAGCGCTGCCACTGTACCGCCCAACACCCTTTTCTCGGACCCTGAAACTAGATCTCTCATCGCATTCAAAAGCCGCGACTTGAAAACACCTCAACTTTGCTATTAAACATCTGACCCTTTTTTCACAACCACCACCACTGGTTCTTTGCATGGTTAGCAGCAGATGTCTTCTGGATCCATGAGTGTGCATGCACTTATCGACAAGTTCCAAGGCCAATCAGAGCCCGAGCGACGCTCAACGCTGCCGCCCAAACCTGAAACAACCAAACTCCTTCAGACCCAAACCGCTTCTACTTCATCCACAAATACCCCTAAACTACGCCCGGTGCCGGTGCTTCCCTCCCCCACACGCGACACACGTGCCCACTCGTACTTCGAGACCACACCCTTCACCCGTTCTGACTTGGACCTTCTCCAGAAGTCAGGAATATTATCTATCATCGGGGAAAATCCAAGTGCGTTTCCCATCTCAGAACCAGGCATAATGGAGATTGTTAGGCTCAAAATCGAACAGGAGAGAACAAAGCAGGAGCAGATCAAGTTGGATACGGCCACTAAGAACTATAATATCATGACAACGGCTTTGGGCGCTAACGTACCGCCTCATTTAATTCCTCAAATGTGTGTTAACCCGAACAACGAGGACTCGGCTGCCGTGCTAAATGCTACCGCTGCCGGTACCAACTCTTTCACCACCACACCATCCACCACTGCCGGTACAACCGCCACCTCTGCTGGAGGCGCCACCGCTTCGCATTCGCGCTCGGCTAGTCAGGATTTTGCATTGCTTCCGGTGAACTATAGATTTGGAGCAGGCTCCACCTCTAGGTCCGCATCGTCCACTTCTACGCCTGGGACCGGACCCACGGTTCCGGGGCTTCTGGCGTATACTCGGCGCCCTCTTTCTCCCGCAAAAATGGGGGCCCAGGCGGTAGCCGCGCTCTCGTCGCCCACCGCATCGTACCGGTTCCCTGGCAGGAAACCCCCTATAGTTCCTCACCAACGGCACTATTCGCTACCGGTAGAGGCGTCGCGGCTTGACGCCAACCGGCTTAGAAGTGCTGGCAGTATTGATCTCAGCAAAATTGACTCCCACAGTTACCAGACGCAGCTGCAGCCGCAAAAGTACCTCCAGACCACTTATTTGCAGCCATCTGTACTTTTACACCCACAAAGCATCCAGCAGCTCCAACAGCAACAAATACAAATACAGCAGCAACAGCTACAGCAACAGCAACAGCAGCAACAACAACAGCAACAGCAACAACAACAACAACAACAACAGCAACAACAACAGCAGCACAAGCAAAAAACGCCCCAAAGGTCACCAATGGCCCGTGCTGCTTCCGCCTCCAAGAGCCTGACCCCGACCCACACCCGATCAAGGTCCTCAGCTTCCGTTTCCACAAATAAAACGTCTCCGTTGGGCACTAGTACCATGCAAGTGAAACCCGCACCAGCGATGCCGTTGCAGAAACAGTCCCGTCTGCTGCAACCACCGTCACAAGAAAGTATGACGTCGTTCCAGCATGTCATCCAATTCCAGCACTGGAGACCTGAGACGGGGCGGCCCGTTACATCTCCCGAACTGCGGCACAAGCGGCACAAGTCTCATGCTGACAATATGTCTGTGGATTTGAGTCAAGCAATTTCGGAAAATGATGAAGACCCAGAGACGGACGTGGCAGACATGGCGGATGTTTCAATGGAGAATGGACGTTAGTGATAGCTGTAAGACATCTGTTGATCTTCTCAGATTCAAGCAGTTACACAGCTTCATCACTCCCAAATAGAGGTATACATTTATAGACTAGGGTATAATACACAGGTACACCATCTCATTCTCGGGACATCACCTCGATCTCTGCCACGCTGAGCGTAATCATCTCGTCGTCTTCATTGGTCTCTTCCTCGTCGTCGCTGTCTGGTTCTTGGAACTCAGGATCAACCTTTTCAAAGGTGATAACAGACTTATCCACCTTTTCCATCTCTCTTTTCACATCGTGGGCCAAGTACCTCAACGACATCTCTGTAACCTCGTCCCTGAGTATCCATGCAACCAAGTCCTTGAGCCAAATATGATCATAAACATAATAAACATCGTGGAATCTAAAGAGTTCTTTTAAATCTAACAAGCTTTCAACCACAAGCCGTTTGCCTCCACGAAGATTGTAGTACACATCGTTCCAGACTTTCATCGTAAGGTCGTAGTTGCGATGGAGCGGGAAACAGAGACTCCGACGAATACATGTTATAATAGTTGCTCTTATCGGGGTGTCCGAGTCACCTACAACAATTTTAGAGTCTAAAGCACCAAACTGGGGCACTATCTTACCGATGGTCCACGCACTCTCAATGTTATGGTCTCCTTCGGTCTCACGTAAGTCGAAGTGGTATGCAAACAAAAGCGAAACTATCAACAAGTAAAGTTCGGGCTTGTACGAGCTTGAAATCAAATAGGTTTTTTTCGGAAGATCAAGCATCTTCTGTTGTTGTTCCTTCGAGAACTCGACCCCCATAACCGACTCTTGGGCTTCTTTGGGTTTTGCTTGTTGTGCCTTGTACCACTTCAAGAACCTCAGCGATACTGGGTTCTTCCATTCCATTAACGACTTAAAATCCTTTTCATCTTGTTGAACGTCCTGGCTCATCATAAAGTCGGCTGCGTAGTACTCGGGATCGAATTTGATGTTTTCTTTGATCAACCGCTCCATGATACGCTGTGATTCTGGAGTGTTTTCAGGATTCGCAAGCTCGTTGATATCGTTTCCATTCGACATCGAAACTCCTATAATATTGCTGTACTGGTTGTTGAATCCGTACATGTTGGCGGGTGAGACTACCAGAGACTCTGGAGCCTGCTGAGACACTTCCCAGTCGAACTTCTCGCCCTCCGCGAGGGCAGCTTTGGTGGTAATGGAGTTGTCCACATCCATCTCTTCAATCAATGACTTGGAAGATATGTTTTCCAGCGACACAAGCTCGTTCGTGCGGGCCAAAAGCTTGGCTGTGAGATCAAGGTCCGGGAAATCCTGCCCTTTTGTCTCTTTGGGGATCTTAATGTTGACACAATCGTTTTTGGCGTCGAACTCGGCGTGCGACCGCTCATCATCCACACAGTTGTGAGGAAGCCGCAAACGCAAGTAGTACGGCAGAAGAGAGAAAATGAACACCGGACCATCTACCGTCATCTCTATCGTCGTGGAATTAAACCGCACGTGTGTGATCTTCACCTCGATAAACACAAACTCATCATTTTGAGATATCGTGAAGAACGGAGTAAGCATCTTGGACTGCAACTTTCGCGATGCTTGAGATGAGATTTTTTCTGGTTAGCGATGGTAGAACCTACACAAGAAGTGGCTACCACTACACCAGTGAAAGAAAAAAGACGGTTCGTGGGGCGGAAAGCGACTCCTGCCGATGGCAAGTCGTTGGTAAAGACCAGCCGCTCCAAGGTTATCTCCCGTGTCATGAACCAGATTCCTGAAGATATCTTGAACAACAAGGACCTCAATCAGGCCATCAAGTTACTCCCATCCAACTACAACTTCGAAATCCACAAAACCGTGTGGAACATCCGTAAGAACAATGCCAAGCGCGTGGCCCTCCAGCTTCCCGAAGGTCTTTTGATATATTCCTTGGTGATATCAGATATCCTAGAGCAATTTTGTGAGGTGGAGACGGTGGTCATGGGGGATGTCACTTACGGAGCATGTTGCATCGATGACTACACCGCCAAAGCTCTCGATTGCGACTTTATCGTGCACTATGCTCACTCATGCTTGGTGCCCGTCGATGTGACCAGCATCAAAGTGTTGTACATATTTGTCACTATCCACATTGATGAGAAACACTTGATCAACACCATAAAGTTAAACTTTACTGCTGGAACCAACTTGGCGGTATTTGGTACCATCCAGTTCAATCCTACTATTCACAGCGTCAAGGCCAAGCTCGAACATGACGAAGAGCACCCGGTGTACTTGATTCCTCCTCAACTAAAACCACTCTCCAAAGGTGAGGTGTTAGGATGTACGTCTCAACGACTCGATAAGAACCACATCCAGGGTATGGTTTATGTTGGGGATGGCCGGTTCCATCTCGAAAGCTCGATGATACACAATCCCGACATCCCTGCGTTTAGGTACGATCCTTATTCACGAAAGTTCACCCGAGAATACTACGACCAGGAACAGATGGTGCAAGTGAGAGAAGACGCTATCACCGTCGCCAAAAACGCAAAGACCGTGGGTCTCATTCTTGGAGGGCTTGGACGGCAGGGAAACCCGGTGACGGTGGGAAACTTGGAAGTTAAGCTTGTACAATATGGATATAAGGTGGTGAGAATTATTCTCAGTGAGATCTTTCCGCAGAAATTGGCCATGTTCAACGACATCGATGCATTTATTCAGGTGGCTTGTCCTAGGTTATCTATTGATTGGGGTTATGCCTTCAACAAGCCATTATTGACACCGTACGAAGCAATGGTGATGATGGAGGCCGATAAGAAATGGGATACCTTTTACCCCATGGACTATTATGCATTGGACGGATATGGACGGGGAAAGCAGCCAGCTCGTTCGTAGCCGGTAAGTATTTATATAGTGATTATAATAATGATGATCCTAGGGTATAAACTTGATAAGCACTGGCTTACGCTAAAGATCCATGTTCAAGTGCTTCTTGATCTCACCATATGCGTCTTCGACCCCTAAAAGAGTAGCTGCCTCTGTGTCAGACCATATGAGTTTCTTGTCCAAGTACTGTTCGATTATCAAGTTGAACTTTAGGTAGAACTTGACGAATGATAACGACAAATTCTCGCCAATATCATTCGATATAAGCGGATTGTTGAGTTTAAGAAGGTTGTTTTGGATGTCTATCACAGCTGTTGGTAAATATTCCGATAAAGAATCGTTGATCAAGTTTATACTCTGGGCATTGAACGTATTATTTTCGGAAATGGGTTCATAGATAGAAACGTCAAAAAAACTGTCATCAAACGGTAGAATCATGTTGATAATGTTGTGGAAATCGTACATCTTGCACATCTTCAAAAGCGAGTCGAGCTGCTGGGAAATAGCCTGTTCTTTTAATGATTCAATGAGATCATTAAGTTCGATTACCATGTCGTTGAACACATTGATGGGAAGGATCTTGGATAGTATCAAATCAATGGAGTTCAACCTCAAAATGATTTTCTCCAACAGGCCAAACTCTTTCATTTTAATATGCTGGTTAAGAATGTCTATTGGTTCATTGACAATGGAACTGAGAAACATAGCTTGCCTTTCCTCATCCAAACCAAACACCGAATCAAAGGTAGTATTCGACTGCTCCACAATGGGAAGTACATCTGAGTAAAAGTCTATGATCCACTCAGGAGGCTGAAGGTCTGAGTTCAAGTCTAACTGGGCCAGATTGCTGGTCTTGATTGATTTGAGGTTATTATGGGTAAGGTCAAAAAGTCTCAACTGAGTGAACGAAATCAATTCTCGAATGGTTCTGGTCAATGAATTGGAGTTTGTGAAGTTCTTTTCGAACATAAGCTTATACAAGTCAAACAAATTGAATATGGAGTAAACCACCTTGATTTTCAACTCTAATGATATCAATTGTTCAAAACGAGACTTAATACTTCTCGATAACCTGTCAAAGATCTTGTCTAGCAATATTGTTATACATTCAGTGAACATCTTTATGTCGTCTTGGGTGATAAAAGACTCGTGTTTCATCTCACGCTCGTTGACTTTGAAGATAGAGTTCATGAGCTCGATTTCATTGATCACCATAGAATGCACATAGGCCAATAAGTCTCCTATATACCTAACGGGATCATGAGCTCCTAGTATTTCTGTTTGTCGGTTAAAGTCTTCGATCAACAGCTTTGATCTGTCAGTTGCAAAGTCTTGTAGCACTTGGTCAAACGAATGAGGACTTCTGGTTTTCAAAAACTTGACACTATTATGGAAGTTCTTTAGTTTGGTATCAGAATTTACCCAAACCGGGTATATAAGAGACCGTTTCACGAAGGTACTCAAGGTGTGGTTGGATCTATCAATGAGATTTGAGATTTTTTTCATGATATTCATTCCCAAGTTGGAATTATCGATGGATAGCAAAATTGAAGATGCTTCGTTAATGGCATCCAACTTGACTAATGCTTTGAAGAACTCCTCATTCACCTCATTACTGCTAATGGAAAACTCTTCATACTCGTTCAAAATGAACTTCTTTTTGAAGTTCACCAAAAGGTTCTTCTTGAGACTCACAAGAGTCTTTTGCTCATTCAATGCCTTAAACTCCTTGTTGAACTGCTCCAAGTCCTGAAAAATGTCGTGAAGCCTCTCGTTGTTTGTGTCGCTCAACTTGTTTAGTTGTGTAAGCTTGTTGTCCATCAGTCTAAACTGCTTGACCATAGGACTGAACTCCTTCAAGAAAACACTCTGATTCTTTATAAGATTGACTTCGATTTTGCTTCTCAACTTCTTTCGTGACAAGGAACCCATAACACTTGAGTCTATCAACTCAGTCTCGTTCAATTCCAAGTTGAAGATCTCTTTCACCAATTTATCGTTGATATTGTTATTCAACACCTTGGACAACCTGGTGGTCAAATTATATTCAGCTGATATAGGTACTTCCTTTGAGTCTGCATCATGATCGATGATTTTCAAGGAGATCTGGGCGTATTTTTCAGAGCTCTGGTCCAGTTCAACAGACTTTTCACTGGCAATTGTTTGTGTTTGGGGTTCGCTGGACTTGTCCTCGAAATTCAAGAGATTCTTGAATCCGTTGAGATTGGGGATTCTCTTACTCAAGGTCTCAATGTTGGAAGGGATCGATATGGATAACGCCGGCTGCGGCTGGGCTATTTCATCGTCCTGGAACGAGTCGAACTCTATAAACTCCATGGTGGTGTTGGCAAATCGAAAATACGTTTTCGCGAACCCAAATCAAAGACTGCAAAAAGTCAGAAAACCAACTATCAATTATATATATTTCCCAAATACAAACACCAAAATAAAATCGAACCAATCCAGTGCAAAACAGCACTCTAAATACCAGTGTTTCCAGTTTATATCAACAAGTCGTTGATCTTCATACTGATTCGCCTTGCCTTTACGGGCTTGTTATCGGTAATGTCAGCGGCTGCCAAAAGCGAGCCAATACCATCAGCACCACTAATACGCCGCTTAGGCGTCAACTGTGCCGGGTCAGTCGCCAGTAACAGCAGGGTGCCCGTGGTGCTGGCAATATAGTTGGGCGTCACGGGCGTGAGCTGAGGCCCATAACTGATGGAACTTGAACCACTCAGACTCGAAACGCCATGGTCAAATGGTTTATCGAGCGACAGCACCCGGGAGTGTCTTCCTTGGAACTTGGCGGTTGCTGCCTGAAGCGGTGACTGGAGGGATGTGGGCGATACCAAGGACTTGGGCGACATCAGCTCGGAACCGAGACTACTGCGTTTTTTCGAGTCGTACTTAAACGGCATATCGAGCTTGGGTAAGCGTGAGACCAGCTCCGGTGCTGGGGGAGGAGGGGCCAGTGTCACTGTAGCGGGTTCCAGTGCCACTGCAACGGGTGCCAGCACCTGTTGCGGAGTTTGCCCCTGCCCTAATGCCTGCAAGCACTTGGACGCCTCAAATATATCAAAGTTAAGCCTTGAGCCTTGCAACTCCGCATCGTTTCCATCAAACCGCAAGTCACCAAACTTAGTATCGTATGGCGGCAAACAATAATCGGGAAAGTCGTTGCCAAAAATTGGAATCAACTCAAACCGAATATAGTAGCAGAACCGACGAGCCAAGATCTTACACATACTATAAGGAAGCCATGTTCCCTGAATCTTGAGGAATCCACCACGAATCCGTTTAATGTGGTCATGGTACTCGGTCGGAGTGCTGTCCAACAACTTGACGATATCTGCTTTAGCTTTGTGCAGATTGCTGTTCTGGTGAGCACTGGTTGCAATTTCAGCAGCTTTCCACATTCCCGTCAAGTGCACAAATCCGGTCTCATAGTCCCAGATTATCCACTGATCATTGATACTGTACTCAAACACTGTCAAGTAGTTTCTCAGAGGGCTGATGGCGGAGGTGGCATACTTCTTGATGCGGATGGCCTGGAATAATTGCATCAATACATTATATAACTCCAACGGAACAAGAAGATTGTTGGAAAGCTTGTGCACGCCAAAGTTGACCGACTTGGGTACGGTACTGGACCGAGGGGCAGGGGCCATTGCCTGCCCTCCGGCGGGGAGCGTATAGAACTGGTATATTTGAGCTGGAGTATTCTCAACAGACCCATTTCTTGAATCATTACCTGCGGGTCCCAGATACCTCGAGTCCAGGCTTGCAGGTGCCAGAAACTGGTACGATGGAATCCCCGTACCTGGAGGCTTCGATGTCATCGACGTGGCATACTGCTGAGGTTGGTAGGCAAAATTGGAGATATACTGGCCCATATGGGGCAGATACTGCGGGTACATGCCAGCAGAAGAAACGGTTGGGGTGGATGGGTGGGGATTTCTAGGAGGACTATGGCCGTGCTGCTGTGGATCCGACGACGGATAGTAGTTGGTAGTATACATTGGAGATTTAACACAGAGGAAGAACCGAGTTATATACCAATTTTCAAATTACCGATCAAGGGGGTTCAGACAGACACCTCCAGGAAAAAAAAATAAAAATAAAATCTAAATTACAATCCTTAATCCACGCCTGGAATAAGAATATTGGCCGAACAAAAACCCTCCTGCCTCAGCAAAGATATGCCTCGAAATTTTACGTCAATCTACCAAGTTTGAAAAAGAAACCTCGAGAATCTATGATTGCTTCAATTGACCCTGTCTACCGGGAGCAATCAATAGTGGCCGAGATGGAGGTAAATCATTCTCGAATACCTACCACCTTAAGCTCGGACCGCGAGCGATATTGGAGTCTGGATCAAACGTAATTCCGACTGCCGCTTGCAGGTCTAACCCTGCGCGGTGGTGCGGATCGTCCATCATCCTGTGGATAGAATAGCTGCCTCGATGGTTCTGAACCTGAGGGGTTACGTGCAACAGGGGTGGTCCATCTCCTGTGTGAAATCCCCGAGGGCTACACCATCACCGGGGCCACTTTATGTACTGTTAGTTGCGGTTGATTGTTCGAGAGCATCCCCCTTTAGACGCAACGGCTAAACTTGCCCGTGGGCGTGCATAAATGCGCATTTATTTCTACGACTGCAAATACTAAACTGACAGCTTTGTTAGAAACAAAAACACTGCTCCTGAGAAACCCAACATTCTTAGACGGAAACAGATTGCTGTAACTTCTCGGCAACGGCGTCAAGAAATTCCGTGGTCGTTACATATGACAGTCTGTCGGTTTTGCCTTGGGCCAACGCCAAATCTTTGGTCATGGTACCGTCGATGACTGTTTGCACCGTAACGTCTTCCAACTTTTGGGCAAACTCTACTAATTCAGGGGTGTTGTCCAACTTTCCTCTTTGAATCAACCCTCTTGTCCAGGCAAAAATCGACGCAATCGAGTTGGTTGAAGTTTCTTTACCTTGTTGATGTTGTCTGTAGTGTCTGGTTACGGTTCCGTGAGCAGCTTCACTTTCAAAAGCCTTGCCGTCTGGAGTAATCAATACCGAAGTCATCAAACCCAACGACCCGAACCCTTGGGCAACGATGTCCGATTGCACATCCCCATCGTAGTTTTTCAAAGCCATCACATATCCTCCCTTAGACTTGATCATCTGTGCGACCATATCATCGATTAATCTGTGTTCATACCACAATCCTTTGGCTTCAAATTCAGTCTGGTACTCGGCTTCATACACTTCCTGGAAAATATCCTTGAACCTTCCGTCGTACTTCTTCAAAATGGTGTTTTTGGTGGAAAGGTACAATGGCAAGTTCTTGTTCAAAGCCATCTTGAAAGACGAATGGGCGAACCCTCTGATGGACTCGTCGGTGTTGTACATAGCCAAGCCCACACCCCCGGTTTCGGGGTATGTGTACACTTCCTTCACGACTTTTTCACCTCCATTCTGAGGAGTGAAAACCATCTCCAACTTTCCAGGTTCACTGATCACCAAATCAGTGGCCTTGTATTGGTCACCGTGGGCGTGTCTACCAATCACAATAGGCTTTTCCCAACCTGGCACCAATCTGGGGATGTTGGGGATGATAATACTCTCTCTGAAAACAGTTCCGTTCAAAATGTTTCTGATAGTTCCGTTCGGAGAAACCCACATTTTCTTAAGATTGAATTCTTTGACTCTAGCCTCGTCTGGCGTGATCGTGGCACACTTGATACCCACACCGTATTTCTTGATGGCGTTAGCGGCGTCGATGGTGATTTGATCGTTGGTCTTGTCTCTGGCTTCAATTCCCAAATCGTAGTACTTCAAATCGATGTCCAAGTATGGGTGGATCAACTTGTCTTTGATTCTTTGCCAGATAATTCTGGTCATTTCGTCACCATCCATTTCCACAACGGGGGTGGAAACCTTAATCTTCAATGCCCTGGCACTGGAGCTGAATCCTCTAATACTGCTGGTTCTAAACATGATGGTGTAAGAAGAAAAATGGAGTCTGATTTTTCAAGAAGCGAGCGGTGAAAATTCCGGTAACGGCGACCGGAGCCAAGCTGGCCGCAAACCCATTTTTTTTTTGCAGTCATTGGTGGTTTGTGGATCCAAAGCTTGGAATTAGCCTGATAGTGAGAGGAAGTACAATATGGAATCCTGTGAGTTGAGTACCATGGAGCCAGTGCTCCATGCTGCCAAACTTCATTAATAATAGTACTTACCCTCTACACCAATACACCAATCAGCCGACTAACTCCACCAAACCTTGTCTCTTTGCTCAAATTTAGTTAGAACATTCACTGGAACCTCTGTATTTGTTGGTTACTCACAATGATTCACAAACGTAAAATACCGTTGATGGGACCTGTCTCCCCCACCTTCACCAGCTTACTCGCGCAAGATGCGAAATTGAGACATTTAACGTATTTGCACCAAAAACAATCCACAAAACCATGGCGTCTGAAGCGTTTAGCGAGGAGCGCTTGCAATCGTTGGTGGAGCTGTTGACAACCAGCTCTCGTGATATCATCAACGACATCACGGCCGTGGCTGAGAGCCATATCGACAAAAGTGATCGAATAGTGGATATCGTCGAGCAAAGAATCCAAAAGTGCCTTCCTCAGTATAAAGTATACGCTTTTTATGCAATGGATTCGATCGTCAAAAACATAGGGAACCCATATCGTTCGCTTTTCAGCAAGAATCTATATAAGATCTTCACAGAATCATATTTACTTGTGAATGATGTGATGCGAAGGCAGGGTTTGATAGACCTTTTTACCACCTGGAAGAACGGCTTATCCAGCTCGGGGCTGGAGATTTTTGAAGACGAGTTACTCAAGCGCATAGAGAAGTTCATAATAAAGGCCACCAGTTTAAACCAAGGAGGTGTCAAAGATAGAGAGCTGCTGGTACCTCCTCCATCGCAAGTTCCATTACCAAATAATATCAACCCCGAACATTTTCATAGAGAATTTAACCTTCTCCTCCAAGACATTATCCGGTTGAACAACGAGCTTAAACCCTTTGAAGCATCTAATTTCAGCAAAACCCATTTACGAGATAGAAACGATGTCGTGAGTCGAATTAACGAGCTCGATGAGATGATCATGAGAGATTCCAAAACCGAGTTCACCTTGAAAGTTCCGTTCTACCACCAAAATGCCCTTGAGCTCCGGAACATTCTAAGCGAAGAGACATTCAAGCAAGCCAGGTTCATCCGCAAGAACTTTAAACCTGATCTTACCCCAAACCCCAAATATATTAATCTATTCAAAGACCCATTTGAACCGGCTGAAGACAACGATATTCTGTATTTCTTCTTGGAGGAGTTTGGCATCAAGTTGAAGCTGGCCGAAGTGTACCAGCAGCTTCCGTCGATGGAAAAGGAGATCACACCTCCCAAAGAAGTGATTGTTGAGCTGATGGTTGAAGTGTCTGACAACTTCGATCCTTTGGGTTTGGGCTTCAGTTTAGGAGGAATTGGCAGCCTAGAAGAGGAGAAAGACGTAAAAAATGAGGAAGAAGATATCAAAGAAGATGCACCCATCAGTGTAGAAGAGACAGATGTACTGTTCACTCTCACAGACAACGAGATAACGACCCAGAAATCACAGGTCATAGACCTAACCTCAGATCCACAAAATATCACTCAGTCCTCTGAGCCATCTGAGTCTGAACTGGTGTCTAAACGGTCTGCTGATTCATCCTCACAGGCCTCTAAAAAGGTGAGATTCAACGTTTAAATAAGTCATGTTTATTAATGCATACAAAGGACACTGTCCGCCTAGATACTTCCAGACTTCTTCAAGTGCAACAAGGTGGTCAAAAATGGGAAGGAAAAGAAAAAACCCAAGGTTCCCCAATAGTACACCGACAATGGGATGATCTTTCTCTTAATGGTGAAAGGGATGTTGGAGTAGACACCTTCCTTTGGGTGACCGAACACAGAGCTCAAGCGCTTGGACGAGCTCTGGAAGTTTCTGACCATCATTCTGTTGTTGATAGCCAACTTTTGGCTAAGTAATCTATTCATCATACTAAGTGTGTTGTGGTATTAGTGAAAACCTTGAGTTGAGTTTTCGCGGTGCGTTCATTGGACCACAAAAATGGTGCGATTAAAATGGGTGGTACACGCCCCTGTTTTGGGTGGTGGAGTGCGCACCTGGAAAAACTCATCCAATCGTTTTTAACATATTGACACCACCAACATAAACATATAGTAACATGCCTATTGCTCCAATCACCGGAACCTTGAGAAGAAAAATCATCACAGATATCACCATCGGATTTGGTTGTGGCTTTGTTTTGGCCACCGGATATTGGTACTTCGAGCACAAACCTTTGGTCGCCAAGAGAGAAGAGTTCTACAAGCAGTTGAAGGCCCAAAAGGAAGCTGAAGAGTCTGTCTAAACAGCGTCCCAAGCGTCCCAGTGGGATGTCAGGGTTTTTGCCCTCCTGAATCGCATATAGTCACTTGTGTATTACCATTAATATAAACTTACTACTGAAGCGAGTCACCAAACTGGCGATTTCCAACAATTGAGTTGGTCAAAACCACAAATTGATGGTTGAGCTCACGTGCCTGGAGTTTATGATTCAAGTACTTGATACACAGAATCTCGCTCCAGGTGATGCCTCCTACAAATACCAAAATGGTATTCTTAACAGTTGCGTCACCTATGGTTTCTGACACCTTGCCCTTAAACATTTTATCGAGTCCCAAGTTCTGCCAGCTAGGCTGTTTGGTGATTTTGTTGATGGGTTTGTAGGTCAAAAAGTCTCTCACAAAAAGCGACTCAATCACTCTTATCGTTAATGGTACCGTCGCGGACGGTAATGCAAATGACGGATGCGGGTAGTCTTCAATGCCATTGATTTCCTGGTCGTCTTCTTGTTCTTCTGGATGGAGATTCCAAAACTTGTTGAGAAGGGTGTAGTTGTTGTTGTGTACGTTGATTCCTCCCGTAACTCCAGCGGTATAGGTGTCAAGAGTCTCCACATCACTGAGTCTCACGAGACAATACTTAAAGAGCTTTTCAAACTGGTAGATGATGGTGATTCCATAATTTTCAAATGCTTGCTGTTTAATCTGCTCGTAGTCTCGGGACCGGATCCCTGAGTTGATGGTCAGCACGATCACAAGCGAATTAATGATAGTACGGGCAGATAAGTTTAAGTCCAAGAACTCCAAGAGCTTAGAGATCTGCTGTTTGTACGTGAGTTGAAATACCTCATTCTCGAACTCGAGCACAATCTCGTATTCGTTGTATCTGTTAGCACCTCCGTTCTTGACTTTGTTGAGTAGATTCTCCGAGAGGTTGGTGTGCTTCTTGACAAGATCCTGCTGTCGGTTGAGATCCGTCAAACTCGACACCAATTTCTTGATGTCCTTAAGATTCATCTCACTTGAATTGTTAGTGTACTGGTTCTTAATCCACTTGGCTAACTTGTTCAACTTGGGCCCCACAAGCGAGAAGTTCAAGTACTTTAAGTTTTCAAAGAGCTCGTCTTCTACCTTGATCTGCTCTTCCTTGCCCTGATCATTAACAATCTTGACTAGGTTAATGTTTATCGATACCAAGTCATCGATGAGCCCGACGTAATTCAACTGGCTCATCATCACCGGCAAGAAGTCAAGGTTTCTCTCGATCACCACCAAATTGTGCGTGGGTGTCAAGTGATTCGAGTAGAACTCTTGTTGCAAATTATTGTATTTCTGTGCAAGGTGCTCCTGAAGCTTATTCTCGTAGAGTCCCGTGAAGATGTTGGAGTTGCTTCCTTGGGCGTAGGTGCTGTTGATTTTGATGTTGAACTTGTCGACCAAATTCACCAATGCATTCGCAAGCTGGTTGACCTGGTAAATTGGTTCATCAAAGTACTGGGCTAAGCTTCCCTGTAAGCTGATGATATCGGGATCTACCTCAATGCCTTTGAACTGCCAGTTGTATATTTTTAAAGTTTTGGCCCTTACCATGTCAAGCTTGTTTTCAATGATCTCGTCAAAGCTCAAGCCAAAGTGGTACTGCTGGTTCAACTCATAGAGCCTCAGTTTCGTCAAGTTCTTGATAATGATAGTTACTCTCGCATGCTCTGGGATCGAAATAGGTGTATCCTCGTCGAAAAGGATGATGATGTTCTGGTACTGTTGTATTACTTCATGGTTGATGCTATCGCTCAAGGTGATCTTATCGAATTTGGCCCGTTGTTTGAACACCTTGAATGGGAGAAGAAAGTTTATGATGGGCGACAACTTGTTGTCTAGCACAAGGAGGTTGTTGTGAGTGTAGATCTGGTCGAATATCAGGAGCAATTCGTTGATTGTAGCATTGTTAAGAGAATGGGCGTCCATAGTTGACGTATGAGAAGAAACCAGTTTTCGCGATTATTATATATTCTAAAGCTTGACGGAAGATTCAACAATAACAGAACTCTGCTGATGAATAGTGGCCACTTGAATGCCATTGAGGTTGAAAATCTCAGCCTCCATTAAAAGCTGGCCATGCTTGTACGCTACCAAGCGGGCCTGTACCGTTAGGAAATGACTGGTATCAAAGTCGATATCGTGTACGAGAAGCACTCTGGTGTGCACCACCGACCGGTTTTGCCTGGTGCCAGTTTTGAACTGGAAAATACCGAGCCCATCAGACAATTGAGCCAAATCTACAAACTTGTTGGTGGTTGGCTGGACTAGACGGACGAAAAAACTGGTAGTTTTATCGTAATTATCTGACTGAAAATCAAGGGTCCGGCCCTGGGGTAACTTGAACTCCATGTCCCCATCAACCACCAGGTCCAATTTCAGCAATTTCAAATTCTTAACACCCTCTGGGAACGGCACCTGGAATCTGAAAGGAAAATCAACCTTTTTGATGTCGATGTCGTCATCATCGAACTCCAACCCATTGGCCTCAGACTCAGACCTTTTTTTCTGGACTTCTTCTTGGTAGTGATCGTACTGTTTGAGTTGATTCTCGTAGGAGTTTCTTGAGGTTAGTGAACAGTTGATGGCACATCGAGTATGTCCGTTGCTTTGGCCACGAATGGCTTTATTGATAAAGTTCTTGCCCTGACTGATGGTCTGCAGGTCCCAGCGTACAGAAGAAACAGGGGATGAGAAAACAGCATGCACTGAATGGGGGCTGAGCTGAGGACCCACGTCATCCAACATTTGGGCCAATGCCTGGCCCATGAGCTGTCCATGAACGGTGTCTATCATGGAGATGATTCTTGAATCGTGGGAAATCTCCGCATTTTTCTGGGGTGTGATAATGAAAGAGCGCGGGTCAACTAGTGAGAATGTGAAATATGACATTCAGTTGAACACAATGAGACAAGTGGCCAGCTGGGGGGATGATATAGGACAGTGCTGTACGCATGACAAATGCGGAACGTACTGGTCTACGAGTCTACGAACAAAGTTCAAACGGAAAAATGGATTCATTACTAACATTTTGCAGCCAAGCACGAAGGTGCGCAGCATAGCTGCAAACAAATAAATACAACTCAACTAAAGCTTAACACCATCCGTGATGTACTTGGGCAAGTCTATAAGCCCCTCCTGGGTCACCGTCGCTATCTGCTTTCCGTCCAAGTCAAAAAACTGCACGAAACACAACACCCTGCTGTTACTCATCCTCACGAACCGGTAGCCCACAAACATATAGTTGGTGGGGTCAAAGTCCATGTCGTGAATAAAAACCGAGTGGTCCAACGACACTCGAAAAAACTCGTGACTTGACGGGGAGATCGGGAAACCCAACGTCCGCATTATGAGGCCAAGATACAAACTGTCACTGAGATACAACAAATCTGCCACCTTGATGCGGTTGACTTTTGCAGCATCCTGCGGAAGCTCATCCAAAATTCTTGTGAAGAACCCCAACCGACGGTCACCAATTTCACCAGGCATCTCCAACTTTTTGGGCTTCTCCAAGTAGAGACGAGGCAACGCATGCTCGACCAAGTCGTGAGTGTGTTGCACTGGAATCAAATCATCCATCTCCTCAAGGCCTTTGCGGTACTGGGAAAAAATACTGCCAGGCAGCAGCTGAAACTGGTACGGGAACCGCTTCGACTTCCCCGACTTGTAGTCGCTCTGGCGCTGGGAGATGGAATTGTTGGCTGCGAACAAACATGTCATCACGAGTACGTGTTGGTTATTGTGCAGCTGATACACATTGACGGTTTTAGAGGTGAAGCTCTTACCGGCCGAGGTAGTGAGCACTTCGTACCGCATGGGGCTCTCGTGCGAACCCGCTTTCAAAAAGTACGAGTGGAGAGAACTCAACTGGAAGGTCAGGTCTGTCACCGTTTCGTACGCAGCCAAAGCCGACTGGGCGATGACCTCTCCACCATAAGTTCCTCTAGCTCCTTCCATATATGGTTCCAACGGATACTTGCCCACGTATGTGCTTTCAGTGCCGTCTACCTTGAGGAGCAGAAACTTCTCTTCCATGACACATTGGTCTCTGTTTTCATACACTTGTTGTAACGACACCATGATGCAGAGAAAAACTGGAGATGCTGGAGGTTTTATATGGAGACGCTTTGGAGAGCCTCGGGTCAAGTGCGATATGGATTTGGCGTGCGCACGCGTGTGAAAAGTTTCTGTGGAGACAAGAATTTGTGATCACAAATACTAGTACCATAGGTCATGAACGTACCACATGGACTGGAAAGTTGCCATAGGACATAGAGAAGTCACCACCGTTTTATGTATTGTGTCTACTTGCACCGACCAACTCCAATCTATTCTATAAACCTATAATTTGGCCTTGAGGTCAGCGTCGTTCTTGAAAAACACAAGTCCTTCTTGCACAATCGTGGCAATGAGCTTACCCTTCGAGTTGTAATACCCACCGGTGAACAACACCCGGTTGTTAGAGAACCGCGGCGATTGGTACTGGAAGTAGAGCCAGTTGGTGGGCGAAAAGTCGTCATCGTGAAAGTAAATACTGTGGTCCAACGAGATGGAGAAGAAGTTGTGGTTAGCACCCCCCGAAGATCCCAATGGGTTGTTGTTGATACGCGGAAGGTGAAGGATCCGGGAGATCGATGTCAAATACAATGAGTCGGTCACCACCCCCATGGTTGCATATTTGTACTGGGTGGGTAATTCCTGGTCATTGAGACGGATGTAGAAGCCGAGCGTACGCTCGCTGGGCGCCTTCAGCAACTCGTCGGCCTCATCGATATCCACAAACTCGGGTGTTAATTTGTGCTGCACGAGCTTATCAGGATCCAGGCTGAGAAGTGGTATCTCATCGAGATTGTGTTTGAACGCCGACAGTTTGACTGGTAACTGGTACTCAAACGGACGTGGGCCCTTACCGGTCTTATCAAACGCCTGGGCGGTCTTATCAATACTATTCTTCTTGGTCAACGAAATCATTACCAAATACTTCAACTGATCCTTCTGATAAAGTTTCACCAACCGATTGGCAAAATTGTTGCCGGTGCTCACCTTTTCCACCTTGTACTCACATACAAGCGAATCGTCTCCCGCTGCCACAAAGTATGAGTGCAAAGAGTGAGGCACAAAGTCAGAATCCACGGTTCTCATGGCCACAAGAATGGCTTGTGCACAGAGATTCCCACCGTAGACTCCTCGAGAGTTGGGGCTGGGCTTACCAAGGGGCCGAACACCCTCAAACTCCAACTCCCCTATCTGGCGTACTTCTAACTGTTGTTGGCTTCGTGAAGGGCCAGAAACACTAACTGACATCTTGCTGCTGACGAATGTAGGGGAACTCACTGGCTATTTATATTTATCGCGAGGGCCTCGGATGCGCGCAAATTGGGGTATCTGTGATTTTGTTAAAATACACACCTAAAGAAACTTTCTAATCTTCACTTCACACGCCATCACCGCTAGTAATCGGTACACCACGAGGCACCCCACAAGTGCTCCCACCGATGTGGGCAAGTGATTGGCCAAGCCGTAGTAATCAAGCACGGCGTCACCTGAGCTGAGCAGGCATCCTTCGTCGCATCGAAAGTGCAATCCTCTGAAACTCAACTCGGCACAAATACCAACTCCGTACTTCAATGGGTTGATATAGTTCCACGCCCGGAAAAACTGCGGCATGTATAACGCCATAGTGCCGCCCATAAATACCGCCAAGATGATGATACTCGAGAGAATGTTCATTGCGAGGCCTACGTGCGCCAACACACAGTTCACAATGATTCCAAGCGACTCGCCCACATTGATGCTGGCAAAGCACGTGAGAAGCATCCCAAAGAACGTTGCAGGCGTCCGTGGGAGCCCCACCACAAACACAATCAACGCACTGAAAATAACACAGGTGATGAGTTCGACCGCACTCTCAATCACCAAATACACCACCTGGAACTCGAGATTATTGTAGATGCCATCTCGGTACTCCAGAAAGAAAATGTCCCGTTCGATTGGGAAGATCGAAAAGTTGTTGATCAAGCCGATAAAGTAGAAGTTCAACACTTCCTGAATGAGTCCAAGCCTGTTATCGATGCCTTCCTTGGTGTTTTTCAAAGGGGCAAAGAAGAGAGTATGTACCACCGCTAGGGCCACCACCTGAAATGACCGAGAGAACAACGCATCCCGTGACCGGAACGAGCTCAAGAGCTGTCGGGCAAAAATGGCCCTGAATCGAGTTCTTAGGGGTAGCTGCAATTTTCTGAGCCTTTTGACATCCACCATCGCACCGGCTGCAAAATCCACTTCTGCGCGCACTTGCCATTCTTGCACCAACTTTGTGATTCTTAAGGAAGCAGTTTCTTTGTCCTCGTCAATGCCATGGGACACGAGGTCCAAGATGTAGTCGGCGGTATTGACACCAGCGGGCTTGTGAAACCCAACTGTCTGCAAGTACGCCTCTGCGCCCAGGCTGGCGCCGGTGTATATTACGTGGCCACCCCTGCCCAAGAGCAAGAGCGACCCAAACTGCGCGAAAATGGCCTCACTGGGCTGGTGGATGGTGGTGATGATCGTGGTACCGTGCTCGCGCGTGAGATTTTGCAACAAGTTCAATATCGACACTGAGGTGGTGGAGTCCAATCCCGACGTGGGTTCATCAAGAAACAACACTTTGGGCCGGCTGAGCAATTGAATGCCAATGGAAACCCGCCGCCGTTCCCCTCCCGATACTCCTTTCAAAAACTCGTTCCCAATAAGGGTGTCTGCGCAGTCAACGAGCCCCATTTGCCGAATAAGAGTGTTTATAACCACCGGGATTCTCGAGTGCTGCGGTGCCGGCAACCGCAACCGGGCCTGGTAGTAGAAGGTTTCTCGCACCGTCAAGTGAGGAATCAACGAGCTATCGTATTGTGTCACATACCCGGAGATTTTGGAAAGCTGTGAAGAGGTGATGGTTTGCACTCCATTGAGCTTTATGGACCCCTGCACCTGGAATCGCAGAGACTTGCTAAGCCGGTTGGAAATAAAGTTTAGCAAAGACGTCTTACCGCTGCCGGAGGGTCCCATGATCACGTTGACGCAGTTGTGGTCAAAATTGGCGGTGATGGTGTCGAGAATGCGGTACGGCTGTTGCTTCTTCAATGCCAACACCGGCAGAAGCGCGTCGAGCACAATTCCGTCCAACTGGAGGTTGACGTCCTGTCGTTCTTCATTGTCCAAGTCATGGGTGGGAGTTGGGGCCACGTCCTTTTCAGAAAATGTGGTTGTGTGAGTTTCCTCCTCATCGCCAATGGTATTCTGCTTCTGCTTGGCCATGGACACGTCGTAGTTCCGGAACTTGAAGCCGATGGCCGCTAGAACATTGAACCCCCAATACCAGGCCACCAAGATCGAGATAGGAACCGCTATCCAGTTTTCGGGAAATCCAAGCACATCAAGCTGGTACCTGCCGGTATACTCGCGGCATCTGGCTTCATCGTCATACGGACAGGCTCCTTCCCAATTGGTGTACTGGTTGGACGTCAAGGCCCCGAACCCGTACCAGAAATAGCAAATGTACTTGGTCCATCGTACGTACACTGGCATGGTGGCTGCGTTGATAAAGTATCCGCAGGCACTATTTTGCAACTGGTAAAACACATTCTGGTATATGGCACAAATGGGGAACAGTGACGAAATAGCAAAGAAGGCCAAGGCCGAGCTCATGCCACAGAGGTAAATCAACACTGTCACCGCCAAATAGTTCCAGAAATAATGCAATGTGGTTGCACCTCCTAGCTCGACGCTGAGTCTCAAGCCAAACATAAAGTAGCTGATGAACCCAAACCCCAAGCAGATGGTTGTATCCTCTAGAAGCAACTTCCCAAGCTTTCGAGACACTATGAACCCAATAATGCTCACCTGGTTCTCGGTATATTCCCTGAAGAAAAGAAGGCCGTCGTACTCCCAAAGCCGTTCGATTTCGATAAACAACGGTAAAAACCCCAAGATCTCCATCATCACGTACAAACTCGATGTGTAGGACCGAATTCCCGCCAAGTCGGGGTGTGGCTTGTAGAAGATCCACCCGCAAATAGTTGCCATCGTCAAGGAGATTCCTACCATTGATCCGAGACCGTAGTGGTCTCTGTAGGTCATGATAAAGGTCCGTTTGGTCAATACCCAGATCTCTGAAACAAGAGAAATCTTCATGTTTCGAGGGGTTTCAAACACCTTCAAGTTGGTGCCAAAGTCCACCGGGGACACTGGTTCGAGGTGCTCGTCAGACCAGCATTCTACCAACTGGGCTATTTTCTGAGCGGTTTTAAGCTCATTCTCTCTGGACGACGAGTCCTTCACGGAGAGAGCCATGATCCTGTCTATGTAAGCCGATGGCTGGGCCTGGCTGGCAGTGGAAAGCAAATTGAGTTTCATGAAGTAGTCATAAGAGTATGCCAAACTCCCGTAATACACCAACCGTCCTCCTCGTGTCAACAAACATATCTTGTCAAAGAGTTCCAAGATCTCTGGCCGTGGCTGGTGAATCGACAACACCACCGTCACGCCTAGGGTTGAAGAACTCAATTGCCGGAGCACCTGGATCAACTTCAAGGAGGAGCTGGTATCCAAGCCGGTGGTGGGCTCATCCAAAAACAAAACCGACGGGCGTTTCAAAAGCTGGGCTGCGATCGAGACTCGCCGGCGTTCACCCCCCGAGAAGTTTATGTGGCTGGTGAAGGTCGATATTACCTTATGCTTGAGGTGCAGAATCTCAAGAATCTCCAAAAGCTGGTTTATAAGGTCCGCCTTCTGCTGTTTTGAAGTCTTGTTGAGTTGAAGGTCTGCTTGGAACTTCAAGAATTCCCACGTAGTGAGTCCCGGTGCAAAAAAGTCGTCCTGAAGAAGATACGAATTTCTGATATGGTGATGAGGCTCAACCAAGTGCTCACGTTTGTAGAAATTGACCGAACCGGAAAACTCCAACTTCTTGTTGGTGACATTCAACCGCTGTGACAAGGTATTAAGGAGCGTGGTCTTACCACTACCAGATCCGCCCATAATGGCCATCATTTCATTTTGAGGCAAGTCAAAAGAGATGTTCTGAAGAATGTGGCTGGAACCCACCTCATCGCCGACCATCAGCTCCACGTCTTTCGCCTGGCGTTTCCTAAGCTTGACGGCCACACTCAACTTCCGTACCTTGAGAGACACCCTTTCGCTGGGGTCAATCCGTAGTACGTCGTAGCTCATTTCACTATGGGTATACAAATTCTACAGAAAACACAGTATTTAAGAATCAGAAGGCACCGGAAATACATTCCATATTGGGCGGCGAATAAGCTTTCGCAACAAATGCTAAGTCTTAGCACGGTGACCACAGGAATGGTGGGCAGTGCGTTTTAATGGTGTCACTTACATGGCAGTTTCATCGCTTAAATATATGAAACTAGTTGCAAATACTCATTGGTTGCTGAGTAATAGAAATGGTGCTGGTGTGGTAAACCACACCAGCAAGCATAAGGTCACATTGTGGAAGAGTGACCCAAAATTGTAGGTTAAGATTAGGGTTCTAGGTCTAGACCAATAGTTGGGGGTAATTAAGAGGAGGAGCAGGCATAGACGGGTGCTGGTATTATATTTGTATATTTGCGCTTTGTACCTCAGAGGTGCTAACTTTTACACTTCTATCGCTCTTCTCCAAGTCGCATTTTTCTAGTGCACATATAAGCCTCAGTGTTCTTTAATTAGCATACACCCAACTTAAATCCGTTCAACCTGTTGTAAGTGGCCTGGACTATGAGTAAACTGCCACCGGATCCCACCCAGTCGCCGTTGGCTCTGGCCCAAGACTACAACGGCGAGCACTCCCATTTGCATGCTCAAGGATCGTCTTCAAAGCCCGGATCCGTCTCAAATACTGATACCCACCGGGTGCCCACCAAAAAAAACAGGTTGAGACCCAAGTCCTATCACAATCGACAACCTCTAGCGGTGCCTGTCATAGGCGACGATGATAGCGTCAGTGAGTTCAACTCCATGTCATTATTAGACAGCGCTGCCGAGCGACAAGACTTTAATGTCATCAAAGAAGGACTCAACTTCGCCTTGGGAACCGGCGAAGGAGGAAGTCACTGGCTTCCCCATACCTCCAGCATATCTGTACCACGTTCTCCGGACGACCTGTCCCTTTTGTCTGTTGGTGATGCCAACCAGCGCGTCTCATGGAATCCTCAGCCCAAATACAAGGATACCCTTTCACCCCACAACCTACCTTCGCTAACAGTGCCGGTAAATCTTCTAGATCCTCATGATATTCCCACATCACCGATGTCCACAAAGACGTTTTTCAGTACCTCTTCGTCCAAAGACCTTGAATCGGGCCTCATTACTCCCAAGATAACCGTCCAGCATGAACTTCCTGATTCACCCGCCAAAATCACCACCTTCATCTCGCGAGTGTCCGAGCGTATTGCTGGAACAGGTCCTTCGACGTTGCCGGGGCGGAAGTCTCCGTCACTTAGAGACGATGCTAGTACGAGGTCCACCCATTCTCTTGTTTCCAGGTCTACGTCCCACCTCGAAGCGGTGGCCGACCCTGAGGATGGCTCAATCCTCCTGCGAATCTCCACCGGCGTAGACTTGAACCGGCTCTCGTACGTGGGGCCTGAACCCATTGGCGAAATCCACGAAGTCGACTCAGTTCCCCAAGATGCTCCTGCTCACGGGATACAAAATCCATTCATCGCCCATTCGCAGAGTATGGGTTTTGAGAACGTGCCCTTGTCGAACAAGTTGGGTGCCACCAGCTTCAAGGGATACTGGAAGACTGACACCAACGGCATGTATTTGTTTGGCAATAGTCTCAAGCTATTTGGTCCGGAGAACCGCGTACGCCGCCTTTGTCACCAGATGTTGAGCCAGAAAATTACAAACACATTCTTTCTCGTGTTGTTGCTTCTCCAAACCCATTTGTTGGGCTACAGACAATGGAACCCGGCTGTGCATGGGTATGTGGCAGCGGGAAATAACTGGGCCGACTACGTGCTTATAGTGATCAATGTTATCTATACTCTTGAAATGGCTGCAAAAGTGATTGCGTATGGTTTTTTTGACGACAAAGTCATGTTCAAGGAGTTGAACTTACCGTACCCACGGAACGAGATCAGAGCCATGCTCTTTCAGGGTAAATGGGCCAAAGTCATAACCGGGTACCTTTCGTTAGTACTCCAAAAGGCCCACCCCAGAAAGACCAGGTCATTCTACGACCGGCCCAAACCCACCTACGAATCCTATTCCGACTCTGCTAACGAAATCGAGTTGGAAGACCAGAGCCCTAACTACCTTCATAACAAATATGTCATGCCACTGCACCACGACGAGACCACCTTCGCAGATCAAACTGATATGTCTAGTCGACCAATTCTTGGGGATCAACGCCCTGAGTCGGAAGAAATACTATTGAAGCCGTTGAGTAAGAATGATATCGATATCTTGCAAATCAGAAGAGCTTATATCAGAAACAGTTGGCACAGAGTGGACTTCATCTCCATCCTCACGTTCTGGATATCATTGTTCTTGTCCATAGACAAATACGATGTCAAGAACCACATCATGATCTTCAGAGCCCTAAGCTGCTTGCGGATCCTCAGACTCTGCAACTTGACCACCGGTACGAGCATGATTTTGCGGTCATTAAAGTTGGCCGTACCGCAGTTGATCGATGTGAGTATCTTGATCACATGTTTTGGTATATTTTTTGGTATAATCGGTGTGCAATCGTTCAAATCTTCCTTAAGACGTTACTGTGTATGGTATAATCCCGATGACCTAAACGATACTTGGGTCAATACAAGCCAACACTGTGGGTGTTATCAATCCGCGTCGGGTACTGCTTTACCATACATTATGGCAGATGGCAAGTCTTCTAGCACCATCAAAGGATTTATGTGTCCAGTAAACTCTCGTTGCGAAACCCTTGAAAACCCCAACGAAAACACCGTAAGCTTTGATAACATTTTCAATTCTTTGGAGTTGGTGTTTGTGGTGATGAGTGCAAACACCTTCACAGACTTGATGTACCAGGCTATGGATAGTGAAGGATTGGTAGCATGCCTTTTCTTTGTATTTTGTTTGTTCATCATGACTGTGTGGTTGTTGAACGTATTTATTGCAATCATCGTTTCGTCCTTCAATCTCGCTAGAGTTGGAAATACTGATAATGAAAAGGAATGGGTAATTAGTCACCAGGAAATCATTGAAGATTTAAAGAAACGAAACATCTGGTTGGCTACTTACTATCAGTTTCAATTTATGTTTTCCATCTGTGTTGCTATCGACATAATCACTCAGTGCCTCCGTGCGTATAACGAGACAAGGTGGACAGATCACCTCCTTTACCGAATGGAAGCATCAATGACAGCATTATTTGGTGTTGAGATTCTTGTCAGGTTCTTTTTATATCTTCCTCAATGGAGACTTTTCTTCAAATTGAAACGAAACTGCATTGATTTGATCTTAGCTGTCATTACCTGCATCATAATTCTTCCACCTGTTAAAGATGGCCTTGGCCATTCCTATTATTGGCTCACGGTATTTCAGATTATGAGGTTCTACCGAATCGTCTTGTTGACAAGATTCACTAGAGATTTGTGGCTCAAGATCCTTGGAAGTTGGAAACAGTTGATGGATTTGACTGTATTCCTTTTCTTGATAACCTTTCTTACTGGAATCATATATTCTCGATTCTTTGAAGGTTCTTTAACCGAAGAACAAATTGCAGAAGGTTCTGTTCATTTCAATTTGCAGACCTTGCCCAACGCTTTTGTCAGTTTATACGTTATCACATCCACAGAAAACTGGACATCAATCCTATACCCAGTTCAAGGGTATCAGTCGTCACTATCAGCAAAGATATTTGCAGCAATATTCTTGATTGGATGGTTCTTCATCTCCAACTTTGTGATTTTGAATATTTTTATTAGTGTGATTGCCAATACGTTAGTTGTTCCTGAGGATGAAAAGAAGCGCAAGCAACTTTCCCAGTTCATCGAGAACATCACAGCCAGTATCCAAAACGTTGACAATGAAAGTAGCTCTTTGGCACGTTTCAAAAACAAGTTTTTCAAGCGGAAGGACACCCAAGAACAACTCCATATGGCAGTGGTGAAGTTGCTTTTGAGTGGGACTGTTGTCCATGAGTTTCTTGATGCACAAAAATTGGACGAACCACAGGATGATCCAGTTAGAGAGTTACCCAGTAACCGGCTCAAGAGGTTCATTAAGGTCCACCTCAATATAAAAAAGTATTTTTCTGATGATCCGTTCAAAATCAAAAAGCCTAAAAAGGGCAAGACTACGGGACTCGCTGGGTTTGACCCTACAAATTATGCAAAGACCATCTTGAATGACAGAAACAAGTTAATTGACAGGCAAAACCAGTTCTTGAGAGAAAATCCCTCGTACAACAAGGTGTTCTATGTCATGGGTCCTCGCCATAAGATTAGAAAGTTTTGCCAGCGAATTGTCACATCGAGTCACGGTGAACGTATTGATGGAGTCGAACCAAATAAGAGAGTTTCCGATATTTTTGCTATTTTTATGTTACTTTCTACCTTGGCCCTTCTTATTACTGCTTGCTACTTAACTCCTTTGATTAGAGCACAAGTGAATGCAGAGAATGGGGTATATAGTTGGACATACTGGTTGGACATCTCTTTTATCGCCATCTTCACTATCGAGTTTATTATCAGAGTGTTGGCTGACGGGTTCAGCAACACTCCAAACGCTTACATCAGGTCACCATGGAACAGGATTGATGGAACCGTGTTGATGGCATTGTGGGTTGAGATGATAGCATATATGAAGTCCAAGGGAGATTTATCGAGATTCATTAGAGGGCTCAAAGCTTTGAGAGCATTAAGGCTTTTAACCATTAGTGAAACTGCTAAGAACAATTTCCACAATACCATGTTCTCGGGGTTCAGCAAGATTGTCAATGCTGCTTTAATTTCAGTAACTTTGTTGTACCCGTTCTCTATCTGGGCGTTGAATATTTTTAACGGAAGATTGGGCTATTGTGTGGATGGAGTTTCGACTCTCGAAGACTGCTACAATGAGTACACGAATCTGGTATTCAATTGGGAGATCTTGAGCCCCAATGTTTATGCCCAACCTTTGTTACAATTTGACGATTTCTCCCATTCGTTTTCGGCTCTTTTCGAAATTACATCATTGGAAGGGTGGGTGGACTTATTATATAATGTGATGGCCAGTACCGGTGTTGGAACCGTCCCCAGCCCATTTGCAACTCCATTCAATGGGTTCTTTGTGATTTTGTTCAATTTCATTGGTATCGTATTTGTGTTGACCTTGTTCATTTCTGTGATTATTCATAACTATTCGTTGACCACAGGAAGAGCTTACATGACGGTCGACCAAAGAAGCTGGTACCAAGTGAAACAGTTTTTATTGCAAATTCGACCATCGAAGAGGATCCCCCATGAACGGCTAGGTTGGTTCAGGAAGTTTTGTTACACCATGACGGTAGAGAAGAATAAATCTTGGAATTCGGTATTAAATGTCGCCTTGTTCTTTCACATTGTTGCGTTATTGGTTGAAATGTACCCTTTACATTCGGGTTTAAGTATATTCCGGTTAATTGTTTTCCTTATCGTATCAGGCTTGTTTACATGTCATGCTTTCATGTTGCTTTTTGCAAGAGGACTTAAGTACTTCATCACAAACAAATGGTTGGTGTTCAACTTTCTTATTTCGTTTGGCGCCTTCACGACAACCATTGTGGGAACCCAGATCTCCGCTCAGAGTGCCTTTATGAACATTAACAAATTATTCTTGGTGGGTACCATGTTCTTCATGATTCCTCGAAGTGACAGACTTAGTCAGTTTTTAAAGTTTGCATCAGCAGGTTTGCCAGATATGTTTTCCTTGATGTTTACTTGGTTGGTGTTATTCCTATTATTTTCCATAGCCTTGAACCAAGTATTTGGAACAACAAAGATTGGGCCTAATGGCTCAGATAACATTAATGTCAGGACTGTTCCAAAAGCCTTAATATTGTTATTCAAATGCTCATTTGGTGAAGGATGGAACTATATCATGGATGACTTCAAAGTTGAGCCTCCTTTTTGCTATCTGGACTCTACGAGCACTAACACAGACTGTGGGAATGTGCAATATGCGTACTTTCTTTTCATTTGTTGGAACCTCATCTCCATGTATATTTTCTTGAATATGTTCGTTTCTTTGATCTTGGACAGTTTCAGTTATATCATGAACAAAGGTGATTATGGCAAATTGATTGAAAGAAATGAAATCAGAAAGTTCAAGTTGGCGTGGCAAAAATTTGATCCTGAAGGCACTGGGTTCATCCCGCCCAGAGACTTACACAAGTTTTTGAAGACTTTGGACGGTGCATTCCTGTTCCAGTTTTATGCGGGAACATTAGATATTCCTGTTTTATGCCACCGATGGTTTAAAAGAAACAATCTCAATGACCCCTACGATATCACCGTGAACTATCCAGCCATTAGCGATACGTTTGCATCTTGGGACACGGATAAAATCAGAGAGAGAAGAAAATCATACGAGACCTTTATTGAGGAGGCCATTGTCAACATGGAATTAAACCATGAACCGGGAATTTCTTTCAAAAGAGTTATTTTACAGCTACCATTATACAAAGTATTTGATATCGGTACATGCTTGAATTTGATAGACTTTCTCGATAGAAGGTTGCTTCTTCAAAAGGTACAGAAGAGACAGAACCAGAACAAGGTATACGAGACTATCACCGCATTTATTCTAAGATGGAAGTATGTGAACCTAAAGAAACATGGAATTAGTACAAGCCTCAGTACCAGCCATGTTGAAGATGTCGTAAGGAGAAGAAGTTATCTATCCGAGGATTGGTCTCCTATTCCAAGTCAATACGCTGATGATAAGTTTGAAAAGGACTTTGGGGCCTTGGAAGACAAAAGCAAATACGATAGACTTCCAATGTCTGACAGTGGTGAAGAGAATGATGATAATGATGAGTACCACAGAAGCGGTGTCTACATTCCAAAGTCGCCGTTGAATACAAACAAACAGTTCAAGAGTCCTAAGCCTCAACCCCCCAAATTGAAGATTCTGGTGATGGATCTGGATAAGCTCAAGCCGGTGGTTCCAACATTCAACTTTAAACTTGTTGAGCCAGACAGCGCAGAATCAATTAATGCAAATGATTTATCCGGCGAATCGAGTCATAGTCATGAAGTGATAGACTTGGCTGATGTGGGGGAAAATCTTCGTGATTCAGGGTGGATGGACATGCTTAAAGACTTGCACGATCCCAAGACGTAGTATAATAGAAGTATATTGAAATTTGCATAGATTAAAATAAACGTATTTAATATATTATTAGGTGCTATTTGTACAACGGTACACAAAGAGATATTCAATCGTATAGTATTTATACTTCATTCTTAATCAGTTTTCATATCATTCAAACCCAAGTCTTCGTTCTGTTCATGACTTCTCTCAAACTCTTCAATCTCCATATTTGGATCATTGTCTGGAGCATAGACATTTTGAATGTATGAAGATGCCAATGGGTCAATCATGGAAATGGTAAAACCGACTTTACCATCGATGGCATCTTGCAACCTAGCAAAGAAAGTGGTCCATCTGGTTTTGGTTTCATCGTCCATGGAATCAGAGGTCTGTTGGAAAACCCTCGAATGCAATTCTTCCTTGACTTGGGTGAGTAAACCTTCAATAGTGGTGAATCTTCCTCCCAAAGTCCCTGAAGTCAAATCCAAGTTTAATTCAGGTATCGTCATTCCACAGGTCTCAGACTTTAAGATATCTCTGGCCAAGTCCTCAGGGTCAGTGACCTTCAAGGTGATTTTCCTTCCTTTCTCAGGAATGGCACCACCAGTCTTGACTTCGTTAGATTTGTACCCACAGTTGGTGCAAACGGTGGACATGATGATGACGTCTTTGAAGTGAGGGATGTTGACGGTCTTCATGTGAGTGGCACATGGTTTGTAACATGAAGAGCAGGTGGCATGGAAGGTTTGAACTTCATTGTCCAAGTTCTCGATCTCAGTTTCATCAGAAATGAAACCAGACGATTTGACCGCCTGGTCGTCTCCTAATTCCCGGTTGGAGACGTTACTGTCGGTGGCAGCCTTCTTACTAGCAGCCTCTTCTTGTTTAGCCATCAACACATCGTCGGCAGAAATTAAACCTAAAAACACATTTTGCTCAGCCGTCCTGCTATATTCGTACATAGACCATTTGTGAGAAGGCTCATCGGGGACATATTCAACCCACGAGTTTCCTGCTGGATCGTCAATGGAGAACGTCAACGGCAAGGTGTTGGGCTCGGCGTTGATATAGCTTTTGATCTTTGCAATTACCTGGTTGATTTTTTCATATACTTCAGGCTGAATCGATTTTCTGGCCTCCTGGTCACTTTCCAAATCTTCAATCATCTCTGATAATAGCCCTTCGACATTGGTTAATTGGCCTCTCTTTGGAGGAATCTCGATATCCAACTCGTGGAACTTACATGTGGATGACTCACTTTTGACTACTTGTCTGTTGAAGTCCTTTTTGTCTTCAATCTTCAAAATATATCTCGAGCCCTTCTCAGCGATCTGGGCAGCTGGTTGGATTTCACTGTTTTTGAGGCCACAGTGGGGACACTCGAACGACATGATGATGATCTCCCTGAAGAAGGGGATCGTCGTCAATAACATTCGGGTGGTTCCATTTTCATGGCAGTTCATACACAAACTTTCTACTTCGTGGATGGGATGACCTTCGGCATCCTGATACCCTTTCTTGATATCTTGATTGACGGCTTCGGCCTGGTCACCGACGGTTCCGAACAAGTCATCGTTGGTTTCGCCGCTGCTCATAGTGCGTTGTTTCTTCTCTTCGGTGGCAGAAGGGGTTGGTTGGTCTTCAGGTCTCTTCATCGGTGGAGCCATCTCAAATTTTTTCAATGAGATGTGCGCACTGGTGATGCGATTGAGAGATGCTTCTAGAAGAAGGTATTCAATAGAGATATGATGTGTACTGAAGGTAGTGAAGGGTGTTGAAAGGTGAAGGGAGATGGGGAGAGCATGTCGTATGACTGTGTAAATTTTTAACTGGTCTGTGCTGGTATATAAGTTTTGCAGCCTCAAAGTCCGGGTGTTCGTACGGGGATTTCTGCGTGTGAGGTCAACTTTGGCAGTGGATGACACCTACCAATTACAGCCATTATATACCCCATTCTAGTCATTACTCTCGTAAATTCCTCGTCTAACACATCCACAGCTCCTTCACCACAGTTGCCATCACGAACAGACCCTGTCGTCTAGCAACAATAACACCTTTTCATTATCTCCCTAACTCGTGGCTATTGTGGATCCACAGTTTGTGCAGCATCTAGAGCCGCAAGCGGCTCTGGGCAAAACTCGCGCACATCAAAAAAACTGTGGTGGTAAAATTTCTCACATATTTATAGACGACCTACCGCCAGAGTTTTTTAGGATGGAAAGAAGCAAACGCGGTATGAACTACAAGCGTAACAAGTTCCTGACTCCAGAGCCGTCGGCAGCCGCCGTGGCAGAACGTCAGAATGAGTCGGTGTTGACCCCGTTTCTCACCAAACATATTGGTGACCTGGCCCAGCTTCCGGAAGATACATACCACAAATACTGTTATCGTCACAATCCTGACGTCCACAGAAACAAAATGTCCGAGGTCAGCAAGATGGTCAAAATTCAGCAAGATCTCGAACAGCTTGCGCCCGAAGACCAACAGGCCATAACTCATGTGTGGTCAATCTTCAGCGCTGCTCCAAATCAGTATCGCCGACTTATTCTCCAGGGAATCCTCAGCCAGTGCTGTTTCCCAACGTTGTCATTTGTGTCATCCGAGGTGAGTCTGCTTATCCGTATCGACTTCATTGCCAACTTGCCGGTGGAAATCTCCCTTAAAATCTTGTGCTACTTGGACTGTGCATCGCTTTGTAATGCGGCACAAGTGTGTAAAAAGTGGAAGAGTCTCGCGGATGATGACCGTGTGTGGCACCACATGTGTGAACAGCACATCGACCGCAAATGTCCCAGCTGTGGTTGGGGGTTGCCGTTGATGCACATGAAACGGGCCCGTGAAGAGTATGACCAATATCATAACAGAAAGAGAAAGATCGAGGAAGTAGATGATGATACCGATAAGGAGAAGAAGAAGGAAGAATCAGACAAGGAAAATGTCGCTGTTATCGACAAAGAAGTCAAGAAAAGGCCTTGGAAGTCGGTGTACTCTGAGAGATACAAGGTGGAGAAAAACTGGAGAAAGGGCCTCTACGTGTGTCGAGAGTTTGTGGGCCACAAAGACGGGATCACGTGCTTGCAGTTCAACGTCAAGTACTTGATCACGGGGTCATACGATGCTACCATCAAGATCTGGGATATCCAGACGGGTGCGTGTCTAAGGACGTTGGCAGGCCATACCAAGGGTATACGGTCATTGGTTTTTGACAACCAGAAATTAATCAGCTGTGGCTTAGACTCCACTATCAAGGTATGGAACTACCACACGGGCCAATGTGTCAGCACGTACCGGGGTCATGAGGACGCGGTAGTGTCGGTGGACTTTTCAGATAAAACCATCGTCAGCGGATCCGCCGACAATACTGTCAAAGTATGGCATGTCGACTCACGCACCTGTTATACGCTCCGAGGCCATACTGACTGGGTCAACTCGGTCAAAATCCACTCGCAGTCTCACACAGCGTTCTCGGCCTCCGATGATACCACCGTCAAGATGTGGGACTTGGAAACCCACAAATGTCTCAAGACGTTTGGTGGGGTTGAGAGCAATGGCCATGTGGGGCAGGTGCAGTGTGTGATACCCTTCACCTACAAAGACAAGTTGATCAACGACGTGGATCTCGGGAACATCAGCGATGTAGATGAAGACAACGATAACGATAACGAGATCAGTGATGGAGGGTTTGTGGAGATTGTGACAGACCCCAATGAGAAGAATTACCCCACGCACTTGCTCACGTCGTCTTTGGATAACACCATCAAGGTATGGGATGTGAAGACCGGTAAATGTATTCGGACGCAGTTTGGTCACATCGAAGGGGTGTGGTCGATTTCTGCTGATACGTTTAGAATCGTCAGTGGGGCACATGATCGGATGATTAAGGTGTGGGACTTGCAAGACGGTAAGTGTTTGCATACCTGGTGTGGGGATGCCAGCGTCAGTTGCGTGGGATTGAGCGACTCGAAGTTTGCAGCTGGCTGTGACAACGGAGTGGTGAAGCTCTTTTGTTTTGATTAGGTAAAATATGAATCCCTTGGCATAGGGATGATGTATATTATGTTAAGTATGTAATAATAGACAAGTGCAACAAAAGCTTAAAACGGGCAGTGATCGTGTGATGATACAAAATAACCTTTTTAGGCCAAACGAATCATCTGAAAAGTACCTAATACATCATGTATTCTATCATCAAACGCTAAAAACAAACTAGGTGCCGAGTAACGAAGACACCGTAAAGGTCAGCGAACTAAATTCACTTGACCCATCAAGCCCACCAGCAGGCTCAGAGGCCGAATTAGAACCCGAGCTTGAACTCGAACTAGGGTTTCCAGATTCCTTTTGATTGGAACCGGAACTTGACTTTTGGGGCTGTGACCCACCCGGAGTGAAAAAACAATAGTTATCAATAAGCTGTTGATAAGATGGAGAATTGTAATTATCGTTATCGGTGAACAAACTGGCGTTCAACGATTTCAAGTCCAAAGGGTTGGAATCGTGGGGATTCAAAAAGTTTTTGTTAGGGATCAACGTATCGGTCGAGGTGTTCGACTTCAGGGGGTTCAACACGTCACTACTAAAGGACCCGGAGCTATAGTTTGAAAGCAAAGGTGACGACAAATAAAAGTTATTCTTCACGTAGTCAGCGTCGGACTCGAGGGTCGAGAGCTTGGAGTCGGACGACCGCCGCCGCAAGTACGACGACGAGTACCGCGGCTTGAAGCCCTTGGAGTTGAGCAGCGTCAAGCTGTCTGCCGACCCGGTCCGGTTAAACACCGAGTTATCGCTGAAGTTAGTTCTGGCAACGGGGCTATTAGCCTGGGTTATTATCTTGGTCAAGTTGATCTCATAGTCACGCATCAGGTTGTTATCCCAGTAGTTTGTGTTGTTAGCAACGTACTTGATGCAAAACTTATAGTTGTTCTTCTGGAAGTGCATGTTTGCCCCGAAATTATTGAACATTTTGTTCAACTGGACCTTAAACACAAACCGATCATACCCATTGGACCGGAGCACCGTGGGGATGTCGGGCACGTAGATAGTGGGAATCTCGATAATGGTCCCCCAGTTGTCGAAGGTGTACCGCATCGTGACACTTTTTTCAAACGAAAGGTTCTTGACCGCCACATGTCCCAACAAATATTTCTTATCGATGGAGATGAACACCCGCTCCAAGAACACCGGCACGTGCCTCGATATGTTAGTATCGTAGTCCATGGGGGAGAAGTTGACGAGATCCAAGTTCCAGTCGATCAAATGCAGATGTTTGGGGTTGGGATAGGCTGTGGATCCGTTGAAAAATGAGTGCCGGCTGGACCCCAAGAGGTCGTTGACGTCTCGGGTGCGCTCGTCGGCTGGGTCATCGCCCGAGTCGAAGCTCGCATCCAGCGCCTCATCTTCCGACACGTTCAAGCTGAAGTCTGGTGATTGTAAGGTGGGCGAATTGGAAGCGGATATGGCGGCCGGCTTATCCTTTTTATTGAAGTACCGCACGTCGGAGGCATCGCCAAAGTGCACCTGCTTATAGCTAGGGGTTGTGGGTAGACTCTTGCTGACGGTGTGGTCGAAATACAGTGGGTCTTTTAAGTTGGACTTGAGGATCTCTCCACTCTTTTTACGCACCAACTTATAGCGGAAGACGTCTTCGTCTCCAAGACCTGCTTGGGATAGGGACGCATCCGGGTTGCTGTCGATGCTGGCAGTGTCGTCGTGGAGGTCAGGGACATGCTGGCTGAAGAAGCTGAAATTTCGCATATTACTTGTATCACCCGTGTTCAGGTCCTTGCCCGGGCCCAATGAATTGGTGGACTTGGTGTCACCGCCCAACACCAATTGTTTGTTGGTATCACTGTTCCGCCGGGTCTTCTGCTCGCCCACTTTGCGGTTGACCAACTCCTGGGTACGAGCGGGTTTGTGAATAAACTTTAGGGACAAAGGCTCATCGAACTTATTCATTCCTGGTTCAGATGTAGTCACCGCCGGTTACTGTGGAAGACGGTGGTGTATGTGGATGTTGCCGCGGTTGGGTGGGATGATGCTGGTGCCGATGGACTGGCTAAACTGTTATGGGTGGGGGTTCCAAAACAAAAGGGTTAACAAAGTAGAAAGTTATGTAATATCCCAAAAAAAAATTATAACGCTTGCTCCCTTTTTAAAGGTAATCGGTCTTGGAACAATTCGCAACCAAAAGAATTGAAATTATTTTAGTAAAGAAGGTGGGCGGTAATGTACCATGTATTAGTACTTGAGCTACTATGACACATGTTGAGGCTGGTGGGTCACACTGTAAGTGATGTGTAACGTGGTGTTTTTTTTCGGTTACCATCTGGACTATTCTAGATGGTGCTTGTCGCATCTACCACTAAACAATCACCTGTTGGGTTTCAATAGGGCAAATACGGGTGGGGCCTGGTCCGGGGAACTCTGGGGCTGACCGGCAGTAGGCTGGTGGTTGGCCACGGAATGACCGGACGGCCTTTAGGTGATCGGCTTCCTACACTGGCTCCTAGAGATTCGCAGCGGGGGTGGGGGCTCCTACCCGATCTCAAGCCGCTGCACCCCGTACCGCGAACCTCGAGACGAGGGTGGCGGTGCTCGCGCCGCTCATGGCGCGGTGGGTGACATTGTTGATAGAACCACCTCCCGACCCTCAAATCCGATCATTTTTTTTTTGTAATTTAAATCAGTCCACTTGGACGGAATCGCCGGCGTCACGAATTAGGGGGCTTGTTGTTTTGAAAGTGGTGCCGACAATCGACACCAACCGGTATGGCGTCACTTACCCGGTTTTGCAGTGGCATGTGGGGGGTTACCTGAAGTATGCACCATTGATGTCGTCGATGGTATTGTTGAATAAGAGAGGTGCATTTCGCAGCACAAACTGGGGCAAGGAAAGTATAATGTCTCCAGTCCCGGTTAAGGGATTGCGAAAAGGAGCTCCATTTTTTACTCAGAGGCTTATCTATTGATCCCCACCCCTCGGCTAATATGTTGAGGCGTTATGGCGCAGACAAGACGCGTCCGAACTGCTTAACTACAATATTTTTCATCAACATAATGCAGACACACACTACATCTATTCAATTAAGGCCCACGGCCATTGTTTCGGTGTTGCTCAAGTAGCTTATGCTAGAAGTAGCAATCCAAAACGCGTGTCTGGCAATCGGAACCGTCAAGGTAATTTTAGCGGTGGGGGATAGACTCAGACAGACGTAGGTCATGCACGACTTTTTGCTCTTTTTGCACCCAAGTCTACTGTTAAGTTCCAACTCTACTCACTCGAGTACTTCATTCACTGGGTTATAAATGATCCCCAGAACATCTTTCTGTCTACTTCTTCTTAAACTATTTCATATATTTCTCTACCAATCAATGCTGTAGCTTGGATTATACACGCTCCCAAACGAATAACACACCACACCTCCGTTCAAGACCTTGATCTGATTATCATGAATCACGACATTGTGACCTATCATAAGGGGGGAGTGGTTTTTCCATACCCTGTCTGGAATTCTACCATAAACCACTTTTTTGCCGCAAACAGATACCTTTACTATTATGTTATCCTGTCCCAAAATCTGGTTGTAATTTATACCACCCACAACCACCAAAGTTTCGTTATACTTGACCAATTTACAGTCCATCCGCTCAAATTCAGCGTCCTCCATAACCATTTTATGCTTGAACTCGTCATTTTCTAACCAAAACTTGAACAACTTATTACTGAACCTAGGCAGTTGTTTGTTGGTTTGACCACCAATAATATATCCCACCTGTTGGTCGACGTCAAAGTCACACCCGAAACTGGCGATCGTACTAAAGTCTATCTCTGAAGAACACTGCAATAATTTGGATGTTTGTGTTTTGTGGTTGTACAAAATCATGGACCCTTTTTGTGACTGGCCACCTATAATCAATATTCTTTCAGTATCCACAGAAACTGCAGAGTGCCTTGAAACCCCTACGGGCAAATCTTCGAGTCGGGACCACTTGGCCTCTTTGGCATTAAATCTGTACACATCCTTTAAAAACAGTCCGGGTTGGGTTCTTCCTCCAACTAGAATCCCGTCTGTGAAAGTATGGCACATTCTTCCCGAAGGAGGATCTAAAGTCTCCAACTCCTCAGAATCCTTATATGTCTTGATGGATCTTGTTTGTCCAAGGCCTCCATTGACATATATGGATCCTCCCACAACGCAACTAGCTGGGTACTTTAAATCCAAAGACTTTGTATCTGGCTTGATGTTCAATTCGACAACAGGTCTTGATTGTAATGAAACATTGGGTTGCTTGTAGACAAGCGAGTCATTGGTGGCATGCAAGACAACATAGTGCTGGCAGAAAAGTATAAACTCCTCCCACTCGTCAAAACTTTCTACCTCATCGACCTTCTGCTTGGTGGTTTCATCTATCAAATCGTTCCAATTTTCAAACAAGTTTTTGACCTCTACATGTTTGTAGTACTGTTGGAACCGGGAAATTTGGTGCTCTATGAGGGGGTACTCTTCTACACATTTCAATGAACTTCTGAGCTTGCTGAAGTGGTTTAACATTTTCGTTGCAAACGCTTCTTTGGTGCCAGCAGGAAGAATCTGTTCCAATATCAAAAAGTGACTATTGGGCACCTCGCTCGAATAGCCAATAATCTTATTAGCGTCCGTGAAATGCATATATGCCAAAGATACTTCGGCTATGAAGATGTTCACCCCGGGTTTCAACTTTTTCATCTGGTCCTTGTACACTTCGTGATTCTTCAAATCGCATCCAATCAACTTGTACTTGTCACAATTCATTAACCCCAACCCTCCGGCATCTGGTCCTACCAAGTCCTGGATCTCTTTCAGCTTGAGAATCATGTCGTGCTTGTTTTTCACCAAGTCGGGATAGTCGATATCGTAGAAGGTCATATTGTGCCCCATGCTGAGCATCTGGAATGGAAGAGGATCGTATCCACAACCTAAATTAATCACATTCACGGGTTTTTGAGGCTCTGATTCCATGATTCTGATGATCATCAGACGAATGCTTTCCATTCGGATCCAATAACCTCTGTTAATAGCTGGAGATCTTCTTTTTCCTTTTGGCACGAAATGCTTGAACCATTCGCCAGGTGGACAAACCGATTGGTATATCATTTCCACAGACCGTTTGGAGACGATGGACGAGTTGTTCGTTCCTTGGACTTGGATGTCCTCGTACTGTTTCCTTCTTCTATCTTTTTCGATCTTTCGAAGCTCCTGTGGACTAGGGCCGGTAGATTTGGGCATTGGCTAAGTTATTTTTCACGAGATGAGCATCTCGTTTTGCTATCGCAGCAGTATTATTCTATATTACAACACCTATACAGCGATCTATGACTATAAATTCTTGAAGCTCTCCTTCAAGACAGCGTCCACTTGTGACTTGGGCACCTTCTGACACTTTTTCAAATAGGTGGCGGCAGCCAAAGTGTACCTGAAATCATTGGCTCCGGCCTCTGTCAACTGGTCTTCCTCATACACCAACCCATCACCGCACTTGATCCATATTTTGCCATTCAATCCTATAGCTACCTCGAACTTACACTTGGACGCGAGCTTCTCCAAGTAGACGGAGCTCGGGTTAAACAAGAGTTCGTTGGCATAATTCAACCCGACTTCGAAAATATATCCACTCTCATCGAGCATTCCGAACCCGCCTTCTTTGCCGGTGGCTGGATCGATACACTCTATCTCTATGTCAATTTCGGGGATGTCCTGACTCACTCTGGCGTAAACCACCTGTCCAACCTTGAGGTTGGGTCTATTCTTCTTGGTGGCATTGGGGAAAGCCATCATCGAGAGCAACACATTCGCCGAGAAGTCTTGCAACGACACCTTATAGGACTCGCCTATGGTCCCCGTGACGATCCCGACCACAAAGTCGTTGGCTTTGGGGATATATCGTTTGGACTTGGATTCGATGTATGCGAGCTGGTTGGTATTTTTCTTGTTGATTTTAACATTCAAGTACCCAGCGGCTGCGGGGATGATATTCTGCGTCTTGGGATTCTTATAAACTCCAGGACCTATGGTGGTCTTCATCTGCTGGATGTCTAGAGCATCTCCAGGCACAATCTTCATGGCTGATGACATTGAGAAATAAAATTAGTTTGCGCACAAAGACTGCGAAAAGGGTGTTCATTACGCTATACATTTTGTTTGAAGTTCCTGATGATATGACGTCTGTCTTCCATATAGTAGTCCAAGTCAGTCACGGTGATGTCAGGGAAGTTGACGATGCCGGTGCTGGGAATGGGTCGATAATCTCTTAAAAGAGCCATCGACTGGTAGTCAAACTGAAGCACACAGTTGCCGTCAAAAAATTTCAACGTCTCGATGTTCCGGGCATAAAGCTGCAGAATCATCGTCTCGTCCGTTCGCACAAACCGGTGGCCCGGTTCCCTGTCCTCATATCTGATGGTGGCATAATGCTCGGGTCTCACCAACGTATCGGCAAACGATTTGATGGGCACTTCCATGACGTTTTTAAAAGCTCTATTGGCAGACCGGTCCTCAGGAAACTCCGACTCCCACTCTATTCCCTTTATGAATATCCGTACCCGGTGCCGCAAAAATGAGTACAACCTCAACGCATAGTAGTTATGACGCTGTAACGAATCTTGCAAGTTTGTGCCGATATTGAGCGAGTTCACGGAGGGAGAGATCTCGAAAAACCTCCTGGCCGCATACGTCTGAAGGGTTGCAAAGCTGACCCCGAACAAGTATGGCGTTTGGGGGAAGCAAACTCGCAAAGCAGCCCCCACCACGTAGTAGTACGAAAATATGGTGGACCTCAAGTCTGAGGTGACCAAGTCGTTATGGGGGGTGACTGGTAAGAAGCTCGCAGACGGGAAGATGGTGTACCACTTTTTGAGTAAGTTGTAGATGCAATCAACCGGGTAGTTTATGACTTTGTTGTCGATTTTCTTATGATTCAACATTGGCAACAAGTCAAGCTTGATAAAGTCCATGAGCGTGTAGTACTGGGTTCTGAGTACCCGCAAGTTAGGGACAGTTTCAGGCAAGGTGCCGAAAACCACTGCCAAGCTCTCGAGATTCGAGATCAACTCGCCCAAGAAACTGGTATCGTATGCTGGGAGCTTGACCAACAAAATCTGGAACTGGTAGGTGGTCATGATGGTTTGGATCAAGTTGTTGATGGGTCTACCGTTGTTGTAGACCAAGAAGTTCTTAATGATGCTGATTCCGGTCGAGTTGATCTTGTGGTAGTTTTCCATGCTAAAGTCCAAAAGAATGATGCAGTAGCTGATAAAACAGTTGGAGTAGTAGAGGATGGGGGTCATTTCGTTCATATATTCGTCACGTTCCGCCAGTGGTGGCAAGGTGCTGGTACGGTTGAACTCAGTCAACTTAATTCTGAGTTCGGTCAAGCACCGGCTGTGGTTTTCAAAGCACTTCTTTGTCAAAATACCGATACATGGGTCGCCAAGCGGTCGCAACTTCTTTAACTCGAACAACGCCACCAGCTGACCAAGGCAGATGGTCATATCATTCAAAATACTAATGTACTTGGGTGGTTGTTCAAAAAACTTGGGTAGCAAATAGTCCACGAGCGTGACTTTTGTAAACTGGTACTCATTGATCTTGATCTGAGGAACAATATGAATCTTGTGGGGCACTCGTTGGAACCTGGTGATACCCGTGATGGCGTTGGGGAGGCCCTTGGCCCCATCCACCGGCTGGGGCACCGGTTCAGCAGACCCATAGTTCTGATCCGAGCCCGAACCTGGCTCCTCATCCTTGAAATCGCTCTCGATGTCCTTATAACTCACAGTTTTGTACTGCAACGGCGGGTACGTGAAGCTGGGAATTCGGATGGGCAAGTCGTCCAACTCGTGTTTGAATTCAAGTTCCTGGTATCCTTGTAAGTCTCCTCGGTTGGAGGTAGGAAGTCGATAGTCCGAACTCAACAACTTGTTCTGAGAGCTTCTTAAGGAGTGGGTCAAGAGGATCTTGTTGACCTCTTTGGCCGACAACGACAAGTAGGAGCACTTGTTTTTCTTACCTTTGGCACAGTTGTTGCATTCAGGCAAGCTTTCATCACAGCGGATTTTCTTCTTCTTGCAGTTCAAACACCCGAGTTTGGAGTTGGTGTGTTTTCTACGGGTGGCAGGTGACCCCTGATCGTTTTTGCTCTTCATGGGTAGAGGGGTGGAGGTCTAGGCCGGAGTTTGTGGATGTTGAAGCCTTGGGACCGATACAAAAGAAAAGAATTTTTGTTCTCGAAAATGCTCAGATTTGGATGATTTACGATTTTCCCAGGACTTCAGGAAACTGCTACTATGACCGGAAAACTACTCAAATTACGCTACTATAACTGGCATGGATGTATGGACGTATCCGCCTAGTGGTTCTTGTGTTAGTCCCATGAACATGGGGACTTTTGTGTATACCTTAATATTTGCGCTTTCAGCCACATAATACGATTGTACAAAGATTCTATAGATTTAGTCGCTGACACGTAACAACAATTGCCCACGAGGATGACGGAGTGTATTCAGCCCCTGTGGTTGACTTGGCATTTGGGGTCGCGTGGATAGCCATATAAGGAGGCATTGGTGTTATAAGAACCGATGCTAAGAAAACTGATCAACTGCACCGCAGCCATTGGTTATTTTTGCGAAGGTATCGGACCTGAGGTTCGGCCCCAAACGGCTTTAGTTGCGGCTCGTACTAATGGCTGGAAATGGTAGTGAGGATGCATTACAATGGGAGATTTTCAGACACAAAATAGAGAATGGAGAAGTAGGGAACCAGAATAGAACACAGAATGCAGAATCACAGAAGTACACAATGCAGAATCACAAAATTACAGAATTACAGAAGGTAGAATCACAGAATTACAGAATTACAGAAGGCAGAATTACAGAATTACAGAAGGCAGAATCACAGAATTACAGAATTACAGAATTACAGAATGCAGAAGCACAGAATCATAGAAATACACAAATACACAAATACACATACACAACAAAACTACCCGAATACAAAACTAAACAACCACAAAACAAAACCACACTGTACAAATGCAAGTCCCTCGCGAGACACCGGTATCCCCGCGTGCTGTCACCGCAAAAATTGGTCATCCCATACAGGCCGCACTGTCCCCATAAATAAACCACCCCATTTCCAATTGCTTCTTCATTCACCATGGCCCACCCTGATGCCAGCATCAAGTCCATCTACAGCGGCAAAGTCAATTTCTCGTCCTCCTACGACGCAGACCCTCCCGAGTTCGACCTGGATTCCCAACTCGACGACTCTCTTTCTCGCCTCAGCAACGAATCGCTCTCGTCTCGCAACCTAAAGATTTTCAACGTCAACTCCGACATCAGCCAAAATGACTTGTTCAACGACAGTTCTAGCGACGGAGAATCCAACGGCGATGGAAACTTGAGCGTTCCTTCGCCTAGTTTGTCCAGAAATTCCACCACCTCGTGCTTATCCACCACTGCCACCAAGGACGGAATCGAAGGCAGAAAGTTCCACAGAAAGGGTCCAAAAGCCTATTCAAACCATATAATTTCAAGCATGATCAAAACCACCACTGTCAAATCGGTCCGGGTTTCTAGTGCAGACCGGGTACCTAGTGAAAAGACCTTGAATGGCAACACAGACGTAAAAGGTTCCAAGGTCACCTCCATACACATTGACACCTCTCCCCAACAGTCTCCGGCCGGTGGCCGTGGCTCTCCCACCCCCATGGCTCAGGGAGCCTACAGCTACAGCGAGGTATCGTTCAAGACCACCGACGCCGAGTTCGAAGGATTCGGCGGCCATGAACAGCCGGCCCTACCACCTTTCTACAAGCAACCCGACATGTCCTTGTGGTCCAAAATTGACATGCTCAACCCAGACACCTGATTTAGCGCCTTTAACGAATGTACGATTAGACTCTAATATCTGCTAATTGTTGCAGCCATTTCCACCTGCGAGCAACAAAAAATTTTCGCATCAATTTTCAGATCTCGCTCGCACTAGTTTTCACTTCCCTCACATCATGTTCAGGTCCATTGCCAGATACGCCGCAAGATCAAGACCGATATGTGCCACCAGGATGGTACGGTTCGGCTCGTCCCTCACCAGCCAGCCCACTGAGGTGGAGACCAAGATCGCAGACACCTCTGATCCCAACCGGTCGCCATTCTTCCAGTATTCCTGGGGTTCGTGGATGAAAAACGACGCTATAGAAAAGGCAAAGAGACAGACTCGTTTTTCCATCGAAGGCACCACCAAGTTGGTTCAACTACTCTTTGAACATTATTCTGCCGAAAATAACAACTTCAAGGTGCAAACCCCCAAGTCTTTGGCGGATGGCTCGGTGATTTTGTCACACAACTTACTGTTGGTGGGCAAATCTGACGGCCTGCTCCTGGTCAAGTCGATTTCCAGCATCCACGAAGGTAAGAGCAACCGGATCTACAAGATCTCCTTATCAAACGGCACCGAATTGGTGTTGAGGCTCCCTTATAAATTGGAGAGCGAGTACTCAATCGGTGAGAAGATCAAGAGTGAAGTAGCCACCAACGATTTTCTTTCGTTGAAATTGGGTTTGAAGGTTCCTCGCATCTTAAGTTATGGTGCTAATAAACTCAACTTTCTTCAAAGTCCTTACATTTTGATGGAGTACATTCCAGGTGACCTTTTGATGAAACAATGGGAACCGTTGATTACTGATGAGGTTCCTGATTCCAAGCAGAAGCTCGAAGACGTGATCAAACCAATTGCCGACTTTCAGAATGCCACAAACTCAGTGGTGTTCAACAAGTTCGGATCGTTGTACTTCACTGCCGATGTCGAGGGATATTTACAGTCCGACTTGCCCTACGAAGGAGAATCCAACGAATTATTCGTCAACAGATGGAGAATCGGTCCATCAGTTGAAAAATCGTTTTTGAGAAATAAAAACAAGTTGAAGTCCAAGCAGATCACTACCCATAACGGACCCTGGCCCTCTGACCAGCCCGAAGCTGTCATTGCCAGCATTGCTAAAATTGAATTGGAAAACTTAACCACCAGATTAGGACTCGCGGAAGCCGATTCGAGTAATCAGGTTGAAAACATTCAAAACTTGAAGAACCTGATTGCAACCTTCGAGAACTTGGCGAAAATGGCCCCTTTGTTACTCAACAAGGCCTCCAAGAGCATCCCCAACGTTGAGGAATTGTTCAAACCAAGACTCTTTGTTCCGGACTTGGATCCATTGAACGTGATTGCCAACTCGGACAGAAACAATGAGTTGTTCTTCACCGACTTCGAGTACTCCTCCATCAAGCCGTTTGTGTTGTTTAACTACCCCAAGTTTGTGGCATATTCGGGTGTCAAGATATACAACTTGGAAGAAGACATCCCCAACTTCAAGGAACTTGACGAGTTGGAACAACAGCAGTACCAGTTCATGTACTACAAGACCCGTAATGAAAGGCTTTGGGAACTCGAGTTGAATAAAAATAGACACGACTTGATTGCGGTGGCCTCTCCTCATGTCAAGGTGTTGAAGTCTCCATACTTACAAGCGTTGGAGTACAAAAGCGATAGGGACTATTTATACGTTGAAGGATCCATTTTGCAACTCAAAGGACTTTGGGAAGCATACGTCGCCAACGAGTTGTGTAACGCACAAACCCCGGAATTCCCCATCGACTATACCCCTGAAGTTGTAGAACAATTCCAATCTGATTTGCAGGCTTACCAGACCGAAATTTCGTCTACTCCATTTGCAGCCACTGGGGGTTGGGTTCCGCAAGATATGTTTGACCAGTTGAAGGACGGCGGACTTTTGAAACAAACTCCAGATGGGTATGAGATTGAGACCGAGAAGCTTCTCCAGCAAGAACAGGAAGCTAACCAGTAATTAGACTCTAATGCTCGTGTGTATTTGTATATAGAATTATCAGAATTTAGGACACCTATAAGTACTTCTTAGCAAGAAGCTTGATGCGCAAATCAAAGTCCGGCGACGTGAGGGCGTCGTTCACGCTATAGAATGGGTCCATGAGCTCCTTAACGTAGAGTTCGTTCGTTTCCATGAAAAATTGCCGAATGGCATTCTCATCATATCTACCGTTTCCGTTATCGTAGCATATTATAAACTTGATGTTCCCTTGTGTCACAAATGCATTGACCAGCAATCCATAGAAGGAGTCCACTTTCCCCAAGTAGAACTGGTTGTTATTCCACTGAACATCCTCGATGAGATCAATGGAAGAATGGGTCACGAACGGGAGAATTTCCTTGACATTATTGGAAAACTGACTTTTGCCCGGCACCTGCGACGCCCCCGATCCGCCTAGCTTGAAAGAGGCAAACTCGAGCTCGTAGAGAGGCGTGTCGTTGGTTCCTATGATTGTGAAGTAGTAGGAGCTCATTCTGGATCTGCTAAATTTGTTAGGTTTCCGCGAAATTACTATAACTAGTAGTTTAATCGAAAAGTAAACAACTACTTCACATCCCTCAAAACAATTGATACGACCAGTGGCAACTATAATATGAGCCAAGGACTAAACCTCAAGAGGTACCAGTCTTTCCACTTCCATCCGAACCCGCAGGACTTGCACAAGCCGAACTTCATCTTTTCCCTGGATGTTTTGGACAAGGCCAAGCGCTTGTTTCAGATTTACTCCCACCTAAGAACCAATAACTCCCAACCCTCTATTGATTTAGCCGAGCACCTGGAGATCGACTTTGTGGTGAATGTCGAGCTCAACACTCTCATCAGCAGGAACAAGAGTTTGAAGCCTTCGGACCTCATTAGAGATAACCTCATCTTTTTGGCCAAAACTAACCATGACGAGGTTCGGCCCACAAATTTAATCAGCACCTTGTTGACCTACGACTCCAAGTCGAACATCTCGTGCCGAGACTTTGTGAGCGATGAGGTTTTTATTGTCACGTTAAGCTTGAGGCTACTCAACTTCATGGTAGACAGTTCGGGAGACCTCACTATAGACTTTTTGAAAGATGAGAACTATGGGATTCTTCTTCTTTGTGACTTTAATTTTATCCAACAGATCGAGTTATATATCTCCCGGTTGTTTCGTGAGGTATGGACATCATCCAGAGACTTTGACATCGACTTTCTGCCCCAACTAGCCGATTTGAGCGAGATCAATGATGAAATATCTGGCACAGAAACCACTTTGGACATGTCGGACCACGACGTAACTCCAGGCTGTTGCACTATAGACGATGGTGATATTCTGTACCAACTGTTACACCTTGATGAAGATGATGCTGTGACTTTAGTGGGGAAACACAATGGGCAGAAATCCAACATAAACTTCGGGTATCTTCTAGCCAAGAACCCGCTACAAAGAGTTAACAACAAAGACAAGAGAGACCAAGATACTTTTATTCGTGATATCGATAATTTGAGACACAATGACTCCACAAAGATGCAGTTACTTGATACCCTCGGTGATGCTCCTAAGCTCGGACCACCAATGCGAGACCCCCAATATGAGATCATCACCACAAGCACAGTTGCAACTTCCCCCATGTTATCTGCTGACTCTTTGAAAGCTCCTAATCTACCAGCCTCCAACAGATCGAGATCGAATTCCGCTGCAATTTCTTCAAACTTTCCTGCCGTCAAACTTAAACCTTCTAACTCGGCCTTGAGCGCTTCACAGGCTCCACAGCCGCTTGTGCTTCCTGACGAGGATGGAGGGACTCTTACCAGAAGACTGTCGCATAACATTACTTCCAAGCAACCTTTGAAGAAACAGACATCTTTTACCATTGACTTGCACGAGTACGATAACCTTGCTCCTGGTGCAGCTTACGTCAAGGGTGTCAAGGGAGACAAAAAGTTCCAGTTCATCAAAGTGGGCAAAGTGCAAAAGTTTGTCAATCTCTTTGAGGAAAGAGTCAATGAAGAAAACCAATCACAATCAACAACCCCCAGAACCATGAGTCCTCGACCCAGCCGGCCCGTGAGCCCAACCAAAATGTATTGACCCTTTATACTTTTATAGGACCCCTAATGATTAACGTGAGACGATTATTTCTGATACTTGGAAATGCTATCAGTGAGCTGGTTAAATTTACTGAAGATTCGGTTGATTTCTGCCTGCTCCACCTGTTTGTCTTGGACGGGGTTGACTTTGATGCTGTCCAAACACCACGATTCTCTCAAACTTCTGGTGATGCCAAGAAGGTCCTCGCAGAATCGTATTATGGATAACGCATCTGTTTCCATAGCGAGCGATTCCACCGCCAACAACTCTTTGGACTTGTCCTGAATGACTGCCACATCGAAAACGTCCTGGAATTTCTGGAGAATTTGTTCGACGTGGGTGTCTATGTTTTCTAATGATGGTTAATACGGTGCATTCGTGGTGTTAGATTTGATTTGAACATACCCAATAATGCTATTGATTTTGCTTGCATTGGTAGAGTTGATAGGAAAAAAGTCGCGGCAAAAAGATGCAAAAAAATTCTGCGCTTGTGACTCAGTGAAGTTAATTACGAACAGCTTGTATAAATCCACAAAAGTTTTCCTCTCACAGTCCGATGAACTCCCTAAAGTCCGCCTATGACTCGCTCCACAAAGAGGAGGGGGTTGAAGAGAAAACCTTGGAAAAAATCAATAGCGATACAAATCTCAAATACCGAGATGTCGCCGGTGCTAAACCCACTAAAGCCATATTGGCTCCCAATTGGGTTTATGGAACCACTTCACCAAGGCGCCCTACTTCCTCGGTGGGATCTGGACTTCTTTTGGCCTCCAACGGCCATATAGCTGTTCCTCTGCCTGAAGTGATACAAAACTACTTATATCCGATATCACCAACTTTGCAACAGAAGATCCTCAAGTACAGAACGAATTTATCGCAGTTGATGACTTCCCTGTTAGACTCGCTGACAGCTGACAGGCCGTTGTTGGTGCTTGTCGGTCCAAGTGCCATCAAAAACTCCAATCAGATCAAAGCATGCTCCCAGTGGATCGGTACTTTGTTGGGCAAAAGATTTCAGTATACACCTACCCAATGTGCTTCTGAAGTCCAGCAAATCTTCAATTCCACTTACAAACCGGCAAACTTAATGTTGTCTATGAGAGCAAACTTATCTCAGTACACCACTCCATATGCTGAGTTTGACCAGATCCAGTCATTCGCTGGCAGTGTAAGTACTTTTGAGGTCAGTCATGGAATGCCCTACTGTCGAGCCTTGTTGGACGATTTGTGTGAAATCTGTCCGATTGTGGGAGATATTAGTGATACCCTTACGCCTCAGTATTTATCTGACTTGTTCTGTTACGGGCTCGTAAGTTCAACATTAATTGAATCTCAGTTGCATCGTGAATTGGTGTCTGGTGTATCATTTCCTGTGGGGTTCAGCACCTCAGACTCCAACCTTTCTTTCGATAAACTCATGTATAAACACAAACTTCAGTCGGGCTTGGATGCGATGTTTGCAAGTACTCAACCGCATCAGTTCTTGTCTGTCACCAAATTGGGAACTGCTACGGTGGTGGGAACTACAGGAAACGATGAGACGTTTATCTTGGTGGAAGTTAATACCGATCTAACTCTTGAAGACGTCCAAGAGTGTATTGATAAGGTGTATTCCGATAAGCCGTTGCGTCTCCACTATCCTAGAATCATGTTAGATGTGGGAAAGCTTTCAGCCGATGATTATGATCACAAGTTGGATGTGGTGGCTACGCTTCTAAGCTCACTGTCTTATTATAAAAGTACTATTCTTGGGGTGGTTGTTGATAGTGGTGACGACTACGTTCCAACCTCGTACAAATCAGATTTGACCCAAACCGGTTTTGCTGCTGCCTCCGATGACAATGCAAACCATGACGAAGGTTTTGAAGAAATGAAACGGTACTTTACAAGAAATCTGCTAGGGTCTACTGACACTGTTTCTTATGATGAATCAATGCAGGAATCATCGTTCGAGTACTTCATCAATGCAAATAAATTTATTTCCCAGTTGGATAAACTAAAGTCTCAAAACAGTTATAGCTAACTAAAACAACAAAAACTTGATAATTTTCCACACCAACTTAAACCAAAATAACACAAACTTGTAAATATTGGCTACTATCCAGATAACCCGTAATACAATAACGATAAAGTTTTCTAGTAACATGTATACTATTCTGTAGTTGCCCGATTCGTTCATAGATATTTTCTGGTTTTGGTGCAAGTCTAGTTTTCCCACAAAGTTGTTGCCGAAAAGCGAGTTGTTCAATCGGTCGAGCTTTTCGTCGACTTTTCTGAGCTCTAGTGATAGCGAAGTGTTTATCTCAGCAAGTAAACGATCACTGCTAGTAAGCAAGTTGTCGATTTTGATGGAATAATCGTCATTAATGATGAGGGTCAATGACTTGATTTCGTTCAAAATCGTTGAGCATTGCAAGTCGTACGTAGGAATCGTATCATCGTTGATATCCACCATCAATTGATTTAACCGGGGTATCGTAGTGTTGGTTAATTCGTCAATTCTGGAGCACGCAGACTCAAAGAGCTGTGGGTATATGTTTGCAAGAAAATGCAACTTTACAATGGTAGAGTTTCTGAAGAATCTCTGGTTATTGGAAATCTTTTTGAATTGGATATCGAGACTTTCTATTTGGGGCTTGAGTGATACCGGCTGCTCGAGGTCAGGCTCTGTAATTTCTACTACATCGGTCTCATTTCTCTTTCCTTCCGTCGGCTTGAACTTGATGTTGCTCAAGGACGAGAAAGGAGCCTCAAGTTCTGTCTGAAAAGGTCTCGACAGGATATTCAAATCGTCTTTTGAAGCAACATAAGGGTTTATTTCTTCCTTGATTTCAACCAGTTCATCCCCCTGGATTGACTCTTCCACCTCCGACCCTGACCCCGACTCGTGAGAGCCTCTCAAAGTCTTACGCACCTTCGTCTTTAGTCTGTCTCGTCTCCCTGTCTTGAGCTCCGTCAACGGCGACAAGTTGGAAGACCTCCTCGACTTACCAGAAGTCTCCGACTGGTCTGACACCATTGATTTTGTATCTCCCGACTCTGTGTCATCGTCCACAAAAAGCTTGTCGTGGAGCCTATTCTTCATCTTCAACCTGCCCTCGTGCTTGCGAGCCTTTGCAACTTTTCCCGAGCCAATAGAGAGTCCCGAAGATTTGGGGAACCAGAGGTCGCCGTTGCGCTTCTTCAACTCGTAGATATGCCCCATTCTCCACGCTTGGTCTCCCACGAGCTCGTTCAATTCGACGGCCCACATCAACCTCCAGGGTCTCTGTTTGCCGGCAATATTCTTGGAGCTGAAAGCGGTGGACGCCAATGGCATGGTCTTGAACGTAATCAGCTGGGGCGGCTCGCGGTACTTGGCCCGCAACTTACGGTTCCGAATGATCTGGAGCGGGTTGTAGACTCCATCCACCCCTGGGAACTTAATCGTATCTTGGTGTGAGTAAGTACGGTCAATCACAATGTATTTTAGTGATAGCGTCGCCTTGACCCGCTCGGCTCGGAGGTACGTTGCCTTCGGGATGGTCATCATCTTGGAGTTATCGGTGGCATTGAAGGCGTCCTCCATTCCCCTAATATCTAGTAGTTTGTGTTCTTGGAGGTACGTTCGCTTTGAATCTAAAAGCATTCCTGCCAACTCGCGGGCCTTCTTCAAGTCAGCCTCGTCGTAGTCCTGCGAGTGGCTCTGAACGCTTTCCACCGCCGTGCTCTCCCTGCCGCTGGAGCGGTACGAGTCGAGGGATAAAACTGTATCGAAATCAAACCCGTTCCCATCCACCGCCGATAACAGCAGTGGGTCAAACTGGCTGGGCAACATTCGTGGGTTCCTATGCAAACTATCGGCAGCGCCCTGTGAGTCGGTGGAGATGCTTTCACCTCTCGGCCTATTTATACTGCGTGCAAACGCTGTTGTTAACGGATCCAAACTCATCACCGTGTCATTATCTACTTGCCAAAAATGACAGGACAATTCGCATTTTAATTCATTTATCAGCAAAAACTCACAGTTCGATGTCAGGTGTTCAGTTTGTCAAGTCGAAGGCTGACTTCCAATTGTATCTCAGCAACAACAAGTATCTCATTGCCAACTTCACCGCCTCCTGGTGTGGGCCGTGTCAGGCCATCAAGCCTCTAGTCGATGATCTCTACGCCGAACCACTCTACGGTAAATTGGAGATTGTCAGAATTGATTTAGACGCCAACCAGGAGTTGGCCACCCAGTACAACGTCACGGCGGTGCCCACGTTTCTTTTCTTCGAGAACGGCGAGGTGGTCGACACCGTGAGAGGTGCTTCGGCCAAATTGAAGGATTCATTTGAACAGTTGAGGGCAAAAGCTGATTCTGATCCCACCGCCATTGCCAGAGCAGGAAATGCTACCACCAGTGCTGCACCCGCACCCGCTTCTTCTGCTGCCTTGAAGGAAATCGTGCTGTTTATCCCCAAAGGTTATCTGGTGTTGAATGATAATGTCCACTTTGGGGATTTTGAGGCTTTAAACACCCAGGCCCTCAACTCTAATACCAGCATCAAAGATGTGTTTGACCTCTCCAAGCCGTCGACTTCTGTTTTCTCGGATGCCGATTCCCAGATCTTGTTGTACGTGCCCTTGACGCATATCTCCAAAATATACTCCATTCTCATCAAGACCAAGAAGCCTGTTCAAGTGAGTGAAACCACCTTGTTGGACGAGGACGACGCCGAGGAAACCCAATTGCCCAACTTGATCAAAGTATGGGGCAACAAGCTCAATATCTTGGCATTTGAAGATGCGGCCGGCGATAATGCTGCTCCTCACATCGAGAAGTTATCATTGCCAGATGAGGAAGGATGGTATGAGTGCAGATTGAAATTTGTACGGTTCCAAAACGTGCAAAGTTTGAACCTTTTCTTCGACGGGGACGATGATGACTTCCATACTGTCATCGACAAGATTGCCATTGTGGGACTTGGAGGAGAACAGAAAGATCAGAATATCATTGACAAGCTTAGAGGTGAAGATCAGTGAGCAGTAAAATGGCAGTAGGTAAAACAGTCTATATATTTATTGTACTTGTGTTGACGACACACTGGTTCCATAATACAAACAGTCCCAACCTTCGAGACCATTCCCTGTTGTTGGTAGGTTGGTTATTAACTCCTTATATATGCGGTCGTGCGCTGCCCATCCCCAGCCAGGTGTTGCTCGGTCTGGAAAAAACTGAGAACATTTTACCATACTCTCCAAAAAAAGGCTGGCATCCATTTAGAACTCACAGCTCCTATCATGATAAAGCAGATTTTGTTGAAGAGGGCATTGCCCCAACCTTTGGGAGCAGCCCAGTCCATTCTTAAACGAGGTTTGATGACCAGACCCGCCACCAGTGCCAAATCATCCCCTTTGCACCGGCAATTGACACTCAATAACCGTGTGATTCAAGGGTTTATTCGGATGAATTCTCAAGCCCCAAAACCCCAGAGCGACGGAGAACCCGCAAAGGACAAGGCGGATGGCGCCGTCCCACCCAAGTCCGGGTCCGAAGCAGTGGTGGAAGTGGCCCAAAAAAAGACCTTGTGGGAAAAAGTCAAGCACGAAGCTCACCATTATTGGGACGGTACCAAATTGTTGGGATACGAAATCAAGGTTTCCACCAAGTTGATGGTCAAGGTATTTGCCGGTTACGGGCTTTCCCGTAGAGAGAGCAACCAGTTACAAAGAACGTTGGCAGATTTGGTGAGATTGGTGCCGTTTGCCGCATTAATTCTTATTCCGTTTGCTGAATTGTTGATTCCAGTAATCGTCCGTATTTTCCCCAACTTTTTGCCGTCCACGTACGAGTCTACCAGTGATAGAAAGAAAAAGAATGCCAAGTTGTACAAGGCTAAAAAAGCTGCATCTCAGTACATTAAGCAGACGATGGAGGAAAGTGGGCTCAAGTTGAGCAAAATCAATGACAAGGAAAGAGAGGCGTTTGTGTCATTTTTTGACACCTTGTCGATGGGAAAGCAACCTTCCAGGGAGCACTTAACCCAGGTGGCTCGGTTATTCAAAAATGATCAGGTTTTGGATAACTTGTCGAGACCTCAGTTATTGGCCATGGCCAAGTATATGAACATCACTCCATTTGGTACCGACTCAATTTTGCGGTACCAGATCAGGCACACGTTGTTGAACATCATCAAGGACGATAAGGCCATCGACTACGAGGGGGTCGAATCCCTCACCATCCAAGAATTAAAGTATGCTTGTCAACAAAGAGGTATCAAGACCGTGAATGTTTCACCCGGTAGATTGAGAGATGATTTGACCACCTGGTTGGACTTGCGATTGAGACAAAAGATCCCTTCCACCTTGTTGATTTTGTCGTCCACCTACACTTATGGGGAAAATTCCCATGATATCGAATCGTACTACGACGCTCTTTTAGCTGTTTTGAGTGCTATTCCCGACGAGGTCTACAATGTGGCCAAATTGGAGTTATCGGACGACTCTAAGTTGAAGTTGGATATCTTGAAGGAACAGGATGAGTTGATTAACGAAGAAAACTTGAGAGAAAAAGACACCGTTACCCATGTGAAGGATGAAATCAAGTTGGACGAGTTGGAAGAAGCGGCCGAAGGTGGAATCCAGCTGGAGCCTGAGAATGTTTCTGCTGCCGTGGAAGAAGCCCAACAGCTGACCAAGTCGGAAGAAACCAAGTCGGAAGAAACCAAAGACCAACCTGAACCGATTTCAACTGCCAAATCATCTGAAAAACTGAGGCCGACTGCCAGTATGTGAGCCTTCAATTGTAAATAGAAGTATTTAACGAAGTATAATGTGGAAAAACTATTTAAATATACATTATGGATGAACCTCCGATAGCATTACTGAGCACCAAATCCTCCAGTTGAACCAAATCCTCCTTCGCCTCGGTCGGTGGCGTCTAATTGTTCGGCCGTGATCTCTTGTACGTCGGTCAAGAGAATCTTCTCCAACACCAACTGGGCAATTCTGTCCCCTTCGGCAATTTCGAAATCCTTGTCAGAGTGGTTGAAGAGAATAATCTTCACCTCTCCTCTATAATCAGCATCGATGACTCCGGCCCCGGTTGAAATCCCATGCTTGGCCGCCAACCCTGACCGCGGAGCCACTCGTCCATAGCACCCAACAGGCACCACAACCGTCAAATCGGTTTTAATCATGGCCTGTCCGTGACCAGGAACCAACCCCGATTCAGATGAGTAGATATCATATCCGGCAGCCAAAGCAGAGCCTTTGGTAGGGACCTTGGCCTTATCGGATCTCAATAATACTTTCAAGGTGGCGACGTCTTCGAGCTTCTGTTTTTTAGCAATTGGGTCAACTGTAGTGGTCATTGGGAGAGTTTGGTGAATAAATTTCTGAGACGCGTTTGCGATGCGATATGGCCTCAGACAATTCTGACCCAGACACCCACATTCGTCCACAGAACAGTTCACACCTCTGGATCGGTGAACAACTGGTTCGGCTCCAATACGTACAATCGGTTGCCCTGTAAGTACAAATAGTAGTTGAGGTACGAGCCATTGAAATAAAACTTGTCAACGGGTAACTCCAGTCTCCAGTCGAAATCAGATAAATTCACATCATAAATATAGTCCAATGCCACCACAAGCTTCCAGTGAGTTCTGATGAACCGGTGGAGCAAAGTCAGGTTGTCCACCACTTTGTACTGCATCTTCTCTGTTTTCGACATTTGCAGCCATAACTGCGAAGCTCTCTTGGATAAATCAGTAAAGTTGTCCACATGGCTCTTGGACTTGAGCTGGCTCACAAACCGCAGGTAGCTATGTCCTATTGGATGAGGTTTGGTTTCTAGGTAGAAATTGTGCACTTGTCTAGCAGCCCACTTTTCTTGAAGGTGAGCCATTCTGGACTCACTGGTGTGTTGCAACAGCAACTCCGGTACATGTGAAAAATCGTCAAGCTTCTCTTCTAGGCCGTGAATTTGGGCAGGACTGAGCTTCTGGTGCTTGAATGCAGATTTAATGATCACGTCGTAGTAGTCTTGATGTTGTTTTTGTTGAGACAGAAACTTGTCCATAATGATTTCCCATGGCTTGAGGCCCAGATAGTAGTATGGGTTGAACCGGTGGGTCAGAAATCGCTTCAAAAACTCCACGATCTCGTAGCCTTGCCAGATTCTTGTGCGGGTTTCAAAGGCATTGTTCACGTAATGCTCATCAGAGAACTGTGACTGGATAGAAGGTTCAACAGAATTCCACCGATATAGAAGTTTTTCCTGGATACTGGAGTATTGTGAACGGAACAAGAGCTTCCCGGCGAGCTTTTCGGGAGGAGGTTTGGAGTACAAGGAAGATATAGGGATATGTTGTCCTGTGAGAATGCCTTCGTCTATGCTAAACAAATGAGATATCTCTCTGATATCGTGCTGTTTGGGGTTCTCTTCGAAGAGAATCAGTCGTAGAGCCGTGAGGATTTCGGTGTTGTCGGCCTGGAGGGGATAGCCGATCCTCAATGGTTCCTTTAGCATTTTACCTCTCACCTTCCCAAAGCTTCTCATTGGAGTTTTGAGATGTTTTTCGCAGTTTTCACTTTTAGTTGTCTCACTAATAGTCTACATTTGGATCTTGTATTAATATATTCGTTGCTCATCACTATCCTTCTCATGCTATGCCCGCAGGGGCACGAACGAAGACATATTGAACGTCTCGTAAAGTCTTACCTTCAAAGCCGTAGGAATTGTGTCTTCGGTTTCGTAGTGAGGGTCTTTTGCACCTCCCACATCAGTCTTTCTTCTGAGAATTTCAATCTCTACTTCATCAACACTCCTTCCCACGGGTGACGCTGTCGACTGCTTATAGACCGCTTGGAACAATACCAATTGGATAAATAAGATAAGTAAGTCCGATAATAAGAGTCCAAATAGACCCAAACGTGCCACTTTACTAGAATATCCCAACAGGTCCCAGTCGTCAATGGGCCGGTGCTCGCCTATGAAAGACACAAACCACCAGGTGCCATTGTCTATATTGATGTTCCCCAGGTCAAAAATGGGTTTGAGCCAGTAGCACACGAAACCAATGTGATAAGCCACCATAAGCACCGCTTTCCAATAGATAGTGGCACAGACCTTGGCAACGATTCCGGATACTATACGATCTCTGCTTGCTTCATCAACGTCATTTTCTCTGTTGAGGATCTCCAAGTCATTGATAAAGCTTAAAAAATCCCTTGAGTCGGACTCAGAACTGGTGGAGAAAAACTGTTCACTGCTCAAGAGCTTCTGTACTATAATATGGCAGACCACCGGTACGAGACTGGCCAGATGGCAGTACTTTACCAACTGGTACACAGCCAAAAAGTACACCAATTTGTCTAGTTGATTCATCAAATGGGTTTGCCTGATGGTCTTTCTGACCACCGTTTGTTTCTGGAGGAATCCCGTCAAATTCTGCTCATCCACAAAAGTATTGGCCTGAGACGCCGTGTCCTCCATTTTGGTATAGAACTGAGGGGCGATGGGGTGACTGGGACCCTCTATAAATGCTCCAGGCATTTGATCGCTCATATCACTCGTCATGGATTTGCAATTGCACTTCTGAAATCAAATCGCGATTTTTTTTACTGACACTTGATTAACAAATGCTTATATTTAAAACATTATATAGCAGTACCTGGACTAGGGCCTCTAAAATACATGTAGAAAAAGTATTGACTAAACAGAACGGAGCTCACACACCAGTCGATTGCCTAAGAGAACAAAGCACCAATATCAGCAGGTAATTCTTCAATTTGAGTGGAGTAGAATCTTTCAATTTCTCTCATCATACCAACATCGTTATCGGTAACAAAGTTGATAGCAACACCCTTTCTACCAAATCTACCACCTCTACCAATTCTGTGGATGTAGTTTTCCTTGTTGGCAGGTAAGTCGTAGTTGATAACCAATGACACTTGTTGGATATCAATACCTCTGGCCAACAAATCGGTAGCGATCAAGATTCTAGAAGAACCAGATCTGAATTCGTTCATGATGGTGTCTCTTTCACTTTGTTGTAATTCGGCGTGGATAGCAGAAACAGTAAAGTTTTCGGCTCTCAACTTGTTGGTCAAGTATTCAACCTTAGCTCTGGTGTTACAGAAAATAACAGTTTGGGTGACAGAGATCGAGTCGTACAAGTCACACAAACAGTCAAACTTGTATTCTTCCTTTTCAACATTGATGAAGAATTGCTTAATACCTTCCAAGGTCAATTCATCCTTCTTAACCAAAATTCTCACAGGGTTTTGCATAAACTTGGTGGTAACTTCCAACACGTCTTGGGGCATGGTGGCAGATAACAAAACAACTTGAGTTTCCTTTGGCAATAATCTGAAAATGTTATAGATTTGTTCGGTGAAACCAGAAGACAACATTTCATCGGCTTCATCCAAAATGAACATCTTAATCTTCTCGGTCTTAAAGAATCTTCTTTCAATCATGTCGAAAACTCTACCTGGAGTACCAACGACAATTTGAACACCGGACTTGAAGGCTTCAATATCGTCTCTAGTGGATGTACCACCGATACAGGCGTGAACGGTGACGTTCAAGTACAAACCAATGTGGCTGACGACGTTTTGAATTTGCAAGGCCAATTCTCTGGTTGGGGCCAAGATCAAAGCTTGGGTAGTCTTGGAGTTTTCATCGATTCTTTGTAAAGCGGAGATGGTGAAGGTAGCAGTCTTACCGGTACCGGACTGGGCTTGGGCCAACACATCTTTACCTTCTGTGATTGGTAAAATAGCTCTTTGTTGAATGGCCGATGGCGCTTCGTAACCGTAACCGAAAATACCTCTAACGATGTTTTCTTTCAAGTTCAATTCATCGAACGAGTATACGACGTTGTCGTAGTTGGTTTCAATCAAGTTGGCGTCGACTTCTTGGATACCTCCGGACATATTGATAATGTGGGATTAAATTAGATTTAAGTGGATTGTGAAGGATTTTTTAGATGGTGAAAAAAATTTTTTTGTGATTCGTGGTGCGGGTTTCCGGGTAATGCCACGTCTTTCCTTCCAACTAGCAACTAGTTGCAAAAATACACGTCTATGACATTACTAGTAGAGGGCAACAAATACATAGAGGGAAACTAGAAATGTGATTGGTAGGTGAAGAAAGTCCAGTCGCTCAAGTTATATCGTGTATTACAAACCAATTATGGTATGGATGAGAAGAACGCAGAATCATAATGATACACAAAACAAAAAACAAATTATAGCCATGAAGTATATTGGACTAGATCCCAACATCTTCAAAACCTTATACGGCGGCGAGGGGGGTTCTATTGCGAGTCCAATCCAAGCTGTTCAAGCTTCTCAGACACTTTGTCGATGTTGACAGCTCGAGAGTAGGCGTGCGTAGTAGTGGTGGGAGCAGCAGGTTCCTTGGTAACCTCAGGAGTCTTTTTCAACTTGGAAATCAATGAGTGAGTGGGGACATAGTCGTAGGTCTGGTCGAACTGTCTCTCAGGTCGTTGAAAAGGATGGAACCCATACACCGACTGTTTCTCACGTTCATTCACGAGCTTAGTCGAGTCTTTAGGTGCCAGTTCTGAATGAGCATCCGTGACCGTCACATGACGAAGACGGGAGGGGCCTGGGGGTACCGAGCCGGACTTGAGAATCGACTTCTTCTTCTTCCTCTTGTCGTCCCATGAATTCCCATAGTTGGGAATCGAGCCAAACGCACCCGAGGTACTCTTGGGAGGCGACAGTCTACCAGCGTCCCACAACGAGTCTTTGGTGGTGTAGTGCTTGTCCTGGGGGTGCCCGTCTAAAATGGCCAACGTCGCAGTACCAAAGTATTTGTGCCATAAAGCCCACCATTCAGCGTGCGATGCGTTGTATGGGTACTTCCACGGCTTATGAGGGCCGATATAGTGAATCAACTTGACGTGTTGACCGTAGTGTGCCAGGGCCGTGTTGCCGTATAACGACTGGGCAGAGACTTGGGCGGGCTCTTGCGTGGACTCAGGTAATGGTGGTCCAATTGGTTCGGTTTGGAACGGAGCCAACGCCCCAGAAAAATAGTGATACGCCGGCGCATACTGGTACTGGGTGTTGGGAGTCACATTGTACAAGAAGGGGAGGCTAATCCAATTGTTGGTGCTGGTACTGGCACTGGTACTGGCACTAGTAGAAACCTCAGTGTTGTTTGAGTCCACCACCAGGGCAACCCAGTCGGGATTCTGATTAAAGTACTGATTCAACAACCCCTGGTCAGCCCCGTCGAACGAGACGTCTCCTCCTGACTGGATCAACTGCACAAGGTTACTGTAGTCTCTCTTGTTGGGTTTAATAACAAACATTCCCGAATTGAAAACATCGGGGAACCCCGAGTCGGGACTAGCAAGAATCTTGCTATCGTGGAACTCCAACTTTAACAAGTCCAAGAGATTAGAATGGGGGTTGGGTAAAGTATCAGCGTCCAAGTATAACACCTTATCGTACTCAAGGGACCATAAATGGACTTTGGAGAATGTCTTACCCAATTCAGGTCTTTGCAAGTCGTGCACAAGTTTATGGGTCAAGTGAGTGTCAAGGAGAGGAATGTCGATGATTTGGTGGTATATCTCTTGTAAGAGCCCAAGTTGTTCACTGGTAAAAATCAGCTTATCGGTAAGAATGGCTAATGAAATGTCCAAGGGATGTAAAGGAATCATATCCCTTAAGATTGACCCGAGCAAAAGAGCCCCCGGTAAGTAGCTGGTGTCATATAGCAAGGTGGCTATGGCGATCGTCATAGGGTACTTTGGTGGAAGTTTGGTGGGTGTATTGCAAAACAAAAACCCCTAAATGTATGAAGTGCGCAAAACAAGGTCGTAAAGTGAAACAAACATCTGCAAGCGAGCATCTCATTTAGCCAACAAAATCTCAGACAAGCACAATGACACCCCCAAAATACCACTAAAACACGTCATATCACCACCAGTACACCCCCAAAACACAACCAAAACACAACCAAAACACCTGCCCTCACGCTCTACACTAACTTCTAATGACATTAATTAACTATACAATTAAATAACTCAACTGACTTAACGGGAGTAAGACCAGACATTCTTCAACAAACCGTCTTGTTGAGCCAATCTGTTCAAAGAGTCGTCGGCTTCACCTCTACCTCTGATGTATCCACACAAAGCGTAAGTAGTGACATCTCCGACAATGGCTCTACCTTCTTCATCAACATTGGCAATGCTGATTTGAACGGAGGCGTGATCCTTGGCCTTGATGATTCTGTTGGTGGCAGAACATTTTCTTGGAACGTATAATTCGACCTAGAGAGAAGTTAGTATTTGACAGTTGGTTACGACGTGTGTGTTTGGAGATGGTGAACGACTTAGTACTTGGAGTGTCCTTGGTGATACTTCATAAGTTATGTTATGGTTTGACCTGGCAAGTCCTTCTTTCGGCACCACGTGATTGTTACAGGAGTCAGGCTTTCTTAGACTTCGGGTAGCCAGTTGATGATAATCTTCAAAAGTGCCACTCGCAGATGATGGTGCCCCAGGGAATGTAGTGGGCTGCTTTGAGGATTTGTGATTCTGTATTTTGGTTTCATCTTCTAATCGTCGTTCTTGTCTATGACACACACCTCACATCGGCGAGGAGTTCAACATACTAATTGACCTTTATCGTTTTCCATCTTGATTAATGTGTTTCTATGAGTTACAAAATTTTTTTCACTCTTGAATTTTTTTCTCAACAGTGAGAACTCAGGTGTGCGCACGAAATAGAGCCTTTGGGGCTTGTGCCCGCAGTCACAGAACCCAATTGCAGCCATACGGTGATGTGATATATTGAATGCTATTTACTTACTTAGAAGCCGTTCTTTAACCGCAACACCGCTACGCTCTCAACGTGATGTGTCTGAGGGAAGAAGTCGAACCCCTTGACGCTGACCACCTCGTAGTGGTGGCCATTTTCTGTGTGGTGGATAAACCATTCGACGTCGCGAGCCTGACTGTGGACGTTACAACTGATATACACAATTTTGGCAGGGTGGAAGTCAGATAACTGGTTCAAGAACACATCATCACATCCTTTCCGAGGCGGGTCGAGGATCACCGACGTTTTGTCGGCTGGCAAATCGATGTCCTTAAAGATTTCTTCGGCTTTTCCAGCAATAAACAGGGCGTTTTGAATCTTGTTCAACTCCGCGTTCAACCGGGCAAACTTCACTGAGTCGGCACTAACCTCGACTCCAATCACTCGCTTAACATTGGTCGAACACGTGATCGAGAAGAGACCCGACCCACAGTATGCGTCCACAAGATAATTGTCAGAGTCAGATGCCAAATTCAAGTTGGCCTTGACGTAGTCAGTAACGGCTGGGAGAATCGAGTTGTTGTTCTGAAAAAACTCTCCGGCAGAAAACTTGAACTGGAACCCATTGACGAACTCAGTGACGATGTGCCGGGGGTTGGTGACGCATGTTTTGACCATTCCATCAACCTCAAGCTTGGAGATCTCATTGTCCACACCAGCAGATTCCGAACTGCTATCGAACTCAGCACTCTCTGAATTCTGGGTCTGCTCTCTTAACAATATGGTGGCTCCTCTTTTATATGATGTAAAGCTGTCTTCAAACTTCCTCCTCTCGTTACTCATGCCAATGTTGATTATGGGTGTACCGATAGGACAATCCTCGATATCCACGATAGAAGCATCACCTCCAGCCGTCTCCCGCCATTTGGGCCTTCCCTTAGCACCGAAACCCAAGCTGGGCCGCGTGTCCAATGTCCTGCTCTTGTCTGTTCTTATGGCGTTGGGTATGTTGAAGTGAGGTGTTAACTTGGTTCTATAACCATAGGTTAAAGGAGATGGCTCAGTCTCGTTAATAGCCGGTAAGATCTTGAATAACTGTGGAGCAAAGAACTTGTATGCATTTTCTATCACCATTCGCTTGAACTCCAATGCCTGGGAGTACGAGACGTTCTGGTACTGGCATCCTCCACACTTTCCAAAATACTTGCAGTTAATGAGCTCATCGTTTCTGAATTCAGATGGTTGTGTCACCTTAACGAGGTCCGACTCAACATACATCGGGTGTGATTTGTAGATCTTGATGTCAGCAACATCACCCGGTAATGCAAATGGAATTAGGACGATTTGCTTCTTATCGCTAATAACTGGGTGGTCGATTATACTGATACCATCTCCGTTGGAAGTCAACTTTAGCACCTTGACACCACTCACTAGCACATGATACGTCTGGCCCAATTCAAAGTCATTCAAAATCGTCTTCATATCGTTGACAACGTCGTCTTTCGTCAAGTTATGTGCATCTAACAACTGCTGGATCTCGTATTCCAAAACTCCTAGGGGTGAGGTTTTATCCACCGATTTGACCTTGTACCGTCTCTTACCCGTATTGGAGGCCTTCCCCCGTTTCACATACGCTCTATCAGACCCGGCGGTCCGCTTGATGCCTCTATCTTGTTGAGGTCCAAGCTCCACATTAGAAGGCGCCATAATAGATTATAATACAGAATTTCTATACAATTAATTTTTCGCGATGACTTAAAGGTTAGCGAATCACTGGGGCATCATTAATAATTTACACCCATCACTGCTATTTGTTGGCAGGCCATCCACTCTTATCACTTTGATACTTGAGTGGGATATTCGTATATAACCAGCTGAGTGGCCTCTTTTTCACGGTTCCGTTCGAAAAATACGACCGCGAGTCTTCAAGCTCTTTGATGACATCGGCCTCAGAGTACCCAAGCGATTTGCCGATCTCGATAGCACTATAGATCTTTTTGCGTCTCACAAAAGTTCTCAGCTCGGTGTCATTTCTCCACTTGGCACTGTACCGGAGTTCCAACTCTTTCAATGGAGGTTTTCCATTAATTCCGTACTCGTATTCTTTCCAAATCTCTTCGACATTTCTGGCACCTTTTTCAAGCTTGAATTGCGGATACTCAATTCCTTGTATGGAGATGTTGGGCATCCCTCCGACGGCCGCGTGGGGCGACTTGTTTTCACTAGATTCACTGGATTTGCTCAACTTCCGCCGTTTGTGGTCAGGCGACGCGGGCTGATGCGTAGATGAACTCACCACCGAATTGGTGGTCTCGTGAATCAACCGGCTGAAGTTTGCATCTTCTTGTTCCATGGTTTCCACCGAGTTGAGTACCAGCGACAACAAACCCGAGTCGAGTTTGCGTTTTTCGAGCGAATCAACCGTTGCATCCGACAAGGTGCTTGGAAGAGCTGATGGACTGGCAGAAATGGCCGAGGCCGCCAGAGCATTGGCCGCATTGGCGGCATCGAGGTCGCTGTTGGAGTTGGACATAGACATATCAATGCCACGGGAGCTCATCTCAAGTTGCCGGTTAAAAGAAAGAGCTCTGTTGATGGGAATCGGATAATCAAACGTGGGTTTGGGCGTGAACGGCCTCATTTCTGGGGATCTTATTCCCAACGCCTTGGACCACTGTCTATTGATGTCGACTATCGTGTTCTCGGCGAAGCTGTTGACATTGTTGAGAAGAGGTCGCGCAAGGTCTGTTTGTTGGACAGAAGCATCAGTTTGGGACAATGCGTCAGTTTGAGACAAAGGGTCAAAGATATTGGAAGACGAGCTTGATCGAATGGTAGGCTCGCTTTCCCGGTTGACTGACGCTTGGGTTGGTACTGCTGGCTGCGATATGGTGTTGGTGACGGTGGTGCCGTTTTTGGTGGTGGTAGTAGACCGTACTGACTGAGTTTGGGGCTGATTTACCATCTGGGGTCGAACGACAGTATGTCCCTGAGTTCCTGGTACTTGGACCGGAACTCCGTTGACAGTGGTAATATTATTATTGATGTTGACGGGATTTCCCTGGTTGTTGTTCGTAGGCAGTGACAGACTAGTCACGGGAGTGGCGGAGGAATTAGTACCTCCAGCATTCCCTCCAGCGGCTGATGTCGACACGTTGGTGTCAGATTTTGGATCCAACCTGGTTATATCACTGCTCAAGTCAGCCATATGTTTACCGATTAACTCAATTTTCTTCTGTAAATTGGAGCTGGCATCAGTTGACGAACCGGATCGGACAGCAGCCACTTCTTCCGTCAAAAAATTCATTTGGCCTTCAAGCACCAGAAGTCGTTCGTTCAACACCCCGAGCTGGAAAGACAGTCTCATGTTGAGCCCTTCGATTTTTTTGTCTGTGTTAAACTGGTAGTTATTTATGTGCACCCAAAGAGACTCGATTTGTTTGGCGGTCGAATGTGGTGTTGGTACAGAATGAGGCGACGGACGGCCCACTGATGCATCAATCTCAGCAGACGGATCTGTACCCGAAGTTACAGGTGGATTAAAGTCCCCCATTGATCATTTTTTCTCTTGAGCTTTTTTTAGTGATAGTATATAGATATCCCTTGGTTTTTCAAGGGTTCGCGCTCAAGAAAAGTTGGTGCCCTCTATGGAACTCCGCAGCTGGAAGCCGATGTTTGCAGTACAACACTAAATAGGTAAAGATAAAATATTGTTGAATAATATACCGACTTGCAGATGTATACAAAGGGTGGGAAAAGGGGTAGGCTTGGTACCTTTTTAGACGTCAATACCACCATGGACCATGGATCAAAGAAGCCAAAGGAGCCACGGGACCCAAAGCACTAGTAGTCCCACAGGTCCCACAGGTCCCAGTAGTCGCACCTATGGGCTTTTACGCGACCACATGGTCGTCATACACAGCCGTAAAAAAACGAGTCGTGTACGAAGAGCTCATACTACTAAGTATTCTAGGCTCCTCACCTAAAAAATACTCCGGTAACGCCTTAATCAAGTCCCAAGGTACTGTTTACCACCGCAAATCCCCATACACTAGCAGTGGCCACACCAGCATAAATAATCAATCTTCCAATGATCTCCACGTCGTACCGGGATTTAAACACCCCTGCCGACCGATCAGGAGGAGCCTCAGATCCTCCACTACCAATCATCTCGTAGTAATCAATGTCATCCTGGACCCCCACCGCATCTTTGGCCTGGCCGATGAACTTAGCTTCCTCGGCGTCCAAGTTGGAAATCGACGCCTTACGGATCTGCCGATTTGTTTGAGCCGAGAACGCAGTGGCTTCAAAGTTTTTCCGGGGCAAATTAACCCCTATAGCCTTGTAGATGGGTGGAAGTACGGTGAACACCACAGGCTTTGACACCGCTTTCCATGACACCACCAATGTCATTCCCACCGCCACTCGGAGAATGGTTTTCACGAGTCCGAGGTGTTCGAAATCAAATGGCACGATGAGAGGAGACCCTACGGTTCCTGCCGTCGCAAAGTACCCGGTTTTGTACGCGAGCCAGTGGCTTAAATCAAGGCCTATTAGCACCCCGATAAATGCCACTGAGTCATCGAAGCACGGACAATTATCGACTGGCTCAAAGTGAATGTGGACCAATATGAGGTAGGCGGCGACGAGTACGGGCGGTAGAAACCACCCCCACCGGCCGGCGGTATCCAAAACCACCACCGAGTCCCACCATTGACCATACCAGTGACGGAACAAAAATAACACCGTTCCCACGGCCGTACCCGTCAACACGTCAAAGAACCCGTGCATTCCACAGTAGACACGCCCAAAGATCAACAGCACGTAGTAGACGGCTATGGCGGCGTAGAGCATGATCTTGGCGACGGTAGAACATGACAATTCCAGGATCTTAACCGCCATAATCAAGGAAACTGCAGTGGCATTGGCACTATGGCTCGACGGGAACCCATACTCCTGTGCCGTGTAGGAGCTGAGAGTGATACGGTGGAGCGGGGGCGACCGTGGCCGTGGTAAGCACAAGAAGTCCTTGAGGTTACCGGTGATGTAGATGCCGAATCCCAACACAAACACGAGATCACGGGCCAACTTTTCCAGGCCAAACCAATTGGCCAAAGGGAGCATTAGCACGTAGAACGTGTGCGACGCGAGGTTGGCGGACCATGCAAAGTAGAAGTCGAGGGTTGGGGTTCTAACTTTTGCCTGAATGTTTGCGAGGATCTGAGTCTCTTTGCGAACAACAGGTAGAATGCGGTTCCTGAGGCGGAAACGGAACGGGGAAAGACCCGACTGGTAGTGCTTGAGCGAGCGGTTACCGGCGTCGAGGGGCGACGGGGGGACCGTTAGATCAGCGGGTTTAGTTTTTGCGGCTGTTTTGGAAGCGCTGGGGGCCATTGGTGAGATGAAATTGAAGCGCGCGCTCAAATGAGAAGAGAATAGTTACAAATATCACCTAGGAATATATGAGACATGAGATAGTATTTGGGGTTCTATGAGATAGTATCTAGGGTCATATGCGTATATGCTGGTATCTATGAACATCATCACCTGACAATTCAAAGAATGGTACACCGCCTCTTCTTCGTCTCCCGCGTCGCATACTCAAACTCGGTATTATCGTACCTCTGGGTACTAGTATAAGGGTTGGTTGTGTACGGATTCCGCGACTCTTCTTCTGCCAATGGCATGTGGAACACTGACAGGTCGATAGAACTGTTTTTGAAATGGCCCTTGGATCCGGCAGAGCTGCGTGAAGCTCCTCTGGAGTGGCCCAAGAAACTAAGCCGTTTCTTCAGCTGCTGGTCTTTTTCCCATGCCTCGTACTTGGTGAGATAGTGGTCGATGGCAAAGTCGAACACGGTAGCCACGTTGAACATCGACTTGGCCGAGCATTGGATGTAACCGATGGCGTTGATTTCATATGCCAACTGGATGGGAAGATCAGGGTCAATGGACCCGTTGGTCAAATCTGCCTTAGTGCCGACAAGAAGAATGGGGATCCCAGGGCAGAAATGGTTGACTTCAGGGAACCAGATATCTTTAACGTTTTGTAACGATGTGAGGTTGTCGAGAGAGAAACAGATGAGAAGCACATCCACGTCGTGATAACTGAGGGGCCGAAGCCGGTCATATTCCTCTTGGCCGGCGGTGTCCCAGAGCGCCAACTCGATGGGGCGCCCGGAGGGCGAGTGCACGGTGGCCACGTAGTTTTCAAAGATGGTAGGTACATATATCTCGGGGAATTTCTGTTGGGTGTAGCTCACGAGTAGACAAGTTTTACCACAGCCTCCGTCGCCGACGACAACAATTTTGGATGAGCATGAAGACTTCTTGAATGTGGACTGGATGGAGTAGTGGGGGATGCTGGGGTTGTCATTTATTATGATTGGGGTAGACATGAGGGATGTTTACAATTGAGCGCGGTTATTGAGAGTGCGGAATAGGGCTGGTCGCGGCTCTGGGTCTATCGCCGCTCTGTCTACGCCGCGGCACGGACTACGTGGCAGCTCTAGCTCTACATCTACCGCCATCTGTCGCGAAACACTCAGCTGCGCCAACACTCACCACTTCGATCCTGACACAATTTGAATCTTTATAGCACCCATTTGGGACACCCACCTTTATTCCTATAGCCTCCCTGTATCAACGGTTTCCCAGAACCAGAAACTTACCGCATCCCGGGCATCTACGCCGTTTCCTCATACACGCCCCGTCGGATGTACAGATTCTATGCACAGAGGGAGATCTAGAATAATCCCGCTGCTCGCCCGTACACTCCTGTTCTGAACCGTTTTTTTAGTACCTCTTCCAGTAGCTCCACCCTTCCTGTTTATCGTTTCGTCCAGCTCGATGGCTGCCTGGTAAGAATATTTTTTCCCTTCCCCAGCCTACGAAAAAATAATCCGATGGCTGGTTTTGCAACTTAGGTAGATGAGGAAAAAAACATGAAATTCGCAATCTCTGCTAATCTGATGCACACCTAACTTGATGCAGAGATCCGATGAGCTAATGATGAGCACTTGCCATAGGTCTCCACACGGCATTATTGGAACACACCGAGTCTAGTCCTACAAGCACCATGCACCAACCCCTGACGATGAATATGGTGGTTGTATGGCAGACCGGGCCAAGTGCCCATTTCAGCCAATCACAGCGTCTCCGACAGGAGTCCCCCTTGCCTGAGCCTTGGTGGTGTATCATGGTGCCGCAGCCGCCACCAGTGGCTTTTGCTGGCACTCGGCCCACCGCCCACTGGCCCACCGCGCACCGCGCACCGCGCCGCCTATTTGTCGAAAGCCAATGCTCGCCAGCGGTTTGTAAATTTTTCGGGGCTGTGAGCGGATAGGTTTTCGACCTTTTAGGCCAAAACACGCATCGCAGTTATGACGATACACGCACCCGAGCATCAGGGGGGCCTTCGTGTAAACACCATGTATATTCCCTTTATATCCCCAAAAACCCATCCTCTAATCATATCCCATACGTTGCGTCAACCGTGTCTACAAGGACACCAGCTGGGGGGCCTAAATTCCCATGCGTCTGGTGCCACGCCGTACTTATCTGCATTCCCCATGAACTAATGACCTGCCTATTAGGGCCATGCACCAACTATTGACAATGCATCCCCTGCACATAGTCCCTCACCCGGTTCCAATATTATTTATTTTTCTTCGCTGGTTTCACCTGGTTCGTCTTTTTCACCAAACCTGGCTTCACGACCTTTTTAAAACCACAACAATTGGCACATTTTTTTCCTAGGATTTTTACCAACTCGTTAACCCTTTCTTTTCCTTTAAACTTCCTAACTATAGTCATTCCTTATTAGCGTCTGGATCTTTGTTTGTCTGTGTTACGCTCCTTAGTTTTTGTTTATCTTAAAGGCTTGCTTGTTTACCCCCCAAGAATTGAAATGAAATTATCCGCCTTATACGCTATTGGCTTGTTCTTGGTCTCCTCTGCTTCTGCCAGCTGTGAATTGTCCAGTGATGGTAACTACTACTGTTCCTCCACCAACAAAATCACATATACCGGGATTGGATACTCTGGTAGCTACGACAAGGTCACTGCCATGGACGCTTCGTCTGGTTCTTGTTCCTCCGAATCCTACAGCTTTTCGGGTAATTTGAGTCCTTTGGACGAGGATTTATCCATCCACTTCAGAGGTCCTATCAAATTGAAGCAGTTTGCAGTTTACTATCCAGCTTCTTCTTCAAACAAAAAGAGAGGTGACGACTGTCAAACCACCTTGGTGCACAAACATCACTTGCATAAGAGAGCCACCCAGGTGGTCGAGGTCACCCAAACCGTGTACGTGGATGCCAACGGAGTTACTCAGACCACCCAGGCCACTTCTACCCAAACCAGTGCGGCTGCGAACGTAGTAGAAGAAGACGATGATACCACCTCCACCACCTCCACCGCTGCTGCCTCCAGCGCGGCTGCTGCCGGTTTTAGCACCGCTGTAGCCTCCAGTGCCGCTGCTGTCTCTAGTGCCGCTGCCTCCAGTGCCGCTGTCAGTGCTTCTTCTGGGGACTGGGAAAGATCTGCCTACTACTCCTCAGGCTCTGCCGATGGATTGGTATTCTTCAACCACTACGGTGGATCCGGATCGGGAGTGTGGGACTCTGCTTTTGGTAACTCCATCTCTTACGCCAACAGTGATGCTTCTGGTGGCTCTTCGTCTCCTCAGGTGTTGGACTACACATTGGTAGGCTCTAACACCGAGTTCATCATCATGTCCGATACCAAATGTTCGGGCGATGATTGTGGATTCTACAGAGATGGAATCCCTGCCTACAAAGGATTCAGTGGTTCCAAAAAGGTGTTTGTGTTTGAATTCCAGATGCCTCAGGCCACTGGTGCTGAAACTGTCGACAACTACGACATGCCAGCCATTTGGGCCTTGAACGCCAAGATCCCTAGAACCTTACAGTACGGTAAATCTTCTTGTTCGTGCTGGCCGGGATGTGGAGAATTGGATTTGTTTGAAATCTTGTCGCAAGGCTCCAGTAAGTTGATTTCTCACTTGCACTCGGACCAAGGTTCTGGTGGTGGTGGTTCTCAAGACTACTTTGAAAGACCTTACGACTCCACCTTGAAGGCTGCCGTTGTATTTGATGGTACTGATGTCACCATTGTCGAGGTTGACGATGACTTTGACGAGGTGTTGTCTCTGTCGACGGTGCAGGGATGGATCGACGAAAGTGGATCCACTGCTTCCATCTAGTATTTTGTTTCTTGTTTGTAGGTTTTGAATTAAATGTTTTCATAGACAAGTGTAGGCACCAATAGAGGCGTGTGTGGTTATCATCTGAAGCCAATCTAGGGTTCGCAATTATCTGTTTTTGGAAGTTATAACACCGGTCACATTACAGGAATACGAAGTGACGACCGATTTTTCTGAATGTTCGGAAGAGGGTTGCCGTTGAGCCCCACTTATGGTCTCGAGTATTGTACACCTCATTGTAAGCTCTGTGTAAAGTTCAAGACCCGGCCACTTATCGCATTCGCCTGGGTTCACGTTTCAAACCGGGCCAAACCTTACACCGAATTAAGTAATGTCACATTACCACCGGTCTCCACCTCCAACTCTCAAACCGGGCGAAACCTTACACCGAATTAAGTAATGCCCCATTATCACCGGTCTCCACCGACACAGCTATCCTGCTGATTCTCTTTCACTGTAATCCCGGCTTATCGCCTATCAGCGCGGAACTCTGATTTCCCGTTTGGGCATCTCAAGCCGTGGCCCATATGATACTTAAGTACAACAATGGTTGTCCCTTTTGACCATCAGTTCCTACCATGTCAAAAGTCTCAGGTACAGATTTTGTTCCAGGTACGGTTCATTTGGTGGACATAGATGGAGACTTGGATGTCAAAAAACTGATGGGGTCCGTTATCTTGCGACCAGCCCCATCTTCTAATCCCAACGATCCCTTGAGATGGAGCAAGTTCAAGAAATTGAAGCAATTCTTCCTCCTTTTCTGGTTGGCAACCTTCTTGGCCATCACCGTCAACTGGAGTGGGCCTGCATGGACATTGTGGACCATCGAATGGAACTGTACGTTTGACCAGTTGAACATCTCATCGGCCTTATGTTTCCTCTTTTTGGGGGTGGGATGCTTATTTTTGCAGCCCACCGCCATGAAGTTGGGTAGACGGTTTGTGTACTTGTCATGCACGGTGATAATGATTGTGGCCAACATCGTGGGTGCCACTTGTGATAACGTGCAAACCTATTACGTGGTGAATATTCTTGCTGGCTTCGCAGCCGCTCCATGCGACTCTTTGGTGGAGATTTCCACCACCGATGTATTTTTCCAGCACGAAAGAGCCACGTACCTCTCGTGCTTTATCTTGGCTCTTTACGTGGGTTCTGACGTTGGTCCTGCCATCTCCGGATTCATTATTGACACCATTGGCTGGAGATGGTGTTTTTGGTTGCAGGCAATCATGTTTGGGTGTATTTTGGTGGTGGAGGTCTTTTACATGGAAGACACCACTTTTAGAAGAGATGCCGGGAACGACGACCTGTTGGAGAACGAGATCTTGGACCAGATCAAGTCCCGGGAGTCTAAAGACCCTACAGGTGTTCACCACCATGAAGTTGAATCCGATTTGCAGTCTATTGATGAAACCATCCCCATCAGAACATACAAAGAAAGAATGACATTATATACCACCGTGTACAACGACACACGGTCGTGGCTCTGTATCTTCTACCGTCCCTTCTTCATGATAAGTTTTCCGGCGGTGATTTGGGGTGGTGTGGTGTATGGGGCTCAGATGATGTGGTTGTCATTATTGGCCACCACCCAGTCAGAAATCTACTCGGTGTCTCCATACTACTTCAGTGCATCTATCACTGGGTTGACCAACTTTTCGCCCATGGTGGGATCTATTCTTGGGATGATGATGGGTCCAGTGGTGGATAAGGTAACGATTTACTTGACCAAGCGTAATGGTGGAATCATGGAACCTGAGTTCAGATTGTACATGATGGTGTTGCCATTGATAACCAATGCCGCGGGATTGGTGGCGTACGGGATCGGGTCGGTCAGCTCACTGCCGTGGCCAGTTTCGGTGATTGTGGGACAGGGGTTCTTGGGATTTGCTATGAGTTCGAGTGGTACCATCTGTTTGACCTATGTAATTGATTGTTACCATGATATGGCCAGTGAGGGATTGGTTCTCATGTTGTTCATGAGAAATGTGATTGGAATGGCCTTCACATTTGCCATCCAGCCGTGGTTGACCCGCGATGGCTTGAAGGTGACCACCTGGATCATGTTTGCGTTATCGGTGGTGATCAACGGGTCGTTCCTCTTGATGGTATTGTGCGGTAAGTCTTTCAGGCGATGGACCGCCAACTCGTACCATAAGTACTCAAAGCCCGATTTTGGCGAGCTTTTTAAACGTTAGTTAAACTGAATATAAATTACTGGGTAAGTCTTTTTGCAGCTAGTGCGCGACAAAACTATAATGGACTTGGGAGTGGATATCGGCACTGGATCGGTGAGATCCTTCGGCGACGGCTTCTCGGCTGTCCGTGCCATCACCACCACTCGCCACACAAGTCGGGTGATCACTCAGCTGTCACTAGAGATCTTTGATGCCATCCAAGCAGTGCTCCCGCCCACTCCAGTGTCTGGTGTGTGCTTCGCGGCGACGTGCTCGATGGTTGTACGAGAAAAACTAGTGGTGGACGGGCGCCCGGTCCTAGCCCCGTTCAACTGTGGTACCGGGGCGTCCCCCGGCCACCAGGATATAATCCTTTGGATGGACTCGCGGTCACATGACCAGTGTGCAACCATGAATAAGCAGTTGGAAGGCTCGTTCATGAAACAAACTATTGGAGAGTTCATTCCAGAATTGGGTCTTCCGAAGCTCAAATGGCTTAGCGACAACTCAGAAAAAGAGCTTTATTGCTTCGAACTCTACGATTGGTTCAGCTATGTGTTCCAGGTGGGATACTATGATAAGAGCCAAAATTTGGTGGAGTTTGCACTTAGAGATGTGGATTTCACCCACGGAACTGCCATTGATGGGTCGATCAAAGGCTGGAGCAGAGAGCAGCTTCTGTTCATTGGTGGGAATGTAAAGGTTGGTCGGTCGGAAACCGTAGGCCCACTAGACCATGTACCCCTGCAACTTCTCCCGTTGGGGGCACCTATAGGACGAGCACACCCTGATTTACTCGCCGATTGCCACATCTTCAACGGATGTATCGACTGCTACGGCGGGTGGGCACTCACAGCTTGCCCCAGGCAGATCTCGATGGTGGCAGGGACTCTGACGTGCTTTATGTTTCACACCAAGGCCCCAGCACCATTGATCCCGGCCGTGTGGGGGCCGTTCGAATTGGTTTCTCAAACAGCAGTGTACTCATTTGGCCAGCCTGCTACCGGGAAGCTCTTTGAGGACTTGTTCGATGAGTTTCTGGTCGGTAGAGACTCATTTGCACGGATGGAAACCATCACCCAAGAATGGGAATTAGAGCACCACCAAAGCATCATCGAACTTGTCCGCCACTACGTCTACTACGGCGACAAGTATGGCAACCGGTCGCCTCTCCTGGACTTCCGTATGGACGAATGCTTTATTGACGGAAAAAATGCCAGTGTATTGGGAGTGTCAGTGTTTTCTCAAGATGAGGCAGCGATGGTGATCCGGTATCATCTTATTGTTGAATTTCTTTGTTTCCAGACGGCTCAGATGCTTGAACCTTTGCCGGTGGATACCATTGTTGTGAGTGGATCCCAGGTGAATAATACGCGGCTCCTACGGCTTCTTCGCCATGTGACGGGGAAACTGGTGGTCATACTCGGAGGAGACCACTCCCTCGCGGTAGCGCGTGGAGCGCGCGGCCTTTGTGGCAGTGCGGGCGGAGAATCTTCGCACGAGGCGGCTGCACCCTTGGTCGCACCTCCACTTTCTCCCCAGGAAGCACTGGTGATGGCTGCTAAATTCCACGTGTACAAAGACCTTGTGGCAGTACAGATCAAAGCCCGCCGACTTCTATAGCTTCATAGACAAATTACCCATGCACCCATAGCCAAAAATGACCCATACACCCATACTTTTCCCATTGCCACCGGTTCCGGTCGCAGTGTCCCATCTGTATCGTGTACGATTCCCCAAATTCTTCCCCACCGCGAACATCGAACTGTTGAGGATTAACTCGAAGTTATAACTGCGTGGTACCAAATCTCTATTACCACCTTGACCCCATTTTCTCCCGCCAGATCTCCCCTACTCACCCCTGTAGCGAGCCCCATCTACTTAGTGTGGTACCCTTTTCCCAATAATATCTTGTGTTTGAATATCTTCTGTCGCAATGAGCGGTAACCTGGCACCACCGCAAATGCAAATGGATCAGTTCCCCAACCTGGACCAACAGCCCGCCGCTGCCCAACCGACCCTGGCTCCTGGACGAAGCGCCAGTCCGGAGCAGAAAGACAAGGAAGAACAACCCAAAAAAAAGAGAAGGGCAACTGTCAGAGCATGCGATGCTTGTGCCATCCGAAAAGTTAAATGTGAAGTACAAAGACCCTGTCACCACTGCGTGGCCAATGGCCTCAAGTGCACTCAGATACGGACCCGGAAGAAGTCCGGCCCCAAAAACTTGCACCGCAAGACCTTGGACTACATAAACAGTCTTCTGACCAAGGAAACTCCGCCGGTTCCTGAAACTGCCTCAAACAATTACCCAGAATCAGCCCTAATTGCATCGAACCACCGCCACCATCCCATAGAGCCGCTACCGATGGCCCTCACGTCTTCGGTACCGGTGCCCGTGGATCCACACCTGTCGCGGTTCACCACAGATGATCTTGTGACGGTGATCCGGTTGGTGAACGAGCCCGTATTTAACGCAGTGCTTCAGGAAGTGACTATTCGGCTGTTGTTGTCGAACAATGACAAGTTGATCACGTTCATTGACGAGAACATGAAGAACATGTTGTCGTTGGACCTGATCCTCAACTCGTCCGATCCGGTGTTTTTGTCCAAGGCATTGGCCCTTTTATCGTTCTGTTTGGTGGTGATTGAAAATGCCATCGAGTTATTGGTGGCCAAATTCTCCTACTCGTTCCTCAACACCATGGAGTACTACCGGGATCTTAAGAGGACGATTTTATTCAAGATTATGGAAAGTTTCCTGATAATTGACAAGCTTTTATTGTATCCATTGAAACCCACCAATCTTTTTCAGATATTCTACAACCAAAGCATCGGGTCCATTAACTTGAGCAGCTACTTCAACCTCACGCGAGACCATGATCCGTTGTACCTGAGCCAGCAGAAGGTGTTGCACTTGCGGAAAGCCATCACATACTATCAATTGATTAATCACCATCAGATAGGTGCCAGTAATTCCAAGAGCTTGAATACGTTTCAGATCAATGAGCTTTTTGAGAGGTTGTTTTTATCTGAACGCTACAACTACTTGACGGCCACACATTTGATCAACTCCACCAACTTATTCGACTTGAACTTGTCGTTGTCGTCCAACAATGCGTTGTTCAACATGTTCAAGGTCATCAATAGTGATGGGTTGATTTTCCACCGGTTGAAGTCCCATAATGTATTGATGAATTTGCATCAGCTTTATAAGATCAACCACTATCCTGACTCAAATAACTTGTTGACCAAGAACTATCTCAACTTGAAGATGAGCTTGATCAACCTTTCGAAAAATGACTTTTTCTACTCGATCTTAAACCAGGTGCTTATCTTCAAAGTATTGATGATCTACTCCAACAATTTGGAATTGAATGTGTTGGAGTTGGAGCTAATCGAAGTCGTAAAAAATCTCAACAGCATATTGTCATACAACGATGTTCTACACCTCAATTTCTGCAACTTCAATCTCCTTCCCCAGTTGTTACAAATTTTAAAGATCAACATCGACTTTGAGAACAACTTGAACTACCTGACCGAGTTGATAGTTTTCACCAAGAAGTTGACACCATTTTTCAGCACCGTTAGAGACATTGAGCATTTCGTCAAGTCCAATAAGATCATCTACGACTGGTTCGAGGAGATGGACCATTTGACTGCCAACATGAACGAAATATTCAATCCCCAATCTCGGTTCAGCTCACTCCCGGTGACAGAAACAACGTCCTATTCCTCGCCCATCCCCAGGTCAACGTCAGATCCGCCTGCATTCAACCCTCAACAGCAATCCGGTCCATTCGTGAACGTGAACGCATTACCAACTCTGTACCAACTCCACCACCATCTCAACAAGTTGCAACAAAGCCAAGTCAACCTTCAGCAGATCAACAGCCGTTCTTCAACCGATTCTCGAGACAAGTCCGAGTTGAATGATCTCCTCCAGGACTTCGGTAACTCCAAGTTGAGCTCCAACTCCTCCACTAACAACAACTCAGCAATGGTAACCAACTGTCCGACTCCTGACATGGATGGGCAGCCATCACCATTGAGCCAGCAAGCAATACAGAACTCCAACTCCACCAGCTACCTGACAATCATCCAAAATTTGGGATTACCAGCACCTCCTATCATTACCACTGCCAATATCAACCGAGAGAACGAAGCAAGCAACTTGAGCCCCAGCAACATCAGTGAAAGCACCAAGAACTTATGCAATTTGTTCACACAGATGAATGATGGTATTCCTCTGAGTCAGAACAACAGCTTAACCAACTTACTCCAGTTCACCAACTCCTCCAATAATGTGGCTAATTTGAACAAAATCTCATCTTTGTCGAATTTCCGGTCCTCCAATAGTCTCAAACTCATCAACTCGAACTCAGCCCTCAATTTGTTCATCAACCCGTTGGCAAACGACGAAGATGATGAAAAGCGTAAGAATCTTAAGGATAGGTTTCTTCTCTAAGAGCAATAGATAAAATATACAATATACTTTTTAGTAACAAGTGGCTGCGAATATTGATGCACAACATTTAACCCAAAAAATACTGCAAGCATGTGCCAGGTCACGTGGCAGTCCTCACCGCATCCCCCGGTAGATGTGTTTGTATACTGCGCAACTATCTTTAGAACCATTTCACACATGTGCAGATGCGGAGAAATTTACTCCTAGTTGCCGAGCATACGGTAGAGCCCATTTACCGACAGTCTGGTGCGAAACATCTGCATCCATCGGCGGTAGCTATTGTTCAGTACGCACCAGATAATGCGCGGTTTTGCACATGTGAATTGGCCAGTCTTATGATTTTGCCAACCATATAAAGATTGCAAATCCCCCATCCAACCCATTTCTATCCTAACTCAACCCACAATGGAATTAGCCACTGCTGCCGTATTAGGTACCCAACTCTTGGAAGCTAAGTACCAAGTGAAAGGTGACTTTTTACTTGTGCAAAATATCATCAGAAAGGCCCTACCATTCTTGTGGAATGTCAAGAAGGGGAAAGCCAGTTACTGGTACACCTACGAAAAAAGTGTGTTGAAAAACCCCAACAACCAGTGTATTGCCTTCCCTAGACCCAAAGCCAATCCTCCTCCTGTGAGAATTGATGACAGCGGGTATAAGATCTATGATGATCAGTTTGAGTTGGAAACATACACATACAAACAATTTTACGATATGGTGTTGCGGTTCAGTTTCATCTTGAAGAACGACTACGGTGTGACGGGTGACCAGACCATCGCCATCTCGTGTATGAACAAACCGTTATTTTTACTTTTGTGGTTGTCTCTCTGGAACATTGGTGCGCTCCCTGCGTTCTTGAACTTCAACATCAAGGACAAGCCATTGGTGCATTGTCTCAAGATCGTCAACGTATCACAGGTGTTTGTGGATCCAGACTGTGCCACTCCCATGAAGGAGACCGAAGGCATGATCAATTCAGAGTTGCCACAGGTGAAGTTGCACTATTTGAATGAAAAAGAGTTGTTCAGGATCTTGGCCGATGAGCTGAGGCCCAAGTACAGAGCTCCCGACAACACCCGGAGAGTCAATGACCAGGACCACGACGCGTCGGCGTTGATCTACACGTCTGGTACCACTGGTTTACCCAAGGCGGGAATCATGTCGTGGAGAAAGGCGTTTATGGCATCGGCATTTTTTGGGTATATCATGAAAATCACCAAGAAATCCAACGTATTGACGGCCATGCCGTTGTACCACTCGACGGCCGCGATGTTGGCCGTATGCCCGACGTTATTGGTGGGTGGATGTGTGTCTGTGTCGCAAAAGTTCTCTGCCACTTCTTTCTGGACTCAAGCCAAGTTAACCAAGGCTACTCACGTGCAATACGTGGGAGAAACATGTCGGTATTTGTTAAACACCCAACCTCATCCCGACCAGAAAAATCACCTAGTCAAGATTGCTTATGGGAACGGATTACGACGTGACATCTGGAAAGAATTCAAAGATCGGTTCAACATCAAGGGAATCGGTGAGTTCTACGCTGCCACCGAGTCTCCTATTGCCTTGACCAATTTGCAGTTTGGGGAATACGGGGTTGGTGCCTGTAGGAAGTATGGAAGTATTATCAACTCGGTGTTGTCATTGGAACAAAGAATTGTTAAAATGGATCCCGATGATCAGGAAGAAATCTTGAGAAACCCTGCCACCGGTTTGTGTGAAGTGGCTGACTATAATCAACCAGGTGAGTTGTTGATGAAGATCCTCAACCCTGAAAAGATTGAGTCCAGTTTCCAAGGATACTATGGAAACAAGGATGCCACCTCCAAGAAGGTCATCAGAGACGTTTTCAAGAAGGGAGATGCTTGGTTTAGATCCGGTGACTTGTTGCGCATGGACCAGGATCAACTATTGTACTTTGTGGACAGATTAGGTGATACTTTCCGGTGGAAGTCAGAAAATGTTAGTGCCAGTGAAGTGGAAAACGAGTTGATGGGATCGAATGCAATTTTACAAAGTGTGGTGGTGGGAGTCCAAATTCCTAATCATGAAGGCAGAGCTGGTTTTGCCGTTGTTGAACCAAAACAAGGTTTAGATGAACAACAGGTTTTGGATCAAATATACAACCATGTGAGCACCTGCTTGCCAAAATATGCGGTTCCCCAGTTTATCAAGTTTGGTCAAATTGAAGCTTCTCACAATAATAAGGTTCCTAAAAATCAGTATAAGAAACAGAAATTACCCAAAGGCGACTCAGGTTCTGAAACTGTCTATTGGTTGAACAAGACAAAGTATGAGGAATTGACCAACGACTCTTGGGCTAGAATATCCAACGGTCAAGCTAAATTATAATTCTGAACATATACAACAATACACATGAGGTAACATTTAACCTATTTAGTTTTTGTCAGAAATGGCCGTGACACCAGGTAATTCCTTACCTTCTAATAATTCCAAGGAAGCACCACCTCCAGTAGACACATGAGACAATTTGTCAACCACTCCGTACTTCTTGGCCACAGTGGCGGTGTCACCACCTCCAATAATAACAGTGTTACCGGCTTCAGCAGATTTGACAGCAGCATCCAACAACGACTTGGTACCACTGGCAAATTTTTCAAACTCAAACACACCAGGTGGACCGTTCCAAACAATGGTCTTAGCCTTGGCAACGGTGGCTTCGAACAATTCCTTTGATTTTGGACCACAGTCCAATCCCATCCAGTGGTCTGGAATACCTTCTTCTTCAGTGGCAGTGGCAGTGTTGGCATCTTTGTCAAACTTGTCAGCAGTAACGAAATCAACTGGTAACACCAATTCCACTCCGTTCTTCTTGGCCTTGGCAACCAAATGTTCAACGTTCTTGGCTCCAGCTTCATCAAACAAAGAGTCACCAATTGGCATGTTGTCCAACACCTTTTTAAAGGTGAAGGCCATACCACCTCCAACAATCAACAAGTCAACCTTGTCTAACAAGTTGTCGATCAATTGGATCTTATCACTAACCTTGGCACCTCCCAAAATTGCCAAAAATGGTCTGGTTGGGTTTTCCAAAGCCTTAGCAAAGTATTCCAATTCCTTGGCCATTAAGAAACCAGCAGCCTTTTGGGGCAAGTCCAAACCCACCATGGAGGAGTGGGCTCTGTGGGCTGTTCCAAATGCATCGTTGACGTACACATCGGCCAAAGCAGTCAATTGTTGTCTGAATTTAGCCACATCTTCCTTAGAAGCCTTGATCTTTTCACCATCAACCTTCTTGCTACCTTCTTCTTCAATGTGGAATCTCAAGTTTTCCAACAAGAACACTTCTCCGTTAGAAGCACCGTTAATAGCAGCTTCGACATCAGGACCGACAGAGTCACTCAAGAACTTGACAGGCTTCTTTAATAAAGAAGACAATTCTTCAGCAATAGGAGCCAATGAGTACTTGTCAGCCTTTTCACCATTAGGTCTACCCAAGTGAGAGGCCAACACAATGGCTTTAGGCTTGTTTTCCAAGACGTATTGAATAGTTGGTAAAGCAGCAACAATACGTTGGTTGTTGGTGATCTTTTTACCATCTAAAGGAACATTAAAGTCGACTCTAATGAACACTCTTTTGTTGGTGACATCTAAGTCCTTGACGCTTAATTTGTTTGATAAAGACATGGTTGTAAATCGTAATCGAGTAATTGAGTGGTTTCTGCAAAAAAAAACCTGAATTTCTGAGTCTATTTATATGTAGATCAGTTTTTGGGGGGGTTTTTTTCGTCCATCTGGTGAGGTTATATCCTTATAAGCGTGGAAGCGTCGTGCGCGGTCAAGACGGGCCCCGGACTGCCACAATCCGTTGAAGCGAAAAAGTCAACGAGTGGTGGTGGAAATGTGTGGGTGTAAATTCCAATACCACCAATGTGGTACAAGTTCTTCAATTGGTTTTTGTGAAGATTACAAACAGGTATTGGTGATTTCCACGGCCTCGGAGCAAGGGACTTTTGTGCTCACCTGAGTCTCATGTGCATCACCGGCGGGATGGTTGGTCCGTGCACGACTAGGGGCAGAAACAACGTATTAGAGTGGCCAGTTGACATAACGTCTCAAGAAACACCATCGGAAGGTCTCATCACCAAGGAGTGAGGACTAAGCGGTCTCTGCTCCATCAAAAGTGCCAGACTTACTAGGCCATTCTAGAAGCTTCTCACCATTTGTAAAGGCATCGCGACTGGTGATAAATTGGTCCGAAATCCTCCAGAAACCCGTAAACATGGATAAGTTACTTGCATGGTCCCTTGCACAGCAATCGGGAGACAAAGAAGCGATGGCCAAGATTGGCCAGCCCGATATGAAGGCGTTGAACCTGCTTTTTGGCGGGGTCGATGAGCCCACTTTAATGACACAAGCCATGCTAGTGGCCCAGAACCCGGAGGCTCTGGTTGAAGACAGGGAAGTGGCCCTAGAAAACTTTGAGATGTTGATCGAAAACCTTGATAATGCTAATAACATTGAGAACTTGAAGTTATGGCCTGCCGTCATCTCGTTGCTCGACGAATCTGTTGACTCGAGCTTGAGAGTGTTGGCAGCGTCGATTGTGGGAATAGCAGTGCAGAACAACACCAAGTCTCAAGAGGACTTCTTGAAGTACGACACCGGGTTCAAGAGCTTGGTCCAGTACTCGGTGGACCCCAGCACCAGCGTCGAGTTGAAGTTAAAGTTGTTGTTTGCCATCTCATCGCTCGTGAGAAACAACCAAGATTCGTTCAAATTCTTTAACAAACTTAAGGGTTGGACCATCTTGACATTGTTGGACAAACACGATAACCATAAGGTCGATATCAGAGTATTATCTGTTCTTTCGTCAGTTTTGACAAGCGAATCCCTCTTCAAATCTGAGATTGAGGCCAAACTTCATGAGTACAAATTGGTCGACAAGTTGATCAATTCTTTACTCAACGACAACATAACGTGTATGGAGAAATCCCTTAGCATTTTGGGCCAGTTGATCAGTTTGAACTTCAAATTTGAGGCGGGTGAGTTGAAGTTGTTGTCAAAAAACATCGACAAAATCAGCCACTTGAAAGAAGAGTATTCCGAAGACTTTGCCAAGATCCGCAAGATCACCAAGAGTGCCTAAATAGCATCTCACAGATCATAGATGACTTGTTCGGGGTCGTCCGACGTGAAGAGAGTCCGCATACCCTTTTCTGTTGTTTCCGGCACCAATCTTCTGTCATCATCATCATTCCCTAACGAATTGCTCATGACGAATTTCTGGTATATCTTATATAGATTGTCATAGTACACAAACAATCTTTCACACTTCATGGTCGGCATCAACTTGAACTTTCGAATTGTCTCTATGTATGTGCTCTTGTAGTCATGACCGGCGGTACCAGCAATTAAATTGGACTCGGCTGACCTCTGTAGCCGGTTATACCTGGCATCAGAAATGGTATACGTGAAGGAGACAATCCAATCAAGAGCTTCTTGGGAGCTTTTGACAGGAAAAATGTTGATGTACTTGTTGTACTCCAACTTGTTGGCCATGGCTTCGATTTCTTTCACAGTTATTTCGACCTTTTCTGTAGACCTGTTTTCCTTTCCCAACACCTTGTTCTTGTATATTCTGTTTTCCAAGTTGTCTATCTTCGTAAGATACTGGTGGTATTTTTCAACCATCACGATCGCTTGGGGAGGGAGATCCTGGAAACCCTGACTTATGAGTTTCTTCACAAACTGCTCGGCCTCAAAGTACAATAAGGTGAATCTCTCCTCTATTTCATGAGCATCACACGGAATAAAGATGTCCCTGGTTTTGTCATAAACTGTGTTGACCTTCCGCTTCCATTTGACCTCAGAATCTAAATCGTGGACCCGGAGTTGAGCTCCTTCAAATTGGTCTTCCGTAGCCTGGTTAAGAAGCCACTGAGGAAGACTCACAATCATCTCACTCATCAACTCCTCTCTCAGCCTTGTGACTTTATTGGCCGCCGTCAACTGCTTGTTGGTGTACTTCGACAAGTCGTTAGCGGAAGTCGTCGGTTTGGTTGTGTATTTCGACAAGTCGTTGGCAGGTGATGAAAACATTTGTTTGGTGGTCTCAAACGCTTCAGCTCGTTGCTTGAACACATCCTTCTTTGTACGTGGTTTTTTTGTGACAGGTTCTTTCACTTGCGACGAAAAGTCAAACTCTGATTCCTCCAAAGTATCGTCCAACGATAGTATGGGGGGTGTTTTTGGGACCAGCGGCTGGGAATAGTTTTTAGGTGTGATGGATATTTTGGGGGGACTGATCTGTCGATACTTTGACCTTTTGTGAGAATCAAAGGGACTTGTAATTTCATCACTTGGCTCATCTGAAAGGATTTGTACAACATGGGGGGCATTTTTAGGCATTTGGCTCGAATACTTACTGATGAGTCCATGTAGTGGAGAGCTGCTGCTGAATCTAAATAAAGAGAGGTTAGTATCAATACCGTGTCAAAGCACCAAATTATCAGCACATACTTATTATCACCACCTATGAATGACGATTCCACCACGGAACAGTCGACAGCTTCGTCATGTGAGCTTTCTGATAATATTTCAATCACTGTATCCATGTTGCAGCCTTTTCGAATTAACACTTTTTCGCGATCCACAAATAATCAACAACTTGGATTCCCACCATGAGCAGAAGAAGAGCACTCAACACAGGCTACGGCGCCGAGCGCGGACCCGTGGCTCCAGCTTCAAGAACTTCCAAGACAAAGACAAAGACAAAGGAATCGATCTATGAATTGAAGGAAACGATGAATTATATCAAGTATGAGTGGCCTCAAGTTTTGGAAGAAGATGCAAACCCTATTGAACTTGCCATATCTTTGCTTGACGATTCATCGGTTGGGTTATCGCACAAAATGTCCGAGTTTGAAGAGATGAGTGAGAACACCACCACCGCCTTGCGGCGGGTAGTTAACGATCATTATGACATATTCAATACCAGCATTGGTTCCTACCACTATTTGTTAACCACAAGTAGGGACAACCAAAAAGACGCCAACGAAATCAAGCAGATGTTGGAGTCTACCACCAAAGAAATCCACAACAAGTCGGACATTTTACAGGAGTTGAACCAAACCTCAGTGAGATACAGTGAGATGATTGAAATATTGGATGCTATGGAATACATGAACTCGATTCCTGACAAGATCGATCAGTTGATCTTGGATAAGAAGATTCACCAGGTCTACGACATTATATCTCAAGGCTACACAACGGCTGCGACATATAACTTGTGGAACTTGAGTGCAATGACAAGCATCAAGAACTACTTGGACTTGCAGTCCAATAACTTATTTGACATGATAATTGATGAACTACAAAACGAAATCTACCTCAAGAGCTCAGTTGTCGTGCAAGAAAGTAGTCCGTGGGATATGTTGATCACGTCGAATAATAATCCCAAGTTGGCAGGTTTCAAGACGTTTGTCACAAAACTGAGTCGGTTAGAGGAGTTCATCTACAATTCAGCCAATTTGGATTTGGCGGAGATCAGTGAGTGTTTTAACGAATTGATCAATGACTTTGTGTCAAACCAGCTTCCAGAGCTCTTGAAAACTACATCTTCTAACTTGAATTTGACCTTCGACTTATCTGGAAGTTTCAAAAACTATCATTATATCTACCAATTGTTGATGACTGCTCAAAAACTAAATAGATTGATGCCTGCCATTACGATTTTGACCCAGTCAAACCAACAGGAGTTCCATGGTTTGTTGTATAGAACCATTGAAGAAATCAAACTGAAAAATATGCATGAATTGAACAAATTGAAGAAGATTTTGGACTTTGAAAGTGAATTTGAAGATGAATTGACTAGCTTCCATGACTACTCGGTAAAAATCTTGAAAGACTTGTTCAGTTCCGTCTTTGTGAAGGCATTGATGGTGCTACAGAAACAGAAGTTAATCAGCGAAATTGTAGCCAAGTTTGATTTGACTTACGACTTCAAGACAAGTTGGACAGTTGTGAAAAATGAATTGTCCAGCTTGATCTTAAACTACATATCCACCGATTCGGAATTGGTGGTCCATAAAAACAAATTGGCCATGAATGAGCTATTCAAACTTGATAATGTCAAATTCAATAAGGAGCAATTGATGACCAAATTCCCCAATTTAATCGAAGGAAGTGAGGAATTTGGAAACTATCAGACTGACTTTTTCATCAAAAATGAAGCATTCCAATCCAACTTGGAGGTGTTGGTTCCGGTTAACATTTTCAACATGAGAATCATCATTGATTTCTTTTTGATTTTTGTTTCAAGTATGATCAACTTAATGAGCACAGACCCATCAAGACCCATAAACCAAACAGCAGTTCAGTTCTTCGAGAACTTTATGAAAATTTCCTTTTTGCCAAAATTAAGGGACAACTTTGACTCCAAATTCAATATGATCATGGGTGCCTTTGAAGACGACAATGTTGATGAACTTAATACCAACAGAGCTCCAGCATTCAAGACCGACTTGATGAATTTGAACAACTCGATGATTTACCAAAACGCCTTTGAGTTCAAAAAATTCTTCATCTCTTTGTGCTACACGTTAAACACTTCTCTAACTTATAGACAAGAGTTGAATAATTTGGTGTTACAATTCTTGAGGAAATTCCATATTTTGTATTCCAACTTTTACAAAGGGTTGATGGGTAATACAAACACTAAGTTGAATAGCTGGTTGAAGACGCCTGCTTTAAATGACTTGTCATCGTTGATCATCAATGAAACAGGAGAAGTTAACCACCAATTGGTTGAGAAAGAAATAGAGATCATGTTACTAAATGATGAGATGTTGGAAGTTACTAAAGATGAATTGTTTGACAACGAATCTTTACAGCAGTTGTGCTATTTGCTTTTGACGTCCAGCTGGATCTTGAGCTGGTTGCCTAATTTCAGGAAGGAATCCAACTACAATTATGAAGAAGATTTGACCTTGATCGAAAAATTGAAACATGATTGGAACTTTTTGGAGAATGGGAAACGAGTCATCAATGACACGTCTCTGAACTCCAACCAGGCAAATTTGAACTCCAGTATCGACAATTTAAATGTCTATTTGTCATTGAACTCTGCCAAATTCAAGGAATTTAATGATGTAATCTCGAACTTTGAAAAAATAAGGCTACACTCATTGATTGTACTTAGATATGAGTTGAGATTGAAATCGATCTTCTACATAACCAGATCGTTCAAGGAAACCGACTGGGTGTTGAATAGCGAACCTGGGGATTCAGATCAGTTCGTGTCAAGATACAACAAGGAGATCTTTGCGATGGAAAATAGGTTGAATAATTATTTGAGTGAAACAGAAATGTCAAGAATTTTTGTGGGAATGTCAAGCTTCCTAGATGAGTTGTTGATCAAGGGATCCAAGTTGATCCATAAAATCAATAACAACGGTATTAAAAAGTTACTTGTGAACATCTTTACATTGCTGCAAATGCTCAAGAACTTAAACAAGAGTAATTTGGAGATCGACTTCAAGAGGTCTTCGTATTACTTTGAACTCTTCACTATCAACGAGAATCAGTTCCCCAGCAAGCTATCCGGATATGATGAGTCTGAGAAGGCCAATTTGGTGAGGTTATTGTACAGTGAAAAGTTGGCTGATGGGAATGGCTCCTCTTTCAATATATCTAAGTATAATGATCTCTTGGCCAAGGTTAAATAGAATATAAACACTTTTTCTACTAAATTAATCCCAGTTTAAGTGCTGGTTTACTATTTTCTCCCACTTCTTTCGTTTCTTCTCTTACCGTTCTCATTGATTTTGTTTTTTTAAGTGATTTTGGCGAAAATCAATCTTTAAAAAGGCAGGTCGTGCACGGTCAACCAAACTATACCACTAATCGTAAATTCTTCTATTACTCGTCAAACACTGATCTACAGATCTATGTACTATTATCTAACTAACCATGATGGGCCAATGTGGGAATTGGAACCATGTGCAATCGAGAGCCAAGTCGTTCAAAAATAAACTTGCCTACTGTCAAACCAGACACAACTGCAAAAAAATAAACCAACGTGAACGACATGGCCACCAACATCAATGCAAAGCCAAACATCTCGGGCAAGAATATCAAGATGAGCCTTATGGCATTCCGAACCAACATGGAGGGAATGCTTCCAGAGACAGAGACTCTAGCAATTTGACCAGTGGACTCGGTAACAAGGTTTTTTCCATCGCTCTCCGAGTCAGTGTAAAGGTGCCGATCAACAGGTGATACCCATACTTTCTGCTCCATATAGCTTCTGGCAAATTCAAGAAACTTGGTGAATACTGCCACAAAAAAGACCAACAAAAAAATGCCAAACACCTCACCACCGTTCTTGGCCTTGAGACCTTTGAACAACACCGGGTAGCCGTTGTAGGCAGTTGTGAAGTATCTGTGCATTGTATCCATGTCCATAGAGTCTGAGGTTGAGGATGCGGTGGAAGATGCCATGCTAGTAGAGGATGCCATGTCCATGGTCGACGAGGAGGCCTCTGTCATCATATGCATATTCATCTTGAAGTTGGTGTTATAGGGGGATAAAAATTGTGAAAAAACCCATTGGCGGAACCTCTGGTGTATTTAAAGGTTGCAGCGTCAAAGCGGTAAACAAATTTGCTCAAGGTGAAAGTTGGGTCGCATAATTGACTCGCACAAAAATTGCAGCCTTACGAGGTGGTGAAGAATACCTAAAAGTATCCTTAAGACATAAAGTACATTATTTCCTTTGTAACACATATACATAGTTTCTAGCGGTGACCAGCCCGAAAGAAAATTCAATGGTGATTAGCATCTCGCGACACGAACCGACATCTCAGTCTCTCATCTCCTGTTAACACATGACCATCAAGCCAATCCTGGGCTTTACCACGGTAATTACATGCCTTACAATTCCCCATCAACGGTAACTTGTCGGTCAAGTTTGTGGCGGTCTTGCCAAGCTTCTCATCGAATTCAAAGTGAAAGTGAAGCAAGTGTTTCTTGTAGTCGTAAGGCCTGTTAAACTTACCGGTTTTATGGCTGCAATGACCTGGAAACACACACCGAAATCGTCCCACATCGTCGTGGATACGAAGATGCCGAGACAAGTCCCGGGAGATGAATTTTCCACAGATGTTACATGTTGCACCTTTGGGTAGCTTCTTCTTTTTGGACTTGTCCTTGGCAGAAGAAGCAGAGTTCATCGATGAAATGCTCTGGTTGGATGACGACTTGATGAGCGCAGGTGACTTTGATTCCAGGCTGTTGGACATGGGTGTGCTGGGTGACTTGTTGTAGGATTCTGAGTGATCGTGATTGTCGTGATGAAGACTATTGGGATTAAAAGCAGGGAATTGGGAATTGTAGCCGTCGGAAGCCTCATGCTCGGGGTTATCGTGGTGAGTGTCGTGGTCATGGTAGTGCTCTTGTTCATGGTAATGCTTTTGTTCATGGTAGTGGGTTCTGTCACGATAGTTCACGTCCTCTTTGTACACATGATCTTCTGGTTTGTGATAGTATTCCTTATCGTACAAGTCAAAATTAATCCCATTCAAGTCGTTGGCGGTACCCAAGTCTTCCGGACCGTCGAAGTTGGAAGGCATAAAAAATTCGTCAAAGTAGTCGTTCTCATTGGTACCAGGGGGTTTCATCCCAGGAGTGATAGTCTCTAGCTCTTTATCGAGATTGAGGTCATAATCATGGATTACGAGATTATGGTTAGGATAGTGCGAGTTGGACGTCGGGGTGGTGGTATACGTCGAGTCGAAGGATGTCACGGAGGAGTTCTTGAGCTGGTCTAAGTTGAGGTGAAAGTTTGGTTTCTTACTGCCGGGACCCGAGGAAGTGGCGGCAGAAGGAGCACCAGCGCCAGCGCCAGAGGACCCAGGCACCACGGACTGGGAGGAGCCCACCGACGTGCTGGCAGCATTTGTGGAGGGAGATGTGTAGGAATAAGACTTCATCAAGTCGGGCCGGCCTTTACGCTTGAGAGAAGGATTGGAGTTTTGGCGAACCGGCTTGATTTGCCGCACCGCCACCGGAACAACCTCTTTCTTATATTTGATGCCGTCTTCGGCGCTAAGTCTGCGCTTGTAGGCGCTTTCCGATAAGTTGGAGGAAAAAAGTGACGACGGCACAGGACCCACGGGAACAAAATTGGTAGGAGCAGCGGCAGCGAGGTCCGGAACCTCGTCGTGAGTGTCGGTGACCCCCAACTGGAGGCTTTGTGGATGGGAAAAAAGGGCATGGTCGTCGTTGGAATATGGTTGCTGTTGGTGGTGAGTGACAGTGGGAGGAAGCCCGTCGTCTGGGGAGTTACGTACGGGACTCCGTTGTTGTTGTAAGCTCAAGTAGTCATAGTATTGCGAGTTGTAGAAGTGCTGATCGTAGATTTTGCTGAAATCGCTATCTATATCATTATGGTGGAAATCTCCCATGATGCGTTCATTAAACCCTTGACTTGTTTTGGAGTGCGACTGAAGTGAGAATGGGATGGAGATTGGGTGCGCACGCCCTCGCACCTTCAATTCCAATGCCAGAATCCTCTAGACGGCGACAGGTTAAGAATTGGGTGGTGGTAGCCACAAGGAGTTGGTCTACATGATGGTGGCAGGCACTAGGAGAACTAATGGGAGATTTTGGGTAGAGTGAACCCCTAAACCACCTACATTGTGGTTCATTTTGAGCCAGCGTGCACGTACCAAACCACCTTCCACCAGCAGTGACGACACGGGGGTACTAATGCCAAGCATCTCTTGGGTCTGTCATCCACATCAGTTGCGGCGGCTGATGGTTGCAAAATGGCAGGAAATATCGCCTAAACTCGAACCTCAAATTGCATCTAAATCCGCACCTGTCTCTGGGTTCACCGTGACACTCGTGATGAGTACAATATTAGTTGACGCCACAAATACACATACACATAGATGGGGGACATCGGGTCATGGACGCTCCAGCGTTTTGCTCCATATACCCAAAGAATACACCATCAAATGCCTAGCAAATTGACCCATGCACCCAATGAAATGGTCTTCATTGAAATGGTCTTCATTGAAATGGTCGGTATCGAAATGGTCGGTATCGAAATGGTTTGCATGTGTTTTTTTCTCCAGTTTGATTACCTTCTCCATAACTCCACAAAAACAAGTGACTCAAGTCGATCGCTCGTCTACACAAAAGAAACACAATCAGACGCATTAAAAGCGGCCCGAAGATAGTCATCTTTTGTTGACAACGCAATTTCCAGAGGTTCTCGTGCATTGGAAACAGGCCATAGACAGAAAAGTTTTTCCTCCAATGAAAAAAAAAAAAAAAAAATTCACAATTCACTAAAATTGTATTTTTAGTTAATTGTCTTTAACTAAGAAATCTAAACAAACCTGGCTATTTACAAATGCCTTACCAACCACCCCCTTCTATTGTTCGGGAATACTTTCGTGGATAATTGATATATGACGATTAAGAAGGCCCTGAGCGGTGTCGATTCGCCTCATACATCTAGGTAAATGCTAATTTTGAGTATGGAATAATGTTATGTTCGGCCAAACTATATCAGCTGACTTAGGTCGCCGTCTGACAAATTGCCGGAATCACTTTAATTACTCCGATAATTTATAATTCCAGTGCGAAGTACGCCACATATGCAGAAGAATTCCTGATAGGACAGACCCCCAGTATCGTAGGAAGATTCCAAGCAGGATTGCCGTTTAGCATACTGTACATGATGCCGCACGAATCACAATAGGCCGCAAAAAACCTGGCCGCATAGGTATTACTGCAATGTCCAACAAGAAACAATGTGGTGTTTCCCCCTTCAGATCCTATTGTCGTGTTTTTAATTGGTTTACGAAATAAACCAATAACTCTCCTCCTATTTTTGGAATCATATCTCGTACAACCAATACCACTGCACCTTCCATTTCCTACCAAACTTTAATGTTCGCGACTCAAAGTAACCTCGGGAGCTTCCATCTACATTTGCACCTCAAACCGCCTCGCTCAAGTTTAAGCTTCTTTTGTGGGTTCCAGAAGATTTAGTTCCAGGGGTAAAAGAATAGACCCAGGGAAGCTTCGTTTGTTCCAGCGGATATCGGGAACCTTCCCGGACGGCATGAGGGGCTGTTCTTTTACTATTTTATTGTGTTATTTTTGTTTAGCCTACGACCTTCATGCAGCGAGGGTCCGGTTTAATTAAGCAGAGTTTTTTTCTATTGTTCGAGACTCAATAATTGTAGACGAAGGAAATTAATTTCATTTCAATATGGGGGTAACAACCTCATTTTTATGTGACGAGAGTCGCGATAATGCAACGAGAGTCTCATATTAGTGCCTCACGAAGTATGGTATAACAATCCGAATTTCATGTCATAAGTTCCGTGCACAATGAGGAAAGTCCGACATGGGGCAGATGCATCGAGAGCCTCACCAGATTTTCCGTCAAACATAATGGATTGGTAAAACCACCAGTAAGATTCGCCGTGTCAAATAACTCCGGTATTATACATATCTGTAATCTCTCGGATGTCATTCGCTGTGGTGATTCGATGCATTTACATCGGTTAATACCATACAATTGTTGATTCTACACTATACAAGACCCTAAAAATTTAAAAAATACCTTCATGGACGTCGTAACAACGAACAAAGCTCCGATGCGTCCTTGGTGAGGATGTGGTGGTCTAGCCACTCGTTGGACAAAAATCTCTTACCACAAGCACAGTTTCCCCACTGATTAAGCTTGTTCAGTAAGTTGTGAGATTTTTTCACCAGCGAGTTATCGAAGTGAAAATGTTTATTCATCAAGTGCTTTTTGAAATCATAAGGCCGGTTAAATCTCTGCAGCTTGTGATCACATTCTTCTCTGGGGAATATGCACTTGAATCGTGGATCCGGGTGGTGTGTCCGCATGTGCCTACCCATATCTCTGGTGATGCGCTTTCCACACACTGTACAAGTGGTTCGGTCCACAAACTGTGCCTCTACCTTGGGCATCACCATATCACTGTTGGCATTCACCATCGAGGTGAGGCCGGGGTATGCAAAGCCCGTGTAGCCACTGGGGTGGGAAATCGACGAAGGTGCTGAGGCTGGGGCCGGCATCGATCCGTGTGACGACATGGGCCCCGGCGGCGGCGGTACCGTTATAAACGGTACCAGCTCACGATGGATATCTACCGGCACCGTCGTGTAAACCGATTGATGTGGAGGTTGGTGGAGTGGACGTTGGGGTGTCCAGTAATTGGAGGTTTGATGTGGCTCTGGAAGCCGATCAAATGGACGGTATAATTCAGCACTTGTTTGTAGTGGGGGGTGGTCGGGGGGTAGCAGGGGGTGTTGAGGGTCGGCTATGTGTTGGTCAAAGATCTGTTCCAATCCCCAGTCGAAGTACTCCTCTTCTTTTTCTAGTTTGAAGTACTCCTCCTCATGCTTCATTATCTTTGTATCGAAGACGCTCACTTTGGAAACAAGGTAGATAGGGAGTCAATTACAAACCGAAGTAAGCTTAAGTTAAAGTAGAGTGGTTGGAGAAAAAAGTGGATAAAGTTGGGGTTTAGCAGTTGATTATATAGTTTTTTTTTTCACAAAGTACGTATTTGGTATTAGCTGGTTTAACCGTTTTAATTGAAGTTGTTTAATCAGAAAGTCTAAAATAGGTGCACCCGCATTAACTGGATAATCCACACAGAAAATGGTCATGTTTGAAATTTTCATGCATAAACGAAACAATATTGCTGTAGTGGAAATCCTGAGGGGGTTCTCTTGCATATCGTGTCCGGGCTCGACTCTGAGATTCGTAACCGGCCGACTAGCCTAAAGTTGTTAGAGGCCCAAAAATATAGTAAGGGGGTAAGAGATCGAAAACAATTCAATAAGGATACCTAGAAGAAGAGGATAAGTTTGTAGTTTTGATGATATTAAGGGGCCTATCATCCATATGGTTGCCAATTGCCAATTGCCATGAGGATGCCGATTCCGCTGCCTCCTCATTTATAAACCTGCACAAACAGGAATACCTCTTGGCCTTGCAGGGGCCGCTACCGGTGAAAAAAAAGTTTTTATTGTTCGAAGGAGATCTTCGAGGAAAAGGAGAGGGATTCTAGAAGACTGCACGACTCGTTATTTTGTAACTGTTTATTTTGGATCCGGAACCCAGTAATAGATCTGGTTTTTGACCATGTCACTTGAAATTAGTGGATACACAATTTGCTTGACGGCATCGATGCCGGCGTATGGCTTCCCAAACTAGATCTAAGGCTGGGTTTTGCTTATGGGCTTCTAAATCCCCAAAACAAACAAAAAGAAAAACACTGCCCGATAATAAAGGTGTTCCCACTTCCATGCACTAGAATCCAGCACATCTAAAATTGCGAGCGCACCCTATTTTTAATTGTGCATTACATTGTTATGTTGTTGAGCCATATGTGCGGCAAGGGGGGTATTTACGTTAAACAATAGATAGGATGATATGTTTATTAAAATGCCAGTTGAAAAGGTAACAAAATCTCCTCTTAAATTTACCAGGGGATAACTTTAACTTAAGCCTGGAAAGTATAATTTTTTGGGTCAACAACCTAAAATCCAATTTTCACATGTACCCTGTTGCCTTTCAGAAGGGTATTAATTCTGCGAGTTTAGATAAACGAGAGGACTAGTGCGAGCGAGCCTGTTCGGCGTTTAAAAAAGGAGACGAGTTAGCCCCACGTTAACAATAAGAAGGGTCGAATCATAATAATTTTGATGACACCTGCCGGCATCGGGATGGACGGAGGTAACAACCGGCGAAAAAAAAGGGGTGGGGAAACAGAAGCGGCCCAGAATTACGCATGCCGTGCGCAGTATCCAGCACGCCACCTAGCGATATGGTAGTGACACACCGACTCACGATGCGCGACCACAGTTGAAAAAATTTTTCAAGGTAAATTTTTCAACTAACTAAAACACACTATCAAATATGGGTGCCTACAAATACTTAGAAGAGTTGCAAAGAAAGAAGCAATCCGATGTCATGAGATTCTTGTACAGAGTCAGATGTTGGGAATTCAGACAAAAGAATGTGATCCACAGAGCCTCCAAGCCTTCTAGACCTGAAAAGGCCAGAAAGTTGGGTTACAAGGCCAAGCAAGGATTCGTCATCTTCAGAATTAGAGTCAGAAGAGGTAACAGAAAGAGACCTGTCAGAAAGGGTGCCACTTACGGTAAGCCAACCAACGAAGGTGTCTCTCAGTTGAAATACCAAAGATCTTTGAGAACCATTGCTGAAGACAGAGTCGGTAGAAAAGCTGCTAACTTGAGAGTGTTGAACTCTTACTGGGTTAACCAGGACTCCACCTACAAGTACTTTGAAGTCATTTTGGTGGACCCTCAACACAAGGCCATCAGAAGAGATGCCAGATACAACTGGATTGCCAACCCAGTGCACAAGCACAGAGAAGCTAGAGGTCTCACCTCCGCTGGTAAGAAGTCCAGAGGTATCAACAAGGGTCACTTGTACAACAAGACCAAGGCCGGTAGATACCACACCTGGAAGAAGCACAACACCTTGTCTTTGTGGAGATACAGAAAGTAATCTCTGGGTGGATGAGGTATGGTTTGCAGAGTATATAGAGATATTGTTGAATGCATGCGACCAGCTGATAAGAAAAATTGTAGTAGAGTAGAAATAGGGGCCGGATGATAGTATGGTATGAGTCGGATATATGGGTGGTGACTATATCAAGCATCAAATCCTCTTTATTGATTCCCCAGTTTTGACTCTTCTGACTCCAGCCAATTTAATCGCTCCCTGAAAATCACCGCAATTTTTTCTTCTCTCTACACCTTCACAAATGAGCTACAGTAAAACCGCTATATTATCGGTCTACGACAAGACCGGCTTATTGGACTTGGCTAAGGGCCTTGTGGCCGCTAACGTCAGGATCCTCGCGTCTGGTGGAACCGCCAAATTGGTGAGAGAAGCTGGTTTCCCTGTCGATGATGTTTCCTCCATCACCCACGCTCCAGAAATGTTAGGGGGTAGGGTCAAGACCTTACACCCAGCCATTCACGGAGGAATCTTGGCCCGGGATTTGGAAAGCGACGAACACGACCTCAAGTTGCAGGGGATCGAAAAGGTTGATTTTGTCGTTTGTAACTTGTATCCCTTCAAGGAGACCGTTTCTAAGGTGGCGGTTACCATTGAAGAAGCAGTCGAAGAAATTGACATTGGTGGAGTCACCCTCTTGAGAGCCGCTGCCAAGAACCACAAGCGTGTCACCATCTTATCGGATGCCAGTGACTATGCTGGGTTTTTACAAGAGTTGAAGTCGGGAGAGATCTCTGCTGAAACTAGAAACAGATTGGCTTTAAAGGCATTTGAGCACACCGCCGACTACGATGTGGCCATCTCCGACTTCTTCAGAAAGCAGTACTCGGAAAACGTCAGCCAATTGCCCTTGAGATACGGGGCCAATCCTCACCAGAAGCCAGCCCAAGCGTTTGTCAGCCAGGGCGACTTGCCATTCAAGGTCTTGGCTGGGTCTCCCGGGTATATCAACTTGTTGGACGCATTGAACTCATGGCCCTTGGTCAAGGAGTTGTCTGCTTCGTTGAATTTACCGGCCGCTGCTTCGTTTAAACATGTTTCTCCTGCTGGGGCCGCTGTAGGGTTGCCATTGAGCGATGTTGAGAAGAAAATTTACTTTGTCGAAGACATCGAGAACTTGTCTCCATTGGCCAACGCCTACGCCAGGGCCAGAGGCGCCGACAGAATGTCATCGTTTGGTGATTTTATTGCCTTGTCCAACATTGTCGACTTACCTACTGCTCAGATCATCTCCAAGGAAGTCAGTGACGGGGTGATTGCTCCTGGCTATGAGAAGGAGGCACTTGCCATCTTGAAGAAGAAGAAGGGCGGAAAGTACTGTATTTTGCAGATTGACCCCAACTTCACTCCTGATACTTTGGAGTCCAGACAGGTGTTCGGAATCACTTTACAACAAAAGAGAAACGATGCGATCATTAAGGGCTCATCGTTCAAGGAAATCGTGTCGACTAACAAGGAATTGACCGAACAGGGAATTGTGGACTTGACGGTGGCCACCATTGCCTTAAAGTACACTCAGTCCAATTCCGTATGTTATGCCAAAAATGGAATGGTGATTGGTTTGGGTGCTGGCCAGCAATCCAGAATTCACTGCACCAGATTGGCTGGTGACAAGGCCGACAACTGGTGGTTGAGACAACATCCTAGAGTGTTGGCATTCAAATGGGCCAAGGGTGTCAAAAGACCTGAAAAGTCCAATGCCATTGATTTATTTGTCACTGGTCAAATCCCATCCACCGAGCCCGAGAAAAGTGATTACGAGTCCAAGTTCGCCGAGTTGCCCGAACCTTTGACGGCTGAAGAGAAACAAGATTGGATCAACAAGAACAAGAATGTGGCATTATCTTCGGACGCATTTTTCCCATTCCCAGACAACGTTTACAGAGCCGCCAGATCCGGGGTCAAATTTGTGGCCGCTCCTTCTGGGTCTGTCATGGACAAGGCTGTGTTTGCCGCCGCCGACTCCCAAGACATTGTCTACGTCGAAAATCCTATCCGTTTATTCCATCATTAGGTATATTTAGCAGTAATTTATAAAGCAAGCAGCGCGCGCCATTTCAACTAAAGTTTTTCATCTTCAACACGTCAACGACATCAAACACATAATGGCGTCCGAATACATCTACGACGAAGAAGGCGATGTGTGGCCCTACTTCGTGTTGGCAATTCTCACGTTCATTCTCGTTCCTTTGACCGTCAAGTATCTCGCTCGAATCGTGTCCAAAAGTGATCCTGTGTCCTACAATAAGCTGGTGAAGGGATCTATCTCAGACAACCATGACACCTTGAAGTTGAATCATAACAGCATCAAGACGTTCCAGAAGGCTCAAACAAGTGACAGAATCCTCAACAAGACGTTGGTGGTGTTGATTGTGGGCTGGGCAGTGGTGTTCTATGTGGCCACCAACTTGACCAAACTCGCCGACATGTCAGGCCTTTTTGATCCCTACGAAATTTTGGGGATTTCTTCGTCAGCCAGTGACAAGCAGATCAAGAGCCACTACAGAAAGATGTCCTTGAAGTTTCACCCGGACAAAATGCCCAAGGACTTAACTGAAGTTGAAAAGGAAGCGTTTGAACAAGCGTATATTAGGTTGACCAAGGCTTACAAGGCTTTAACTGATGAGGTCACCAGAGAAAACTACTTGAAGTTCGGCCATCCTGATGGAAGACAAGATACCACTCACGGAATCGCATTGCCCAAGTTCTTGGTGGAAGGAAAGTTTTCTCCATTCATGATTGTTTTCTATTTCATCTTGGTGGGGGTCTTATTGCCGGTGATGGTGGGTTCTTGGTGGAGCAATGTCAAGTCCCACACCTCCAAGGGTTTACATGTGGACACTGCTGCGTTGTTTGTCAAGTATTTAACTGATAAGAACCCCGGCAAGGTGATTACGCCTTTTAGTTTGTTGGACTTATTGTGTGGTTCGCATGAAATCAAGCATGATTTCAACCACTTATCGCTTGTCCAAATCAAAGACTTGCTCACCGAGTACATGAAGCGTGAAACCAACAGTGATGCCAAGTTGGAGCTCGATAAGTTGAAGATTGTTAATGTCGTTCCCAAATTAATCGTAGGGTTCATTGAAATTGCGGTGGTTTTCAGACAATCAGATGTTGTGCTTGTGGCGTTGGACTTGGAAAAGTCCATTATCCAAGCCGTCAAGCCAACCGGTAAGTACAAAGACTTGTTGCAGTTGCCATATGTTGATCCTCAAGTGGTGGAAAAGCAGACGGTAAAGAAGTTAGGAAAGTTATTCACCAAGGACGTCGATGCCGCTGAAGTGTTGGGAATAAAGGATGAGGTCAAGTTGGCCAAGGCCAAGGAAGTGGCCCAGAAAATCGCCAGCTTAAGAATCATCCAAAGCGAATTTGTTGTTCCTGGAGAAAAAGTTGTTCCTCCAGTATCCAAGGCACACCTATCATTAAAGTTTTTGATCAAGTCACCTGCGTTGAAGTCATGTCCCGACCTCAACCCCGACTTGTTAAAGGATGAAGAGACCATCGAATACATGAAAGATCCTTCTTCAATTAACTCTACCCAACCTCAATTGCCATTTAGTTACTGCCCTTATTTCCCCAATGACATTGTGAATAGCTGGTCCGGGGTTTTGATCAACCAGAGAGACAACAAGTTGGTGGAAGGTAGCAGCATCATCAAGTTGACCAATGCCGACTTGAGTAACGTTAGTCTTGATCAAGACGCTTGGATCAAAGGTAACAACGTTGTGATTGGAACGTTGAACGTTCCGTTGACCCAGCCAACACCACAAGCGGTAGGGACGTATCCTTTTCGATTGGTGTTGAAGAACAACGCGTATTTCGGAGTCGATGTGGATCTTCCCTTGTTTTTGGAAGTAAAACACCCAGCTCCCTCCGCCATTGACAAAGACAAATTGATGGGAATCAGCAAAAAGGATGAAGACAGCGACGAAGATAGTGACTCAGACATCTCCGACCCCGAAGAAGACTCTTTGGCCGGTGCGTTGGCAGCTTTGAGAGGTGCACCCGTCAAGAAGGTGGAAGAGGTTAAAGAAGAGGAAGAAACCGAAAACGACGATGACGACGAAAGTATTTTCACCGACATCAATACCGATACCGAGGACGAGGATGAAGATGAGACCGTCCCCTCCAAATAGTCTAATTGTCTATAGATACTTAGATACACACATAATTCATATCTTTTCAGTTACACCTTCAAGTAGAGCAAATATGCGTCTGGAGACTCCAATCCTTGAAGCTTATAGTAGTCCTTAACAAGCAGCTTCTGCTCGAACCCGTGCTTCTCGTACCACTCGAGAGCGTGGGTGTTGGTCACGTGGACATGCACACACACATCATGAATGTATTTCTGCTTGGTCTGGTCGATGACATGATCCAAGAGCTGTTTACCAACCCCCAAGTTTTGGTACGCCGTCAACACCGCGAGCGTCTCGATGTACACAACGTTGGGAACCATCTTGGGTACGAGCTTAGCGCCCACGGCGCTGTCGAAAGTGGCCAAGTCACTGGATAAATTGAGTGGTTTGGCCTTAACACCGCCCACTGGTAACTCGGAAAAGAAGGCAAGCTTGACTATTTGGTCTGAGTTAAGCGCCTCCTTATACCAGGCCTCACTGTATGAGGTGGGAAGGCTGACCTGGTTGATTTTCTTGAACGTTCCCAAGTTGTTGGCAGTCACATCGTCTAACGAAGTGATGGATCTAGCCATGATGGTGGTAATTTTCAGATTTGGCAGCGCGACTCAAAGAATAAATCATAAGATCTTGGTCAGTTCTCCATCTTTATAATTTGCAATTGTAAACTTTATCCACAAAAAACATATATTTATTGGCAGCTGGAAAATGATAACAACCGTGATCATTGTGTTGGTGATCCTCTACTTCTTGAAGGATCTTTTCCTGGACATCAGAAGCGTCAATCCTCTTGACGCGGCCAAACAGGAATCTCCGGTGGTGGAAGGAAAATTCACCCCCAAAACCCTTTGCAAGTACAATGGGTCGGATGATCCCAAGATCTTTATGGCGGTGAAGGGCCGCGTGTTTGACGTGAGTCAGGGTGCCACCTTCTACGGGCCAGGGGGACCATATGAGAACTTTGCTGGGAGAGACGCTTCAAGAGGATTGGCCAAGAACTCATTTGAGCTCGAATTGCTCACGCCTTTGGACCAGCCGCTCGACACTTTGGAGGACTTGACACCAGAGGAACGTGAGAGTTTGGACTCGTGGGAAGAGCACTTTGAAAACAAGTACAAGATCATTGGGACTCTTCACGGTGAGAATGAAAAGTAGGTGAGTCTAGTGGCAGCAGTAGGTGGATACCTAGGGTGACAAGCACCTGGGAAATGTCATTGCTGTAGTCCTAAGTACAAAATTATATATATAACTATACGATCCTATTTCCTGCTTGTGCCCTCTTTACGCGCACAATCCGAACAAAAAAATCCATCCAACATACTAGTGATGAGTTATCGTGGAAGAGGCAGGGGAGGTTTCTACAACAACAACCGTGGAAACTTCAACCAAAACCAGGGACAAGGCCCCAATACAAACAATGTTCCCACATCGCAGAACATCAACCAATTCATCTCCGGCAACTCGATACCAGTGGAAATTCTAGGCTGGAACGGTGCCTCAATGGAAGATTGTGTCAAGTTCATCTCCAGAAAGTGCCGGATCGTGGTACTGAACGCCTCCATCGACCCTCAGTCGGGAGCTATGAAAGGGTACGTCAAGTCGCAGAAGGATGCCGACGACTTGTGTAACTGGTCGGGTGTCAAATTTGCTGGCCAGTCTTTGAAGATCACCAAGGCCATAGGTGCTGGCGCCACCACCACCGCCGTGGGCTCTTCCACCATTGAGACTATCACCGCCTTCTTGAAGTCTCGATACCTGCCAGAAATGAAGTTGTTGAACTTGACAGCGGTGCAAGCAGACCCAACGTTGCAGTCAAAAGGGTTTTTTGCGACCATATCCACCACGTCCAAGTTCTTCCCGGCGTTGATGAAGGTGGCTCACGAGCTCAAGATTGAGGTCGATAGTATCGACTTGTCGGGCAACAACTTGACGGATTTGCTGACGATTTCCACGCTTTCAACGACGTTTCCTACTTTGAAAAATTTGTCGCTTCTGAATAATGCCATTTCCAGGTTGAAGGTTTTTGAAACCTGGCGCCACAAGTTGAACTTGTTGCGTGAGTTGATCATCACTGGTAACCCGATCTTGAACCAGGCAAATCCACAGGAAATCAAGGCCGAATTGATGAAGTCGTTCCCACGGTTGATAGTGGTCAACGGAGAAGTATTGCGAAATGAAGCCATGTTGAACTCGATCTTGGCGTTCCCGTACCCCAATCCACAGCAGATGTTCTTTCAGGACGAGGAGATCCAGGGAATGTCGACAAACTTTGTCACCAGCTTTTTTGGACTTTGGGACTCAAATCGCAGAGACTTGATCCAGCTCTATCAGGCCGAGTCCCAATTTTCTCTCCTGGTGGATATGAGCCACCCCCATATGTTGGAAGTGGCCAACGTTGATTTCGGCTACTACCTTCCGTTTTCTCGTAACTTGACCAAAATCAGTGCTTCCAAGTCCAGGATGTCCAAAGTGTGTATTGGCCCAGACCAAATCTTCAAGGCCTTCACCCAACTTCCCAAATCGAAGCACGAACTAGTGACAAAACCAGACATGTTTTCGATGGAGACGTACCGATTCCCCCAGGTCAACGGGATTATTATCAATCTTCACGGTACCTTTGGTGAGACGGCTCCACCGGAGAACTTGGAGGCATTCAATAACGCTGCTCACAGAAACCGGTTTCAGAACAACCGTAACAAAAAACCTCCTTTGAGCAACAAAAGTTTTGATCGGTCGTTCGTGGTAATCCCTGGACCCAACGGAAGTATGATTCTCGCCAGCGACTCGCTAGTCATCAGAAGCCCCAGTGGGTGTGACTCATGGAGCAAACAATCAAAGTTACCAACACCTCCTCCAGCGCAGCCTCAGCAGCAGCAGCAGAAACTCCCACAAACTCCTCCACCAAATGGGCCCTCGGCCCTCCCTATGGTGACCCAACTACCACCAGATGTTAAGGCCATGTTAAATGCGGCCCAACAGGAAATCCTCATCAAGGTGTCGTTGGAAACCAATTTAAATCTTCAGTATGGACTCATGTTGTGCCAGCAGAGTAACTGGGATTATCAACAGTGTATTATAAACTTTAAAAACTCGGTGGGCTCTCTTCCGCGTGATGCATATGCGTCCTAAAATCATCACTTTGTATATACGTAGTCAATACATATCCTAGAGGCTGGTTCCATTGAGAACCACCCAGTATCATTGTTAATTATGTTGCAGCCAATTCGCGAAAAAAAACTAGTTGTTTAGCTGTTGTCTGACCATGGGATTCAACATAGCGATGGTCACCGACTTCTTCTACCCCCAGGCGGGTGGAGTCGAGTTCCATGTATACCACCTTTCACAAAAACTCATCGAGCTTGGCCATTCGGTCGTCATCATCACCCACGACTATGGAAATAGAAATGGAGTCCGGGTGTTAACCAATGGCCTCAAAGTATATTACATACCTTCCCTTGTATTTTACCGGAGTGCAACGTTTCCCACAGTGTTTTTGGGGTTTCCAATCATACGCAACATCTTCATACGAGAGCTGATTGAAATTGTCCACGGTCATGGCTCAATGTCTTCTTTGGGGCTGGAAGCCATTTTTCACGCAAGGACCATGGGATTGAAAACCGTCTTCACCGACCACTCTTTGTACGGGTTTGCTGATTTGTGGTCGATTTTGGGTAACAAGCTCTTGAAGTTCACCCTCAGTGACATCGGCCACGTGATATGTGTGTCTCATACCTGTAAAGAGAATACGGTTCTCCGAGCGTCGTTGAACCCATTGTGTGTTTCTGTGATCCCCAACGCCGTGCTTGCGGAAGACTTCACGCCACAAACCCACAAATGTGTTGATGATGGCACTATCACCATAGTGGTGATTTCTCGGTTATTCCCCAATAAGGGAGCTGATCTACTCACTGCCATAATTCCTCGAATCTGCGACGCCAACAAAAACGTCCAGTTTCTAATAGCTGGAGACGGCCCCAAGTTCTTGGACTTGGAGCAGATGCGAGAGAAGTACTTTCTCCAGGAACGGGTTAGGTTGATAGGGGCAGTTAAACACGAAGAAGTTAGGGATATCATGGTCCAGGGCCAAATCTACTTGCATCCTTCACTAACAGAAGCGTTTGGTACCGTGATAGTGGAGGCTGCATCGTGTGGGTTGTTTGTGGTTACCACAAAGGTCGGTGGAATTCCAGAAGTTCTTCCCAACCATATGATGCATTTTGCTGAGCCCGACGAGGATTCTTTAGTGCTGGTCACTTTGAATGCCATCAACCAGTTTAGATCTGGTAACATTGATACCTCAGGATTTCACCGAGAAGTGTCTCAGATGTACAGCTGGGAAGACGTGGCTAAGAGGACGGAAAATGTATACAACTCGTTGGATTTATTGAAACTCAACCAGCCGTTGATAAAGAGATTTCAAAAGTACTACTGTTGTGGAGCGGTGGCCGGGAAGTTGTTTGTGTTGATGGTAGCTATTGACATATTATTGTACACGTTGTTGGAGTATTTTCGTCCGAGAGATCAAATCGATAAGGCTACCAAGTGGCCAAAACACAAAAGAGCCTCTGGAATTAGGTCTTAGTTGACGATATTTAATCTTTTCCAATCTTTAATACACGATTTCTGTCCTTTTCGTATTGGTAAAATTGTTCACTGATACTGGCAATGATGAACTTTGGGTTCTTCTTCTTTGGTCTCCATTCTCCTGGTGCCTGAAATCGAAGTACCTCCAACGAGTTTGCTATCTTTTGGAGTCGAGGTGCGACCGTGTGAAGGCCGGGTACTGGGCCATCTTTTGATGTACGTTCAGTCTTGAGCCAACTCAAATCACTCTTACCAGGCCTGCTGATAAGTCCTCGAAGATACGCTATTTCTTGAACAAGATGGAGGTTTTCCACAAAAGATCTTTCGGAATCCATGCTGTTGAACCGACCGTGAATGTAGTCTATATTGAAGTACTTTCCCGAGCTTATAAGTGACTCTAACTCCACTTCTAGGAGTTTATTCTTTTGTTCAAGCTCAGAGAAGCTTACTAGAAGTGTATCATACTGTCCTTTCAATGAGTTGAACTTGTGTTGAAGACCATCTAACTTCTTCTTGTTACCAACACTTAAGTTGGACATATTTGCCTCCAATAATTGGACTGTCAACTCTAAATCATTAATCTTGGTTTCTTTGTCTTGGAGGTCATCTCGCAAGGCTTTACTGGGTTCATTTGCAACTACTTTTGTCTCTTCAATCTGTTTGAATTCCCGTTCAAGCTCCAATTTATAACTGTTGAACCTATGAAGGGCCCCCTCCAACAACAAAACGTATTCCAGCAGGTTCAACGATTCCTCAAGGTCAACTTCATAGCTTCCGAAATACTCGTTCAAGAGAAATACCAATGGGTTGTTCAACTTGATACTGAACCTATCGTCAACATCCACATCAAAGGTTCTGTTTGTCTTAGTCAAGAGGGACTCCACTAACACTTTTATCTCAGAAACGAGATGGTTATCGGTTTTATCAATCATGGAAAAATAAGCTTTCATGACAGCACACTCAAAGCTAATGAAGTTGACACAGAACTTGTTGTGCACAACGTTTTTGTCGTTGCTGGTGAAGATGTTGTTGATGACCCTCTGAATATCAACAAGAGAAAACAGAACGAGAGTCAGTTGCTCCACACTTAAAAGAAGCAGCTCAACCAACGTCTGAATCCCACCAATGGACTCTGAACAAACAACAGCATCTTCTCCTACCAGATAAAGGTATTGCAAATAGGCCAGCACTTGGGTTAACTTGAACTTCAAGGTGGGCGTATCAGTCATCTTAAGCTGTTCTTGACATGCTGATTGGAGTGGAACTAAAGCAGTCAACTGCAATTTGAACTTGATGCTGTCGTCCACCTCTAACAATTTGTAAAGATCAAGCTTCCGGTTGCAAATTTGCAACACCACAGCAGCAAATTCAAGTTCCCGGGTTTTACCAGCCAATTCAAGTCTCATGTTCTGTAAATGAGCTTGCATCTCTCTGTCCACCACATAATCTCCCAGCATGTTCTGCATGTTCGTGATCTTCATGTTGAGTTCTCGAATCGCAGTTTCCAACTGTTGTGTTTTCTTTGATTTGTCTGCCAGCTCCTTCTGTAGCGCACCAACTTTGGTTCGAAGGTCGATCTCGATCTCCGACTGGTATTGCTCCAAGCTTTTGTCGATTTCTTGCAATGCCATCAACTCATCAAATTGGGCTTTTAACTCCTTGAGCTGAACATTGAGCATGTCGTTTTCAGTCGCCAACCGGTTCACAATAGAGTCCAGCTCCTGTAAAGATTCCAACTGGCTCTTAAGTTCGAATATAGTTTCTTCGGCATCGCCTAGCTTCTGTGTGAGCTCCTGGTAGACCTCAGGCTCCAATCTGCTATCGAGCTGCAACTTAAGTGACTCTATCTGACTCGTCAAGTCCAATTTTTGGGTCTCTGCAACACCCTTGAAGGTGGCAAGCGCCAACTCGAGTCGTTTGTTCTTCTGGGCCAACGAAACCACGTCGTTGTCACTAGTTGAAATCATGATCTCATCTTCAAGCTGCTTATTCAACTCCAACTCTTCCTGAATGGTGGCCAATTCCTTCACGATACTGTCGTACCTGGCCTGGAGCGCCGTTAAGTCAGCCTGGAGCCGTGTGTTCTCCACTTCAAAGAAGTCCCTATCGACATTTGTCTGTTCCAACTGCGACTGCAACACCTCAACCTGAGACTTATATTCTTTAATGTCACGAACAGCCTCCTGAAGCTTCACTTGCAACTTGTCTATCACGAGATGTTCTTTGAGCGGTTGATCGTGCACAGCAGCATCATCAACATCCCTTTTGTGGACGATGGTGGGAGATGCAAAAAGCCCGTAGTTTCCTGGGGCTGTGCACTTGAAGTACTTGACCCCGTTAATAGACCCATTGTTTTTGCCCACCGGGTGGTACAACTCGACCCCCACCCACACACCGGGGGCGAACTGTGTTCGGCCTACGAACCGTACCTCACCTTCGTGGCCCTTAACGGTGACGGGTGTGCCAATCGGTAGTGAGTCCATCTACTTCACGAGCGCGACTAACGACGCGCGCATTTTTCTCAAACAACATAAACTCCAATTCAATATGTCATCAGCAGCACAGGCTGGACAGAAGCGCCTAAGCAACTTGAAGACCGAATTGTTGAACGAGCAGAAGCAGGAAATCAGAGAGGCGTTTTCGCTTTTCGATATGAATAACGACGGGTGCTTGGATTACCACGAATTGAAGGTGGCTTTCCGAGCCCTTGGTTTCGATCTCTCCAAACGCCAGGTGTTGGACATCATACACGAGTATGATACCGACGACCGCAACTTGATCACATACGAAAACTTCTTCCAGGCGGTAGGAGAGATGATAGTCAACAGAGACCCATTGGAGGAGATTCGAAGAGCGTTCCGGCTTTTTGACGACGACGGCACCGGCAAAATCACCCTCAGGAACTTGAGACGAGTGGCCAAGGAGTTGGGGGAGAATTTGACCGACGACGAGTTGCGGGCGATGATAGACGAGTTTGACCTTGATGAGGACGGAGAAAGTACGTATAATTTTTCAAGTGACAAGCAATATTGGACCTATCAAGTGGCAGCCAATATTGGACCCAGTCCTTCGACAGCTACTAACAAATCTAGTAAACGAACAGGAGTTCATCAACATATGTACGGAATAGGTGTATTAGTAGAATAATAAATCAGCTTGTAAGCAGTTTTTCTCACTCTCACTCTCACTCGCACATCAAAAATTTTTCACCACCCGTACTCCACCACCTAATGTCTGCCAACGGAATAAAAAGGCGGCTCCAGAAGGACTTCTCCCGGCTCAACAAGGCCTTGAGAGCTCAGGAAACAAAGAGCAACAACCGTATGGTGCTTCCCTACTTTGAACAGGACTACGACTTGGTTCCCAAGCACGAGCAGAAATTGGACTTCACCCAAGTGGGTTTGGCAGAGGGCGATTTGGTATACATCACCAAGGGTGAACACAAGGGCAAGATCTCCACACTCTTCCGGTACACCCCTGAGTTTGACACCGTGTACTTATCGGACGTCAGTGAGAAGAAGGTGGTTCCTCCTACTCAATGGTTTGAGCAGCAAGAAAGCCATTTGATAGACTATCCACAACAAATCCCCCGTGATCACGTCAGGTTGGCGGCCAAGGATATCGACAGTGCCGGCAAGACATACTACATTGTGGCAGATGCGGTGGTTTACAAAGACAAGTATTACGACGACAGGTACAAACAGTGGCTTCCCAAGCGCTTTGTCAAGCACCACGAAAGCATCGAGGTTCCATGGCCAGGTCCCCCAACAGACCCCAAGGACGGTGAATTATCTACCGATGAGCAAGTGGCATTGGAAAAGACGTATGAGGTGCAAAGTATTGCTATCCCCCCGGTTCCTATAGGTGCTTTGGACCAACTCAGAAACCCTCACTCCAAGTTCAAGTCCAAGATCTTGACCGAATTGGATGCCAGAAGATTGACGGCGCCCGAAATGCCCTTGAGCAAGGAGCAGAAGATCTACTTAGCCAAGAAGGCCCAACAACCACCTACTTCAGTGAAGGATTTGACGGAGGAAATGAAACAGTTGATTGGAGAAAAGATGGCGCAACACTTGAACCAGATTGAAAACCCATACATGAAGATACATTTGGATGCGTTATCGAAGAACACCACACCGGAGTTCGAGAAGACCATGAAGTTGATACGGGAGACACAGGAGTTGAACAAGGCGGAGGAGCAGAAGTAGAAGGAGAAGTAGCTTGTAAATATATACTGATACGGATAGTGCGAGGTGGGACTGTAATTATTAAGTTTACTCCTATAAAAAAACGTTGGTGTGGAGGGTTCATCATAACTTTTCGTAGTCAATCTTGCCTTCAAGCTTCTTGACGTCAGCAACCTTTCTGACCGCTTTCATCAAGTCATTTTGAACAATGTAATCTCTTTCATCTCTTATAGCAAAGAACCCAGCTTCGGTAACAACATTTCTAATATCAGCTCCATTAAACCCATCACTCATTCTGACGGCTGCTTCGAAATCAAATTCTCCGTGCTTAGCAATATTAGCCGTATGAATTTTGAAGATTTCCAATCTCCCGGCTTCATTGGGCAAGCCTATTTCGATTTTCCGATCCAATCTCCCCGGTCTTAATAATGCAGGGTCCAATGTATCGGGTCTGTTGGTGGCCATGATCACTTTTGTTTGTCCCAAAGTATCAAACCCATCCATCTGATTCAAAAGTTCCATTAAGGTTCTCTGGATCTCTCTATCAGCAGAAGTACCTTCACTGAATCTCCGACCCCCAATAGCATCGATTTCATCCATGAATATAATGCAGGGCGAGTGTTCTCTGGCATACGAAAACATTTCTCTGATCAATCGAGCCGACTCTCCGATATACTTGTCGACTATAGCACTGGCAGGTGAGAAAATAAAGTTGGCTCCAATGGTAGCAGCCACTGCCTTGGCCAAAAGCGTCTTCCCGGTACCGGGAGGCCCATACAACAACACACCCTTAGGAGGCTTGATACCCACTCTAGTGAACAACTCGGGGTTTTTCAACGGCAACTCAATCACTTCTCTCAACTCCCTCACCTGATCCGTCAACCCACCAATTCCGTTGAAGGAGATTTCACCCGGTTCAAAAGTTGTCATGTTGTACACCAAAGGATCAACTTCCCGGGGCAAGATCCTCATGATTGTCAAGGTGGTCATGTCTAACGACACCCGGATTCCATTCTTTAGGTTCTCCTTCTTGATGGTGTTTCTGCATCCAACAATATATCTAGGACCCGAGGATGCCTTGACAATGAACCGCTCATCGTCCAACTGCTTCAACACTTCTCCAACTATCTGACCCACCGACTGTAACGCCTTGATGTCGTTTTCGGTTTTGTCGTAGTCTCTGTCGAGATCTCGTATGCTTAGTCTCAAGTCCTTCAATCTGGCGTCCCAGTTTCTGTGCTCGGTCAACTTATCTTTGAACTTGCCCAAGGCCTTTTCTCTTTCCGGATCTTTAGACTCCTGGGGTTCGTTGGCAACAGGAACATCTTCATTCAATGCCTGAAGCAATGGATCGTTTTCTTCACTCATATTGTGGTTAAAGTGGCAAACAACTTCAAGTACCGCGAACTTAAGCACCAAAGTGCGCGCGCGCACCTGCACGACTCGCTTGAGAAAAACTTTTGTCACCACTCCACTGGTGTCACAATGGAGTTTCATGCGTTTATCTTGTGTGGACCCGGCAAAGGGTTGTCGCCGTTCTCACAGCAGCGGAGCTCGGGCCAACCCAAAGCTCTCTTGCCAGTTGCAAACCGTCCCATGATTGAGGGTGTCTTGGACTGGTGTGAGATGGCCTTTTTCCCCAAAGTTACATTGATTGTGAATGACGACTCAGAACACCAAATCCTGTTGGAATTGGACGAATATAAGAGGAAATTGGCGGCTGCCAATAAGGCTAAGCAGACCGCCGACGAGTCATCCCCGTACACCACCGACTTTTCGATTCTTAACCTTGAAACTGACTTCAGCGGATATGTCTTATACCATTTATACAAACTGGGAATACATCCGTACCACAACTTCGTGGTGTTGCCGTGTGACTTTGTGACGAACTTACCACCCCAGGTGTTCATCGAGGCATACCGGAACAAGAGCGACAAGGACGTGGGGTTGTTGGTACATTATAGAAACACCTTGGACATAGAGGACAAAAAGACCAAGATCTTCCCCACCAACTACACGTTCTACGGCGAGCTGAAGGACGACGATCTGACCAAGCTCTTGGACATATACTCGGCCGAGGACGTCGAGTTTCACAAGACGTTGAAGATCAGAACCCAGATGACTTGGCGGTACCCCAATACCATAATCAGCAAGAAGCTTTTAAATAGTGGGATTTTTTTTGGGTCAGGTGACATCTTCACTATCTTCGCCGCCAACCCCAACCGATACACAGAGGCGTACTTTTTGTGCCGGCCTCTCACCAAGATCATCAGAGACTTGGCCAGAAGATCCTGGAGACATTCGAAACTTCAGGAAACCATTGCATTTTTGATCATTCCGGACATCGCGACGTTCTATCGTATCAACAATACGCCGGTGTTGATGGAGGCCAACCGAAGCGTTCTACAACAGCAGGCAATCCAGAAATCCCAACTGGGAGTTCTACCAGCTGCTCGAGAGAAGAACGCTGCCAACGTTGGAATCGACTCTCTTATTGGTGACAACTCCGTGTTGGGAGAAAGAACCAACGTCAAGATGACCGTCATCGGCAAGAACTGTAAGATTGGCAAGCGAGTGAGGTTAACCGGAAGCTTGGTTATGGATAACGTGGTTATCGATGATGATGTGCTGTTGGAGAATTGTATAGTAGGATCTGACGTGATCATTCACTCCAAGCTGAAGTTGACCAACTGTAACGTTGAGGCCATGCATGAGGTTGTCAATGGGAGCCACTTCAAGGGAGAGACCTTGTTGAGTCTTTCGTTGGAAGGAATTGTTGAAAATGGAATGGAAACAGCCACTTCAGAGGAAGACTCGTCAGGCTCTGACGATGAATCGGACGACTACGATGATGATGTGGAGTATGACGACAATGCTGACGGATTGTTTGACTACTAGGGGTGTAGACTATTAGAAATATATTAATGCTAAATATAGGCTCGTTCTCAGATGGGAACAAATGTAATGGTCGTTACAGTCGTGAATGGGGTATCACTAGTGGGAACCTCTGGTTGATGCCTTCAAGGCACTGAGCTCGGCAAGGACCTTCTGGCTACGTCTTCTTGTCCCTCTTCCGTCTCTGCTCTCCCTTGTCATGACTCTTCCTCTTTCTTGCCTCAGCATCTTCCTCCTTCACCTCTTCTGCTCTCTTCCTGTTGACCTCCTTCTCTTTCTTAAGCTGTTTCCAGTTACTTCGCTGTCTCGGAGAGTGTATTACTGACAATGGAGCATAACTGGGCCTAAACTGGTATGGGGCCACAAGGTCAGGGGACATGGAAAACACATGATCCTTGGGGATTTCAGGGGGCAGTACGGCAGTAACAGAGGCTGCGACCTCGGGCTCGGGCTCATCGTCGTCCGACTGTCTGCATTTGTGGATGTTGGCGATTTCAGCCTTTTTCATGAGTGCCCAGTTCTCGATATCACCATGGTCACTAAGAACGGTGAGAACGTCGTTCAAACACGAAAGGTACCCGTTGTAGTGGTTTAAGCTGTTGGAAGTCTTACTGAGCCGATACAAGGATGCCACCGACTTTGCGGCCTTGGCAAACTCGGTGTTTTGTGAGGTGGATGAGGTGGTTGGGGGTGTTGTAGCATCTTTTAGTTTTGTGTTGTACAACGAGGTGATCAGATTGGCGGCGTTTTTGAACTCGATAGCGAGCTCAGTGTTTATGCCGTCCACAGACTCCTGGTCTACGGGCCGTGTGGCAGGAAGGTTGGAAAGTAGATTCGATAGATCCATCCCTGTGAGTTTTAGTTTTATGATTTTCTTTGATGGTTTTCGCGAAGTGTCACAAATAATACCTGTTCCAACACAATTGCTAGCATGGTCAAGTCAACTTTAATATATAGATACGACGGTATGTGACCCTACAAATGCCTGGAGCAGCAAGAATAATAGTTGATCTTTTACTAACACCTTTCAGCACTCCCATTGTGTGGTTCTGTGGATGACAACAATGACCCAGCCCTAACCGAGCAGAAGAAGAAGTGTAAAATTGTGATCAGTCGGATCACCCCCAACTCGGAGCCACAAGCCACCATAGAGTCGGGTGCCTTCAGCATCCACTACTTGATTGCCAACTCCATCATATACATGTGCATTTGTGAAAAGAGCTATCCCAGAAAATTGGCTTTTTCCTACTTGACGGAAGTATCAACCGAGTTTGACAACAGTCACGGCAAGAGTGCCTTGAGCCAGACAGCCCGGCCCTACGGGTTCAGCTCGTTTGACAATTTTTTGGGCAAAACAAAAAAGATATATCAAGACCAAAGAGCTCAGTCCAACTTGGATAAGTTGAATTATGAGTTGGCCGACGTCAAGAAGGTGATGACTAAGAACATTGAGGACTTATTGTATAGAGGCGATTCGTTGGACAAGATGAGCGACTTGTCCAATACTTTAAGAAATGACTCGATCAAGTACCGAAAAAAGGCCCAACAGATCAACTTTGAGGCCATGTTGAGACAGTATGCGCCCATTGTGGGCGTGGGGCTCTTTCTTGTGTTTTTGATTTGGTACATGTTTCTCCGGCGATAATATACGTTAGTATTAGAGGCGTTGTAGTAAAAGCTAAATAGGATACAAGTCTGCTACACCAACACCGGTGCGCGTTCGAAATAAATAACCATGTCGCAGTTGCACCCTCCAGACTTGAATCCCCGTCAGTCCACCCAGGCGGTGTCTGGGACCAGCGTGGCGGCCGACACGCTGCTGCCACTACGAAGAGCAGTCGACGATGTCCAGGGCCCCGTCCAATTGGCGTCCGACTCGCATGACCCGTCTGGGTCGGGGTCCGGCCTCATGGCGGTGAATCTGAATATCAGCGGGTCCACCGACTTGGACGGTGATGAGAACCTCCAGCACCTCCTAACGGAACTCATTCACCACGAGGATGTGGCCCCCAAACAATCCAATACGTCGCTAAAGTCTTACCTAGAATTACAGGTGTTTCCTGCTAATGACATGACGGAACACGAGTACTACGAGTGCATGATTAAAATGGACAAGAACCTCGACCCACAAGGGTTCCACCACAAACTCAAGCACTTCTTCATATTCTCTGTGTCGGGTAAGCTCATCTACTCGCTTCACGGCAGCGATGACTTGGTTATCGGCTACGCAGGCCTAATCACCACCATTCTCTCGCTGTTTGAGCTGGTGGTATCGGAGGAGGTGCAATGCATCGACGTGAACGACCAAAAAATCATGTTTCTCAACCGGAGTCCGGTGGTGTTGGTGTCGGTGACCAAAATCAAGTACGAGATGATCTTGAACCAGAATACTAACCAGAATTCTCTTCTCGTCAACCAATTGCACCTGTTATACGAGTACTTGGTGTCGATATTGACCAAGCCGGTGATCATGAGGTTGTTCCACAACCGGATGAACTACGACTTGCGTAAGAGCTTGACTCAGTTGGATTTCCATAACTTAGACCGGTTGGCCATGAAATTGACGTACGGACTAGATGAGGACGACGACTTGAAGCACGGGCTCGACTACTACTTGAGTGCCTTGATGGACAACAGCTCCAAGACAGCCTGCATTACCAACACGACGCGACAGAAGCTCAACTCCATTCTTCTTCTGCTGAGAACAAACGATCTTCCTGACTATTTGTTTGGACTTTTGACCGTGGGGGACCAGGTGGTGAGTGTGATGAAGCCCAAGACCCATGAGTTGGGCAACAAGGACGTGAGAAACCTCATGATGATCATCTCCAATAACCAGCATCTGAATATGCTGGAAGACCTCTGGATTCCTATTTGCATGCCCAACTTCAACAGCAACGGGTTCTTGTACTGCTTGGTGAAGACGTTCGACTTGAGCAAGTACTTGCTTGTGGACGGGAAGTTCCACAGACCGTTGCCAGTGAATGTGGTGCTTCTAAGCACCGATAAGAACAACTTCTTCAAGATGCAAGAGGTCGCAGAAGGGATTATTGACCAGGTGGTCGAATCGGATTCCTACCGCAACAGCTTGCACGATGAGTTGGTGGCACGCGAGCAGCTTGTAACCAAGCCGTCGATGGTTCATTATGTGTACAAAGACAAGTCGAAGGACCAGTTTGTGTCGAGTCCGTTGGACCTCACTGACAAGTTCATGCTCTTCAAGTATGTTTACTACTATACCAACTTGGTCAATAGTAAGACCACAACCATCAAGTCACTAACGAGTGATGGAGTGGATAAGAAGCTCACATACTTGAAGTTTGACAATTATGTGGGATTCATGCTCTCTGACCAGACATACGAATTTTATTGCATTTCCACTGAAGGGAAGTTGACGACGTTGATCAATGATGTGTTGGGGGTGGTGAAATGGTGCAAGCAGCGCCACAAGAGGTTGTTTAATAATAACGTCCGGTACTCGTTGTAACAGGTGTTGATTGACTTCTTTCCGTCCTTAACTCTACTTTATAGCATTATCTATATACATATACTTGACAACCCTCTATTTGAGAATCACCTTTTCCGTACTCTTAAACGCATCCGTCAACTTATCCAAGTACTGTTTGTGCAAGCTCTCAAACTCCTTCACAATCTTCATGTCGGTATCAGACTTCTTGTTGAGCTTCTTGAGCTTATGCTTGTAGTCGGTTCGAACCGCATTCAATGAGCTGGAGTTGTTGTTCTTGAATTTTTCAAACACCGCTTTCAATACTTTGGCATTTTCTTGTTTGGTCTCGGTGGTGATAGGAGGTAAGGGTACCTTCAACACTCCCGTATCCTTGTCAAAGGTCGGGTTCATGTTTAGACCCGACCCCAATATGCTATTGATGATGTTCTGAACATGGTCAGGATTGAACACGGTAATGACGATGTTTCTTCCTTTGATCGATGCCTGAGCAACGGTGTTGAATTTGGAAGTTTGGTGGTCTTCAACCGAAACATCCAAATTGTCAAATAGACTCGGGTTGGTTTTGCCAAGCTTGACCTCGTTAGCCTTTTTGTTGAACTTGTCGATGATCTGGTCAAATTTGGACCTGGCTTCGTCCAAATCGATCAATTCTTCAGCGGTGGCAGATGGTTCGTCTGATTCAGATTTGGTCTTTCTGGAGTCTTTTTTCGACTTCTTTACAGCCTTGGCCCAAGCCACTGGGGTCACATGAAGCTGACGAAGGGAGGGTATGGGTTGTTGGCGGACTACGAGCGGCCTGGTGATGGTGTTGGCGAGGTATTTGGGAAAGCTTCTGAACATGATCAAATTTTTCACTGCGAATTGCAGCCAACGAAAACTAATGTATTTGAGAATGGCTGCGACAAGTAGGGTAGGCACAGAGAATTAGGTGGTGGCGGGGTCTCAAGGGCATATAAGGAGAGAGCTTTGGTGGGTGTATGGGTCAGAACTTCGGTGGGTATGAGTGTGGCGGTGAGTGTTGGCTGGGGAGGTGGGTGGCGGTAATCCTGGTGGCAGCTAGGGCGAAAAGGCTGGGCGCTCTGGGACGGTCGCGGCAGGCCTGAAATTGGGCCGTAGTGTCGAGACCTCGCACCAGGTGAGGCTGCTATCGCAGCGATAGCAGCGATCGGTTTGCGCACACAGGGGGTGCAAATTGCCTTGCTCATCCCGGCACCAAGAGGAGACGAATCCAATCCCGCAGTTGTGGCTTGATTGGGTAAACCTGTAAATTGTTATCTGATACTCGGGAAACTTGACGTACCATTAGACTCCCATCTTAATAACCTTCCAAATCAGTAGGTCATAATCAGTAGTCATTCATATCCATTCTCCCATCAATAGTTAACCTTTCCTCTCGACACAATCTCACTTCCAACCTCTATTAATCATTCCACCACATTTTTTTTTCTTTCTGGCGATTGGCACACACCACCACCCCGAATCTGCGAATACGGTATTCAGCATATTATTACCATAAATATAAAACACTGCCAACCACTAATCCTACCCCTATGACCTCTAACCACCCATAATAGACCATTTATCAGGAACCTTCCACAAACTCTCTTGAAACAATCGGACATATATCACGTCCGTGGGTCAGTATGGCGGTTTAAAAATATCGATACCCGGCCTGCACACAACTGTTGTGGGAAGCGCAGTGGGTTTTCACCTCTGATAAAGTGACCCAATCTGTGAGAATAAAGTTATCCGAATTTTACCCAATTACTCACCTGTTTACCAGCATCGTTTTACCGGTCCTTTTAACCCCAAGCCCAGGTGTCCCGTAAAGTGAATCGACACATCTGCCGACCTCCACTTCCCACCCTCCTGCCTTTCCCTACGTCCTTCACCTCCACTGGTACTTATTCCTACTTTTGATTACACATCAGTTATCTCACATATCATGTCCAACGTTTTGGAAGACCCCCAGTTGGATTTGAACATATCGTCCAACATCTCCAACGATCACGTGTCGTTGTTGGACCCGGCGCTTGAGTATCTCGATGACAGTACGTATGACGGCGGCCTAGCGGATTACAACGATAATGGTAACTACACCCACTCCAACATCTCCAACACCTCCAATACCTCCAACACCACCCCTGAATTCAGCTCGCCCAACGATGCCCACTACGCCAATTACCACTACAATGCCGCCGCCACCGCTGCCCCCGCCATGAATCATCCCGACAACTACTATGATTATACCCACTTAACCGGCTTCAAGTCACATGTCAAGTCCCAGAGCTTTAGTCTCCCCGATAAGTTGAACTTATTGTCTTTACAGAATATCAGCCAGGATAGCTCCAAGTCGCCGAGTCCCGAATTTATCTACCACGCTAAAGACGACCATGACGATCGGACCATTAACCCCAAGCAGTTGTTCACCATTAAAAACGTCAAACCGGCTGCCATCAGCACTGCCAGTGTGCAAGGCGCTACTGCAGTTGTTCCCGGTACCGGTGCCGGCGTGTCCCGTAAGAACAAGCGAAAGAGTATGGACCACGAAGAAACGCTAACCTTCGACCCTCCCATTGCCGACACCGGCATGCACCCGGACGAACGACGTGAGTATGTGCTCCCTTCGTCGTCGTCGTCGCCCAACTTGTCCACTTTTTTCAGCCAGTATACCCAAAGAAATTTGGACATGGACTTCAAGATGAACAATGAGTGTTTTAATGCCATTAAAATGTGGTTGAACAACAACGACTTGGGTAGTAATGGAAACAATGAGATTGTCATCAACCCCACCGGGATCATCAAGAACACCAGCACCTTGTCCAAGCGACGCAATTCGATTCAGTCGGTCAACGCGTCACCTGCTCCCGTCACTCCTGCAATTGAAAAGAGAAAGAGACGTAAGTCTACCAACTCAAACGCCACTCTAACTGAGTTCAAGGCGTCACTCTTCAGCATGGATGTCCACGAGTTGGATCACGACCTCGAGGTGAGTTTGTCTCCAACAGACCGAAACTCCAGAGAATCAACCTCAAAAAGCTCAAGCCAACAGCCTGGCAGTGCCGGTGTTGGCGTGGGCAGTGGGGACGATGAGACCGGCAAGCCATTCCCTTGTCCCGAGTGTAACAAGCAGTTCAAGCGGTCGGAGCATCTCAAACGGCACATAAGATCAGTACATTCGAATATTCGGCCTTTCCACTGCAAGTACTGTGAAAAACAATTTAGTAGGTCAGACAATTTGGCCCAGCATCTCAAGACCCATTACAAGTTGAATGCCAATGGTACCACATCGATTATTTACGGCAACCCCAATCTTCACAATCGTGGGGGTCGTAGAAAGAACAGTGGTTCGAATGGGGTTTCAGGGATGATGGGGCCAGGGTCTCCTACGCAGCCTAGCAGTACTGGTACTGACTAGGGTTTACGATTTATAGTGTATGGATAAGATTCTGAAAAGTAGAGTAGAGTGCCTAGTATGGGTGCATGGGTCACATCCCCTGGGTGTGAGTGGTGGGTGTATGGGTCACTTGCCTGTTGTGTGCGATGCCCTTTGCACACGGTTGCAAGCAACATCATCTGCAAGCAACCATTTGCAAGCAACCATTTGCAACTAGTCACGACTCATGATACCCCTGTCACTCAAGTAAACCATCTGATACTCATTCTAACACAATTGGACTGGAACGAAACACCCATTTATGATAATGTGTTTCTATTATGTATCCGCTGCAAACAGCAACTTCCCCTATAAAGCGATGCGATAACAATCAAACCACACCAAAAAAATACTTAAAAATACTCCAAAATACCCAGCAAAAAGCTACCACCTTGTAGAACTACTGATTTTTAACTCCGTAGTATCACCACTGGTTCCACCGCCAATCCTACTCCCGTATCGCTACTGTTGGCAGGTGCTGGCTGGAACCCGGGCGCGCCACGACCCGTTCCAGGTTAGGGTGGCTCGCGCGCTCGGGTTGGATGATGAAATTTCAATCCCCCAAATTGCTGTTGTACCAGTTTTGCAATTTATATTGACCTCCATAAACGGCACTTGAATCTTCTGGAACTTCTTGTTAAGGATCCTTCAGTTGTACACCCCTACTCCAGTTACTCGGTGCTCTCCAATTGAAAAATAAGCAAGCTCCTCCGTTCCCCTTCCCAAACCTCCCTAATCACTCCCTGTCCTCACACCAATTAAAACAGCATGTCCAGGTCAATATACCAAACCAATGGCAAGCCCTTATCGCAACACGCCCTCTACCAACAGAAGTTGAAGCAAGGTGTGTACGCGTCGCCCGGAATCCCTAGCGTGGGAGTCAATTCCAATGCCTCTGATACGGCTGCCTTGTTGGCAGCTTCCACAGACTTAACGGTAAGACCCAGCTACGAAAGAACCGTGGCCCCCGAGGCGCAAGAAGCCGCCTTGGCTGCAAAGTTGGACAAAATCTACGAGTGGTCCCGTACGGTTGACGGTAACGCTGCCTCCGCTGCATCGGCCGGCTTGAACGACTACTCCAAGAGACTGAATACCATTTCGTCCACCACCACCTACCAAAGCAGCCTGTCCCAGTTGGGGTTGGCTGGCCCCTTGAAGGGCGGCTCCATCTACAAGGCTGCCAATGCCAACTCGAGCTCCACCATGACCTCCAGAATCAACCCTGACAAGGACTTTAGGCATGGATTGTTGCCCAAGGGCTCGGCCACCGCGTTGAACATCGATAAAATCTCCTCCGTCGCTAACGCCAACTCCGCCAAAACCATGGACTCGAGAATCAACCCCTCGTTGAACGTCAGTAGAAGTGGGTTGGCGCGTGACGACAGAAGTAAGTCGTTCAAGGCCGGTGACATTAGTGGCCAGTACCTTTTGAGTGCAGCCAGCGAAAAGGCCCAGGCCCGATTAAACAGCATGTCTGCCTCAGGAACCCCCGCCGACTTTAAGGCCCAGGCCCAGGCCTATGCCAATGCCTTGACCATTGCTCAACAGAGAAGTGATGAACGGGTGGCCCAGAACAAAAAGGGTCTCATCGATTTGGGTGGAGGTTTGACCGTCACCCAGGCCGAGTTGGATGCCATGGCCTCGTTGATTGTTCAGCCCGTGTTGAAGGACATCAACTCCAAGGCCCAATTGCAGAGAGACACCGATAAGGCTGCCCAGCAGAAGAAGATGGAGGCCATCAAAGCCCATGACAGGGCCAAGCGCGACGAATATGCCGCCAAACAGAAGGAGAAGGCCGACTTGGAAGCTGCCAAGCAAGAAAGAATCGAGGCCAACAACAAGGAAAAGGACTCTAAGGACGCTGAGTTTGAGGCGTACCTGGTGGAAGAAAAGAAGAAGATTGAGGCCAAGTTGGAAGAGTTGAAGGCACAAGAAGAAAAGCACGCGGCGGCCAAAGAAGTGTTGTTGACCCAAAAGCAGGAAAACCAAGACAAAATCGACAACGAGGAACAAGAGTTGATTGGCTCCAGAAAGACTGTTTTGGATGACATGCAAGCCGAAAGAGATGAAGAAATCGCCCCCATTTTAGAAGAGTTGAAGGAGGAAACCGGTAAGTTGAACGAATTGACCGACGCCAAGAATGAGTTGGATGATGAGGTTACCAAGTTATCTTCGTTGAACGAAGAGTATACTGCCAAAATCAAGGAATTGGAAGAACAGTTGAAGGCGGCCGAGGAAGACATCGAATCGCACACCAAGAACTTGGAAGAGTCCAGTGCTAAACTTGAGGAAACCAACAAGGAGATTCAAGAGTTGACCCAATCGACTGAAACTGAGCTTGGCCAAATCGACGATGAACACAAGAAATTGGATGAGGAAATCGGTACTTTGTCCCAGACCAAACAACAACACTTAGACGATAAAACCAAACAAAAGGCCGAGATTAAGCAACAGTTGGCTGCAAGAGTAGAAGAAGAGCATGCTATCAACCTGGAATTACCTGAGCATTTGAGAAAAGATGTAAACGAAAAGAAGTTGGCTGATACTTCGTCACTCTTCTCCGATGAAGCAGCCCCTGAACCAGAAGTCAAGGCCGAACCAGTGACAAAGACTGACAAGCCTTCTGCCACTGCTGCTACAGTGAAAACCAAGAAAGTCAAAGCTTCCAGAATCAAGAGACTTTCCAACTTCTTCAAGTCCAAACCACCCACTCCTACCAAAGTCCCCGTCAAGGTTCTGGACATCAAAAAGGCCAACTCCAAGGCCGACATAAAGAAGGAACCTGTGGATGTCAAGTCGCAAAAGACCACGGATAGCTACGACGGGTTTGAAGAAGAGATTCCGCCAAACAAAGGAGGACTCTTCAAGGAAGAGATTTAATCCCAACCCTATTTTTTTATTGTACTTGTTTTTTCATCACTATTTAAAATGATTTGGACACCAACGTTCCAGGTGATTTCAAGTGTACTTTAGCTACCTCATTTGGTGGTAGTCGTTTTAAAAAGTTGTTTTATTCTACCGTGTATGTTTTATTATGTTGTATAGATAAATATTCCGCACTGAAAAGTTTTTGTACCACACACCTCTGATGTTGACTGCTGGATTTGGAAACTTCAAAATCAATGAAGCCAGCGATGAGTACAAGTTGAGACGCAGAACCCAGATGGTGTGCTTCTTAACAGCCGCTGGTATCACCATGTTGACCTCCAGATTTGCCTATAAATCCACCATCACCAGACAGTTTCTTCCCACTTTTTTCCAAGGAAATCATTCACCACCCACCAGCTACAATTTCACAGCCGATGCCGCCGTGGCCGTGGGGACAGGTACATTGTTGGCAGGCTCGGTGTCGCTGATGGCGATTTTTGGTTGGTGTTGGATCATCGACGTGAGTTCTTTTAAAGAGTTCGGCTGGAAAATGAAGAGTTTAATGGGTGGAGACGAACGCTTGAGACAACTAGCCCTTCAACCCATGGACGAGGAGAGTGCTAGCATTCAGGATGGTCTTAATGATCTTTTAGAAGGAAAATATGATGATATGCCCGATAGCCAGTAAGGTTATTATAACTTACTCAATTTTCATAAAAATCCCAATCAAAGTACACCATTATGACCATGAACATTGTACCTACCCAGAACACGCATTTTTACCCTAATAGCTTGTAAATATACTTCTTGAACCATCATTAAACCTCCCACCTTCGCGTACTGCATATAACATTCTCATTGGCCAGTGCCAGGCAGAATTCGCATTATGTTCTCTGCTGGCTTAACACCAAAGGCTTTACACCAAGGTTTTTCTTGTCAGAAGCTGGAATTTAGAACATATCTTTGATCTGAAACCTCAAATGTCCACCCAAAATCCCAGAGCACTGGTGGCAGTGCCCAGAGGGCCGGCCAATCGATCACGAGGTGACCGGTCAGGACCTCAATCTCGAAGAACCTCGTTGCACTCAAGAGCAGGAGGAGTTTCTAGAGATGAGCCAGGTGATGCGTTGCATTTACCACGAGCAACCGTGACCAAGAGACGGTTCAAGCCGGGTACAAAGGCAATAAGAGATATACGGAAGTTCCAGAAAAGTACTGATTTGTTGATTAGAAAACTTCCGTTTGCCAGGCTAGTCAAAGAGATAGCCGAGAACTTTATCGGTATGAACTACGGGATCAGGTGGCAGAGCAATGCGGTGTTGGCGTTGCAGGAAGCGTGTGAGGCGTACTTGGTTCATTTGTTGGAGGACACCAATTTGTGTGCCATTCATGCTAAGAGAGTGACGATTATGCAGAAGGACATTCAGTTGGCCAGGCGGATTCGGGGATATATATAGGTAAAAGTTATAGTTTTGTAGGTTATATTGAATAAAGGTTGATGAGTAAATAGGGAGAGACAACTCCAAACGCCCAGATCCTCTATCGGCCCCTCGTTCGTCCTGTGGCTTGAATCCATCAATTGACCCATACACCCATAAAAAACAAAGAGCACAGCGCTCTGACCCATACACCCACGACACAAAGAATACAGCGTTCTGACCCATACACCCACAACACAAAACCACCACCCTAGTAGCCCCTTCCGCACATTCCCAGGCTCTGCGATAAGCAGTTGTCTAGGCGGCTAGTAACCCCTATTCTCAACCGCCACGTCCAATTAAAATTGTTTTTGGCTCCCTCTTACCAGCCTAGTACTATAGCACCAGTATCCAACCCCCAGACGTATCACCTACCGGGACCTTTCGCTTCACCATCATCTACATCCTGACAAATGTATTAGAACTATGTCATATGCAAGTAATTAACCGATGGTATTTCCTAATCGGGCATTTTCATCAACACACACCAAGGTTGTAAGGGATTAACAATATCCACCATCCACACAATGCAGTAGTGTTGTCATTGGCGGACAAATTTGCAGGTCATTTGGCACTTATTTATTGTACCTTAACCCATCTTTAATCGTGTCTTAAAATCTGGAAATTTTCAATTCCCTGGTGGTTCCTGTGAATTTTGTTTCAAATCTCCTATTTACAACCTACCCTCACGACGCAGAATCGCATTACACTCTCCAGTGCCTTGTCGGATGTCCACGGTTACCACCAAAAAAAAGTTGGTGTATAAACAAGATCCAGACGGTGTGTTTCGATTAAAGAAGTTGGGCGACGACGACCGGCTCTCCACCAAATCTGACAAACGCACCGTTGACGATTATTTGAACGACTTGATTTCCTGTGCCTACGAAGTGGTTGAACCCAACAAAGTGCAGCCGATCCTTTCCGAAGACAACGTCCTGCTACAATCTCCCACGAAACTGGTCAAAATCCAACCCCAACCCCTGGAAACCCATTACGACGCCCAGCCTTCCTATCCACCACAGTCTCCACTCCCAGAGCCTTTAGCCTCTTCTGCCACCAAAGAAAATCTTACCTTCAAAGACCGTACTAACGGCCTAAATATCACTTTCCCACCATCGCCCCAGGTAGGAACGTCCTTCTCCTTCCCCAAAATGCCTGTGTCCACCCTAAACTCATCCAAAATGTTCCACATCCCCAGCTTTGGCTTGGGACTCGTCATTGCCATTACCATCAGTCAGTCATCCACCTACATTCTTCTGTACTCCAAAATCGCCTTTGAGTACGCCAAAATCGGCTTGGTATGGGTGCTTATTTTGGGTGCAATTGCCTGGTACACCGGCATCATCAAAGTACAAGAATGGAGCAAATTGAGAACAACCTTGACCTCCTTGACAGCAAAACCATCACAAGAAGCCACAAGTGCTCCAGGAACCCCCATTCTGCCCACAAATATACTCAACCACAACCACTACTTTAATCAGAATCAGAACCAGAACCAGAACCGGGAAATGCACAGTCATGTCCACGATTATATGGGAGACTCGCCACCACAGGCATCACGGCTGCAGTCCAGCCGTCCCCGGTACAAGTCTCGTCCCTCTGAGTCCCGGCGAAACACCGCCACCAATATTATGCCCTTCAAACCTCACGTAAGACCCGAGTACGCCAGTGAACGATCTCCCAGTGTGCCCAACTTGAGCCACGAAAAACTGTCGTTGCCCAAACTCACACGCTTCAACACATCCGACAACAGCAAGACAAATTACTGGCGGTTTGTGGAGCGGTCTCGTGCTGACAATGAGCCACGTCATGTCAAATCTTTCCCCAAAGCAGCTCCGTTGCCTTCTCTACCCGACGAGGACTTACCGTTCGTTAACGAGGTCAAGTTGTTGTCGAGGAAGCCTGGATTTGATCTGTTCAATGAAATGGAGCAGGTGGACGATTTACCGGGGTTTGATATCAAGCGTCTGAATACCTCTGCATCCAAGAAGTCGGTTCTCGGCACCAAACAGAACTACTACAAATTCTTGGCCAATGCAGATACCCTAGACCATGACTAGTATATAGTCATCGTGATGTAGTAGTCATGAATAATGTATAATGTACATACATGTTTTTGCAGCTACTTGTTTGCGCGACAACAGAAAAATTCGCACTCGAGTTTTCGTCCGATAAACACAACTACGCTTCTCCTATGCCTTTATACAGAGAAGACAACTTTTTGGTGGTTCATCCGGGAAGTGAACATACCTTGTTCCTGTTCGGGTTGCAAGACTCCTTGAGTCCCCCCGAGTACAAAATCCCTTCTGTGGTGTATCAGAACCCCGTGTCGAAGGAGTACCTGGCTAAGAAGCCTGAAGACTCCATTGAGGAACTCAGTGAAATACATCCAATCAAGGGCAGTAAAATCGTCGACTTTGAAGCCTTCAAGTACTTGCTCAAGACAGTGTTACACAGCATAATCGCCAGTAACCCCATCATCACCATCAATCAGATTCCCTTGTTGTTGGTGATTCCATCCGTCAGCTGGTCCAGATTACAGCTAGAGTCCATCACCAAATACGTGATTGAGTCGTTGGAATTCTCTGCCTTTAATGTTTTGGACTTATCTATAGCCGCCAACTTTGGAATCGGCAACGGGACCAACTCTTTGGTGGTGAATCTCGGGAAAGACGCTACTCAGGTTTCAGCCATTGTCAATTGTCAAAACATAAAGTTCGCCAGCAAATTCTTGGACGTCGGTAGTGAACTTATCAACCAGGAGTTGGCCAAGTTGTTGCCTAACTTCACTGCCACGCAGATCGAGGCCTTGAAGACGTCAAATATTTTCGAAGTGGTGGTCAACGACGACGAGTCTTTCTACTCCAGAAGCGATTTGAAACAGCCAGTTGATGACAACTTTGACGTTGCCAAGATCGTTGTGGAAGGAGAAAATGGGGTTGGTAAGACCGAAGAAGAATCCGAAACAACGCTTCCAAACCAGCAATTGGAAAAGAACACTTTCACTGACCCAGAAACAAGTGAAAAAGTCGTTGTTGGTAAAGAAAGATTCCAGGGAACAGAAAAGTTGGTGGGCATATTATCAAAGACTATCTACAATGTGTTGGAACAAATCCCTGACTTGGAAAGAAAGCAGGAATGCTACAACAACTTGATCTTTGTGGGGTCCACCTTCAAGATCCCTGGGTTTAAAGACGCTTTACTCACAAAGCTTCACGAAGACGTTTTGATCAGAACCCCAAGTCAACAGGCTGCCAACGAAGCCAGTGGAATCAACTCAGCCATTGCTGCCTACCAACAGGCGGAAGAAGTCGCAGAGCCCACCGAAGGAGAGTTTGTGATAGCACAGGTTCCTACCGCCTTGAGAACTGCCAAGTATCCAGAGTATTTTCCTGAATGGAAGAAACCCAAGGAATTGGGAGGATCTTGGGAAAACGTCTTCTTCTTGGGAGGACAAATCTACGCTAAGCAAATCTTTGGGGGCAATTCCAACATTAATGGTGAGTTCTTTGTGGACTCTACTGTTTATTCAGAATCTGGCCCTCAAGCTATTTGGAATGCTGCTATTTAGTGTGTATAATTATCAAAAGAGAAGAATTTCTTCTCATCTGTAAAGATAGAATATAAAAAATACAAACGCGAACCATCACTAATTCCCAGTCGCGTTATCTTGTATTTGCATGCTCAGGCTTGTATCACATAGCAGACACAACATCCTCAGAATAAGCACCATAATGGCACAACAACAATCTATAGGACGGTTCTTCTCCGCCAATGGAACAACTGCTCAAAAACTTGAGTCCAAACCCGCTTCTAGTAATGCTGCTAAACGGTCTTTAACCCCATCTTTAGATTCAAGTCCCAAGAGAAGAGAGACTGTGGCTCCTACCGACGATACTGATCCTACCAGTGAGGAAGATAGGCCTACTGAACCACAAATGTCCACCAAAGAAGAAGTCGAAAAGTTAATTGAACTTGGTGAGGTGGAGCACGCTCATCACAAGAATGAAAAGTTGATGGCCACTCCATCATCTTCCAAATTACCGTATTCCAAGTTAACATCGGTTTTCGAAGAAATTGAAGCGGAATCTGGAAGACTCAAAATGATCTCTATCATCTCTGAGTTTTATCTTGAGGTCTTACAACAATCAACGGTTGATAAGTTGGTTAAGATAGTGTATTTGTCCATCAATAGATTGGGTCCTGATTATGAGCCTGATTTGGAACTAGGGTTGGGTGAAACTTTGCTTATAAAAGCTATCAGTGAATGTTACGGTCGGGCATCCAGTAAAATTAAACAGGATTATAAAACTTTTGGTGATTTGGGATTGGTGGCTCAGCAGTCCAGGTCGGGCCAGCCTACCATGTTCAAGCCTACTCCATTGGATGTTGATTTAGTGTTTGACAGCTTGACCAAAATTGCCAAGTCGACTGGAAAAGACTCTCAGATGAAAAAGGTTGGACTCATAAATAAGCTCTTGACTGCTTGTGAAAGAAAAACCACTGAAGCCAAATTCTTGATCAGATCATTGGAAGGAAAGCTTAGAATAGGATTGGCAGAAAAAACCGTATTAATTGGATTGGCCCAAGCCTTCACCAACTACGAGAATCATGCGATGACACCCGAAAACATAACTAAAGCTGAAGACATAATCAGAGAGTCGTTCTCGTTAATACCTAACTATGAGATTATAATTAAAACTGCTTACGAACATGGAATTTTCAATCTTTTGGACCATATACACTTGACCCCCGGTATTCCATTGAAGCCTATGTTGGCGAAGCCTACTAAATCCATTTCTGAAGTGTTGGATAGATTTCAAGGAGAGGAGTTCACTTGTGAGTACAAATATGATGGTGAGAGAGCACAAGTCCATTTGTTATCTGATGGCTCGGTTAGAATATACTCTCGTAACTCTGAAGATATGTCCCAGAGATACCCAGATTTGATTGCAATTATCAAAGACTTCATTAAGGTTCAAGAAGATAGTGATGGAACTCCTATAAAACTGTTGATTTTAGATTGTGAGGCAGTTGCTTGGGACAGACAGTTAAACAAGATCTTGCCATTCCAAGTCTTGTCTACGAGAAAGAGAAAAGATGTCAATGAAAAAGATATCAAAGTCCACATCTGTTTATTCGCCTTTGACATATTGTACTTAAATGGGGAATCTGTTGTCAACAAGACGTTGGCAGAGAGAAGAGAACTCATGTATGAGAATTTGAAACCAATCGAAGGGAAGTTTTGTTTTGCTACATCTCGTAACTCATCAAATCTTGATGAGTTGCAAATATTCTTGGACCAGTCCGTTAAAGACAGTTGCGAGGGATTGATGGTGAAGATGTTAAATTCAAAAGAGTCTTACTACGAGCCATCAAAAAGATCAAGAAATTGGCTCAAATTGAAGAAGGATTACTTGGCTGGTGTTGGGGACTCTTTGGATTTGGTCGTAGTTGGTGCCTATAACGGCAGAGGTAAACGTACCGGTAATTATGGTGGATTCCTTTTGGCAAGTTATAATGATGATACTGGTGAATTCGAAACCACGTGCAAAATCGGTACTGGGTTTTCGGATGAAGACTTAACGAGTCTCTACAATAGTTTGCATCCTACTGAAATCTCACAACCGAAAGGTTCCTACGTCTACGACCCCAGTGCGGTGCCTGATGTTTGGTTCGAACCTACCACATTGTTTGAGGTGTTAACAGCTGATTTGTCATTGAGTCCTATTTACAAGGCTGGGCATCAGGAATTTACCAAGGGTATTTCGTTGAGATTTCCGAGATTCTTGAGAATCAGAGAAGACAAAGGTGTTGAAGATGCTACTACGTCAGAACAAGTTATCGAATTCTACTCCAAGCAAGCTAGCGTTCAATCTTAATAAATTATATTATGTTAATTATGCATATTCAGCGTCCAATGACCTATTCAAGTTTCTCTTTCTCTTCCCATTTCTCTCTCATTTTCAATTTAATCTTGTCAGTTAACTTTTGATGCATATCTGAGTTAGTTCTTTTATGTCCAAAGTTCAACTCCAAATGACTCGAAGCTCTGGAAATGGCATAGTCATCGGAATCAACGTTTGGTGTCAACGTAGCGTTTTGGTTTTCGTGTAATTGATAGTCACTGAACATTGGAATGTTTGTTAAAGAATGTTCTGAGTTCAATAATGAAACACCATCTGAAATAGACGAAGATGAAGAAAATTGTGAGCTCAAAGATGTAGAAGAATCGGAAGACGCCTCTTTCTTGAGCTTTCTACGGTTCTTCATGGTCACAGTTAACTGATCCTCTTCTTCGTCGTTCATCTCCAACAAGTTGAAATCTTGTGGGAATAACTTCCAGCCAAATTCGTCAACAATCTCGGTAATCTCATCTGTCAATTCACTCCTGAATTGTTTCAATTCCTTGATTGAAGAACCGTCAATTAATGAGATATACAACGGTCTCAAACTTTTAAATGTATCCAAACCTTGTTCTCCGGTTAATAATGCAGAATATGTGATCAAAACGTTGAAACAGTACAACCCAATCCATAGTTTGATGGTTCCAAAGTTGAAGTCAAAATAGTTCCTGGTAACGAAAGCCCCCACAGTAGCGTAGAAACTGTAGAAAATCGGAGCAATGACTAAACTAACCAAAATCTTCCAGGTTGCAACCACATCGTTTCCTTTGATTTTTACCACAGAGTTGGCCAACGCTGCTTCTTGCTTCTTTTTGGATATGATTTTGGCAATCAAGAATACTGGGGAAAACAAAATGGCTCCTGGTAATGCCAAAACAAAGAGCAAAACCAACTTTGTAAACCTGTAAGACAAAATACCTAAACTTCTGAATTTGCTCTTCTCATTGAAATTTTCAAGAAGATGGTCGGGTAAGTGGATTTGGTCCAATCTGGTATTGTACTCGAAGATCCTGGCCTTCATTTTCTGTACTCGAGGTTCATTTTCATATGTTTTATAACCAAGTACCAATCTTCGGTTCATCTCAATCACGAGAGGAAGAGGTAAACGAGCAGCAAAATGATTGGCATACAATCTTCTGGCCGCCTGGACAACCATCAACGTATCAAACGAATCACAAGTCACGGTGACGGCTCGTAACCCATCAGTGATGACATCCAATAGTTCTTTAACAGCCTCCCTGTTAGTTTGGGGGTCTTTATATCTTTGGATCAACTCTTTGGAGATCTCAATCGGATTTCCGTATTCAATCACAGCTCTACTTCTGAACTTATGGGCATTGAAATAATTCATCCCACAAGGAACAATCTTCACATCACAGTCAGGATAAGCTGCCATAGCACCCAATGCCATGATTGCAACACCTGCTTTTATTGGCAACAAGTCCGTTCTGTCATGTGAACCTCCTTCGGGGAAAATCCCAATACAGTTTCCGTGAGCCAAGTGGCCAAACACTTGCTGGTAGACTTCGTTTTGATCAACTTTTCTGGCATACTTAAAGTCAGACCCATCTTTCAACATTTTTACAATCTTTTCAGTGTTTTTAAAGGGCTTCCTGATAATGACATGGGTGTCGTCAATGATCTCCAATACTTCAGAAGCTCCCAACGACTTGGGTAAAGCCAAAAGACATTTGGGGGTTAAGTACTCGGTGAAAGAGGTGTTTCTCCCAGTAATCAAACAAGCATCCTTTTCGAAATCAACAAAAATCTTACCCTTTCCAGGTGCCAAGTTATCCTGGGGTCTTTCCACTGGAATTGACAACTGGCACTTTGACATCATACCAATAATCTTCAATCGATAAGATTTGGCAGCAATAAGGAAGCTCACTCGCCTCCCACTTACTTTCTTTACCAAATTCATAAGAATAACCGGGTCGACAAACTGGTTAGCGTGAGGAGCACCCACGAAGATAACGGGGCCGGTCAGGGGGATCTTGAACGCCCCTCTAGACCGAATTTCCCTGAAAAAACAATCGAATGTCACATTCAAAACCCATAACAACGAGTCGTAGATGACCAATCTCCACCAGGGAAACGGTTTGTAGCCAGCCATTGTATCCTCCTAATCACAATTGTTGATGAATATGTGTTCGCGGCGTGCGTAGTAATCTTTTAGGAAATTGTGATCGTTGTGGTGTATCTGATCAGAAATGGGTGATGGATCTCGCTAGAAAAATGAGGGAGGGTCGAACGACCAATTATTTTATACGATATTTATAATTGCAAATGATTTTATTGGAATATGCCAAAGCTATATATATACAGTGGAATCTCAGATCTTGAGATTCTTGGTGCCATCTTCAACCCGGGAGTTTCTTCTTCTCTCAACATCCCAGTTATATAATCTGGCCGTATTCACTTCCATGGTGGTGATATTCTCTTTCAAAAACACCAAATCTTCCTTGATGATTGCAACTTGCTCGTTGTTGTTCTTCAATCTCTCGTTCAATAATTCCACCGCCTCGTCCAATGGGTACTCCAACATCACCTCTGCCCCAAGCCATAAGTAAACCGAATCCAACTTTTCCGTTTCGATGACAGCCTGGGTATACAACGTGTCGTTCAACTCATAGTTTGCTTGAATGTTCTGGCTGTTTTCATCTTCGTCGGAAATCTCATCGTCAAGTTCTGCACTCTTCTTTTGCTTTATGAAATTTATAATGTCCAAATTCTTTTCTATATCGGGGATCTTTACGTTCAAATCATTCAATTGGTTTCTCTTTGACATCTCCATGTACTTGTATTGTTGTAACCGGTCTTGGAACGCTTGCATGACCTTATCGAAATCGGTTTCCACATCCTTCACGAAATTTTCCACCTTGTCAATAAAAGGTGCTTCAGGGATACCCCTTGGATTGGATTTTTCGGTTCTAAATCAACAGTTAGTTTTTGCTGCTTGGTGGGTGGCAACTGCAATATTAACAGTTGCCTGGTCTGTACTTACTTTAGTATATCCATTATGTTCTTGTTCGACAAAGCTAGTTCAATCAAAAACCAGTTTCCGCGACTTTCGCATTTTGTCAATGTGTATTCTATATTTTGTTTACTGCTTACTGTTTTCACTGAACCCCATGAAATATCTTTCTCTGAAGTTTTTGATGTGATTCTCCTTGAGCCCATTTCTGGTGATCCCCATGTAGTCGTTGCCTCGTTTGACGTACACCAACAATCTCCGGGACCATTTGTGGAACTCCTGTTCCAAGTTATACAACAACTCGAGGTTCTCATGCTGAGGAATTTGGTTGATTTCAAACTCATCATTGGCGGTCGGCATCCAGAATGCTAGTCTTCCACCCACAGGTAATCTGTTGGCAGAGAACCGAAGAAGGTCGTCCAACAAATTGGACAACTCATATGGTTTTTTGGGAGGTATGAAGTCTCTTCTTAGATGGGCCTTCTCACCGTCAATAACAACATTTTCTCTTCCAGCAGCCTTTTCCTCATTCTTAGCCCCGCAAACCTTCAAACCTTCTCTCACCCCGTAAGGAGGATCACAGACAATGGTGTCGATTGGGAAATCAGTCCGGAGAGCGTTGTTTGTAAAATCCATTGTTAGAGTATCAATGAAGTTGGTGGAGGTTCCGTACTGCTTGAAGTTCAGCTTCAAATTGCACTTGTCTCCCTTACCTCGCAATATGCGAACGTCTATGTCCGAGCCAATAGTGATTCCACCAAAGTTAGCTGCTGCCACCAAAAATGAGCCGGTACCAGTGAATGGATCGTATACCATCTTATTTGTATCCACTTCAGCTATGTTACATGACACTAACGCCAACTCGGCATCGAATGACGTTGTCCCAATGTATTTTCTTCTTCGTAAATCGTATTTTTCCAAGATATTGTTTGTTCTAGCACTTAGTTGGATCTGTCTACCCAACCACAATCGTTTGGGAGTAGTAGCCCTCTCCATGCCCTGGACCTCATATTCTTCAAGAAGCGTGTATATCTGGTCCGGGTTTTTCATTCTGACCTTTCCCTCAAACGCCATAAATGCAAATGATTCAATGATTTCAAACCGCTCAGGGCCTTCTCTCTTTCCCATATATCCTTCGAATTGGAACTTAAAAGTTCCCTGCTTATACGTATCAAACTTGTCGAATGATATGTCTCGCACATTCTTGCGCAACTCGTCCAAGTTGTTACCCGAGCCCCACAACTCATAAATTCCTTTACTAAGAATGGCTCTTTGTATGATCTTTCTTGCGTGCTCATCAGACTCCAACTGAACTATGAGGAATGGGCTTGAAGAGTCATGGTGCAGAAGATCTAGTGGTATACCATGGAGACTTGCAAGCGATTCCAACTCTGCCTTTCGAAACTCTGGATACGCCTGGGCAAAGTATATCAAATAGTCTTTCATGGTTAGGCTCTAAAAATTTATCGAGCAGAAGATGAGGTTTTGACTGCAAAAAGTGAGAGAAGACACAAGAGACAAAATGAGGTAAAGACACTAAAATACACCCCAGAAATGAGAGAGATGAATCATTAGATAATGTAGACAACTTAAAACATGTCCTTAACCTCCTTACTTCTTGTACCTCGACCCAACATAGATTAACTTGTAATTGGCCCCCAAACGGAAGACAAACGGGGTGTTGGACATACACGACCCGCGCTCGCATCGCACTGTTCGTCGACACCAAAAGCAAATGCAAGTGATAACTTCAGTTCAACTACAATAAACCACATTTTTACCATCATCCGAAGGTAATACTTGTGAGCTTGTTATCAACACCTGTTTATCCTTTAAAACACTAAAGTCTGATACATTGGCCTATTCCCCTGGTGATTTGTCAACTTTCTTGTCCCCCAGTTTAGAATAATTACGTACCTACCTACTGATACTAATCTATTAGTTTCCCCAAAAGCACATACTCTTGGTATTGCTAAATAGGTATTTCATCGTACATATTCCATATACTAAATACACTCAAGGCCCAGGTAAAGAGTATCAAACGTACTGTTTATATTGATTAGTCAGTTGATAGTTAGATTCCATACTCCCAAAAATGTCTGCCATTGATGATGATGAAGCTCTCTTCGAGGATATCTATGGAGAAGATGAAGAAGAAACAAAACCAACCATCCCTGAAAAAGAAGAAGTGACCCAGTCTTCCACCGAGCCTGTTGTTACCCCAGCATCTTCGGAAGCCCCGTTACAAGGGACTGAGGCTCCTGCTCCAGCTGCTACCACCGACCCAACTGCCGTTCCCTTGCCACCACCGACCACCGCTCCCTTGCCACCACCACCACCGCAGGCCCCTGCAACCGCTACTGCCTCGACTGGTGCTCCTCCACCTCCAATGCCAGCACCCCCAGCTGGTATACCAGATTTTAACCAGTTGCAACAACACTTTGGTGCTGGTGGAATGGGAAGTGCTCCACCCCAGCCACAATCTCAAATGATGGCTCCTTCGAATTTGGGAAGAGATAGTGGGAAAATGTTCATTGGAGGTTTGAATTGGGATACCACCGAACAAGGTCTTGTGGACTATTTTTCAAAGTATGGTGAGGTCATAGATTACACCATCATGAGAGATTCGGCCACCGGGAGATCTAGAGGGTTTGGTTTCTTGACGTTCAAAGACCCCAGGTCGGTCGATGAAGTGGTCAAAACACCCCATGAGTTGGATGGTAAGTTAATTGATCCCAAGCGTGCTATTGCTAAAGAAGAGCAGGATAAGGTTGGAAAGATTTTTGTTGGAGGTATTGACCCGTATGTCACTGAACAAGAGTTTAGTGACTTTTTCTCCCAATATGGGCACATTATTGATGCTCAGTTGATGCTTGACAAGGAGTCTGGGAAATCCAGAGGGTTTGGTTTCATTACTTATGATTCCCCTGAAGCTGTCGATAGAGTTTGTGTTAATAAGTATGTTTCTTTAAAGGGTAAGTCTATGGAAGTGAAGAGAGCTGCTCCAAGAGGCCAGCAACAGCCCCAACAGCAACAGCAACAACCCTACGGGTACAACCCCTATAGTCAGTATGGTCAGCTTCAACAACAACAACAACAGCAACAACCATACGGTCAATATAACCAAATGGCCAACATGACTCCTGAGATGGTCGATTACTGGCAAAGAATGCAACAGTGGTACATGTACCAACAACAACAAGGTGGAGCTGAAGCTGGAGACCAATCTGAACAACCTGGACAACCATTGAATCCCCAAGCCCAAGCACAAGATGAAGCTAGGGAAGAAGAACCTCGATACGAAGATAACAACTCTTATGATCAAGGACAAGGCGGCAGAAACAGAGGACAAGGAAACGGTGGTGATAGAAGAGACAACCGTTATCCTAGAGGACCAAGAAGAAACGCTCCTTCGGGCCCAAGAGGGGGAGGGGGTTCTAGAGGTAGAGGTGGATATAACCGAAACAGAGGTTATCATCCCTACAACAGAGGTGGAGGTGGAGGAGGAGGTGGCGGTGGCAGAAGACAGTAATATAGTTAGATGAATTGTTTGATTAAGTATTATGTACATACACAGCTTCTCTTTTCGTTCACCGTCTCTTGGTTGGTCTGGCATTCTTTGCCCTTTTCTTATCGTGCAATAATCTGTTCTTTCTGATTTGTTCGGTGGTTCTAAGTTCTTGTTGGGGTCCAGCCTTATGATAACCCTTGACCGATTTCCCACCTTCAACAGCCTTTTCAACTTTCTTGACTTGCTTTTCGTAGTTATCTCTGAATTTATCTGGCATCTTAGGTGATTTGCTTTGCTTGTGCTTAAACTTCTTGTTACCCAAGTTGTTCATTGGATCTTCATTGGACCGGGTAGGATTCTGTTTCTTCCATTCATCAAATCTGCCAGACTTGAAGGTGGCAGGGATTCTTTGACCAGACTCACTGATGATATACTTCTTATCCGTAGACCTAGAATTCACATAGTTACCCTTCTTGCTGTCCCATTTGTAGACTTGACTGTGGACTTGCGACTTGTCATCGTTATCCAAGTCAAATGTGGCATTCGAGGCACTGTTGGCGAAACTATTACCCAAAGACAACTGTTTGTCTTGAATATCGGATGCCGAAGCATAGTGGCTCATGTAGAACTGAGGATCTTTGAAGGTCTTCTTGGGTTTGTACTTCTGTCCCAACACTTCATCACCATCCTCGAAGAAGTCCAAGTCCTCCTGATTGACTCCATCGTCGTTACTCTTTTTGTTCAAAATCTCATCTTCAATGTTGTGGCTTAATCCAGCAAGTTTCTCCTTTTCAACCAATTCTCGTCTCTCTTTGGCCTTTCTTTGGATGGGTGCAAGCTGACGTCTCCTCTTAAGCATAAACCCAGCCAAACTGTTTTCATCCTTTTCCTTTTCCTTCTTGTTGAACTCAAAAACCGTTTCTTTCGAGTGCCTATTAGCCAATTTATCCAAGAAATCCTGCTTTTCCTTCTCCACGTTGGGTCCGAACAAGAGATGCTGTTCATCCCATAATTGATGCTCCACCATGTTCTTTGATCTCTTTACTGACTCATTAGAGGCCGGTTGTCTGGTTCTATAAAACAACTTCTCTCCCTTGATAGAGACGTCTTTGATCAACTTTAAGTCATAGTTGTGCTTGAGGACACCTTCGTAAACTTCCTGACAGTTTTCCAACTCGGCTCTGGGAGCAGATCCGAGAACCAACCTTTCGGTAAAGGAGAGTTTAGGTTCTTGATACCGGTCCCCCATTCTTTCTTTGAGGAGCTTAACCTTGGATTCGTGTAACGAGGTTGTCAAGATCTTCTTCCCCAAAAATATTTCCAAATCCAAGAGGTAAGGCAATTCCTTTTCGTTTACAATGGAATATGCCCATCCTTTGTTCCCAGCTCTAGCGGTTCTACCGACTCTGTGAATGAAAATCTTTGAGGATGAAGGGAGGGTGAAGTTGATGACATTGGCTAAAATGGGAATATCGATACCACGAGCAGCCACATCCGTCACTACCATTATTGTTGTTAATCCGATTCTGAATTGGTATAACTGTTGCTTTCTAGCGGTTTGGTCGAGAGTACCGTAGATGTAGGATACCAAGTAACCACAAGATCTCAACAAACTGGTGATGTACTCAACATGATGCTTGGTGGGCACAAAGACCATAGTGGAGTACTTTGAAGGTAAGACGTTAGCGGGAGGTAATCTTTCCTTCTTGAACTTCTTCCTTTTCTTATTATCATCAGCAGCTGCTGCAGCTTCTTCTTCATCAGATTCATCGTTTCGTTTGTTCATGTCGTTCATTTTCTTGATCTCCTCCTGAGTAGGAAGAGGCATTTTTATAACCTCTTGCAACAAGTAAAGTAAGTTAGCCTCTCTTTCGTTCCTCTTGGTGGTGACGAAGGCCATCTCCAACTGATCTGAAATCTTGGAATCAGCATCCAATCTCACTAACGTGGGGTTGGATAAACCGGCTTTGGCAAATTCCACCAACGATTTGGGCAAAGTGGCAGAAAACAATAACGTTTGTCTAGAAGCAGGTAAACCAGCAATCAATTCGTTCAACTGTTCTGCAAACCCCAACTCAAACAATCTATCGGCTTCGTCGAAAACAATGTACTCGATGGACTTTAGGTTCAAGTCCATCTCAATTTTCAAATGCATAAATCTACCAGGAGTAGCAATGATGATATCGGGGTTGGTCATCATGGCACTAAACTGGTCATCCAAAGAGTCTCCACCAACAAGCAACATGATTCTCAAGTCGGTTCTATGACTGAACTCCTTCACTTGTTTATATGTTTGCAATGCCAATTCTCTCGAAGGAGACAAAATAATGGCCCTGGAACCAGATTTAGCAGAATGGGCCTTCAACTTCTCCACCATTGGCAAAGTGAATGCTGCTGTTTTACCGGACCCAGTTCTGGCCATTCCCACCACGTCTCTGCTATCCATGATCAAAGGAATCGCTTTTCTCTGAATTGGAGTGGGTTGTTTGAACCCTTTTTTGATGATATTACCTATTAAGAACTTGGAAAACCCAAACGACTGGAAGGTTCCACTTTTGGCCTTTTTGACAGCGGGATTATTACTGACAAAGTACGATGCGATGGCATCAGCACCCGAAGTCTTATCATTTTCTTCCTCATCATCTGAAAGCTCTAAGCTGGGAAAAGCTTCTGTAGAATTAGTCTTGAGTTTCTTCACGGCTCTTTTGCCCCTGAGCACAGGCACTTCTCCTTCACCATCAGTCCCACTGTCATCAGAGCTCTCTAAGTTGAGGGCGAGTGACTTGGTGATATCGTATTCGTCGTCGGACATTTTGTGTAGTGAGATGAGATGAGATTTTTCTGCGACTCACTAAATCCAAGGAAGCATATTTTCCCCAACGCGAAAAGTTCATTTGTTGTGCTGTGTCATCAATTATCATTGGGGAACCATGTTAGTGTTACGGCGAAAGAAAGTACAAGCGGTGGCAGTACTGGCCTTGGCTATTATAGCCGTGGTCACCATTGTATGGCAAGCTCTCAATTTCAACGAGTTTGAGGTAGAAATCAAGTCCTCCCTCGTGGGGGAAAACTCCAAGATCTCGAGCTTTTTCACTCCCAAAACCAAACCTTTCCTGGAAACAGAGGCTGGCAAGCAAGCCGAAATCGACGCTAACATCAATAACTTTGACGCGTTGACCGAAGAACATAAATACCAATTGGTCAACCAATTGGCGGGTGCGCCCAGTACTAAGAACTTTCAGTTCTTGAGCAGCGTCTTCGAAAAGATCTACAAGTTCAGGCCTGAAGTAGCCCAACTAACCACCTATAAGAGTGAAGAAAGGATATATCATGCACGATACAACTCCAAAGATGATGACAGTGAAGATAATCGCATAGTGTTCAATGAGGCATACTTGTCTAGTTTTTTGCAATTGAACAGCATTGAGTTTGGTGCCATGCAGAAATCCCATACCAAAGTCATGGCGAGTCTTCCCACTGCCGACGATGTTCCTAAAGGAATGTATGAGGGAGATGGAATAGTGTTTGTGGGAGGAGGAAGGTTCAATCTTTTAACGCTATTGTCGGTGAAGGCTATAAGAGATTTAGGTAGCAAATTGCCGATTGAAATTTTGATTCCTACGATAGAAGAGTTTGAGTCCAACTTGTGTTTCAAGGTGTTACCTCAATACAATGCCAAGTGCATTTTACTTCCTCAGGTGTTGAAGCAAAATGGATTAGACGATAATATCTTCAAGAAATTCGAGTTCAAAGGGTATCAGTATAAGGTATTGGCCTTATTGTTATCAAGCTTCGAAAGAATCTTGTTCTTGGATAGTGATAACACACCCACCAGAAACCCAGACATACTCTTTAGTACCAATCCGTTTGAAGATCATGGATTGATTGTGTGGCCAGACTTTTGGAAAAGGGCCACGTCCCCGTTATACTATAGCATAGCTGGCATCAAAATGGACCAGAAGAAATATTTGCCCCGGTACAATGAGCTCATCAACGACTACGAAGACATCGACTACTCCAAGTTTCCACCGAAAGAAGTGCCTTTCCACCAGTTCAAAGGAGCCATACCTGATCCTACCAGTGAATCGGGCCAACTTATGATCAACAAAAAGACTCATTTGAGCGTGTTGGTTTTGGCATTATACTACAACCTATACGGACCCACCCACTACTACCCGTTGTTCTCTCAAGGAAGTGATGGTGAAGGAGATAAAGAGACATTTTTGGCGGCATGCGTTGCCTTGGGATGCAAATTCTATCAAGTGAAAAAGTTCTTGAAGGCCATGGGATACTTCAACCATGAGCTATCATTTGTGGGGACTGGAATGGGCCAGTTCAATCCTATTAATGACTACACAAACGAGGAACCGGATTTACTCTTCATTCACTCCAACTTCCCCAAATTGAATCCCTGGGAGTTGAAACAGCAAGGCAAGATTTTGGACAACGGCAAAAGAATACGACTTTATGGGAATGGGGTCAAGAAGGACATTGGGTTTGACTTTGAATTGCGTCAATGGCAAAACATGTACTATTTCCTCTGTAAGAAAAACGTCAAAGTGAACATTTTCAATGACGTGGTCCACGATGACTTGTGCAAGGAGATCAGCCAGCATCTACTGTTCTTGAAGTCCACCTCACGGTTGACCGATGACGCCTTTTAAATCTACCATGTAAACTAATAGCATCTATAGACATTGCAACTCATAAATGCCCCATTTTTCGCGACCCAGTACCAAACAAAAATAAACCGAACACCATGGCTATCAAGTTCATGTTCCTATTGTCCCGCCAGGGCAAAGTGCGGTTGACCAAATGGTACGAGACCATCAGTCAGAAGGAGAAGAGTCGGATCATGAAGGAACTCACGGCAGTGATATTGACCCGTCGTGCCAAAATGTGCAATATCTTGGAATACAAAGATATCAAGGTTGTATACCGAAGATATGCCTCTTTGTTCTTCATCATGGGGATCGAAAGTGACGACAACGAGTTGATCGGCTTGGAGATCGTCCATCGTTTTGTGGAGCAGATGGACAAGATGTACGGAAACGTGTGTGAATTGGACATCATTTTTGGATTCAACAAGGCCTACCACATATTGGACGAGTTGTTGTTGGACGGATACCTCCAGGAAAGCAGCAAGCGAGAGGTCATAAAACGGGTATCACAGCAAGATGATTTAGAGGGGCTTGATGATGTGGACGTACTTGTTAGTCTGTACTAGGTAGTCTATGAATGTATATCTATAAAAATGGTCATAAGTCTGCGAGAACTCGCAAGAAATGAGCCGTGCAACTTTGGTAGGTATAGCTAAAGTCAGTGGCAGGATCACACACGCACTTGTTGGACCGTCTAATGGCTTCGTCTTGAGGGCACTGCGCGTACGGCGAGTGATAGTACCCAATGTCATCAAGGTACAATACATCCAGTTTTTCCAAGTGAAGACTTACGTACATGGTGTGGACCGGAGCGTCGCCCCAGCGCTCGTAGAAAAATCCCCCGGCCTGGTCCAAGAACTGGAAGAAATCGGCGTACGATGCGGCCCTAAATACGTCCAACCGAGCAATCTCGAAGTTGGACCAAAAATGACACAAATTGTACGACAGCCACTGGTCGTGGTTCTGTACCAAGTCGATCAACGGACCCTGGATGTCGCGAGAGCGGGAGTACTCCTTGACCCGGTCCCAGAGGGTGGGGATCGTGTCACTGTACTCAAACATTGTCAAGGTGAATGCGAACTTCTTCTGCTCATCGTACATCCGGCGAAACACATCATAATTCACGTCACAAAGAAGCTTAATGCCCGGCTCGATCCGCCAGTAGAAGTCGTAATCCTGGAGAAGCTCGTGCTGGTAGAAAAATCCCAGGAAAAACCGGCACATGTGCCTATATGATTCGGATCCACCGTAGACGATATTGGCTTTTTCCATGGCCTGGCGGACGGCGGCCGCCTTTTTGACGTCCACCCAATCTGGATACGACCAATGATCCCGTGGCACCACTCCAAACCGCACTCGGGAGGCTGGTACAAATGCTGTCACCGATTCCATGAACAATTGTGTGAATGGCTCATCATTTAAAAACACATAGTCGTAATTGTACTTGGTATTAAATCGGTCCTGGACCGACTGAATGGTTTCAAGAAGATCGAAGAGTTCGTAGTTGCGACACAAAACAAGGAACGTAGCTGCAAATTCGGGTATGCTCAAACGGGTGTTTCGAGGCAGTGAGGAACCTAGGACATTACCAGCGTATGCTCCTGAACCATAGTCGTGGGACGTGTTTGCCACTGGAACCCAGTGGGGAGGGTCGTGAAATGCCCCTACACTGGCGGAATAGACCAACACAAGCGCCCAAATTAAAAGCACCACCATGGCCATACCCAGCACAGTTTAGGTTTCTGCACGTTTTCCAACCACCTCATCGACAAAAAGCGCATCAGCAAAAGTCGGTTTTCGAGAAACAACACACCATGGGACCTGACAATACCAGGCACTCCACCACCACGACACCTGCGGACACCACTACTACCGACACTACACACCTTGTACACAATAAGAATGGTCTTCGTAAGTTCATCGAGACATCTACTGCTGTTGTGGTTGATAGTAACTGTAAAGTAATTGGCCGCGATGTCTCGCACCTCAAACTCACCAAATTCAATAAGATAGGGGGACATAGCATCATCTACAAGTACGACAAGTATATCATCAAGGAGATTATGGAAGAGCATCTTATGTACGAGAAAATTATGGCCAACTACCCCCAGTTGAGCCAGTATTTACCTCTATACTTGGGCACGGTTAAATTGCAATTAAACCATGAGGTGAAAGATTACATAGTTTTGGAGGATTTGACCAATGAGCTTCTGCAGCCGTTTGTTGTGGACTTGAAGATGGGCACGCGGCAGTATGGTATCCACTCACCACCCGAAAAGGTCAAAAGCCAGAAACTCAAGTGTAAAAACCTGACGTCCTTAAGCTTGGGAATACGATTATGTGGGCTCCAGATCATCAACAAGAAGGGAAACTTTGAGCTCTACGATAAGTACTACGGACGCCAGCTAAATGCTACTGGGTTCTTGAACAATCTTGTTCGATTTCTAAATAACAAATCTCGTTACACCCTACTCATCAAATGCTTGAAGGTGGTGGAGCACTTGAAGCTGATCTCCAGTATGATCGAGCTGTTAGACTACTTCCGTCTTTACGGGTCGTCAATTCTTATTATATATGACAACATGGATGACTTCAACGTGATTATCAAGCTCATTGATTTCAGCAAGAGTTTCTTCTACCTGGAGCAGGAGTTCGGGAATTTGAACTTGGAAGCAACAAAGGATTATGGGTATTTGAAGGGAATATTCAATCTCATCGAGCTGTTTAAGGTGATATTCAACGCTGCCAGTGGCATGGTGATTGAAAACGATAATGAAAGAGTGTTGATGGAGACTATTGAACGAAACAAGCATGACTATATGGATAGTTGGAACAAGAAATTGGAGTTTCCGACTTTTCGTTACCAGTATGATGACCTTACTAGTGATTAGTTGTACTATAGCATACGCATTTAGCATTGTATCTAGAATGGATATAAACTCATTACAGTAGATCAATACGATAATACTAAATGGAAGGAATTGATACTTACATCGTATAATTAATACATACCCATTATAATAAAGACTCCATTTACGCCTATTAACGTTACAGCTTGATAATATCTAGTAGCATTCAATACCACAAAAACTAAATCCTCACCACTTGTAACGGAAGTTCATATTATCAATATCAGTCAAGTCCAGGAAATCGGTGTCTCTATTCTCAATTTCTGCTTCTCCGTAAAGCGTATTTCTCCTTTTGTTTTCCCTCCAACACAAAAACATATATACACACACAGCACAAATAGTAAGAGCATAGGCACCAAAAATGGCCCCCACACCCAAACTGTAGGTTGGGGCCTGTCTAGTCAAGAAGAACTGCGGAGCTATTAAGTTACTGACGGCGTAGGTCAAAAAGTATATGGAATTGGCCGTCACTTTTCTTGTGAACCCAGCATGATTTGCAGCAATTAAATTCAACGAAATAATGTACGATCCCAAGTAGAAAAATCCAAAGTAAAGCGACACGAGTCTGCTAGTGTACCATGTCAAAGGAAGTTTGTATAAGCAGCCAGTACCCACAAACGCTGGAATCAAGTAGAAGCAAAGAACCGCTCCTCTAAAGTGTTTTTTAGGCCAGAACTTCTCCAAAAGTGCCAAAGAACCACTAGCCATGTACACAGAAACCGTCTGCATAATCCCAGTGGGCATTGTCAACAAAGTACTATCCCGTGAACTCCATCCCAATCCGTTGACAATCAAAGGACTGAAGTTGGTGAGACCTCCGTTGGGGATCGAAATGAATAACTGAATAGCCACCATAACCCACACCTTGGGGTCCTTTAACGTCTGGAAAAACTGGTCTTTCTTGAACTTGGTGTTCTTGACACCCGTCTGGTTCTTTCTGACCCTGTCGATTACAATAGCCTTTTCTCTTTCGTTCAAATATCGACAGTTCACTGGCGAGTCGGGCAATAAAAAGAACTCCAAAATCCCATAAACCGATGACAAGGCCCCAATGATCCACATGAAGTATCTCCAGGGGGAGTAAGCAACATTAGTATATCCTCCAACCGCATATCCAATAGTACCGGTGAAAATGGTGGAAAAGCCAGTGTAGAAAAGTCCCAACCGAATCGACTGTTCAGGGCCCTTCTTGTACCAAGTACTCATGATTATAAGGTTAAGGGGCACAATAGGGGCTTCGGCAATCCCAAGAAGAACTCTACATGCCACCATCGTCTCGAAGTTTTTGGCAAAACCTGATCCGATGATGATAATACCCCACACAAAAAAGCATGCTCCCGAGACTTTGGCAACTGGCAACTTCTGAAGGATCATTCCACTTGGAAAGCACCAGAATAAGTATCCGAAGTAAAAGGCCGAACCAATCCAACTATACTGGTTTCCCACGAGTCCTAGATCTGTTTGCATTCCGTAGATAGAAGCGGTACCGGTAGAAACCTTGTCCATGGCACCAAACGTCACATTGAGCCAAAGAAATGGGATGAGGAACATATCACATTTCCACAAGATCTTTCTGGCTTCTTGCTTTGTGTATCCACCTTGTAAGATATTTCCATATTTCGCAGCGATATCTTGAGCATTTGAGACAATTGATGAGTTTAGTTCGAGATCGTCGGAAGTTCCGACTTCACTGACAGCCACTACAAGCTTTTCTTTCTTAGTGCTGGAGTTTTCGCTGGCTGACATGGTGCTGTGAATTTCAATGATAAGCACTTTTCAGCATTCTGCAGATGTTTATATATCCAAATACTGACATTTCCTCGATAACGGTGAAAGATGCGGAAAGAGACGTTATATCCGACACGTGACCGGCCTTATCAGGAATGTTATCGGAGATTCCGTAAAGTACTTTTTTTGAGCGGGATTTTGATGTGAGAGCTGGACGACGCGGGGGTACATCGAAGGAATCTTGAGGATTGTGCTGAAGGCGATATGGACATATTATGGTGCTGTGAACACAGGTGATGGCAGTTGTGCTCCGAGCGTTCTCTAGGTCGACAACAGCGCGCGACCAGGCGGTATCTCGCCCCGCTAGGCGGAGACTGCAGTTCTCTTTAAATGGAAATTTGAGTAGTGCGATTGGACGCTTGAGCCACGGAAAGTATGGCCCTTTCCGCTTTTGTACACCAGGAGCTTACACAAACCAACGTTAGGGCTTATATATCTTCAAGAATGTCCTCTTATCTTTCGTTTCCTATTGTGCAGCATCCAGGAAATCCCCCTTCAGTCCATTGCTTTCCGCAGCCCCATAACCAGCTGTCTTTCACCTAACCCAGTGGCTTCGCTTCAAATGCCCACATCCGTTGTTTTTTTTCCAAACTACAAACATGGCCAAAGACAAGGAAACCACAAAGAAGGATGGCGACTCCAGGCGTAAGAGATCATTTTTCAGCTGTGACCGGTGCAAAACCAGAAAACTTGCTTGTGTCCGTCTCAATGAGAATCTCAGCATTTACGAACCGTGTGCAACATGTAAAGCACTTGGACTCGACTGCAAAACCACCATTCAGCGTAAAAGACGACGGTTGGATATCAAAACCGTTTCTCTCATTAACAAGGAATATATGGCTAAAATCTTGGAGTCTTTATACCCGCTGGTGGACTTCAATGATACCAGCTCTTTGCAGGCTTTACACCAAAGTATCACTCACCAGGACTCTAACGAAGCACTCCGATATGGCTCTTTTTCCACGGCTGAAGGCGCACAATCCGAAGACAAGGAAGTGCTGTATGTGATATATAGTGGGAAAAGTGTCAATGGGGGGATTTCGTCAAGTTCTTCGTCGTTTGGGCTGCAACTGGGTTCTTTTGATAGAATCATATACGACAACGACGGCCGATCTCACTTCATGGGATGTTTTGGATTTACTGGAAGCCTCACGGTACTTCTCAGCACATTCATACGGATAACTCCACACAAAGATATTAATTCCATCAAGTTTATCGCCGTGATGAACAAAAGAGGGTCAGTGATATCTTCATTTTCAGAGGCCACAGAGCCCGTGATCTTTCGAAATATCAACACAAAGACTTACCCACTAGTGTGTTATTTCTCACGGAAAGAGGCAGACTTCTACGTGGATAAGTTTTACCAATGCCAGCAATCGCTTCTTTCAGGCATGAATAAACAGAAGTTTACGGATATGTACGACACTTTCTGGAGGATCAATGTGGGAGAACTTCCTCCGCATACTCTTTCAATTCCTCAGTACTGCTGTATTTATGTGGTGTGGATCACTGGGGTAGGCATGGAGCTATACCCAGGAACTTCTATGCAAGACACATACGAATTGGTCAACCGGTATATCAACTTGATCAAGATCTTGCTTTCGGATATCTTCCTTGTTCCATCCGCAGACGGGATCTTGTGTCTTCTTCTATTATCACATTTCTTTGAAAGGAACATGCAAGTGGAAACCTCGTACATTTTGGCTCAGACTGCCGTGTGCCACGCCATGTCGTGTGGGTTTCACCGTGAATCGGTTGCAACCAGTGAAACATTCGACCTATGGTGGTCTTTGTTTGATAGAGAGATCAAGCTTGGTTTTTACTTTGGCAGAAGTCTGACGATTCCTTTGGAGCAGGTGGATTTGAACAATGAAAGACGATTCAAAGACGAAGACGGCAAGTATCTGAACTCATATTATCTTACGGAGTTGCACAAGTTGGCGTACTTATTCTTAAATCACAAAAGTCAGCTTCCCACTGTTTCTAAGAAGATCACTGCTAAGCATTTAGATGCTTCACTCGAGTTCGACAAGATTTTAATTGACTTTTACGACAACCTTCCCGAAAATTTCAAGCACTTTGAACATATACAGGCACAAGAAGCAGAGATCTTGAACCTGTACTATTTGACAGCAGTTAATTCTGGGTTCCCATTCATCCTATATCCTATTGAGCGCACTTCGATAGTGATGCTCCCGAGAATAAAAGACATGGTTCATTTGATCGAAAGGTGTATTGAAAGCTGTATTAGCCACATCAAGCTTGCTGCATTTGTTCAAAGAAGTGAGTTTTATCCGAGTGTTGAGTTTACGACAGCCACTACCGCGTGTTGTGTGATGGTTGGCTTGGTTGCTGGCGCACTTTTCTACAAGGTTACAGTCCATGCTATACCTGAGCAGTATAAACCTCTGGATATCGAAGACAAGCTAAAGCAAATTACCCGGTACTCGAAGATCCTTCGTATCTTGAACCAGCAAAGAGCCATGGATGCTACTGGAACACTGAGAGTTAGGAGATACTGGGTGGAAATCTTGAACGAAGACCTCAGTCTTCTTTTGACTGATGACGACAGCGAACCAAATACCCAAACCCTCAAGACGATGATATTGGGAGATGAAAATGGGTCTTTTGATCAGGAACACAAAGAAGGAGAGGATATAGTAGTCGAACTGGGAGCTACCGATAATCCTGAGAACTATCTCAACCCAGTATCTATTCCCAATCTTCTTGATATGAACAACTTCCTCGACGGGTATCTTTCGCAGCAGAGCTGGATGTCTGGTGTGCTTCGAGACATGGGGATCAGCAAGTAGACTATCAAAGGGGTAATATACCTACCTTCTGAGTATATGGTAGGCAGTTTCAAAGGTTGTTGAAAGTCAATGTTGGTTTGTTGATTATGAGAGGTATGTGTATTTTTTGCATTCTCGTACACAAACAGCGGATGAGAACAAAACAAACACAAATTTTTACTCAGGAGCCGAAGCTATTTGGCACATGCTAGTACCAGCACCTTCTTTTCCCTACCTCAAATCACTACTCTTACCTCTGCCCCACTCACCCAACCAGTTACATATGAATATAAACTCCAACTGATCCCTGATGTAACCCTTTTCTCATGTCAGATACCCCAGTGACCAAAAATAGTCTGAAACAGGGACCCCCTATTCAAACCTCAATTTTAGCCGCAGCTTTAGTTGCCAAGAGTCCATTTACTACGCACAAAAGAAGCATAAATTTCTAAGGAGTTGTTCAATTGAGTGCGAGGAAGCCTGGAACCTGCTTCCAATCCCGTAGCTAGTACACAAAACGACATAAATCGATCACTCTATTAACTGCATTTCGGTCTGTGAGTCAAAAATATCCTTTAATGTGGTCATGAACGCAACTTTAGATAGTCCATTCTATAAATATCAGCCAATGGGTGCAAATTATTCGCTGGGTACACATATTTTTATTTCGACAAGGTTTTCTACACACCTTTTTATTTCGAATGGTGGGGTGTATACTGGTTCAGCGCTTACAACTGGTTTGTTTCCTGTTTCCAGATATATGAGAAATGCTTGTCTCTTGTCTCCCTAACACACCTGGAATAATTTGGTCCCCTTGCTGACATGCAAAATGTCGCGCCCCTGCATTACCTGAATATCTCCGGTAGTTTCATCTGGCGTCACAAACAGATTGAGACAAATAAGCCCCACAAGGTTGCTTTTCGTACGTCACGTATGGGCGGCTAGTATCCCCGAAAAAGATATTGTAAGGGGCCTTGTGTTTTCAATCGTCCCAATGACGAAATAGCCAGCAGGAAAGTTTCCCAAAATAGTACCGTAACCATAGACAATGGTTGGTAGGATAATGCCAGCTACCGCGACATTGTCACGACATCACTATGATGCAATTGGCGATGGCTATAATTACTTTATTGAGTATGGGATGTGGGTTGCGTGCTGATATTTACCGCGCGGGCCCAAAATGGTGGTAGTGCGCCGGGTTAGGGCCATCACCTCACGTTATGGGAGGGTGTTTTTAGGGGCAATGTGGCCATTTTGACCTCAAACAAGACCGATTATCAGTCATAACGAGCAGTAAACATGAACGTGTCTCTTGGTATGTGCCAGTAGCAGATTGTATCAAAAGGCTATGTCCATACTGGTCGGAAACTCGCCTGAGCCGGTCCCAGAATTACTGCTGAGGGATTTAAATTTTTTTTCCTTTTGTGTATTGTTGGAGGACGCTCCCATTATTTCGTAGCGTGAAATACCCGGGCGGTACACGTCGGTGTGACTTTGTTTTAGCATTAGAATATAAATATCCTCAAATTTTCATGGGTGTAAAATTTGGTAGATTTCATTTATTGAAGTTAAAGGTTAAAGGTTTCACTTGCGTTTGAAAACAATAGTTTGTGACTAGTTTCGACTTTTATTCGTCTCACCGGGTGTTTATTGAGCTTTTCATAAAGTTTGATAGGTGCTGCTTATATATATATTTGCTCCAGATATATATATAACACAAACAAAACAAAAAAAAACTTGAATTAAGGACTCCATCCTTCTTCATTTCCCGTTAGTGTCCATCCTTTTTGGTTCCTTGGGTTTTACTTTCTACTTTACCTTTTTGCATTTGTTCAGAGTTGGGAAATCCATTATGTTTTGATTGACTAGCTCGATACTATCAATCTGTCCCAAAAAAAATTCATCAAATTAACTGAATCTATTCAATACTTTCACTGTCGTCACTCATTATGTCATTAATCAAATTGAACAAGAAGAAATCCAGCTTGAGTACATCAAGCGCTTCTTCTAATTCTAGTGGAGAATGCTACTATGCTCCACACACAAATAGTTTTGCTAAATTTGACGAAAAGAAAGATTACTTTAAGAGGTGTAACAAGAAATGTGAGAAGAAATGTCCTTCTTCTGTTAGTTTTTGTTTAAGTAGGTAACTTTACTTATTGTAATATACTTGTACCATTACGAAAAATGGGGTTTTGGGCATCCCAGAGTTTAACCACTTTAGGAAAGTATTGGGTCTCGAGAATACGACGATGCAGGCCGGGGCGGGCAACTACTTTGGCACTATTGTGGGGGGGTTGTGGGGGGGTTCTGGCGGTAATCGTAGTGGTATTTGGTAGTAGTAGTCAACACCTAGGATGATGCTAGATGGATGATGCTGGTAGACGTAGCGACAGACTCCTTCAGAACAAAACCGGAGCCGGTGCGACGATCTCAATATCCGGGCGTAGTGCGTGTAACTTTAGGGACGTTCTGGGAATGGCACATGTCACCTGTTGTAAACACCCCTGTGTGCCCTGTCATATGTGACTGGCAGTGTTGTATGTGATACATTTATCTGCTTGTTATGCAGAACGACGACCCTCATTGGCACTTACTTGCGACATTACTTTGGTCATACCCGGCTGCAACTGACGAGCACATCAGAAGGCATATAGCGGGTAGGGACAAGCACTGATGAGCGTGAACCACTTAAGAGGAAAAGGAATGTGATATGCATCTGACGAGAAGTGTGATATGCATCTGACGAGAAGTGTGGATCACGACATTTAGACGTCATGACTGTGAGGAGTGGGGACTAACAACAGAAACAGAAAAATCCAAATTCATTCAAGTGAACATGTAATGTAGCCGAGAAGAATTGTGGGTGATGATAAAGACATATGGGCTCATCCACCCAATGTCTTACAGTATGTACTGTTGTAGAGACGAAGATGTTGAAGAGTTCTGGCTGCGAAAAAGCTTAAACTGCATGCCTGCGGCCTTTCGAATGAATGTAAATTAGCATAACTGTGAAGATTATCAAATGAGGTTCGTGGATGGGAATGTAGATGTTTGGTATTTTTAAGTTACCGCTCGTAACGTGGAAGCTCCTCTATGTCAGTATATGTTGGAGGAAATGACGCCGGTTTTTCTGCTTCCACGTCAATGGACAATTTAACAGTCCAAATCTTTCCAGAAACGCTGACTTTCACTTCGAGTTGGTGTTCGCAGCATGCAAGCTTCGAGACATATCCTGAACTCATCTGTTTAAGAACTTTTCCTGGAATGCTGACTTCTCTTTTGGTCCCATCGTACACTTTTTTGCGGGCAGAAACACTGTAGTTTTCTCCATTGGTCACCGATACAGAGATCCGCTCCACCACAAACACACACACATACACCTCCCCGGGGTACTCAAATCGGACGACATTTGTCTGATTTTTGTAGAACAGTTTAGGAGTTGTTAGCACGAATTCTTGCTTGTGAAAATTTGCGGTGATCGAGAGGGTTTGTGGACGAGTTTGTTTCCGTACATTCACCAACTCCTTAACATTGTACTTTCGCCGAGGGGTCACTAAAATCATTTCCAACTCGTAATACTGGCTGAAATGTTCACTCTTGGTGGTCGGCATATCACAGATGAAAAAAAAGGGGATTTTATAGGTACCTTCAAGTTTACTGTAGTCAAGGTTCACCATCTGCGAAGTAGTGTTACACACTTCTCGCACTTTGTATCCCGGTCCTGCCATTGTGTAGATGGTCTGACGAACGTGTTGGTTCAACTTCAACTCGAACGATTCTATCCTGGCTTCACAGGTGTCGATATTCAAATCTCCACATATAACGTACTTGTCTGCGAAAGGAAACACCTGGTTCTCAAAGGCAAAAGTGGGTGAGGGTCTGCTATTGAAAGGGTTGCCAAAATTACTGGAAAGTATCATATGGGCTGTTTCCATGCTTTATGATCTAAGGTTATCTTGTCACCAGAGAGAAATTTACAAAAAATATATTACTCATAGTGCGCATATGCACACCGTCGCAATTTTGCAACCAATACTTTGTGCACACAAAGTAGAGGAGACGCGTAGGGATATCAGCTTCTTAGACTTTCCATTAAACTCTGCCGGACAAATTTCTTATTCCAGCGCATCTTTTTGAAAGAACACTAGTATCTATTTTACAGGTTATGGTTATATCACACGAATCGATGCGCTAAATTGAATTTCTTTAAGAAGCATTGATGTATACTGCAATGAATGCTAACAGCTATAAGTCTGTCTCTATCTGAATAAAATCGCTGTCCAATGACTCTGAGCTTGTTGGTTAAATCAGGGTGAGGGTCTCTACTTTTCATATTTATTATGCAGCTGTCGGCACATTAAAGCTGTCCATTCTAACATGTAGGAATTCTTGGGAAGTTACCCTTATCAGTATTAGAATTCCATAAATTAGAGAAATGTGCAACACCTCCCAATGTCAGTTAAATATTCCAGGGTAAGAGAGTCTTGTTTTGTCAGAAAGGTCAAAGCATCTTCCAGTGCTAGAAAAGGACGTTTTGCCAGAGAATTCAAAGTATCTGCCAGAAAATCACTCACAAGTTCAATTCTCGCCAGTGAATAATATGGGCAGTTTTGATGGAGATTTGGCTAGTCTTAAGCACTTACTGCTGATTCAGTCCTACTCTCTGAATTACATGTCAGATCTGAAGAAGCTTTTACAAACTGCACTTGATAACAGTCCCTGGCTGAAACTGAGGAAAAGGTTTAGTAGGCGAAGGTAATCTGGGCTTTTAATCCTATCATTTGGGACTTGATCCTTATTAGATACAGCTTCATTGACAACACCTATATGTTGAAGAAATCAATCTTAACGCCCAAACCATACACGGACGGATCACGAGCGACTACAATAAGATAGTAGATCAATATTTCTGGAATGTTAAACTAGATCCTCAATATTCTCAAGGATTGTGTCACTCAACATTATACCGGGTATGACCTTTTCACCCGGATTATGGCTTTTTGCGTGTTTGCTGACTTCTTGTTATCTTTTGGATCATTAGAGCTGCTATTCGAGAGTAAAATGTTTGTACGAGCTTTTGGGCAATAGCTGTCAATTTATTGCCAATCCTTCTCTAGGACCCTGGCGGTCTTTGCTGTCGGACGATGGGCTGTTCTCCACTATATAATATGCTGTTAGTTTAATTCGATTCATTTCTGTTCTTCAGTCGCGCGCGAAATCGCGTTGTTTAACTCACCATGAGCGACTTTGAAAAGTACAGAGACACGTTGATCCAGGAGATAAGCAACTCCATCAACTCCATTGTGTTGAACCTCAACACCTTGAACCGATCATTACACAATTCCATCCAAGTCAGCAAAGAATTCGATAACGTTAGCGATCTATGGGCAAACTTCTACAGCGGGCTCAAGAAAGAACTGGGCCAGCAAGAACCAGAAGAAGAGAATGAGGTGGAAGGCCAACAAGATACCCAGGGGAGCCAAGAAGCTTAAGTCGGTGGTGGATTAAGTGTGAATGTGTACTATTAGTTACTTTTTAATCCTATGTAATGAATCTATTTTATGGTGTTTACTGAGGCCGATTTTGTATCTGGGACCAGGGTTAATTTTGCTGAGGATGTCGGAAAGTTTACCAGACTTTTGGACCCGGGTCCTGGGAGTGTTATGTGATGGTCGTAGCATGGGGAGCTTGGGCGACAGCGTGGAAAACAGAGAGTCAGTAGGGAGCTGAGATGTATTGGGAGTCGTAGTCATAGAATTCATGGTCAAAGAAGTGGTGATTGAGGTCGTTTGAGTGAGAAATTCCTCGCCCGAGTTTGGTGTTGGTGTTGGTGTTGGTGTTTGGGAATGTGGGACATTTGTTTGTGGCTGTAGTCGTACAACTTTCGTAATGTCTATGGTATGGGCGAGGTTGTTTTCTGTGTGCTCTATAATCTCTTTGTGATCCATTATCTCTTTGTACTCGCTTGGTCTCGTGTGCTCTATTGGCTCTGCGTGCTCTATTGGCTCTGTGTAATCTATTGGCTCTGTGTACTCTATTGGCTCTGTGTACTCTATTGGCTCTGTGTACTCTATTGGCTCTGTGTACTCTATTGGCTCTGTGTACTCTATTGGCTCTGTGTACTCTATTGGCTCTATGTGCTTATGCCTAATGTTATTCAAGTCCGTCCCTACCAAGAGTGTGAACTCAACATCACTGTCCTCCACTTCACTCTCACTCTCAGAGTAGCCCTTAGTACTCCCCAGGGCCACTACTCCACTCCTCTGGCCCTTCGGGCCCTGTAGCATAATATCATCTAAAGGTGTAGCACTGCGATCCATGCCGTAAACAAACACCAAGTCGCGCCAAAATGCTGCAAAATCGACTCCACTAATACAACCTCAAGCTCACAAAAAACACCTACCTCGAGCCAGTAAAACTTCACATTATATACTCGACAGTGCTGACACCGTCGCTGGCCCCATCACCACCACCCCCAACACGAACCCACTACCATCATCTTTCAACACCTCCCTGGTACGTGTCTGCACCACAGGCTTTATAGCGCGCCCTACTCGTCCACCAAAAACCTCAAATTCAATTCACACGGCCAGTGTGCAATTCAAATCGACCCCAAGTCTCCAGAAATCGCCCGTTATTTCTCACAGGCCCCCAACTGCCGTAGTGATATTACTCACAAATGCTCTTCGGAGCCCAGCCTAATACTTGAAGTAAGTTCTGACCCATACACCCACCGAAGTTGTCCAAAACCACTGTTGATCCATGATCAGCTCCTAAAGCCGGTGCCCGCAGTTGTTAGTACGATACTAAAGTAGAGCCCTGGCTTCACCTACAAAAGCTTGCAAAATGTGGAGTTTTCCGGGGCTCCGGCCCCTTTAGTAGGTTACAATTGGGGAATCCGGCTATTTTTTAGTGAATATTCACTTATATTAGCCAAAAGACGCGTTGGAGGTGACTTTGTCACAGTATCGATACGCGGTACGCCTGAGTCTGTGGTGATTAGGTGGCGATGATGCGATGGGAGAGGTATTCCACTGGCCGGAATTGAATGGTAAGTACCACTCAAGCACGAAGCCTTCAAACTGTTACTAACTTTACCCTCACCCGGGGCTGCCGTCTGTGGCATACTCCGTATCCTCTATGCTTCTCTGTTGTCGCTGTTTGTTCGGCGGTTCTTCCATTAATCAATTAACTTTTACATAACTACACACTTGGAGCAAGTCGATTGTGATTCGGCCTCCGCAGGCTTCAGCTGTGCTTCTCTCTTGGCAACAGGCTTTTCCGTGGGGGAATCAGCAGTGGCAGTGGTAACCGCTTCCTTGGTGGGTTCAGGTTCACTGGTTCCCACAAGCTTGTTAGCAGTGGTGAAAAAACTCTTACCTTGAATGGCTGCAATATCCAACTCAAGTTTACTTGGTTGTCTGGAACCATCGCCACCAGCAAAGGCTCCCGAACCCCATGGAGAGCCTCCATGAGCTTCTTCCAAGTTGGTCAAAAGTGGGAAAGCTTCGCCGTATCCCAAAGGCACATAAATCATACCGTGGTGAATGAACGAAGACAACGCGTTTCTGGCGGTGGCTTCCTGGCCTCCACCGGCACCGGCAGTGGAAATGAAGAGCCCGAATGGCTTACCATATAACCCTCCAGATGCCCATAAACCACCGGTTTGGTCCCAGAAAGCTTTCCATTGGGCAGGTAAGTTACCAAATCTAGTAGGAATTCCGAACAAGAACGCATCGTATTCCTTCAAGGTGTCCACAGACGCAAGTGGTACGTCGGACTTTGGTGGAGCGTACATGGCTTTCAAGACCTCTTCGGGTAAGGTTTCTTCGATTTGGAATAAATCGGCTTGACCACCAGCAGATTCCACTCCCAGTTGGATGGACTTGGCCAAGGTTTCAACATGGGTGTAGGTAGAGTAGTAGATGACGGCGACCTTCATAGTTATTTGCGGTAGACTCTGGAGAAAAGCGGTATATATATATATGTATCGATTGAGGTTTATTTGAGAGATTAGTAAAACTGAATGGCGTGTGAGCAAGCTTAATAATCCATTAGTAAAGTGCGAAAAGCTGCGAATGGCTGGATGTTCGTATATTGAGCTAGATGGGATGAATTGGCCATAGTGGCCTGTAAGGTGGGAGCAGAGGTGTTGAATGATTGAGTGTTTATGGAATGTTGTCTGACTGCCGAGCTGTCCAGATATCCAAGTTTGGGTCTATAGGTGTATGGGTGTATGGGTCATACGCTGCTGCTGGGCTTATTCTGGCATCCGACCCGCACAACCGTTTCTCACTTCCGGGCCCGGAGCTCATTTTACTAAGGCTTATTCAGCAAATTGCTGCAAAACCACACTATATAAACCTCACCGAAACCACCATATACTTTATCAACGACAATAGCAAATTAAAATGGCTCCAAAGATCGCTATCATCTACTACTCAACCTACGGTCACTTATATGCGGCTGCCCAAGAGGTGCAAAAGGGTGTCCAATCTGCCGGTGGAAGTGCCGACCTCTACCAAATCAAAGAAACCTTACCAGAAGAAGTGTTGAAAGCCATGCACGCTCCACCAAAGTCCGACGTACCACTTGCGTCTGTGGACACCTTGAAGGAATACGATGCGTTCTTGTTTGGAATTCCCACCAGATACGGTAATGTTCCTGCCCAATGGAAGGCTTTCTGGGACCAAACCGGTGGTTTATGGGCAGCTGGTGCCTTGTACGGTAAGCCATTTGGAGTGTTTGTTTCCACTGGAGGTCTTGGTGGAGGGCAAGAGGCCACTATAATCAACTCGTTGTCTTCGTTTATTCACCACGGTATGGTCTATGTGCCTTTGGGATACGGTGAAGCCTTCCCACTTTTAACCAATTTGACCGAGGTTCATGGCGGCTCCCCATGGGGTTCTGGTTTGCTTGCTGGAGGCGACGGTTCCAGAAAGGCCAGTGAGTTGGAGAACAAGGTTTTCAACATCCATGGAAAGACTTTCTACAAGACTGTTGAGAAGTTTTAGATTTAAAAACCTATGCTACAACTGGATATGCTTTATGGCTTGTGTATGTTTCAAGTAGATGTGCTTATTACAAAACTATGGTTTGAGACATGTATTGTATTTGTGAGCCTATGTGCTATATCGCTTCTTGCACGTTACATTCATTTTCTGTATTGCTGCGTATATCTGATTTCTAATGTACTTCTATCTACATCTCGTTTTCTGATGTATTCATATTTACACCTGATTTCTCTATATCTAACTCTATTGATCTATCATATGTATCCATGGTCCTGGGTTCTGAGCAAACAGATATCCTCACAAACTCTTCCAAACTCCTCCACTAACCCAGCATCAATGATTTCTCTCCAAATCCCATACTTATGTGCTCTAGAACTGTCCTCCTCTTCACTGACCAATCTTCCAAGTCTATCTTCGTCACCAAACAAAAACGCCTTTCTGTTCTCCTTGTATGCTTCCCAGTTAGCCTTGCCGTTGGCAAAGTCCAACCAAATCTTCGACATTTGCTCAGACAACTCCCACAGTTTTTGCGGCAAAGACTTCTTCAAAAGCCCCCAAATGTACACATTGTCTAAAGAATGGTGAGCATATCCACCCCATTCGTTATCGTACGGGGACTTCTGGTCAAAATGGTACACGAACGAGCTGGGGTTTGCTTGGTAGAAAATGTAGTTTGGCAAGATGTACATTCCGTCCGATGTCATAGACTCGACCTTGGCATAAGTTTCGTCCACCGAGTCAGTGGACTTAATGTCATAGAGTTCCAAGAACTTCTCGGCAACTTCGATAGAACTGCACTTTCTCTTGAAGTCCGCGACAAACTCAGCACCACTCATGTGCTTGTAGGCCGAGTTCCAGATAATACACTCGTTGACGCAGTCTCCGATCATAATGGCCTCTACCCCCAGTGAAGCATCTTTGCCAACGTCTGCCCACGAAGGGATCTCAGGTAACACCGACCCATCTTGGGTGTACGCCATGGTGACAAACTGGATTTCAAACAAGTCCTCATTTGTTTGAGTCAATGTTTGTTGATCAACAGCCAAAAGAGCCGCAACACGCTTCTCCCATGGTAAATTGGTGTCAATCCCCAATTTCTTGAGCAACTTGAGGTACACTACATCGTACTGTTCGACGGTGAAGATACCACAAAGAGGAGCCAAACCACTTTGCAAAATGGCTCTCGAGAACAACCCATCGTTTTGCAACAAGGCCAAATGGGTAGCCTGACTTCCGGCAGATTGGCCAAACAAAGTGACTCTCAGCTCATCTCCACCCAAGTACTTGATATACTTGTTGACCCAGCGTAACACGTTCGTCTGGTCCGATACTCCGTAGTTTCCCACACCGTCTTCACCAAAACTCTGGTTGTACTTCTGTAAGTCCTTGGATGCCAAAAACCCGACCGCACCCAAACGGTAATTGAACGAAATGACAATAGTAGGCTCCTTGAGGTCCACAGAAATTTTGGCAAGCTGGAGTCCGTCATAGATACACGCATTTCCAGCCCCGTAGGTGTTGGCTCCTCCATGAATAAATACCATTACTGGCATTTTCTGATCGCTCTTAGGAGCACTGATATTGAGATTAAGACCGTACTCATCCTGGCCAGGGATGTTGAGCCAGGGCCGATCGAACATGGGGATCGGGTAGAACGACCGCTTTATCTGCGGGATCATTGGCCCGAGCTGGGTTCCGTCGTGGACTCCGGTTTCCCATTTGTCCTTCAACACCGATTTTCTAAAGCGGCCTGGTACGGTGGCATAGGGGATTCCCAAGTATTGGGCCACTCCAAGTTCCTCATAGTCCAAGCCTTTCACGCTTCCCAAACCAGGTATTTGTGTTTCGCAAGCAGTAGGCCTGTAATCGTATTTCATAGTTGTTGTGGATGGAATTGTACCTGAGGCAGATTCGCAGACTTTATATAATATGGGCATATTGTAGATAGGCTGATTTCGGGTTTCGCATTTGGATTCGCAAAAGTTTCAAACTTCAAATACACAATGAGAAGAGTAATAGTATGTGTGAGACACCAGAGCGGTAGTGGTGAGGGTTACTAACATCTATAGGCGTGTGAATATTGCAGGTGAGTACTGTCATAGGTCTGTCTTTTTTACGGCGTCTCTAACATACTTTTAGAAAGAGAAAGAGCAAATGTATTCATAGCGGTAAGCTGCCTTGTATAGCGTGCAGTGTCGATGAGAGGCGAAACACTTGTGTATTAGGCTACCCAGCACTGACCATTGAACAACTGAACAAGAAGAGGCGAGTGGCACTGATTCCGGGTGTTCAAGGTGAAAAAAGCAGTTCGGAGCTGCCAAAAACAACGGTAGTAGCACCAAGACCACCCATTTCAGTCTACATCCCTAGTGTTAAGGACTCAGTGGTGCTAAAGAATGTGTTCACTAACATTAAGAAATGGTTTCCTGAGCTTCTCTTTCTTCATCTTCCGTCGCTTCAATTGGGAAAAGCTGAACCGGTAGTATTGAACGCCCTTTTGGCGTTGTACAACTGCATCAAAGATGAGCTGGAGGACATCGATGGGCTTGGTATCAACAATTTCGACGTCTACTACAATCGTGCGGTGCTAGAACTATCGACCCCGACGTTGATCTTCGAGAGTCCTACGTTGGAAGCGGTTGAATCGCTTTTGATATTGACGATGTTGGACTGGCATCGTGATAACCACTATAAAAGTCGTATGATGATCGGGATAGCGTCCAGTATGGTGGAGTCATTTGACCGCTTATTGAAGCGAGGCGACGACTTGGAGCTGGGGTTAGATAACGACAGTGCTTTCAACTCGGAAAGAGTGCTACGGATCTTCTGGAGCTGTTTTATCATTGAAAGAGTGATTTCGGGAGGCAGAGACAGAAACTCTTCTCTCAACTTCCTAAACGTGTATTCGGTGTCACTCCCTGTATGTGAAGAGAAGTTCTTGTACATGAACTCAGTGAACAGTGTTGCTGAAAGTCGATTGGAGACGTTGGGAAGCTTCAACCAGCTTACGTTTCCTGAAAATGAGAACAACAGTGGTAGTTTCTTGATTAGGTTATACGAACTCTGGGGGAAAATCATGAACTTTCTAGTCAAGGGTGGAAGAAGAACATATAGAGATCCACCTTGGAGCGAAAAGTCGGTGTTTTATTTGATTAAGGCAAAGCTTTATGAGTTTTATACCAAATTACCCGAGTGCTGGAAATGGTCTAGAGAACGATTTCATGTCCATACGCTCAGGGGCTCGGAAAATGAGTTTGTTATGGTCAACATTCTCTACAACTTGTGTCTTGTCTGCCTCTCTAGAGAATACGTCCCGTTTTTTCCCCATTCCAACGATAAGCCTGTAGGGCCAACTGAATCTCCAATTTTACCTGCTCCACCAGATCCAGAGTTCTGGAATAAAAACTCCTTATTGAAGTTTGATAGTGCAAGAGCCTTAATCTCGATCATCAGGTGTGCTGAAGAAGATGAAACTTGTGGAATCAAGTCTCCCTTCTATGCTTATTGCATCTATACAGCCGCGTTATCGGCATTCTACGGAAGCTCGTTCCACTGGATGGATCCCCATGCTTCCCAATATATCGGGGATCCTGAGTACGACTTCTCCATCACAGGAATGCAAATGATGCAAATTTTGTCGGAAAAGTCCAAGAAATCCTCCATTTCCTTATCATGGGTCAACACTGCGTACTTGGTATGTGACTTGTACAAGGCAATTTCAAATAATAGAGAGAAGGCCATAGAGCTACAGTTGGGAAGAAACTCTCTTCGCCGGTTGGAAGACTCCATTCAAATGACCAATACGGGCCATGATACTGAAGAGAGCAGAGAATTGATAAATGCTGTCAACACTGGGGGCTCGGGAAAAGGTGTTACCCCATCAGAACTTGGGGGCGATAATGAAACTCAGGCGGACTTCTTCGTCATGTCCCAAGATTTTCTCCTTTCGGGTAATGATAACGATCAGGTAGAGTTCCTCGCGAGGATTCTCAAGGAGATGACGGAATAACCTGACTGATCGGGTTTCGCGTTTCGCGTCTCGCGATACAAAAACCGTTATCTCTTATCGATGCTCAGATTTTCAGTCGCTGACGTACAATCTAAAACGGCTATATCTAATGCTCTGAATATTTATAGATACGCTGGGATCCTGATATTGCACAAGCAAGTAAAACAAATACTATGTCTTTATTAAGTAAATGGAAAGAAACTGATATCTTCAAGGAAATCACTCCCCGGATGATTTTCATCGCCTTTTCGGCATCATTGGCAGCGATGAACGCTGGTTACGAAGGTGGATATTTTTCAACCATTCTTGTTAACCAATTTTTCCTTGGAAAATACGGCCACTACACGGAAGCGGCTGGAGTCAAGACTCTTGACAGTGAGTACCAGAGTGTCGGTTCTGGTTTGGGAAGTGCTGGTACTATGTTGGGTGCTGTTTTCTTTACGCCTATTGGTGAGAGATTCGGAAGAAAATGGGCTATTTTTGGTGCTGCTGTCATCAGTATCATCGGAGTTATAATCCAGTGTGTTGCTTCAGGAAATATATGGGCTTTTATTATGGGAAAGTTCATCAACAATATGGGAACTGGTGTCGCTAATGCCATTGTGCCTGTGTACTTGTCTGAGTGCTCACCTGGTGTGATCAGAGGAACCATTACTTCTTTTTACCAGTGGTTCTACACCTTCGGGCAGTTCTGGGCTTACCTTATATGTTATTTAACTGAAGATATTAACAGCAAGTGGTCTTATTTGTCGGTGGTGGTAGCTTCGGTCTTCATTCCTACCGTTTTATTGTTTACCAGTGTGTTTCTTACCGAAAGTCCTCGTTGGTTACTTCAACAAGGACAGGTGGACAAAGCCAAAGAGAACTACCAATTGATCTTCAGCAAGAGTGACCATCTTGAATTCGAGGTCATGATGCAAGAAGTTGGTAAAAAAGATGGCCATAGTTCTTCATGGGCAGACTTGTTCAAGGGTGTCAACTTCAGAAGAACCTCTCTTGTCTTAGCCATTCCTTGTCTTTTGAACGGTCAAGGTTTGGCATTCATGGGAAACTACTTGGTGTTGTTCTTGGTGCAAATCGGTATCAGCAACTCGGTGATGATTTTGACAATCATGATGGCAGTTTTGCTTGTGACAAACACTTTCTCTTTCTATGGAGCCGACAAGTTTGGCCGTAGGGTTCTTTTAATGGGATCCTCTCTCATCATGTTTAGTTCCTTTTTCATTGTCGCCGGTGTCGGATACTATCTCCCATCCACCCACCAAAATCAACAGGTGTGTTTGGCATTCCTTTTTATTTGGTGTATTCTGTATGGTTGTACATGGGCCCCATTGGCACATATTACTGCTGGGGAGTTGCCCAGTGCAGAGTTGAGAGAAAAGTCTCTTTCGTTGGCTACATTCCTCAACTTCGGTATTGGTATGATGATTTCGTTTGTTAACCCTTACATGCAAAATACGGGATACGGAAACCTTCAAGCTAGAGTTGGCTTTGTTTATGGTTCTGTATCGATCTTGGCTTTCACCTACGTTTACTTCCTCTTGCCGGAAGTTAAGAAATTACCCCTTAACATTATTGACACCTTGTTTGAAAGAAAAGTGGAAACCTTCAAGTTCCAGGAAGAAGGCCTCAAGTTATTGGAGGAAGTCAAGGATGCCGATGAACTCGAAATTACCAGTATTTTGAGTTCCAGGCCTAACGAGAAATCTGGTGATATTGGTTTCTCTGTGACTGAGAAAGAAGGTTCTGTTTAATTATTTTTATATTATATGCTGTCTAGAAATTCATAAAACTATTGTGAGGTATGAACCTAAAATACTTTAGCAAGTTATGCGATGTGGAGTTTATCGAGGTAACTTTGTAGATATAGATGGTTCCAACAACTGTTGGTTTAATAGGCTTGGAAATAACACAACATTAGCTACTCTTCATTCTATGTTTGGTATATTGCTAAATACCCAACTCATTTTCAAGTTGGCCTATAGATTTAGCAAGCGTCTCCACAATAATGTCGATATCGTTGGAAGTTGAAATATACATAGGTGCAAGGAGTACGTGGTCACCCACATATCCGTCAATGGTTCCCGATCCTGGATATATAGCAATTCCATTCTCAAATGCCAACGTTTTAAGTTGGTATCCGACATTCAAAGCCTTTTCAAAGGGTTCTTTGGTTTGCTTGTTCTTTACAAGTTCAAGTCCCCAGAATAACCCTCTACCTCTGATGTCACCAACAATTTTACTATCTCCTACAATTTCCTTGAGTCTTCTACCCAAATATTCACCCTGAAGAGTGACATTCTCAAGCAAGTTGTTGTCCTTGATATAGTTTAAAACAGCCACCCCAGCACTACAGGCTAATGGAAATGCTTGGTAGGTGTGACCATTACTGAACAGGTCAGATCCGTTTTCAAGTGCCTCCACAATCTTATTACTGAAGAAACAAGCAGATAACGGAGAGTACCCACTTGACATGGACTTTCCACATGTAACCACATCAGGAACAATGCCTTCGTGTTCCCAGGCAAAAAACTTTCCAGTTCTTCCTGATCCACACATGATCTCGTCCAACACTAACAACACATCGTACTTGTCACAAACCTTTCTTATTTCCTTGAAATATCCCGGAGGTGCTGGAACAGCTCCCGTGGTGGCTCCCACTATGGTTTCGGCAAAGAAAGCTGCGACGTTTTCTGGTCCCAACTCAAGAATTTTATCCTCCAACTCTTTAGCCAATCTGTCGACATACTTTTCTGTAGATTCGCTTTCTAACTTGTATCTGTACTCGTAAGCTGGGCTAACTTTGTGCATGTGAGGACTCAATATGTTCTCAAAGAACCTTTTTCTAGCAGGATATCCACTTAAGGACAACCCTCCAATACAGTTTCCGTGGTAGGACTGGTTTCTAGAAATAACTTCGGTTTTGGTGGTGATCCCTCTTTCCTGGTGGTACTGAATAGCGAGCTTTAAAGCAGCATTAGTGGCTTCAGAACCTGAAGTAACCACATACACACGACCAAACTTGTCTTTATAGTCTTCTACCAATGCTCTTCCGAGTTTCTCGGTAGCTTCAGTAGTGAATTCCAACGAGTGGACATACGACACGGTATCCAACTGGTTTTTGATGGCTTCGTTAACGTCAGGATTGCAGTGTCCTACAGATACAACAGCAGCACCTCCACAGGCATCTAAGACCTTGCGATCAGGAAGAATCAAGTACTTGCCCTTGGTATTCTTGACGAAGTTGGGGTCTTTACTCAAGATTCTGTGGGCTATTAGCAGGTGTTTGGAGGTCTCGATAGTCATGGGTGTGTCAAATTGGGATTATTTTCTTGCTGATTAGTGAATATATAGGTTCTTTATCGGTCCAAGCCCGAAACGCGAGGGATGCGCGAAAGCCGATCTAGATGCTTTCCGAGACGCGATCTAACCCGAACCAGAACGCCTTGCCAATGACGAACGGCTGGTAACTGAGCAGTTGGTAACTCATAAGGAATCGGAATGTGATTCGGGGTTGATTTCGTTTACAAGTGATCTTTTTGCGACGTTGATTAATCATACGATTAGCTTGCTATTAAATACTAGCCAATTAGAGCATAAAAACGTTAGATAGCTTGACCAAGGAACCATGAAAACCACCAATAAGGAGGTTTTGACACCCACTGTTCCAATGAGAGCTGGTCATATTTCAAGGATAGGTGTTCATCATACCAGTTTTTACGAATAGCAATTTGCGCATTTTCCAGGCTATTCGGAAGTACTTTACAATAAACTCAGAATAATAGAACTGCCAAGGCCATTTTGGTAGCTATGGTTCTGGATTTATTGTTGGTGGACGTGCAAGTGCCTGAATTAGTGTGAAGCCAATTTCAAGGTTGAAACTTTAAGCATCCATGTGCTGCCAGATGATACAGGGTGATCCAAAATCCAGGTATAAAAGGGTTTCTAACATGTAGCAACGCCAAAATAATGAAATCAGAGTAGTTCAGGACTCGATGGTTCAAAGCTTGTGGTCACTGGTGTTGATTAGTTCGTCTTTTTCTTCAAAATAATTCTCAGAGCTACAAGACACAAAATGATCTATATGGACCTGAAACGCCACCGTTGCAAATAAACTTTAAACTTTTGGGCGCAAAGGAGACTTAGTACAATCCTAGTGCCGTACTTTTTTTGCTATTAGAGTGTCTAGACCTTGAAAATTATAAAACACATGGGCTTTTTCCCAGTAGGATAAAGCTTTCGTTTCAATTTATAATTACTGGTTAATATATATATATGATGATGCAAATATATTTGAAGATGAATCTGTACGGTACTTATTTGTGGATACTGCTACATAAGCGTCATTGTGCTCAACCATTTTGAGTTTGCAGCAAATGTGGCTCCTGCACCAATACCACAAAACCCTGCTCGGCTCCGAAAGTTTTGGAACATATAAGTTCGTTCCACAGCTACAAATCAAATTTGGCAATAATTTATTGGCATCTCAAGTCTATTACTAGTCTACTGGTTTATACATGCCGAAATTCTGCTGTTAAAAATGCTGCTGTTGTACACTGTCAGTACGGAGTCTGTGAATAATTGGGATACCATTGACTTACACCCAAAACCCATCTCTCTAACAGTGACAAATTCTATCAAGTGTGTTAATTACAGCTCAAGCTTTTCGATAGCTTCTTGGAGCTTGAGCTCCCATTCTTTGAGAAAGGGATCATTGGTATAAGTTCCATCAAACTCAGATGCAACTCTTTTGGGGCTGGAAACATACTCGTATGGAATTTTCATAGATAACTCGTCAACAACATTCATCTGGTATTTGTTGACGAGTGCACGAAGATGGTCAAGTCCGAGACTGGCAGAAGTTGGGCCCTGGACTATAAGAATCACCGGCTTGCCGAAAAACTCGTGGAATAAGTGATCAATCATGATTTTCAATTGGCCAGTATAACTGTGGTTATACACTGGCGTCACAAAAATGATGGCATTGCAGGAAGAAACCTCCTTGCTCCAAGTCCTGATAATAGCATCTTCATATGAGCCGTCCTTAATATTCCTGGGACTGACCGAGTTGATTGGAGTGGAAACAAGATTCAATGGAGTGGTAGGTGTAAACTTTTTTACCTGGTAGTCGGGGTGCAAGGCCTTGAGCTGGTAGTGGATCCACGATGCTATGCCACCAGAATTATTCTTGAGGCGGGGGGATCCAACTAAAAGGCCAACTGTGAATTTAGCCATGGTTGATGGAAAATGACAATACTTGAGACATCTTATCAGATATTTATCAGGCGCGAGTCCCTGTCAAAAACTATTTTGCAATAAATCCAGATCGGCTCGTTCCGGAAGGCGAGATTTACGGACCGATACCCTATAAAGTCACATTTGCATTATGATTACGTAAAAAAGGTCGCTATCCTAAATCAAGTCCCAAATACTAGCATCCATGTTGGCGTACTAGATTTATAAATAAGTCGTCTATTCGTCATCGTCCTCCTTTTCTTCCGAGAAACGACGCTCAACCTTAACCCCGTCTTCATAGAATTCTTCTGAGGGTTTTTCATCAAGGTATCTCAAAGTACCCTTAGAATAGTCCATCTTGTTGATTTCAGAATGATCAGGACACAACTTGGGCCCGTTTCTACCAATCTGGTACCATGGCAAGTTGAACATTTCTTCCATACTTTCCAAAGATCTTCCACTGAGCTCAGGAATAAAGAACCAAGCCCAGGCCAAAGAAATAACGTTGACCGCAACAAACAAAAAGAAGGTACCGTAAGGCTTCAATGCTATCAACATCTTTGCTACGGCCTTCGAGTTACCGTACTGGTTGGCAAAGTGCAACACCATAATCAACGACTGCGCAAAGGTTCTGATGTTCAATGGGAAGATTTCAGAACCAATCAAGTACTGCAAGGAATTGAAGCCAATAACCCATCCAACACCACCCAAGTACAAGGCTGCCATGGCTCCCTGGGAAGCTCTGAATTTACTACCAACCAAAATAGTGTCTTCATTTGCTGCTTCTGGTACAATCACCAAGAACAAGGCAAAGTACAAAATGGAAAGCCCTTGGAAAGCAAGACCCAAGTACATGGTTTTTCTTCTTCCGATAAAATCGATAACGAAAAAAGCCCCGAGGTATGCAGCCACAAACTTGACCACCCCCAAAATAGCCGTCATCTTCAACTGGTCGTTACCTTTGATTCCACTAAATGCAAACAAGTCAGCAGCATAAATTGTGATGGAGTTGGCTCCCGACCACTGACCCAAGATTTGCACCATACATCCCAAGGCGAAGAATCTGTATCTCAAAGACTTAACTCTGACCAATTTCGTGAACAACCCCAAGAAACTGTTGTACTTCTTTGCTTCCAATTCCTGGTGCACAGATTCAGTAATATCGGTGATTTCCCCAATGATAAAAGGGTGACTTTCAGACAAATTTCTCAAGCGGGCCAAGGCTTTCAAAGCCTCTTCGTTCTTGCCGGTTTTGATAAGCCATCTGGGTGACTCGATGGCAAAGAATGACCCAACTAAAATGACACCTGGCACAATAATCTTAACACACAAAGGAGTGATCCACTGGAGATTACTATCGTCAGAAATGGTGGTCACACAACCGTATACGGCAAAATAACTGATCATGATTCCAAAGTACACAGCACCAGCAAACACACATCCAGCCATACCTCTGATGGCTTTAGGTGTTACTTCAGACATATATGGAGGGCCAATAGCAACCGTCAACCCAACCGACAAAGCACCTTCCAAGAATCTCCCAGCGTATAACTGGCCGATGTTTTTGGAAGTCATCTGGATAACAGCGGCAACCACCATGAGCACGCATGCCAACTGAAGAGATTTGACCCGTCCCAACTTGTCAACCGAAAAGGTGGAAATCAAGGCACCCAAAATAGATCCTAACTGGACCATGGACTTGATGTTGGACGTCAAGTTGGAAATAGCACCCTCACTCTTGTTGGGGTCGTCCAAGCCAAACTTGGCCCGGAAAGATGGCAAGGAGGTTGAGGCAGTGTTACCTTCGTCCACTCCACGCAAACTTCCCAATAACCCAAACACCGCGATACAGAGGTATAATCTCCAGTTGTATATTTCTGGAGGCGAGTGGTTATCGACCACTCTCCACTGGAACTTTGGTTTTTCTTCTTCGATGGCGTTGACCGCAGCCACTGGTTTTTCAACAGCAGCCTCGTTAATTTCGGTCATTTTTTGTTATGTTATGTGGCGTTGTATTATCTGGTAATGTCGTTTTCTGTCAAACTTCTTGGCTCCGTCACAGTCTAAACACAAACTTCTTGGCTCTGTCAAGACGATCGTCGAAGAAATTTAGGGAAGAAATTTTTCTTGGAACCCCGATGCTTATAAAGGCCCGCATACGAGCCAGAAAAGCGGGGGAATGCGCCGGAGTTTTGCTAATTTCAGGCCCGTGTAAATCTAGTTGTACGCGGTTCTATTGGCTGAAGTACTCCATTTCGAGCCGCAGATGCTCACTGCCAAATGCGAGGGAATTCTCCGGGGCGCTTGTTGCGGAAATACTTAGCCTAGTGCCGCTGATCCTCGCACCAGTCGCTGTCATCCCGGCCCCCTCCCCTCACCTCACTCACCCCCACACCCGAATCAATTTCCATTATTCCTATTGTCCCCTTATCTGTTCCGATTCCTTCCATGCGTGCCTTGATAGGCCTGTTTGAATGTTTCCCCCTCTCCATTCTTACCTAGTATTCAGTCATTGGGGATTAGAGTTTGTTGTACATAATTGCGGTGGGGGTTCATTGTTGCATTCTGATTGGTGCGACTGCTTTTTTGTGTGTTTGTCAGCGAAATCCAACCATTGACGGGGTTAATGGACAGAATATGGGGAAGCGGGGCGTTGGAGTCTGTTGGCTGATATAAACTATTTAAAGGAGTTATCAAAATGCCTCGGGGAGTTTTAGTGGATTCCGAGAGGAGTTGTAGTGGGTGAAGATAGGGGTCTGGAGCCCTCGTGAGAATTCGTTGGGTGGCAGTTTCCAGTGAAAGTTCAAAAATTGGAG